TAGAGGCTTTGGAAATGGCTTGTTTTGTCTAAACAGGCCAAAAATGACCAAAATAGCACAAAATGACCATTTTCTGGAGGCTCTACAAGCATAACTGCTCAGTATTTTTAACTAATTCTTTGATAGGCTCATTCAGGTTGACCAGAGGTATGTTCTGGCTACCTCTCCAGTTAGTGCATATTTTTTTTTTCAGATGCCAAAAATGGCCTCCAGAATAAAAACCTTCTCAAGGCTCCAGCTTTCACTGAAATTAGTCCATACCAAGGGAAGTGTAACACAACTACATAATGTAAAAGAATACACAAATACATTTGAGGTACAATAGATTCTTAGAAAGAACCAGAAAAATGAACCAACCTTCATTCTTTTTGCACTCAACTGTATGTAGCTTTAGTTCAGTATATAATAATGCCTCTGTGGCTCAGTTGGCTTGAGCACTGCTCTTGCTGATGAGGTTGAGGGTTCAATTCTTGTTGTGTGTAAACTTTAATCCTTATCTAAATGTAATAAGGACACTATAAATATTGTATTCTAATGGTATAATGGTCATTATTCCTTCCATGGAATCCATATGGAGTGGTGTTGGATTCCATATGGAATTAATCATTCCATGACCATTCCATCATCATTCCATATGGAATCCATGATGTCTATGGAATAAGAAATTGGCTGGGTCCTCAGCCAACATTGATTCCATGGATTCCATATGGAATAACCCGGGAAAGGTAAAGACCTCGCTGGAATGGTATAAGGAGATGGAGCAGAAGGATTTGCTGAAGGAGGGATGAAGGATGTCATATGTCATTTGTTTTTGGCTTTGTGTTTCATTCTGAGTTTTCTAGATTATCTTCATCACTCGACTTATCTGAATTTGAGCCACACACATTGTCAAGGCCACCCTTTGACTTGGACAATTTTATCGAAATCTCCACCACCATTTGGGAGGATTCTGATATAACTTCCTGGGTTCTCGAGCAGCTGTTCAATGTCACCAAGGAGTTGCGTGTTGAACACGTTGAGTATCTCCAAGAAATACCCTCTGTCTGGCCAATTCCTCGGTGTCCAACAGTGTTTATCCTTGACCTCAGTGCCTAAAAGTTCCAATTATATGATAAAGATGGTGATTTGTACAGGGTGGACACACTGATAAAAAAACAAGGTACATTTCACCTTTCTCATCATGTCTCCTTGAACTCATAGTAAGCAGGACCAGGATTCATGGGTAGCCGCCACTGGAACGAGTGATAGCCACTCCATGGTTACATTCCAACCAGATTTCCCTCCTGTAGACTGTTGATGCTCACATCTCAAATGTCATGGCTCTTACTCTTGTTCCCAAGCTGACCCTGAACTACTCCATGCTGAGCAGTACAGACTAGATCCTGGGCCTCAAGCCAGGATTTTTGAGGCACAGGAACAGACCCAGATAGAAGAAGGGGGGACAAAGGAACTAAAGGCAGCTATGTGAGTCAACATTGCGCTCTCTATTGCCACATTTATTGATGTTCTCGAAGGTTTCTAAGCATTATACAATGGAGATGTGGAGTGGTGGATGGAACAGGGAAGCAGTGCAATGGCCAACCGAAAATGCAACCTAAACCCAACATCGGTTTGGTTCCTTTTGCATCGGAATTGAGCAATTCTAACATTCACTGTGCAGGGGCCATCGCAGGGCCACATCTATTTCATAGCCTGCAGCAGGTGGTCGAAGACATTCAAGGAGAAACACCAAACCTTTCCCATTCCTGATGACATGGACGAGGATGTCCTTTCTCAACTTCTGAACAGCTCCAGCCTATCATGGAATATGGACACTGCATCTTGTAGTCGAGTAGTCCCTGGGCACATCAGTCAAAAGCTCAAGCGATGTCATAGGTCCTTTGGTGTTCTTCAAGATATCTTAGCTAACAATCCTGTAGCTCACGTTCACATTGTCAACAGTAATGTGGTCTGCTCTCTGATCGTTAACCACACATACCCCTCAAAGCAAAGAATATACATACCTGAAGACTCAAACATGTGAGTCACATTGATCGTACATCCCGGAAACATCCCACACAACCATCTGATGCCTCCCATGGCCAAGGCTTCGATTGAGGTCAAGGTTGCATACCAAGAATGCATCGAGGCTGTAGGATCTGCAGGAGTTATGGTACAGAAGGTAGACAATGGTACATTTTCAATTATTACATGGCAGCTGGATTTGCTTATGTTGTTTACTTAAGCACCATCCATGAAGCTGCTCCTCAGGAGCAAAGAACCTGGACAGTATAATTCAGCTTTGAACGATAAACGGGTCAAGCAGGACATCTTACATGCCAACCAGATGAAAAAAAAACCCTGCAGGCATGGGGATACCTGGTATGTTGCCCCTCATGGTTGTCTTTTGTCATCAGCTTACAGGAGCCATAGGAGCCTTTGATTTGTTTCACCAAGAGTTCTCAAAGCGCCCCGGTGATCAGTACATTCATGATATCGTGACGACTGAAAGGGGGAAGACACTTATCTTCACTGGCATTCCATACCTTATGTCCCTTATTCATGAGGTATCATTGTTTGAGTGCGACACTACCTTTAAGCATGTCAAAGATTCTTCTGGTATGAATGAATGGGAGGTGGTTATCTACTATCCCCAAGTTCAACGAGGTGAGCTCAAGCTCCGTAAATATGGCATGTATCTAACCATGTTCTTACTAGCTGTCACCATTGTCTGTGTATATACAAACTCAGCAGAAACAGATCATTATGAGCACCTGTTCAATGACCTTCAGAAGCATATACTTGCAGTCACCAGCAAAAAAATGTGCTTCAAGCGATTTTCCAAAGGTGGGAATCTTGCCTGTCACAATGCTGACATGGAGGCGGCGCAGGTTTTGGGAGCAGCCAAGTCATTTACCAAAACAAATGAGCCTGATTTCAGTGGCATTCCCGCTGACGTGACTCCCGAAGATTTCGCCACATATTTTGTGCACCTTTGTTTAAGTCATACCAAAAGGTAAGTTTGACATATCCCTAAGAAATTTTTACTGCTGAATCTTTGCTATAGGGGTATTCTTGACTTCAAGAGTCTCGTCTCAGTTAATGATTATCAATGTCTCATGGACTTTCCCTATCTCACATCAATTGAAGAACTTGAAAGTTTTATGTTGTTTGTTGCGGGGCTGAAAGTCAAGAAGATTCAAGGCTTGCTATGTTCACTTTTCATCGCTCGCATGTTACTGATGATGTCATTTCAGACTGGTGGGCACACAAGTATGTCAGCAAATGGATTGTCCCATGCATTCTTCAGTCACAATTGAACATTCTTCCAGAAGATTGGGATACCATCCCAGCAACAACAAACATCGGTGAGGGCCAACATCACTGGACAAATCAACAGAGTGGGATCAAGCTTCCCCTTGTGGAAGCCATACTCACATACGTAAAACATGCATCTCATTCGAAGCTCCTTCACTAAGTATGTTCTCAGCACACGCGATCTTGACAAGTGTGTTGTACGTCAAATTCAGGCATCTTTAGAAACCAGCATCAAGAGCGGTAGCCAGACCGATTTGGTGCACTGCATGACTCACAAAGTTCAACAACAAACTGCAACCGCTCAGAAAGCCCATGAGTCAGGTGAAGTTCAAGATCTTGCACAAGCACTTGCTGGTGAAGTCAAAGCAGAGAAAGAAAATCAGCGGAAATCATTGGCTCGTGGCAAGAAACTACATGCTCAACTCAAGGAACTCAAAACCAGCAGAGGGAAGAAGTTGAAGACAGCTCATACGTACCACCCTCCACTGCTCCCCAATGCCAGCTCGAGTGGCTGTGTTCACACCATGGTGAATCGTCGACACTCCTTGGATTCTGCTGTTCAACATGGTATGTAATATGTCGTGTCGTTTGTTCATTGGTCTACTGTCTCACAAATCGACCCATGTCCAGATATCGCCATCATCAATAATCATGAATCACCAAACACTCGCAACAACGGATTCAGGACCTAACTATGTGGAGTAAGTATCTATTCAATAAACACTATTTCTTTCATCTCATAACAAAACTCATAGTGAATTTGAGCTCGGACCTTGTGCCACACCAGTTTTCAGGGGGAATCGATGCCGTCAGTGATAACAAGGATTTCTGGGCAAACCTCAACCCAATCGACCTTATGCTTGACAGCGATACATCTGGCTTTTGGGGTGACGATCCTGCTACTGATCTATCATTTGATGGTATGCTGTACAACTTCCTCAACACTTTCTTACCTCCTCCTTCATCGTCTCCACCACCGCCTTCACCCCTGCCACCTTCTTCACCACTTCCGTTGTCACCAGCCCTGCTGTCTTCTTCACCAGTCAAGGCTGTGGCTGCCATAACCCCAGGTACATCGACTGGCATGGCTGCGCAGGGAAAGCGTAGAAAGCAGGGGAGGGACGAGGTTGACAAGAGAGATATTCTACCTCAAGGGACTTGGCGCTCTAAGGCGAAAGCGCCCCCACGAGAGCCAATTTGTATTATCGAACGGCTGTCGTAGGACTTAGACATTGACAAATTGAATTAGCTATGAGCTGCATTACATACAGGGTATTTAAATGTCAAGTACGACACCCATCGCACACAAGTATTAGTTACCTTACCCCACTAATACTGAGCCCCCCGACCATACAAACAGACCATAGTTGATGGTGCCTGCTGATGAGCCCATGGATCAGTTGACCCCATCAAAGGTGGACCGGCCATCAAGACTCTCTTAGGACTGGTACTGTGCATCAGCTGAGAAGTGTACCCCATGAATTGATATAGCTAAAAATGCCTTGGATCCTGGGTCAACCGATCTCTTCATGGATTGGGCTCAACATGTGTCATGGGTCAGCTGAAGAGCTCTAAATCCCATGCATTGTGGATCAGCCCACAGCCATCTCATTTTTATTTGCCAAGTTTACCTCAGCTTTTCATTGCCAGTCATCATGCAGTTTACTGGGTCGGGTCCATCACCTACCAAGAAGCCGAGCACGGTGACATGGTCAGTCAGCTAGTACCCCATGAATTAAATATGCCTTGGATCCTGGGTCAACCCGTCTCTTCATGGAATGGGCTCATGTGTTATGGGTCTGCTGAAGAGCTTTGAATCCCATGCAGTGTGGATCAGCCCAACCTGGTCCCATCCAGTTGACACTATACGGCCGAGTTTCGTTTTCACTCAGGTTTTATTTGCCAAGTTGCTCAAACATTACCTCGGCTTTTCTTTGCCGGTCATGGTCCAGTATTCGGTCATGCAGTTTACTGGGTCCATGACTTCCCAAGAAGCCGAGCACGGTGATGTTCACAAGGCAGTGAGATATATTATGCACACCCCCAGTTCAAAATCCCTACCAAGTTTATACCGACCAATGTTTCTTGTAAACATACCCATGTTGGAACAGGTCTGGCTCAAACAACAGTACTTTACCATCCCCCACATAATCCACATGGACTCCACTGGATTCCACTGGATTCCACTGGACTTCACTACATACTGGCAATATCCACAAAACTGGACTCCACCGGACTCCCAGCACAAAACTGGACTCCACTGGACTCTCCCAACACAAAATTGGACTGCCACAGACCTAAGTTAATCCAGAATTCCTGAACTTAGACTTCAAAACAAAAAATAAAATTGAAGTATATTTATTAATTTAATTAACTAATTTTACTAGATTCTATGTTACAGAGAGGGGAGAGGGAAAGAAGGGGGAAGGGAGGAATGGAGGGGGAGGGAGTGGTGATCAGGAAGGGAAAGGGAGGGGGAAGGGAAAGGGAGGGGGAAGGGAAAGGGAGGGGGAAGGGAAAGGGAGGGGGAAGAAAGGAATAGAGGGGGGAGGGAGCAAGGAAGGGGGAAGGAAAAGGGAGGGGGGGAGAGAGGAGCAAGGAAAAGGGGAGGGGGGAAAGGGGGGAGGGAGTGAAGGGGGGAGAGAGTGGAGGGGAGTGGGAGTGGTGAAGAGTGGAGGGGAGTGATGGGGGGAGAGAGTGGAGGGGAAGGGTGGTGCTGCTGGGTGCTCGTCGCCGTTCCGCGCTGGCGTCGGCGGTGGTGGGCGCTCGTTGTTTTTCGTGGGCGTGTCGTTTTTTGGGTGTGGTGAAGGTGGGTTTTTCGTGGGCGCTCATTCGTCGTTGTCGTGTGTCGTCGACCCCGCATGTAGTTGTTGTCGCATGTCGTCGTCGTCGTCGTCGTCGTGTGTCATCATCGTCATGTCATCGTCGTCGTCGTCGTCATCGTGTGTCGTCATCGTCATCGTGTGTTGTCGTCGTCGTGTGTTGTCGTCGTCGTGTGTTGTCGTCGTCGTGTGTTGTCGTCGTGTGTTGTCGTCGTGTGTTGTCGTCGTGTGTTGTCGTCGTGTGTTGTCGTCATGTGTCGTTGTCCCCATGTTTAGTCATTGTCGTTGTCCTTGTGTTTAGTTGTCGTTGTCATCCTCACGTGTCGTTGTCCTTGTGTGTCGTTGTCCCCGTGTTTAGTCGTTGTCATCGTCCTCGCGTGTCGTTGTCGTCCTCGTGTGTTGTCGTCCTCATGTGTTGTCATCGTCCTCATGTGTCGTTGTCGTTGTTGTGTGCCGCTGGCGCCTGTCGTGGTGAGAATGGGGCATTGGTGGTGGGGCATACATACCCTTGGCCCATGACGTGGCAACACCATGGGCGCCGTCCCTTGTTCTTGGCCTGTCCTTCCACGTTGGTGTGGGTGTCGTTGGCGTGGGCATGAGCATCATTGGCATGGGCGTGGGCATCGTTGGCGTGGGCGGCGTTGGCGTGGGCGGTGTTAGAGGGGAGTTGTGAAGGGTGGTGGTGGTGGAAAGGAATGGGATGGTCACGGCCGCAAACAGGAGACGTGACGATATGGCACACCCTCAAGTAAGTCACGTGACCTCACCCTGCAGACTGAACAAAATCATGAATCCTTATTGCAGCTATCACTGACCCACACTACATGTAAATTATAACCTTTCCATTCATTGATCAATTAGTCTATTTTCGCTTTTTTAGTAGTATTCATATATAATAATAATAATATACTGGAATGACTGGAATCCACTGGACTCCACTGGACTCTGACTGGACTCATAGTCCACTGGACTAGGACTGGACTCAGGAAAGTGGCTTGCAGTCCAGTAGGAGTCCACTGGACTGGACTGGACTGGACTGGACTGGACTCCAGTGGACTGGGCATTCTGCCAGCCAATCTGGCCTGGTAAGAGGGCCACTGGAATCCACTGGAATCCACTGGAGTCCACTGGAGTCCACTGGAGTCCATATGGATTACGTGGGGGAGGGTAAAGACCTCTCTTCAACTGGGGTCACTGCTGGAATCTCAAGGGGTGGACTCGGATTAGGGGAGTTGGGAATTGCCAGTTTAGAGAAGCACCATCTCTGCTTCGTGGACGGGTGTCATTCTGCGCCTGCCTTGTAGACATGATGTACTTACCTTCATCCAGTAATTGAGATGCTCCTGGGCAACGTCTACTTCATCAAAAGTATTTGCATGACCTGTAATACTCATTGCAGTTGAAGAAAGAGTAGTAAAGTTGTTGGAGTTGTCAGACATTTAACATCGTCATAGCCGCAGTCCTCAATCCTCGCAAGGTGTCAAAAAAAATCTACTTTTTCAATTCTACTGTAATCACATTATTTGAATTAAATAATCTATCTAAAGGTGTAGCCAGAAGAACTTTTTTTTGTGATGTTTCGGACAGGTGTTTTGAGGTGGGTGAATGTTCACGGAAATTTCTCTAAGTCAGCATCACACGCAGGGGTCCCTGCCAAACTGTGTTCATTTGTCCCAGTCGTTCTGAGGTGTTCTTATTTTTCGCAGTCCACCTGATGTTTGACCCCACAACAAAGCCACAACAAGTGGCAAACACCTCAGAACGACTGGCTAGCGAGTCTAGGCTCCCTTACCATAAGATTAACCACCTCGACGTGCTCCAACAGTATCTTGATGTACTTGGCATTGACGCAATTGCCGAACTACCGGATGGTCATGGTAAGCCCCCCAAAAATGATTTTCAAATTCTACTAGGTCACATTGACCTGATCAAGGACAATTCAATCGAAGGGCTTAAAATCCGTTGAGATTGCGCCCCCATCTCTCATTCCTCCCTTTCCTACACACTCACCCATCCTTCGGCCCCTCCTACTATCATCATATTCTACTCAATGTCTCGCCGCGCCGCTCAACCTACCTTCTCTCCTCTACTCAGGAACATTCATTATGATGACGAACAACGCTTGATCTATGTCCACAACCCCATCATCAACTTGGACAGCATCTATCACCCCTGTCAGGTCCGCCTGTTCCTTCTTTTTGACAGCAACCTCCGCAATGGGGTGGAAGTCAACACCCCTCCCATGGGTTATTTGGATTTTGCGCACACTGTAAACATGGAGCCGGATATTCTGGGGACACTGTCCGTTACTTCGGGAGATGACTGGGATTTACCAGCTATTCCCCTTTCACACAAGGACATCAATCTCAGCTGCTTTGCAGTTGACAGCGGCATCATTGATCCCAACCTGGACGCTTTAGGGTTCTACAGGAATGGTCAGCTCAACATGGATCAAGTCAATCACCATGTCCGTCTTGCACTAGACCGTCTCTGCCGGTACGGCGACAAGGGGAGCTGAAACAGACGTGTTTATGATTCTGCCGGCGAACCAGGACCATCGCGGAATGGTTGCCGCACACCCATTTTTAATCCTTTCAACGCTCCCGCCAAAAAATCTTCTACCATTATTCCTCCCAGGGCTCCTATTGAGCCCACTACTACCAGTGTGCCTAGTGCCGTCAACCTATTTCCACAGTGTTTTTGCATTTCATCTGGACGTATTTTCACCCCATTTTTGAATTTCATCCGGACCTATTTCCCCCGTGTTTTTGCATTCCATCCGGACCTATTTTTGTATTTAATCTGGGCGTATTTCTGCCGCATTTTTGCATTTAATCCGGACCTATTTCCGCAGTGTTTTTGCATTTCATCCAGACATATTTCCTCCCATTTTTGAATTTCATCCAGACCTATTTCCCTCATGCTTTTGCATTCCATCTGGACCTATTTTTGCATTTAATCTGGGCATATTCCTGCCGCATTTTTGCATTTCATCCAGACCTATTTCTGCTGCATTTTTGCAATTTGTCTGGGCCTATTTCTGCTACATTTTTGCATTTCTTCCAGACCTGATCCGGTCCATCCATCGCATTTGATCCAGTCCATCCATTCACCCTGTGGTCTACAGGTAATGGAACTGGCCCCAAAGCCCGAAAATCCAATGGGTCATTGGGCTAAGCTATGAACTATAGCCTATATGTATCCATGGGCCCAACATACAAGCCATGTCATATGAATTTGGCTGTTGGGCCCAACTTTCTCTGTTAACCTTTACCTATGTTAGGCCCAACTATCAACTGTAGCTTAATGCAATCATTTATCAACGGTCAAAATTACCCCCATTTGAGCCATGTGGCCAATCTATAAACCCTTAGCATTGATGTGGCAGCTTCATTGGGCTCAACAATCAAATATACATATCCCTACATCATTGGGCCAATGTACAGTATCATAACGTCTTTTGTAATTGGGCCCATTGGGGTAGCCCTATGACTTATTGGGACAATTGTCAATTTCTATTGTTATGGTTCCATAGTGTATCTACTGAATGCCCTGTATTCATGTCATATCTCGCCAACCGACGCTCCGATCACTCTCATCCTTTTTGGGCTGGGAAGCCCTAATTCACACCTTTCTTTGGACCCCCACGAACCTGCCAAATGGTCACCTATTGGCTGTGTTTCACCTAGTTCAACCAGGTATGACCAAAATGAACATATTTCATCTGTTCTTGGTGAGATCCTTGTCGCCGTTTTTGTTCTTTGATTGGTTTTGAAGCCATGGTCAATGTGCTTCTTGGAAGCCCTTGTTAACATCTGTGACATCTAGTTGGTCCCAAGCAGTGAGGACAGTAGATTTGAGTTCATCTACAGAAGTGGGAGGATGAGGGACAGCTCTTATGATCTTTTTTAGCTCATGCCAGACTGGTTCTATAGGTGAAAGATCTGGTGAATTCAGTGGGTGGTAAAGGAGAGAGACACCATGGTCATGAAGCCACTCCTTTGTGCACTTACTCACATGGCATGACACATTATCCTGCTAAAATTGAATAGGACCATGTGCCTGTGTCATGTCCTTGTAAAAATCCAGCAGGGCCCCTTCTAACACCTGCTCATAGTATCTTTTCATGTTCATCCCTCCCCCCTTCTCACCAGGATACTCCAGCACAATCAATGGGCCCTCCCTCCCTTGTACGATGCATCCCCATACCATGACATGCACAGGCAACTGCTTGAAGGTTGGAACCAAACAGTCTTCAAGGTGTTCCTCATCAGAATGATGTGTGATGAAAATATGGCCATGATCATCACCGAGGTAAATGTAGGCCTCATCAGACCAGATGACCCGGACCATTGTTGTTGTTTATAGTGGCGATAGAGACAGGCCCAGCCTATCCATGCATGCTTATGGAGCTTCGTAAGGAAAGGGACCTTCCTAGCAACACATCAATGGTATCCAGCATGGTGGAGGATACATTGAATGGTGATCTCATTCACTTTGAGCCCCAGTTGATTTCTGATCTCTGAGAATGGTGCCATGGTTTTTTCATGCTTCTTGAATGATGTGACATTTGCCAACATCTGTAAGTTTCATGGGACATCCAGAACGTGATTGGTTTTCAGTTGTTCCTGTCACATTATACTTTTTTCAGATGCTGCATGCTGTGCTGTCCTTGAGCCCAAATTGATGTGCAGCTTCTGCAACATCCTGACCACTGAGAACAGTGCCAATGAAGAGATTTTTTGTAGTGGAGGAGTGCTGAGGGTGAGTAGTTTTGGGTGAAGGCATAAAAACATAAGCTACCTTGATGAACAGCAGAGAAAACAGGAGAACAATGAGACTAACCACCATCATGTTACCATGTTGCTTACATAATCATGAGCACTTTTGTCAGTCACAAGTACAATAAGTCAGGTCCTGGCATCATTCACTGCAGTACATGCCTTTTGCCCTTGTTCATCCCACCTCTCTGATGCTCTTAAAGAATTTTTCTAGTCACATTTAAAGGAGCACCCTGCAGATCATGGGCTATCATCCTGAAAAGTATAGAGTTTTGTTCAAATCCAATTCAGTAGAGGGTTGTTCACATTTGACAGAACCCTCCTGAGAGTTGGGGATATCATTTTTGACAAATGAGGGTAGCTTTAGAGAAACAAAAAATATACCAAATGAAGTCAAAATGTACAGTACAGAATATTGTGCCAATATTATTTGCCCATATGGATAAAGGGAACCCAACGATGGAATGAAACACCCTGTGAACGGAGTTTCTTGACTGCAAGGTGAAGGGCTAGAGCAGACTTTGTCATATCAGGTTTAAGAGCTGGTTTTCCATCAGGACTGCCACAGAAAATTTCTTGATAGAATGTGTCCACAATAGTAGGTCCATCTTTGTCCATCATTTTCCTAGCCCAATTAATGCTCTCAGAATTTATTTCCAAGGGAACAATGCTAATAAAAACATACCACATAGTAGCAACAACCCGCTGAAATCCACAAAAGATCAAGCTTGCTCCTATGCTCATGGCCTCATCCGGTAGATTTTGATCGCCCCTGGCTGTCTCACAAGCACAGAGAAAGGCAAGTGATCCATTTGGCATCTTTTCCTTCATAATTCTTGAGATTCGGAGTAGCCCATCATCAAGCTTGAGCCAACTGTCAAGTGGGTTCCATGGATCTTGCTTCCCATGGCATGAAAAATGAACAATAGACACATTTGAAAGATAGGAGGCAACAGCTTCAACTCTAGCAGGTACTTCAGAGACCCCTAACTCAATGAGAGCTTCACAAGATACATGTCGCCGAATGGTTTCTAGCTCTCTTCTTGTAGAAGGCAGCCCTTTAGATTCGATCACCACCATCATTTGGAATGATTGGGTGGTGGGAACTGAATCCAAGGCCAGAAGCGCCCCTATGGTTGGAGTGTATGAAGAAATGAAGTAATCTGGGGCACAATCAATAGCTAGCTCATCATCATAGCAGCCAGCAGCATGGATGGGAAGGAAGGTGAAATGACCAGTTGGGCACCATTGTAGGACAGTCATTTCATCTGATTTCTGTAATATTTTGTAAGTAGATTGATCATTTGCAGAAATATTGACTGACCTTAATATCAAGAAAATCAATGACTGGCTTCACCAATTCATCCCACAGCATCCGCAAAACATATTTGAACATATCATCTGAAGATCCAAGGTGAGTATTGCTGCTAACCCTCCCTGCTCGCTCTTCTCCCAGAAGCTTTATAATTATGTCTTGGGTTTGATCAATGAATGACCGTGATATTGGTGACTGAGAGCCAGCTATCTGAATGATATGAGCAAGTGCCTTTAACATAGGAGTGCCTAAGTTTGGAAGAGGGATGTGATGAATGATTGTCGATGTCATGATGAGGCAATGGCTTTCATCATCATTCGCAATGAGAATGACAACTGGATGTTCTGATGCAGCTGCTTTGAGTGAGGATATATGGGATGGGCATAGAAAGTCCTCAAATCCACTAAATTTTCTAACTTCATGAATATATTGATCCCATTCTTCATTAAGGCGATTGAGTCGGGCCGCTTCCAGGTCTATAGATAACTTCTTCTTGTTGTCCAGAATGTCAGAAAAAACATCACGGTGAGATCCAATCTCCAGCTGAGTTGCAATATCTTGTAGCTTATGTGCCAATTCAGGTGCAATCTTGTTGAGTTGATCAAAGGGCGACCGGAGAGATAGGACCTGTGACCAGAAGATACTTCGTCCTGCTTCTAGAAGTTCTATGGCTTTTTCTATACATCCAGACTGAATAGCACATCTAGCTGCATCTCGAGCTAAGCCATCACTGCCTGCAGTCAGGGCATCCTGTCGTGATGCTACATCAAAGCTCAGAGCAGCCACTTGTGGTAAAGCCTGTATAGAAGCTTCATAAGCATCAATTGCAGAGCTATGTTGATGTCTATCTGCATAATATATCCATTTCCTAGAAATGCGGAGGCGATTAGATGGAGATTGGAGGTGGTATTGGGTAGCAGTGAGGAATAGAGACATTGCTTCATCAAGATCACCTTTCTGACCTCCTTGCTCAAATCGAGTTGACAGTGCAGAGGCAAGACTGCTGAGTGAGCTGGATTGAAGGGGATGGGGTGGAGGTTGGAGCTCAAGAGCTTGTCTGTGCAGAGAAATGGCTTCATTGAGGTCACTTTGCTGACCTTCTTGCTCAAATAGGGTTGACAGTGCATGTGCAAGATTATTGAGGGAGCTGGATCGATAAGGATGGGGTGGAGCTCGGAGCTCAAGAGCTTGCCTGTGCAGAGAAATGGCTTCATTGAGATCACTTTGCTGACCTCCTTGCTTAAATCGGGTCAACAGTGCAGAAGCAAGATTGTTGAGTGAGCTGGATCGATCAGGCTGAGGTAGAAGGAAGAGCTCAAGAGCTTGCCTGTGCAGAGAAATGGCTTCATCAAGATCACTTTGCTGACCTCCTTGCTCAAATCGGGTTGACAGTACATTTGCAAGATTCTGGAGTGAGCTGGATCGAAGGGGATTGGATGGAAGTCGGAGCTCAAGAGCTTGCCTGTGCAGAGAAATGGCTTCATCAAGATCACTTTGCTGACCTCCTTGCTCAAATCGGGTTGACAGTACATTAGCAAGATTCTTGAGTGAGCTGGATCGAAGGGGGATGGGGTAGAAGGAAGAGCTCGAGAGCTTGCCTGTGCAGAGAAATGGCTTCATCAAGATCACTTTGCTGACCTCCTTGCTCAAATCGGGTTGACAGCACAGAAGCAAGATTGTTGAGTGAGCTGGATCGAAGGGGATGGGGTGGAGGTGGAGCTCAAGAGCTTGCCTGTGCAGAGCAATGGCTTCATCAAGATCACTTTGCTGACCTTCTTGCTGAAATCGGGTCAACAGTGCATAAGCAAGATTGTTGAGTGAGCTGGATCGAAGGGGATGGGATGGAGGTAGGAGCTCAAGAGCTTGCCTGTGCAGAGAAATGGCTTCATCAAGATCACTTTGCTGACCTTCTTGCTGAAATCGGGTTGACAGTGCATTTGCAAGATTGTGGAGTGAGCTGGATCGACCAGGATGGGATAGAGGTCGGAGCTCAAGAGCTTGCCTGTGCAAAGAAATGGCTTCATCAAGATCACTTTGCTGACCTTCTTGCTGAAATCGGGTTGACAGTGCATTTGCAAGATTGTGGAGTGAGCTGGATCGAAGGGATGGGGTGGAGGTCGGAGCTCAAGAGCTTGCCTGTGCAAAGAAATGGCTTCATCAAGATCACTTTGCTGACCTCCTTGCTCAAATCGGGTCAACAGTGCATTTGCAAGATTCTTGAGTGAGCTGGATCGAAGGGGATGGGGTGGAAGGAAGAGCTCAAGAGCTTGTCTGTGCAGAGAAATGGCTTCATCAAGATCACTTTGCTGACCTCCTTGCTGAAATTGGATCCACAGCACAGAAGCAAGATTGTTGAGCAAGCTGGATCGACCAGGCTGGGATGGAGGTCGGAGCTCAAGAGCTTGCCTGTGAAGAGCAATGGCTTCATCAAGATCACTTTGCTGACCTTCTTGCTGAAATCGGGTCAACAATGCATTTGCAAGATTGTTGAGTGAGCTGGATCGATCAGGCTGGGATGGAGGTCGGAGCTCAAGAGCTTGCCTGTGCAGAGAAATGGCTTCATCAAGATCACTTTGCTGACCTCCTTGCTCAAATCGGGTTGACAGTACATTTGCAAGATTCTGGAGTGAGCTGGATCGAAGGGAATGGGGTAGAAGTTGGAGCTCAAGAGCTTGCCTGTACAGAGATATAGCTTCATCAAGATCACTTTGCTGACCTCCTTGCTGAAATTGGGTCAACAGTGCATTTGCAAGATTGTTGAGTGAGTTGGATCGATTGGGATGGGGTGGAAGTCGGAGCTCAAGAGCTTGCCTGTACAGAGAAATAGCTTCATCAAGATCACTTTGCTGACCTCCTTGCTCAAATTGGGTTGACAGTGCATTTGCAAGATTGTTGAGCAAGTTGGATTGATCAGAAGGGGGTGGAAGTGGGAGCTTGAAACCTTGCCTGAGCAGAGAAATGACTTCATTGAGATCACATTGCTGCCCTCCTTCCCTAAAGCGGGTCCACAGTGCAGAAGCAAAATTGTTGATGAGCACTGGATACTTCTTACTTTTCTGAGGTAGTTCTGCCATCCGTTCCCTAAAAAGTGTCACTGCAGTATTCAGGTCAGCCATGTTACCTGACCTTGTGAACTGTTTACAAAGTTCACTTGCAAACTCAAGTGATCCCAGAATAGCTTTCATGCCTCTGATAGTCCCACCAGATGCCATTTGGAGATCACAAATATCTCCCATTAAATCAAAGCGGGTTGCTAATAGCCCACGGATCCAGAAGTTTATGTCCGATTCTTGCCACTCTTGGTCCGTGCAACATTTGCTGGCATCTTTCAAACTAGAAATTGCTTCCTTCAAGTCAGTCAGATCATAGGAATGGTTAAAGCGGGCATATAATGCATCAACCATAGTTGTCAATGCAATAAACCGGCTAGTAGATGCAGCTGATAATTGTGTGAGTGCCTGTTGAATGAGGAAGACAATGGTGTTCAGAATGTGAAGGGAAGTTGACTTCAGAAAGTCTGTCAACAATCCTTTCACCAGTTCCAATGTGTCTTCTGTGTCTGTCTCATCCTCTAGTCGGATGGTGGTATTGGTCTTAATCTTCACTAAGCTAATGTATGTTGTCAAGAACAACATGCACTTACTTCAGAGCTCGCCCCTTGGTTCAAAATCCCACCCTGGACTATCTCATTGCGAAGAGTCAAAGATTCCATCAAATCATGTCTCTGATTGGTGTACATGAATCTGATACCCAACGCGGATGCAAGATTTCTCTTGGCAGCAGGGTGGAGCGGGTGTGTTGCTGGGCGGCTATCTACGACTTGACGGAACAGGAAGACCACATTGTTGAGCTCTGAAAGCGATAACCCTGCCTTGCATTCGGCCATCAGCAAGACGGCAAGATTGATCATTCCAGACACATCGTCCTCGCCATCGTCAATAAACTCCTGCAGTATAGGTCATTATAATCACAATCTCGGGGAGTGGGACAACATCATCTACTTACATCGGTAGCGATGGTGTTCCTATCAATGTGTGTTGTGCGTCCAGCTGGGCTGATATCCGTGACCTGCTCTTCTTTAGCCTATCGTGATGTGTTGAATGTTGTAAAGGACGTACTAGTTGAGGGCTCTCCTGTGCACTTGCTTCGTTACGGTTACTTTCTCCACCTGGGATCTGTAGAAGTATTGTTAACGGCCACAAAAGATATTTCCCTAACTCGTGATACGAACACGAGCCCCCACGATATGAGATCCTAGCTCTTGGATGGAAGGCGCATCTGATTTGTTATAACTAACGGAGGGTAATTTCGACTCTGGCATGGTGACGAGATGTTGTAGAGGTTGATTGAAGCTTGTCGATCAAGAAAGAGGTTTAGTGGAAGTTGGCTGAAAGAGATGAGCCGCTGGGCGTACAGCTTACTTCACACGTTACTAATTCCAGTGTTTATTCCTTCCTCCGACTCCTGTTGCCGCAAGGGTGCACCTAGATCCTATTCATCGTAAGTTTTCCCTTTCTTGTCTCAGCCATCTACCTCCCTTAAATTTCCTCTAGCTTTTTATCAATTTTGTCGGTGAAGGACGCGAAACTCTCACACATCACCAAGTTGTCAAGTCATCGTTCATCCAGAAAGTCATTGCCTGTACAGAATCATGGCGTGTAGCCTTCCTCTTAGCCGTCCGTTCGCTGCCCTAATCCGCCCCCAGGAACCTCGGTATCGACGCCATCGGTAATGAAACCTACTCGCGCCTCTATTACTGCCAACCTGCCGCATACCAGTCATCTATCTACTCCTTAGCCTGTCATCGATTTCCGAGCGCATCTCCTTCTGTCTTTCCACGGCGATAGGTCCAAGCAACTCGTCTCTTGGCAGCAGTCGCCTTTTTGTCTTCCACCTGCTTCTTCTCAACTCCCTGATCTTCCTTCAACCTCGTCTCTCCCGCCAGAGCACCAGTTTTTTCATGAAAACACCATCAGTGAGTCAAGTCGTTTATATAAATGTTCTACGTGTTGGTGACTATCATTTCTATTGTAAACTACAATAACTTGGACAAGATTGAAGAGGGCTTAGTAGGCACGAATTAAATAGTCTGGCGATCGGTCTTGAATACCAGCGGAACGTCCGTCCACTCGTTGGCAAAAGCTTCCATCAGATCGCTTTAGGTCAACTTGTGATATGGACACCGTGGGCATGTGCCTGTTTGACGGAAGACGGCTCCAAAGTCACTCCACGGGGAGGACGTCGCGGAGGGGTGGACGAGAAGGGGTAGAAACAACGATGTGGTCAGCAACAAAACGAGCTGGTTTGAGTGGGGATCTGTATTCCGTGAATGCGGCCATGCGAAACCCGACGTCGACGTCCTCTGTTGAAGGATCACAAACCTAGTGGTGAATCTGTTAACCTTTGTGAAAGTGGTACTTGTCGAACCCTTGCTTTGCTCATACTTACTACCATACTCAAACCTGGCGGAGGCGTGTGGCGGCGATCATGACGTCCCTCTGCTGTGTATTTGGCAAGGGCCAGATGGTTGGGCATGGGGCCCATGTCGGTGTCGAAGCACTACTTTCGAGCGGCACGGTGCATGGAATCCGTGCAGACGTTGCATAAAATGGATCCGCGAGTCCCGCGGGGGTTAGGCTCGCTTCGCACAACTAGTTTGTTGCACTCAAGTTTTTTAGACCTTTGAATAATACGACTGTGACGACAGTTCCCACTGCGGAGGCCTGGGTCGAGGTGGCCAAAGTCGCGTTAACGAGGATTAACGCGACTTTGTCCCGACTTTGAAAATGAATGCTAGGGGGGAAACAACTAAAAAAAAACATGTAATAAGACATCCAAGATGTGTAAATGACTCTGATGCAAACGTTTAAACAGTCTAGCTCTTCTTATGTCGTTTCAGAAGATTGTTGAAAATGCCACCTAAGTTTGAGGGTTGATTTAACATGCAATACATAAGACAATGTGCATTTTTTTTGTGATAGGTGCGTAAAGGTATACTTCATGAACATACTTGCCAAGTTTCATCTGAATAGTTCCAGAAATGCATGAGATATCCATGAAACACTCTTTTTCCCCGCCAAAAGTTTCGACCTTTGCGAATGGAAAATTTGTACTTGTTTGTCCGGACTTTCAGCGCTTTAGTGAAGGAATGCTCGCTTCGCTCGCAACAAGTCACTAGCTCCCCATGAGCAACCGGGAACCGTCGGCTTAGAAGACAGCCTTGTTGGAAAAACGCCAGAAACAGTGTACCCAAAACACGACAATTCGAACAACCTCAACTGAGTAAGTAGTGTACATGTGAATCTTCAATTGTACACAATAGGTCATGGTATCAAGTTTGTGCGATTCTGAGCTTCAAGTTTTATCCCAAAAAATCTGTCTCTCCCTTTTCAATAAACGCATTCAATACTTCTTCAATCGGGGCATCCCCGCCAACAACATCAATAGCCAGGCCTGCCGCATCCTCTCTGTCAGCAAGAATAGCAAGAACTTTAGCCACATCGTCTCTCTAAAAGACAAACGAGCACCAAATCAGACATGCGCAACCGCGAAGTTGGAGAAGAAACTCACAGAAAGTCTTTTCCAGATGCGTCCTGCCAATGTCCGCCTTTCCAGTTCCAGGGTTATTCGTCAACCCCCCAGGCCGAACGATGGTCCATTTGAACGCATCGCGTTTCACCAGATTCTTGTCGGCTTCGTACTTCCAGTGCATATACCCGGGTATCACAGCCCGGATCCTTTTAGACCGCGCAATATCATCTTCATTCTACACTTCCGGCGTCATCTCTCAATCATTGACTACAGGGCAGATGAAAAACAAAAACTTGCATAGTGCGCTGGTATCTTTTCCGGGTCCCTGATATCCACAGCGGAAACCAAGATCAATCTCGGTTTGGTGCCACCGCTTGTAATACCCTCGATCGCGTCGAATACCTTCACGGCACCTTCATAGTCGACCTTTCTCTTCCCCACCGTTGCCTCCGGCACCAGCAGAGAAATAGACGACATCGTAGCCGGCAAAGGCCTTGCTCAGATCCGGAACAGAAACATCTTCCAGGGAGAGCAGGAGAGGCTTTGCGGAGGTTTCGAGGATATCTTGTTGGTGTTCTGGGTTCCTGATCAGTGAGGTTACTGAATGAGATGGCGAGAGGAGCCGTGCAAGTCTCAGCGAAACCTGTTTGATATTTATCTCAACGGTTTCAAACGGCCAATCGGGCCGTGGGATATGTATCACTGGGCTCGTTCTTGATTGCAATGCATACATCTTGTAGCACCTGCACTGCCTTCCTGCTCATGTCGCATGCGCCGTGATAATCGCCCAATTCACAAAGTTTAACTGAGAGCCGATCAAGTTCAACTGCGACGATATCTGCCTCCAATGCCTTTGCATTCAGCAATGTCATGATGCTCGTTCCATGGATGATCGCATCCAAAGATGTAGTGGAAAGGTCGACTTGTCTCTCACGTGGAGCGCGCCGAGCGATCGAGGTCTTTAGGGAGTATGATCGACCCACCACGGAGCGGGACCTGCTTATTCGGCGGTCGACAGCTTGAGACAGCGACTTTGCCATCTCTTTCATCTCTTTCGCCTGATGTGCGGTAACAGGGGCCTGTGCATCTTGGGTGTCGTTGTTCTGGGAACACATACGTACTGTTTTAGTCGTGGCCTGGACACCACGTTCAGTGCGTTTCACTGATGAATGTCCGTCAGACTCTGAGGGCCCATATACGTCTATCTTTGGCAACGTCAAGGTAGATTTGTGCTTGGTTTGGGCATGAGCTGGGGGTGTCCACTTTGGGGTGGTGGTTGTAATGGTGTTGTATACTTTCTCCACAGAAACGTTTGGAAAGTTGAGGTTGAGGGTCACCTATCATCGTTCTAGTTAATGAAGCACGGCGGCCAAAAAGAAGATACGTACAGGACCTGCGATCTGGGGTAAATGACTATGGATAGATGGTGGTTTTAGCGACGTCCCTGGCTGCGGTATCACGCGACGGAGCATATCGGTCACATTGTCCAACTTCTTCGACGATTCCTTCGTTATGATCTCGGTCCGAAATGAGGCATGCACCTACAAGACCAAATTTGACAAAATTATCGCCATGTTGCATTTCTTGTAAACAGATTTCGATTCGCACCAAATAGATCTGACGACAAGATTCAAGCCGCTTCTGAATAGAATCAATCTCTCCCTTGATTTTGTCACTGTTCCACCACGCTTTGAAAGTAAGTCCCCGATGCAGCTCCATGTCCTTGCATTTCTGCAGGAGTGAATCAAGCTCACTATGACATGATGTCAGACAAAGAAGAGAGGTTGGGACAATGACCATACCTTCTCAAAACCGTAAGTTCGGAACGGAGCTCCTCGTATTGGCTTCCGCGATCATGGAGTAATTCAAACTTTTCGCGAAGATATTGGATAGGGCGTAAGATCTGCCTTTCAAATTCCTCGACTGCCTTTCTATTCTCTTTGACCTGAAAGGGCGGAGATCTCTGTGAAATCTTCCGATGAAAGAAACAATCAGATTGAAGTACTGACTTTGTCTAAAGATTCCTTGAATTTGAGGGAGAGCTGATATATACCGTGAGCCAACTTGATGACTTCCATATTCACTGATAAATGATAAGAGAAGGGGGGAGGGACGACATGAAGCTTGACCAACTCTTTTAACATCTTGAATCTATGTACCTGCGTCTAAACGTGAGGCGCGCATACTACATCCGTGTGGGGAGGTGCCATAACGGTTGGAAATTGGTTTCTGAGCGCTTAAGACCATGGACATACAGACCACATTGCCGAATTGCGACATCAACCGCTAAGAGCGGGAGGAAACTTGCCTCTTCCGGCCCAAGTTTACCATACATGAGGACTGTGTCACATACACGAGGCTGTTATAATAACCGAATTGTTGAAGGAGTGCCCACAAATAAGTCACATGGACAAGAGGAAAGCTGTTGAAGTGTTGCAGATCACATTCTTATAATTTTGAGCAGAGGCAACGCAGAGGGGAGGTCGGGGTGAACATAGAGGCCAAAACGTAAGCGCAAGCCCATGGGTGACCCCAAGGCGGTCTAAACATCTCAACGCGCCACTGAAATGTTGCACCTGCGACACTTCAATCAGGGCATCGAACCAAGAATGATATTCTGAAAAGTTGTACGTCATCAAGGAAGGATTAAACACCGAGATCCGCCAAGTCGATGGCAGTAAAATTGACCGACATTGCGTTCAACTTCGGACAGACCGAAACAACTTGCCGGAGGAAATATTTATGCCGGTTCAAGATAATATCCTGAGAAGGGAGAAGTTGTTCCGCCAAATCAACTTTCTCCAAGCTCGGGAACAGAGCCAAAAATTGCGGAAATGCCTGCACCACAGGCTCGTCTCGGTCATCCATCTTCATCCAATAGCGCGTCCGAACAGTGAGATGCGTAACCCTTGTGAGGTTCCTAATACATCCAACGACAGCGTCGGAGGGAGCCGTGGGTTTTGACAGGTGTTTCTCAAACCATTTGTGCAACCCTGGCTTTGACAGGAAGTTGAGTTGAAGATGTATTGCATCCATTTGAGAACCAAGCGCGACGGCTTCGAGGGCTTCGTCGAATTGATCATAATCGAAATCGCCAGGCTCCGATGTTATTGTGACCTCATTGAGCTCTTTCAAGTGGGCAGCTGCACTGCGGAGGAGCCATGCTATGATCTTCGGATGTGTTCCTACAGCACGCAATATGGGAAGAATGGGATTTCGAAGTGTAGGCGTCGGTGTGGGGAAATTGATTCCAGATAAATTCAAAATCATGATCGAGGGATGGCGTTCGAGAAAGGTATGAATATCCGCAAGGGCCACCCCTAATCCCCCAACTAGCTGGCGCGTCGTCACGATGTCGAACAGGCACAATGAGGGCAAGGTGAGGGTGACAAGGAGTTGGTGCCAGGTAGACGATCTGACGTCGTGGAACCTGAGGTGGGTCAAGGATCTAGCGTTGGTTTGAAGACGACTTTGGGTCCAACGAAATAGATAGGGATGAAGGAGCATTGGAGAATTGATATAGAGCGACGACAGTCGGGAGCGGCTCGGGGAATGAGAAGTTTTTGGTAGATGCATAACTCTCGAAAAAAATGACGAAATCTTCCGACTTGCTGTTGCTGATAGAGTTTTGAATTTCGAAGAAGGTCGTTCCTGCGATTCCAGCTCATCTAGATCTGCAAACAGATTGTCACCTCCGTATATCTGAAGGTCCCGGCACGACTTCTGGAGTGCTGTATCCATGAGCGCAGCAAGCTCTACGCTCCACTTCTGCATATCGAGTAAAGCACCTTGAAATCTTGAGTCGACAACGTCCTGGTATGATGGGTATAACAAGGTGAGGCGGGAAATCAGAGGCAAGCGCAGGAGCAACTTCTGCAACGTGCGAAGATCAGAAAACAATCTGCACTCCTCCGCACTGGGGTAGAAGCGAACCCTCTCCAGACTTGGGGCAAACAGAGACGTCCGAAGGGCGCTCAAACCCTCTTTAGAGGGGTCGACGATGGAAACGAGGTCAGGGCCTGTGATACGGATGCCATTTCGCGACAGGACGAGGGGAAGGGCGAAAAAATGGAACGTCTTACACGTTTGCGTGAAAGCGTAGATCGATTCATCATCAAGTGGGTTGATGATCTGCGAGAGTAGCTCGTGAGGCAGGTCTATCAATTGAGCGAGGCTTGGTGGAAACATAAGTCATTTGTTCAGACTCCGGTGGAGTATTGCACTTGCAGTGACGTGGAACAAACTAGTCTCTTTGATGTTGTCAACATTCAAGGGTCGAGCGCTGAACGTTGAGCGCTGAGAAGCACTGGCAAGTGAGGCGCTGCATGGCGGTGCCTGTCCGAACGGGTCAGCAACAGGTAAAACGCAATATGAATTTGCACCCGTCAATCACTGGCGTATTCAATGCGCACACAATAATGCGGACGACGGACGTCTCAGGGGATCCTGGCGTTTTCAGCAAGTTTTCAGTCTCAGGCTTCTACTGGTCACTGGCGTTGGAAGTTTCTAATCTTGTAGTCGTTTTGGAAAATATAGAGTGCTCTGCAGTCTCAAAACGGGGTCTCTTTTGACGGTTTTCAACACATCAACTTAGCCTAGTGGCATCTTTTTCTCTCGTCATTTAAACTGGCTCCACCAGATCGACAAGAACTATAGTATCTTGAAAGGCGCAGATCGGGGGTCTTTGAGATTCTCGTTTGCTTGCTAGGTTCGCTTCACAGGAAAAGAAAGAACAGCTCCGGACTCCAAGTGATACAGTCGTCAAATCATCGTCAAGCTGAAAATTCATGTATCTCGAAAAAAAGACAAGGTGGAAAAGAAAGGATGGATTAAAACAAGAGGACAAAAAGTCCCATCTCTCCTCCGCCCCATGCCTCTATGCGATTATTACTCCCTTTTCATTATAAAACATTTAGAAGCATTCTATCAAATAAAAGTAAGAACCAAACAAGCCCAACGAGGACGGGGGAACACATACTGCGATGAACGATACCAGGACCAGACTCGTCATACTCCTGCTTGGAACACCACAAGTTTTGGAAGGTGCTCAGGGAGGCGAGGATAGAACCACCGATCCACACAGAGTATTTCCTCTCAGGGGGAGCGACGATCTTCACCTTCATGCTGGACGGCGACAGCGCCAAGAGCTCCTTCTGCATACGGTCGGAGATACCAGGGAACATGGTGGTTCCACCAGAGAGCACGACATTACCATACAGATCACGACGGATATCGAGATCGCACTTGAAGATGGAGTTGTAGCTGAGCAAGTGAGCGTCAGGGTAAGCGAAGAGGTGCGAAAGAAAAAAGACGTTACGTTGTCTCGTGGATACCAGCGGCTTCGAGTCCGAGGAAGGCGGGCTGGAAGAGGGCTTCGGGAGCACGGAACCTATGATTAGAAGCGATTAGATATGACATCATCATGTGCTTAAACCAACTAACCGTTCGTTTCCGATGGTGATGACCTGACCATCGGGCAACTCGTAGTTCTTCTCGAGCGACGAGGATTGAGCGGCGGTCTGGAGCTCCTGCTCAAAGTCAAGGGCAACGTAGCAAAGCTTCTCCTTGATGTCCCTAACAATTTCACGCTCGGCAGTGGTGGTGAAGGGGTAGCCGCGCTCCATCAAGTTCTTGATCAGGAAATCGGTCAAATCACGACCAGCGAGGTCAAGACGGAGGATGGCGTGGGGGAGAGCGAAACCTTCGTAGATGGGCACGGTGTGGGTGACACCATCACCAGAGTCCAGCACGATACCCGTTGTACGACCAGAAGCGTAGAGGGAGAGCACGGCCTGGATGGCAACGTAGAAAGCGGGGGCATTGAAAGTCTCGAACATGATCTGGGTCATCTTTTCACGGTTAGCCTTGGGGTTAAGCGGGGCCTCAGTCAAGAGGACGGGGTGCTCCTCTGGCGCAACACGCAATTCGTTGTAGAAAGTGTGATGCCAGATCTTCTCCATGTCATCCCAGTTGGTGACGATACCGTGCTCGATGGGGTACTTCAAAGTGAGGATACCACGCTTCGATTGGGCTTCATCACTGTCCACGTAAAATATGATCAGGGGTGATCAGGCAGCTGGCAAGACATTTTTTGCTTACCCAACGTAGGAGTCCTTCTGACCCATGCCAACCATCACACCCTGGTGACGGGGACGACCGACAATAGAGCTGTGGAGTGGCTACGGATGAGCATTGGAGCCTCTTTACACTGCTGCGCAAGACTTACGGGAAAACGGCACGGGGGGCATCATCACCTGCAAAACCAAGTCAACTACCTGGCACACTACGACGAACGAACGAATTGAATTTACCAGCAACTGTAGTGACGCTCGTCAGCACAAATCAAAAGACGAAACAGTGAGGAAAACACGTACAGCCAGCCTTGCACATGCCGGAACCGTTATCAATGACCTAGGGGGGGCCTCTAAGCTTCCAGCCAGCGATGCAGCAGACAAAGGTACATACGAGCGCTGCTACTTCATCCTCCATGGTTGATTATTCGTAAAAAAAGAGGTTGAACGTAAGAAGAAGGTAAGTTGATGGTAGGCGAGATGGCTGTAAGTTGGAGCGTTTGATCGATTTATAAAGCGATTGCGCAGCACGCAGGAAATGACAAACAAACAAAAGTCAGTTGCACTGCGGGACGAACGCGCAGACGAGCTGTGGTACGTTACCTTTACGACGAGCTCGCTGTCTTCGAAGTGTTGGGCAGAGGGTAACTGTTCAAGTCTCCGATGTCACTTTTGCTTATCCGATTTGCATAAGGGCAGGCGTATGTAAATGTGCCTAATTTGGACCCCTGTCTCTGATCACCGCCAAGGGCAGTGTCGACAGCGGGAGCTGCAGCGCTGAAAGACTTGGAATGGCCTCCTTACCTCGTCTACCGAATACCAGAGGCAAGTTTTTATAATGTACAGGGATAAATGTTTTGTTACCGGGGTCTAGCGTCAAATAGCATCTAGATTTTTGCATCTGGCCAAATCCTGGGGAAACTCTCCAACGCGCTTCTCTGAAATGCCAGCTGACAAACGGACCAAAGCGCTTGGGACATAGAAAATCTCCAAGACCTAGGGTGATTGTTGAAACGTTGATCATCCATGTCATCACGACTCAGGAAGACCATCGCGCCGCGGCTGTCAAGAATTGTGGTATCTCATCGACTCCACCGTTATTACACTTGAAGGGTTCAGGTCAAGAAAGAGGTGTTGCAGTCGATGTCGGCGACGTACCTTATCATACAGGAATTACAAATACAGCTTGAGATGAGAGCGAAGAGAAAACACGAAGAGAGATCAATCAATGACTCCCAGATGATCCTCTTTTATTGTTCCAATAGCAAACTATCAGAGCGAAGGTCAGTCATGCTCTTCCAGACTTGAATAGAAAGGAGACGCACAATTTCCGTAGCGTCGACACGCGTTCCTACAATTTTTAGGCGAACGCGGGTGTTCTTTTCGATGATCTAAAACGAGACGTCATGAGTAGGCTCGGAAAATGTTGAACATCCTTGTATACCTGTTCATCTGATGCAAACGACGGAGGGTTGGAGTTCGGGTCGAATCGCATATCAGGATGAATGAGCTGGGAAGCAAAAGAAACGCTTAGGGGCATTCGCAGATACTAAAATTTCGCATGTAAAAGTTACCTGGTGCGACACGAACACCGTGAGCGGTCCCACATCCGCAAAGAAGCCCATCTACAAAACAACATGCCTCATCAGCACACCTTCCAAGCTCACAAGGTGAAAGAAGGGAAAGCACCTTATTTACATTATTCACCACCCCATCCACCACCTCCCCTTTAAACGGCTTGAACACAATCGCGCGATACCGCGTAATGAATTCCGCCTGTCCACTCCCACTGAGGACCATACCCTTCCCGATATCGAGAATCGACACCACGGCGATGATGTACCCGAATTGTCCTGAGCATGTGCCCTCTACGTCCGAGTAAAGTTTGGACTCGAGGAAGTTGAGCATCCGTGGGCCGAAGTAAGATGGGTGGAGCAGAATTGTGTGCGTCAGCTCTTTCTGTTTGTGTAGTAAAGGGTGGTTGTTAGTTATGGAATTACGGGCGGGAGAGCGTGTATGTACTCACGATAAAGAACATGACTGTTGCAGGAGGTGGATGTGGCGGAAGAGTCGCGTCGGACGATGATCAACAATGACCAACAAAAGTTAGTGCTGCACTTTGTTTGCAACCCTCATGATGTCCCCAATCTACCGCGAACGCAGTTTTCAAGTCTTCAAGCGCTTTTTGAAATAGTGGCCAGGGCCATCTGAAGTCAACTCACGAAGGGTTATCTTCACCAAATTCTGCCTCTTGCGATCGACGGGAAGGCCGTCTACCTTTTTTCATGGTTGTTGCCATCCATCACGACCATTATCCTTACTGACATCGGTTGCTTCAGAGATATAACTTCGACTGCTCGTCTCAACAATCTTCACCCAACAATCTCCCAGATATACGAGTCGGCCAAATTCGTTTCAATGAATGTATCTCTAGTCGTGGATCCAGTTGCAAGGATAATAATTTAGGTCCCTTCTGGCCCCGGGCCCCATGACGAGTACAACCTGTCACTTGTGAGGTCATTCAGTCTTTTTTTACCCCGCAGGATCATGGATACTCCGACTGGGTTGAACTATGCCCCTACTTACTAGATTTAGACCGGCTGGGTACCAGGACTAATTCTCGATGTCCCTCAAGCTTGCTCATATTTCCTGGCCCACGAACCATTTCAGTGAATATTATGAAGCTTTCTCCGAATCCAAAAACATCAACTTTGATCAACCCCTTGTTCAAACAGGTTTTATTGACTTTCTTCTCGGTAGACAGCGCGGTTTTCACCACCTCCACAAAATCCAGGGACCATTCTGTTGACTTTCAGAGTACTTATAGTACTTATCACTTACTTATCACCCAACTTTCAGCACTGGACTCGGAGGTTCAGATCCTTTACGCATAAATGTAATAGATTACGTTGAACGTAGACTTTCCTCCAGTAATTCTCGGTTCAGAGAAGCAGATGCAATGAGTATAAATGAGACGAAAAGCAATCTGAATGCAGGTCTAGAGCCTGCGAAAGCTTGACGAAAACGGTCGAGATGGCGTTTTTGAGGGTGACCCTGTCCAGCTTTCTTTCACTTTCATCGACGTTTTTTGTCGACATTCCAAGCCCCAGGCGGACTCTTCACTAGCGCTGGCATGCAGTCAAATGGCAAGGTCGAAAGCAGAAAGGCGGCAGGGGCTTTCCAAACACGGTATATTTGACTATTTTTGTCGGTGTTGACCAACGCTCACGCTGTCGGTACGCTAGGAATGGGACAACACAAACGTCGTATGCTTTGCCGCTAATGGTCTTCCTCTTCATATACTGAATCTACACCTTAGGCCACTCGGACCCGAACGCAGTGCTTCAACTGCGTTGACACGTCAGCACCAACCCAAATTCGACCACGTATCCCCATGGTTGCGCTGGGCGGTGGATCCTCGTACGTTCCCAACGCCTCTGAGTTGCTGCCATATACGAGCCTTATATCTCTTTACAGTCTCCGCACTCAAGCTTTTGGTTGTCCCTTTCGTGCTGTACGGCATCTACGAACTTTTCGCGCCTTATCTAGACTCCTCAAGCCACCAAAACCCATTCGCTTCCTTCTTCCAGATATCCGGCTATGTCGATACCTCTAAACCAGACGACCCCCGATACGCGAAATCCTACCACGACTTGATCTTTCTGGCCTACCACATCGTCTTTTTCTCCTGCGTGCGACAGTTCATCACCATTAACCTTTCCAGACCTATCGCCAAGTATTTTGGTTTGAAACGGGAATCCAAGATAGACAGGTTCGGCGAACAGATGTATGCTTTGGTGTATTTCATGGTTCTTGGAGTGTATGGTTATGTGAGTGGAATTTGTCACCGCAGTCAATGTCAGTAGTTGCTAATCGTTTGACAGTCCGTAATGACACGCCTACCGACCTATTGGTATAGAACGCAATACTTTTGGATTGGTTCGTCCTCCTAATATCTGCCTCGGATTCGTTTTAACTTGTGTTCTCGTAGACTACCCGCATTGGGACATGAACCAGGACATGAAACGGTACTACCTCATGCAATTCTCCTACTGGTGTCAGCAATTGCTCGTTTTGCTCCTCGGACTGGAGAAACCACGTAAGGATTATTCGAAACTTGTCGCTCACCACATCATCACCTTGTGGTTGGTCGGGTTAGTATCCATCTGTCTCCCATGTGAACTGGGCTCATCGTCTTTCTGTATAGAGGGAGTTATGTACTCAACTGCACGTACATGGGGAACGCGGTATTCATCAGTATGGATATACCGGACACCTTGTTTGCGGTACGTTCTTTGACTTTCATCCACTAGTCGTCTCAATCCATCATAGTTCTCCAAACTCCTGAATTACATTCAATGGGAGCGGGCCAAGATGGTGTCATTCGTCACATTCATCGCAGTTTGGACGTAGGTTCCGTTTCACAATCGTTTGGCTCCCCCTTTCATCGCTTTTCATAGATACTTCCGGCATTACCTGAACATCGTAATGCTCTGGTCGGTATTGTTCGAATCACATCTCGTCCCGTACGCATAGCGATCGTTCTCTTGCCTTAAACCTTTCATTGACCTCCTACGTTCAGTGATTTCGCGAAACAATGGAGTAGCTCCCAAGGCGTCTACATGGTGTTCTGGCTGCCACCAGTCATATTCGCATCAATGTTCTTTTTGCAGTGTCTCAACCTTTACTGGTATTATCTTATGTTGCGGATATTGATCAGGTCAGTTACCCCAGCTATGGCATACGTAATGACTTTTCTCTAACGGTGAATTGTAGGGCGATTCTTACAAGCAAGACGGAGGACGAACGATCTGAAGACGAGGATGATGGCGAGGAGGTTGAGGTCAAGAAAGAGGACTGAGAGCCGAGTGATACCCAGGTGAATATATACATTATCAACAAATAATCTGGAAGTCTAGAGAATCAGATACCCTCTATTGGACGTTGTTATTTTTGCTCTATATTTCTGGGAGCACCATTCACTAGGCCTTCCCATCAACTGGTACTGCGAAAAGAACCTTCTTGTAATACAGAGTGGGCGTAGGTAGACAACTGGCGTTGTATTTAACAACGTCAAATTCCCGAGAAGAGGTTAACGTTGAAGGCTTCCCATGGAACAAATCGATTCTATAGGTCTTCACGAGAAAAGCCGACCGATGGCCATCCAAGACGGGATGTGGAAGCCATCCTCCTCGGCTACGAAATTCCGCAACGAGAACGAGCTGTTCGAGTGGCTGCGAGTGTGTTGTGGATGTGGGCCAACCACAGAGGTGGTAGAGATAGGCATTCTACTGGGATGCATTTCGAACATCAACTACAGCCACAATACATACCGTTCAGCTGGGTTGCAGAGCTTTGAGCTTCCAGGCGAGCGTTAACATCGGCAGTCGTACCCGAAATTTCACCGTTGGTCTTCTCAGGCCAAAGCGTGTTGGGTGGGATGCATGGAAGCCTTCGGTCCGCTAGTCCCAAGGAGAATGCGGAAGGGGTGTTGAGCGATCGTCGATGAGCATTAGCAAAACGCGCCTAATTTCGAGACGGATCAAGTGCCCAGGTGGGCAGTGACTTCATTGGCGATCAGCCGTTCGGGGTTCAGTGGACGTCACCCGTCTGGGAGAGAAAGAATCTAGGCCAGATCTGGAAGACGTGCAAGTCCAGAAGGGAGGCGGGCACCATGAAATATTGGGAGAAGCAAGGCATCGTGGGATGTCCTTGCATGATCTGTCCCAGTGTCCTTGCGGGTACGGTCCTCCTGTATAATTCCGGGTACGGTCGTCCTGTATAATTCAATGGGCATACGCCGCCGAGCAGCGCCGCTTCATGCGTTCGGCTTGATCAAGGATCAGCTGGCGTTTCGGAGGCGATGGGTATTCGGTTGCTGACAGCATAGCAGCTGTATACAGAAGAAAGGTTATAACCAGAATGACCGAACTAAGAGCCAGATAGGCCCAGATATTCCTATGTTTTATGTTGTATGGAAGTTCGATCATCCCAGAGCGTTATCAGCCAGAACTTTGGAGTAAGCGCAACCCAGATACTCGAGATGGGGACATCGTCGTTCGAGGATTGGTCTAGAAGCGTTTGAACAGCGAACGGAGCTGCTGGTGCCTGACATTCGCCGGACCAAGTTGCAGATTTGGATCGCTCCTGTCGTCTGGACAGAAACACCTGATCCATTCCGGGAGCCTGCTGGAGGATCTTGTTCGATAATCAAACGTTGACTGTTGAAAATGGAGAGCCCTACCATGCCAGCTCGGAGGGAGACGGTCGGAGAACGAGTTTGACCAGAGATGACCGTGGTCGCAACTCTGAATCGAGACCACCGTGACAATCGTGCACGTTGATTTATTGAACAGGTTGCCCTCAACACTCTCTTGACATTGCAAACTATTGCGCGCGTACGGCCCATTTTGGTCATCTACTCTATTGTTATCGTTGACCAGCCAATTTTTGCAAAGGCGATTCATTTTACCATATTTTTTTTAGCTTCAACAACTTCTTTCATGAGGTTTTGCGATTCCGACGCGTTCATGTCCACAGTGAGGCTCCTTCTCCCTCCCGGATCATGGAAACAATCCGAAACATGCCTTAGAATCTTATATATAGGACTATAGATCCCCGAGCCAATGTCTGCCCGAGGCCCCCATCCGTGCATCCGTACGAAGATCATCAATCACCAACCAGCACCAACCCCACATGACTACTGTCATTTTCCAATTTACCCCATGCATCTCTGATAAGTCGGCATAGCGTTGACAAACGCTACCAGACGCTATATACCAATGCCAGAATTACGCGTCATCTTCGGTCACGACTGCCATTTTTCAATTCAACTCATGCATCTCTGATTGGTGAGCACTGGGCATAGCGTTCACGCATGTCAAACGCTACCAATGTCAGAATTACGCGTCATCTTCGGTATTTCCACACCCGGCACAAACTTAGCCGGCTCCATGTATCCTGCAATTCGAAGCAGACTTCGAGCAGCTTCGAGCACGGAGACTTTACGTGTGTGTGTAAGCGCAGCTGACATCACGGTTAGAGACTGCTTTCGTTCGCCAAGGCAACCTGTGACGGACCCTTTTTTGGATGGCAATCCCATGTGAGTCTCCATTACTGACTGTCCCTGATCCTCTATATCAAAGATGGCAAAGCTCATGATATTCTACAAAGCCCCTTTATATTGTCTTGGATCATCTCAAGTTCACTACCTTCGATTGTAGCAAGAACTTCGACTTCGCCTTCACTCACCCAAGATGCCAGTACTTGACACCCTTCCCCCAGGAGTGAAGTTCACGCTTCAGCGTCTTCCGAAAACGCTCGTCGCGCCGGCATTGGTTCTCGTGTCCGACATGGTTGCTCGAAATCATCTGGATATTTTTCTGCCAACCTGGGCAGTAATCGTTGCGGCTGCCGTGTCCTTGCCCTTAGGCTGGCTCGTGAGGGTCAAGTACGGGGATTGGGCCGACGCTAGAGACGCCGCAGCTCTTGGCGCAGTCATGCCCCCAGTCGTCTACGATCCGTGGCCGGGAAGCCTGTCTTTATTCCGCATGATTATTGATGATTTCAAGAACGGCTATGCTGGTGTGTATTGCTACGGTTTCCAATTACACAATGTTTTGACAAGTCTTTCAAGGCGATATGTTCGTCAAGACGGCTGAGGAGTACGGGAACACTTGGAACTTTAAGATCCTGTGGGAGAATAGGGTGCGGCCGCCGGATTTTTTCTCAACGATTCATTACTGAAATTATTTAGTTCTTTACGATAGAGCCTGAGTACATCAAGGCCATACTTGCTACTCAATTTGATGGGTTCGAGAAAGGTTTTACTCATGGCACTTCTCATCTCACCCTGCTGATCGATATGCAGGCCCTGTGCTGCATGAGCAGCTCAATACAATTCTCGGTACAGGTGTCTTCAACTCCGATGGTAAGCTCCCCATATCCCAGCTCCGGAAGATTTAACAATCTTTCCTCTGATCCTCTAGGCGAGATGTGGAAGTCTGTATCCTCTTCCATGGTATCCGTCCTCCAATCTAATTCTGGCTCCCAGATTCCACCGCGCGATGACCCGTCCCTTCTTTAGCAAGGATCGGATCAGCCATTTCGACATCTTCGACAGACACGCTAGCGATGCTCTTAATCAGCTGAAGACCCGTCTTCGAGAAGGTTATCCAGTGAATATTCAAGTGCGTTCTTTTGGTCTGCTTTGTGTTTTGTGCTGGGATTAACCCTCTATAACTCAGGACTTGGCTTCCCGATTTACAATGGACTCCGCCACGGAATTCCTCTTCGCCCATGACGTTCACTCTCTCGGCGCTGGTCTACCCTACCCGCACTATTCGCCCCTGGCCGAATCCTCCGAAAATCACGATCACCCTGCTAACAAGTTCTCTCGGGCCTTCGATGAAGCACAAAGAATCACCTCCTTCCGCTCTCGCCGAGGCGGCTCCTGGCCTCTGCAAGAATTTTGGTCAGACAAGGTCAAAGAGCACATGGTCGTTGTTAACAGCTTCATCACGCCCATTTTGGCTGCTGCCGTACAGAAGAAACGGGAACTTGGGGAACAAGAAAAGCCCGCTGGTGATAGGGAGGTCAGGGACGGAGAGAGCTTGTTGGATCATTTAATCAATTACACGGATGGTGCGTCTGCCTTGGTTCTCGGCGGATCGTAGTTTCGTTCCGTTTGCTTACCCTCTCGTCATAGATGAAATCGTCTTGCGTGACGAGATTCTTAATATTCTATTGGCTGGCCGCGATACTGTGCGTCGGAGTTCTGGTTTTGCACATATGCTCATTTGTATTGGCAGACTTCGAACACCATCACATACGCGATTTACATGCTTGCGGAACACCCAGATATTTTGCAAAGACTTCGCCAAGAGATCCTCGAGAAGGTCGGGGAGTCCAGACGGCCAACATTTGAAGATATGAGGGACATGAAGTATCTGCGCGCTGTTATAAATGGTAAGTAATTTCTTTCACAGTTCCAATTCAAGGTGTTCTCATCAACTCATCAACTTTGCTATCTTCTAGAAACCCTCAGGCTTTATCCGGCAGTGTGAGCCACCTTGTTCCGCTCGTAGTTGGATAAGACTGACTCAGGCTTCTAGTCCGTTTAATATCAGGTTTGATCCTCGACATCGCCTTCGAACTGACCCCTAACGCATCGGACAGAACCACCTCAAAACCCGTTGTCCTTCCTGCCAAGAACGGTGGCAAGCCTTTCTATCTCCCGGCCCACAGCAAGTTCGTTGTTATCTCTCCAACGTTATCAAGCCAGTTATATGCTGATCTGATACCCGCTAGAATGCCATACAGCGTTTTCTTGATGCATCGTCGCAAGGATCTATGGGGTCCGGATGGTCTGTTTTTTTTTGCTTGCCGAACGGCTTTGGTGCTGAAAGTATACTGCTATAGCGGATGTGTTCGATCCGGATCGGTTCCTCGATGACCGCGTTCGCAAGTACATCACGCCGAACCCCTTCATATTCCTCCCTTTCAATGCCGGCCCACGGATATGCTTGGGGCAACAGGTAGGTTCTCTCTCTCTCTCTGCTTAGGAACTCACTAACACTGATGATGTTCTTGAGTTTGCATATCATGAGACCTCATTCTTCCTGATTCGTCTATTACAGCAATTTTCATCCATCTCTCACGTTTTGGAGGCCCAACCTCCCTCCTCACGCTCACCACCGGAGTGGAAGAACGCACCGGGGACCAAGGGCACGGATAAGGTCAGGATCAAGAGCTATCTAACCATGTCCATGATGGTACGTTTTTCTCGCTCATCTGTCGTACTCTGACGTTGACGGACTTGATTTTCTGTGAAGGGAGGATGCTGGATTACGATGGAAGAAGTATGATCATTTGTTGATGATGTTGTCTAGTAACTTCCTTCCACCACGTTCCTTTCTTTAAAAAGCAGGAAACTTAATATGTTCACGGGATGTACGATATATCATAGTTTTCTGTCAGCTATCATAATTTGAAGTAAAGCGGATGCTGAAAGCACTACATACAAAGTTCACTTTCTATCGGCCAAAACTCAACCTCGAGCTGGTCCAAAGACAAATGCACTGTAGGCAATGAGCGGAGATTGGTCAACGTGGCCAAGAAACATCAGAAACCCTTGCTCCGGATTAACGGCAGACCGTGCATGTACTTGATTGCTTAGCAATCAAAGATTGTACGAGCTGGCTAATCGTCCGGCTGGCATTCCTCCAAACCGGTTGGCAACGCATCCACCGAGAACAGCTTTATCCTCGGGCACAATGTTTCAACCTCTTTCGCTAAACCATTTATCAATTGATCGACCCACAACGACTGCTCTGCGAAAATAACATCCTCCAAGCTTGGGGGAAGAGCTAGAAATGACGGAAGAATCTTGACCACTTTCTCTGAAAAAATCAGCATCAGAGAGTGATGTGAATGGATACTGAGCTGCTTGACATTCTTCAAGGTGGATAAACAACTCCTCGAATGCCCTAGGGAAACATGTTTCTGGATCCAGTTAACCACGCCGTTCCCTGTGACGAAGCGGAGGGCGAGTTTCATGACAGTTTCGGGGCGGTTCGCTAGAGTTATGAGGGCTTCGTCGAATAGATCGTAATCGAACCAGCTGAATTCCGAGCTGACCATTACAGATGGAAATGGTTGGTACACAAAGGGAGCATCGCAATTGAAGAACCACGCGATAAAACTCGGATGGGCAGTAAGGCTGGTTAACCCAGGAAGGAAGGGTGGTTTATAATGAAGGGGGGATAAGTCACAGGGAAGGGTAAGTCCGTAGAGGTGCACAGAGGCAAGTAATTTATGGCGTGCCAGGAATGCTGCCACATTGCGGAAATGCACGCCTGTAGGCTGGACCAATTGGTCGCAGATGAGCTCGAATTTGGAGAGGGCGGGAAGATTGAGTTTGGAGAAAATTGGAGTCCATGTATGTAAGGAGTTGCCGTCAACGTTGAGGCTGAGGTCGGTAAGAGTTGCAGCGCTGAGCTGGAGTCTGGATTGGGTCCAGTCAAGAAGAGGGGGCTGGAGCAGCATCTGAGAGTGGATATGAAATGTGGTAAGAACTGAGAAGGTTGGAGGTGTGAGCTGCTCGATAGATCTCTCAAGGGTCGCCTCCACATCTTCGGATTTTCGAGCGGTTGAGGGCGATTGTCGTATTGCGGGGGCGGTTGAAGATGCTGGCCTCAAGGTGTAATCCCAGGCCTTTCCAAGGATCGATAGAAACTTGTGCCATGCAAGTTGGTATAGACTCTTTGGTAAAATGTGCCCTGATTGTGGGCCACCAGTATGTGGTGATGAGCCGTCCATTTGAGATAAGCGTCCCAATAAATTTGAATATTTCAAAGAGATGTGGTTGGCACCGTACACCAACAGGCATTGGCAGGACTTGGCCAACGCAGCGTCCAACAACTCCGCAAATTCTAGCCTCCATTTTTCCACGTCGAGTTGGGCTTGATCATGATAGCGTTTCGAGTGGACCAACCAGTTGAATGAGGAATATCGCAAGGTCAGTTCCGTTATCTCAGGCATGAATTCAACCATTCGTCGCAAAGTGCGAAGGTCTGAAAGCAACCTAGTGAGATCCGCATTTGGGTAGAATGAAACACTGCGCAGATTCTGAGTGAAGAGAGACCTCCCAAACGCGCGAAATGCGGCTTTCGATGGGTTTACGAGTGAGATGTGTTCACTCGATGTGATCCTAAGACCGTTGCGTTCCAGGAAGATGGGTAACACACAGAGGTGGAGATCCTTGCAAGTCGATGCAAGGTTATAGATTGCGTCGTCAGGTAGATCATCTAGGATCACTCTAAGCAACTCGTTCGGTAAGTCAACGGGTCCTGCGAGCCTCCTGCTCTCCATTGAAACGCGGACGTGGATGAGGAATGGGTTTACGACGATAGAGGGCTGTACCGCCCTGGCTGTCGATCCGACGTCAGGCAATATATAATGCCACTGTGCTCGTCGCGTCTCCAAAAGTCCTTGTAGCTAGTCATCATGACTCGCATTGGAATTTGGCATGCTTGGTGGCCGCAGACAAGGACATTGCCAAACAAGTGTCATGATCGCCTCAACCTCATCCGGATTCCGTTCATCAACTCAAGCACCTACTCGTGCAAAGCAAATTTTGAAAACCTGGCGCGGTGCTGTATAAATGCCGCAGCGGATATCTCCATAAACGCTGGCTGGTCGCAGCGTCTTCGCTAGACATGGAAAAATATTGTCAAGCAAGGTCATATAACTGAAGAATGACTCGAAACATCCGCAGGAGCTTTGGACACAAAGCTGTCATCTTTCAACTTACAGCGACGCCACAGTTTCTCAGTTTGCGGCTCGCAGCCTGACTTTCCGTTTCATGGCACTGGGACACTGCGGATTCGCGACTATAACATCTGCGAACCACCTCTGTAACGATCGCCCCTCACAGGATAAGCTATACTCGCGTCTCTCACATTGCAGTACAAATGGAAGAAGAGATAGCAGCACTCGTACGTGATTTGGCAAATTCCTCGACGCGACGTTAACCTTGTTGCTTGTTTCTAGGTTATTGACAATGGTTCGGGCATGTGCAAGGCTGGATGTAAGTTTTTACATTCTCTCCGTATGTCTCTTCTCAGCTAACACTCGTCTTCAGTTGCTGGTAGGAATCCTTTGAAAGAGTCTCGTAAACCTGTGATAGGCTAACAAAACCGCAGGTGACGATGCACCTCGAGCCGTTTTCCCGTGAGTTCGCTGTCAAAATTTCCTTGCATTTTGTTGAACTCCACGAAGGTCTATTGTTGGACGCCCCCGTATGCAAGGAGTTATGGTTGGCATGGGTCAGAAAGAGACTTACATTGGGTATATCCTATTTGTTTCGGCATATCTTTCCTCATTACTGATACTCTTCAGTGATGAGGCTCAAGCTAAGAGAGGCATTCTTACCTTGAAGTATCCAATCGACCACGGTATCGTCACCAACTGGGACGACATGGAAAAGATTTGGCACCACACCATCTACAATGAATTGCGCGTCGCGCCTGAAGAACACCCCGTCCTTCTCACGGAGGCTCCTCTCAATCCCAGGGCCAACCGTGAAAAGATGACTCAGATCATGTTCGACACCTTCAACGTGCCAGCTGTCTATATCGCCATCCAGGCTGTCCTTTCGCTGTACGCCTCCGGTAGGACGACTGGTATCGTGTTGGATTCTGGCGACGGGGTGACCCATACCGTTCCTATCTACGAGGGTTTCTCCATGCCTCATGCTATCCAGAGAATCGATCTTGCTGGTCGGGACCTTACTGATTACTTGTGCAAGAATTTGTTGGAGCGTGGATACCCCTTTACCACAAGTGCTGAGAAAGAGGTCGTCAGGGATATCAAGGAGAAACTCTGCTATGTTGCGCTTGATTTTGAGAAGGAGCTGTACACTGCAGCTAAATCTTCCTCTTTGGAGAAGAATTACGAGTTGCCTGATGGTCAAGTTATCACCGTCGGAAACGAGAGGTAAGCCCTTTCATGTCGATTATCTTCTAAGTAGCTTACGGCTTGGCGAAGGTTCCGCACAGCGGAGGCCTTGTTTCAGCCTGCTCTCGTCGGTCTTGAAAGCGCTGGCATTCACGAGACAACGTAACATCCTCTTTCTACTCCTTGACGCACGCGCTGATGGCTCTCACTTTCAGCTACAACTCTATCTTCAAGTGCGACCTCGACATCCGCCGTGATCTTTTCGGTAACGTCGTCCTTTCTGGAGGCACCACTATGTTCCCTGGCATCTCCGACCGCATGCAGAAGGAGCTTTCGGCTCAAGCACCTGCCAGCATGAAGGTTCGTTCCTTCTCCGTCGTTTCTTGGTTATCAGGTTGATTTCGCATGATCCACTTAGGTCAAGATCGTCGCACCTCCTGAGCGCAAGTACTCTGTCTGGATCGGAGGTTCGATCTTGGCCTCCCTCAGCACCTTCCAGAGCATGTGGTGCACCAAGGAAGAGTACGATGAGGCCGGTTCCTCTATCGTTCATCGCAGTACGTGATGCCGCTATGGTGTTGCTCAAAGTTACTGATAGCTTTTTTCTGTAGAGTTCATTTGAATACTTACTTATTATCGTTGTCATTCAAAGTTGACGTTGCCTGGTAGGCTGGTGTTGTGTACACATTCAACTCATGTTCGCCCTGTTTGTACAATGTCGAATGGAACTGCCCATTATCATGCTAAGTTACAAGATCGTGGATAGACGAACGACACTCACAAGTGTCATTCATCGCAGCAAGGAACTATCGATGAGTGTAGAAATGGTACAGACTGAAAGGCTTTTCGTAGTATTTATGCAAATGATCGTTAATTTTGATCAACTGAACCAAAACTGAACTGCGACTTCCACCACATCGACAATTGGAACACAGTCGTTCTCGTGATGTTTCAAAAGTTCTTGAGAGCAGAACAAAAGGACTACAAGATCAAGGACCCATCGAGAACCCACAGTGTGCTTAGCGAAGACCAGAACCCAAGGACCAGGATATAACAATGATGCAACAGGCCTCAACGACGGTTGAGCCCAGCTTGCGCCGCCTTCCACCTTTCCAATGCGCCCGAAGCTTCCCTCGTTTATATCTCGTTTAATCTGTCGGCGAAATGGTGAGTCGAGGCAGCCGCAAGGAAATTTTTGGGCGCTTAGATATCGACACGTACCGTTGATAGGATGCCATCCACCAACGCCTCACAATGGGCTCAACTCACGTGGAGCGCCTGCATAGCTACTTGAAGAAGGGTCAATCGCCCGTATAAGCATGAAGGACTCAACGTCTATCATTCGAAGCAGCTCCTCGTTGCAGGGAGTCAGGCGCCCGTTCTGAAAACGGAAATCTAGTGGTTGCTTGCCATTCAATGCCGCAAACGAACCCTTACACGATGGTGGATCCCATCCAGATGAACAACATGCGCGAGATCGCTTTTGCACCCACTGCCTCTGGAGTACTTCTCTACGGTTGATGGCTATATAGTCGGCTGTCGCGCAACAACCATGGCTGGCATCTCTCCTCACACCGCATTTCTTTCTTACGACTTGAAACTGTTTCCCAAGCATGTGTCTTACAATGTATGTGCCCAATATACTGATTTCGCTACTGCGCTTACTGATTACCGTACTCAGCGACGTTAAAGCGATCTACGGGGTGTCTTCAGTTCAGGAGAATTTGGAGCCTTCAATCAAGAGTACGGTGTCGTAAGTCTCTTTTACATTCGGTTCATCATTCCGCCCAATATTCTGGTAGCGTCAAGATTCCGGGAAGAGCAAAACCCATTGAGGTGGAAGAGGCAGTACCTGTCGAAGTTGAAGCGACACCTGCCGATGAATCTGCGCCTCAGCTGAAGTAAGTGGATCGTTAGGATCCTACGCTCGAGTGATTGATTCGCATCATAGCAACGTCTCATCGTTTGGTAGAGGGAATGTGGAAACAACAAAGTCTAACGTAGAGTTTACCATACTGCTTGTTGGTGCGTTCATCTGTTGTAGCGCTTTTGATATGCGGCTCAAACTGCAACAGGCGAAACTGGAACAGGCAAAACGTCATTTTTATCGTTGCTTGTAAACGTGTTGGCGGGTCGCGCCCCCGATGAATACGATTTAGAGCCGTACGATGTAACGAACGAATCCGGCACTGGGCAAATGCACAGTCAAACGAACGCTGCCAAAATCTACAAGTTCAAAAGCATGAACGGTGTACAGGTCACCGTGCTTGACACCCCTGGTCTCGCCGACACACGCGGACTCGAGAAGGACAACGAACACAAACAGAGTATTACTACCGCTATCAGAGACAGTATACCAGAAGTCACAGCGGTGATCATCCTCGCCAACGGCACCAATCCACGCCTCGGCGTTGCCACCGACTACGCAATTACCACACTCTCCTCCATCTTCCCTCGTACTCTCGCGGATAATATCGGCCTGCTCTTCACGAACATCTCCAGCCCTCTCGATTGGAACTTTGAAGTCGAAACGCTTCCTGTAGAGTTGCAGGGAGTGAAGACCTTCCTTCTCGACAACCCTCTCGCTCGTCACAAAAAGTTCTTGAAGATTAAAGAGAAGGCTGAGGCGCAAGGTTCAGTCACCAGCGCTAATCAAGCAGTCTTGCGAAAGTTGAAGAAAGCAGTCGACGAAGGTCATGAAACGGCTTTGTGCACGCTTGCCGAGATATTCGATTGGCTCGACGGACTCGTTCCTCAAGCGACGACCGAAATTGCGTTACTCTACGACCAGTCGATGGAAATTGAGAGAAACATCAGCAGTACGCTGGCCCGTATGACGCAGCTCGTGGAGAAAAAGGAGAAGTTAGATGAACTTCTCAACAAATCCGACGGAATGTTATTGGTGAGTCAGGCTATTCATTCGCCATTCGTTACATTCCACTCACAGTCTTGTATGCAGACCGTCAACGAGATGGCAAACTTCAAGAGTGTCATCAATAAGAAAACGTGGATTCTTCAGGATCGACCGTTCCATAGCACTCTTTGTGTTTACCCGCAGTGTTACTCCAATTGTCATGTCAAGTGCCACCTTGATTTCACTCTCGACCCCATGAAATTAAGCCGCTGTTGGGCCTTTCCGTCCCAAGGTGCCTGTCAAGTTTGCAACCACTCCATCCAGGCCCATCAACATTACAACTCTCTCTGGTTCGAAAAGCACGAAACTGAGGACTACGTTGACGCCCGAAGAAAACGGCGTTACGACGAGGCGACGAAGATGTTCAAAAGTACTCAAGTTTCGATCAAGGACGTTCGGAGTTTCATTGACATCATAGGGAAAGAGATGGCGGATGCAACTGAGGAGATCGGTCGCCTCGCAGAGGAGTACGCCAAGCTGTCGCTCTCTGGAAGCTTTTCTGGCCAGGTCAAGAAATCCGTCAAGGTTCTCGAGACGCATCTGGAAGCCATTCGCAACAAGACGGACGACGCGAGTGTCAAGCGCATGGAGGCCAGCTTGGAACAGCTTCGGGGGAAGCTCAGGGTGCTTGAGGTTGCGGCGGATGTAACGCAGAAGAAGATTTCAAAACCTACCATCCTCGAGCGGTTGGGCAGGCGGGCTGTCCATGTCGCGGAAATTATGATTGGCATATCGTGAGTGCGCGTCCTGTCAGACTTTCGCATCCTTTAACGGTAACCGGGTGTCGCTCAGGGGTTCCTCTTAAAGCTTACACATACCCCTCCGGTTATACATTATCTTGTTTCCGCGCATTGTGTATTTGTTATATGTGTAGATCGGAAAGCTGGGTAGAATAATTAACAATTTCACCGATCGTGCCTAATGGTATTTCGCGCGATCGACGATCACGGTTTTCACACCTTGTGAACATTGAGTGAATGATAACTTCGAGAAATTAGAATGATGTACGCATTCAGGCGAACAGAGTGATTCACCAATCTCCACTTCAGAACTATCTTTTTTCAGCGTGACCTATGTAATCCCAGGATCAAAAATATCAGTCAGCAAGTCACAGCAGCTTTTCCTCTAGCACCCTGTTCAATATTGGTTTAATATCTGTCCCGCAACCCAACTATTACTGTTGGTTACCTCGAAAGATAAATGACGACCTTCTCTTGTCTCTATGGCTTGCTCTATGGGCTAGTTTTGACACGGCAATTATCGGATCCGGCTCTGCGCTCTCCGTGCAGTGGGCGCCGAGGGGCGCTGATCATGATTGACCGAAGGTTCTCGAGTACGAAACTGCGCTAATAAGACCGTTGGCATTAACGTTCACAAGTTTTAGCCTACTCGGCCGGAAAGCTTCTCAACGACTCTTTCAAGTCAAGTGAACATCCTCAGACTGCTTACGATTTGACTTTTGCTCTTCCCTCGGTGCTGGAACGATTTCTGGATCCAATTGTCTCGCCCAAAGGTAAGCGGATGGCATACTTATAAATATGGGCACCTAACATCCGGTTGTTGACCGTTTTTAGCCATGAGATCTGAGAGTTGAAATTCTTAGCAGCAGAGAAAGGGCTAGAAAGGGGAGGTTGTGCCGTTCTGTCAATATCAAGACGGCACGTCGTGTGCGCGAGGTTTCTAACTCCAAGCTACTCCAGGCTACTCCCGATCCAAGGGTTACGTGGCTTGATTCCCGACATTTGGATTCCGGAGGCAATTCGAAATGCGCGATATACACGACAATCTTAGCTCAGCTGTGCATTCATGACAGCAGAAGGAGATAGCAGGCCTAGTAGGGACTTCGGCTGACTTATACTTACTTGGGAGGTTTCTTATAACCGGCGCTGTCGAATCGCGATGTATGTGAAATTCACCTCTCAAATGATCCGTCAGATGGTATGTGGTTTTAATAGAAATGTTTTAATTCGAGGATACATTTGAATTTTGATCAGGGGATGTGCGGTAAAGACTATACCCAGGAACGAGACCAACCTTGCCATTGGAGTCGAGTTCCTTCATGTCCTGCAACCTCCTATGCGGCCACCCTTCACTTAAAGACCGATATTGAAGACATTTTACGGCTTTCCAGTGCAAGGATGGTGCAGGTAACTGTGGGGAATACTGTCGGCGCTCTCCAAATCGCGATTACTGTTGCTACGTTGCTCTTCGGGTTTGTCACTATGCAATGTTTTCAATACATGAAACGTTATCCAGACGATCCGGCTATCTTGAAAACGATGGTGAGAGATTTGCTGCTATAGTTTGAGGTGGTCGCTCATCTCACCCATAGGTTGCTTTGAATTGGTATGCTTTTCGTGCTACCCTCGTGAAAAATACGCGCTAAGGCAGAAACACTTAGGCTTATGGAGCTTGGACAATCAATCGGCGTGTCCTATGAAATGTACATGGTGACGGTCGAAGGGCGCAAATCGACTCGTTTCGTCGGCCTCGGAGTTGCAGTGATTCTCGGAGGGTTGATTACGGCGATTGTGCAGGTGCGTCTGACCTGATTAAAATCGTTTCAGGGTGCACAAGGCTAATGGCAGTTAAATATATAGAGCTTCTTTTCCTGGCGCCTCTACAAGCTACTTCCCCAACCATTCAGCTACATCGGCATTCTTTGCATCGTGATTTCAAATCTTCGATGCGTTGCAGCTTTCATATTTAGTCAGCGAGTCATTACCCAAACCGTTGGGGAGTGGAGAACAGACTCTTTTGGCTTGGTCACGGTGTTGTTGTCGTCTGGTGCCGTAATTGACGTCATCGTTGCGGTTACTTTAGTATCGTTTTTATTGAAAAAACGGCGAAAGGCTTTTTCAAGGTGCGGCCCTAGTCGTTGGCATTTAACTCGTATTCAAGGACGTCATTGTATAGGGCTGCAGGATTCATTGAGCGAATTGCAGCCTTTACAATCCGTATGTGACCTTCAGAGTTGGTTATCACAGACGACATTAACCTTTTCAAAGGAACTGGCCTTCTCACCAGGTAAGGGCTTATTATCCCATTCAAGCTTGCCAGAAACTGATAGAATGGACAGTATCACGGCAACCTCTGTACTTGTTTGCGTGAGTACCTAACTCTTTCAAGGTTAAAATTTTCACCTTCATCATCGCTCGACAGTACCTTACTATGAGGGAGACATGTGAGGCTACTTCTCGAAGTCAATTGATTTCCTTTTTCTGATATTATTTTGCAGACGTTTGGGTCGCCATATACACAGTCCTTGCGAAATGTGCGTTCCTTCGCGTGGCTCTCGTCAACCATAATACTTATTTCACTTCGAAAAGTGTACTCCAATTCTTTCCTTTCAGCGTATGATTTTACGATGCTTTCTTGAGACCACGATTAACAAGATCCTAGACTGAATGGACGTCAATCATCATCAGTAGATAGCGGAAACCACTCCTCTTCGCTCACACAACGAGTGGGTGTAACAAAACAACCTAATGTTGATTCTGATATTTCTTGCCTCGTCGTTATTACTCATCTGTTTGCTTCTAGCCCCGTCCAAATCAAATGATTACAATCGAGATGACTTCAGTCGTCAACTCCGATAAGGACCAAAAGGGTACTCCGCAAGATAGTCACGAATGGGAAGACGTTAAATACCAGGTCGGTATTCCCTCTTTTGTGTTGGTTTTTACCGGGTTTATATTGAACTCAGGTTCCTACTACCCAACTAACGCCGCCACTGTCCTCTGCGGTTTGATTGATTGCGGAAAAACCACAATTTTTGTAACGACTACCCCCTGCTTGATGCTTCACCTCTTATATCCAGGCTCCATATGGTTCATACTACTTTTATGCTCAAACTGCTGGTTGGATGGCGTAACGTTTGGCTTCATTATTCCACAAATCAATACTTACATATTTAAACGAACAAAGGACTAGTATTTATGTAAATTATCTGCGTTTCTAGGATTCTAGTAAACAACTACTTAGTAACAAAGCTTTCAAATTCGTTCAAGAAAACGACAGGATAACAGACGATTTCGCTGACATTTGCAGTAAATCACAAGTTGGAACCTCCAGCGAAAAAAATAGATATGTGGCCCCTCTGTGGCGGTTTAGATCATCGCAGCAGTGGCTGAATTTCGCGGCTTGAATGCACAAGGGAATGGGACCAAACATTCGACGCGTTTGATCACGTGTAAACGCGATACAGGTCACATGTCACTCTCCTCCTGATGCCCTCTTCATTTTCTACTTACAGCTCGAAATGCGGAGATACAATGATTCAACCAATGACCTTGGTTCGTTCCTCAACTTTCTCCGTTACCCTTTTCCCACTATCCCTTAGTCTCATCCGGCGCGAGGACATCCTCGTCTCAGACTCCCATCTCAACACCACCGCATCAGTCTTCAGCACAAACGCAACAAGTTCTCTCCCAATATCTAAAGCTGGCGTCTGGATACAACTTCAAGTCTGGTAACTACACTACCGCTCGGTCCAGGACAATCCATTTGACATGAACTGCCTATCCCCGAGGCCCATGCTGAATACCACAAGGTGTCACAGCGATTACATCTAATGTCCCACACCACTAGGAAGGTATCAGCAGGTCGTCCATTTGAAGATCTCAACCCGACATCCGGCCCTAAAATTGCCCCAAGAAGGCAAATACTCTCGTACTGGCGTTGCGCTAACATTTAGTGTCGCTCGTCTCCGCTGACGACGATCATTTTCACAATCTAGAAGACTTGAACCTTCAAAGTTCAGACCCCAAAGTGTTTGTTGATGGTTAAAGTTCTTGTAAGTTACGTCTGTATACATCTGGCATAGTGCTAAACTTGTATTGTTTTTCTTGAGTTACCGCCAGTCTCATCTTGCCACAATCCAACGAAAGAATTGCGCGACATTCATACCACAGAAATTACTTAGTGATCACAACCGCTGCCGCTGCTGCCTTGTTGGCGCCCTTCCCCTCCAGATACCGCTCGAGACCCGCCCGTGCAGATTTGGAGGTGTCACTACTATCCTTAATGTCGAGCTTCAACTTGTGACTTTGACAGTACCCCAAAAGGAACCCAATGTCGAAACTGTCCGACACTGACTTGGCTCCTTTCCTCTCTTCATGCGTGACCAATTTCTCCCTCAAGAGCAAAGGCGGAGCCACAACAGACACATGCGCGCCTCCCCCCACGTTCTGCACCACATGACCATTGGGCGTCAAGAACTCGGTGTATTGGGGGCGGTTGGGCCAGGACTTGGGATCAAACGCCTCAATTTCTGTCCCATCCAAAGTGAACGTCGGTTCACCAAAGGATCCATGCCCAATTTTGAAACCCGCGTCGGTTTTGGCTAGGGTCTGGAGGGCTTTGTCGATGTCCTCGCCCTTATTGGACCGGAGGACGAGATCCACGTCTTCGGTTGCTCGGGTGCTGCCCAACGCGACGCAGGCGGCTCCTCCGAGCACAGCGTATGCGATGCCCGCTTTTTCACAGTGCCCCGCTAGTTTTCCCAAAAATTGTGGGGTTATTGGTTTACCGGCGGGATCTGTGGGTCGACGTTAGGCATTAGCTTGGATGAGCGGTCTGTATACGCACGACTCATGGCTGTTGCGCTGAAGGTAGGTTTGAAGGTATTGAGTTATCTGAGAACTGGAACTGATGAAGCTTTCAACCATCCAGCCGCCTTAAGTACCTCTATGTTCGCCGACTTACGATGACGTACGAAAACATACGAAGAAGCGAATGTTGGAGCTGAATTGTTCATCAAGTCTCCGTCTGTCAAGGGATGAGTGCACGCCCGTTGGGCCGCCGAACCTATTTCGAGGTTGCGGCCCACATGGATGCACTGGACCGTCAGCCATGGCAAAAAAAAGACAAGAAATTTTGTCAAGTGGATTTACGCTGGCCGCGTAAAAATACTCAGCGCTACGGGTAGCCAGGATGAGGAGAAGTCAGAATTCACTTCGCGTCGCGTAAGGTCACCTGGGCACGAAATCTATTTTCAACATGCGACAGGCATCTCTCCGAGTCCGTCGGGAAATTGCACCATATCTCCACCCAGTGTCATCTGCTCTTCTACTTGCTCAGACAAGTTCGAAGTGCCGTGAACCGCTCAGCCCAAAGATAGATGTGATGTTAGAGGGGCGCCGAATCAAAGGAATCAAGCTTCGACTCCATGCGCAGTCTGTCTCTGAGGAACGCGCACGACTGATGATCTTTTGTGTCTGAGGAATGGAACTGCTTTCCACTTACAGAATCATTTTTGAGTAGGATCCATCCGGTGGATGGAGTTTCCGTCTGTCAAAGATCAGCGCGCAACTGGCCGCTCGCTAGTACGAAAGAAAAGGGCAAAAAAAAGAATGTTCATCGCTTACTCTTGTTATAGGAGTGGGTACAAGTCTAAAAATGAGTAGGTCTTTGCAATTGCAACGGTCGCGAGCTACGCGCGTTGGGCTATGTCACCATATGAGTAGTTCAGGACTTTCAAATCAAACCAGTACCCTGTCGACGTTACTCTTCTTGCTTGAAAGAAAGTTTTTGGGGCTTGTTCGACGTAGAATATATATTTTCCTTTGAACGAATCATCCCATGACAGACCTGCCAATTCGCAGTGCTACTCTTCGAACCTTATATTTAGGAAGACGCACGAGACTAAAATCAAAGAAGGACGCGTTGGAGCTGTTCAGAGCACGGAGACTCGTCGGAAGGCCGTCCGTCCTAGATACGGTAAATTCCTGCCAGATTTTTTTTCCCTGCAAAGTTGGGAGTTTGAGCGAAGCAGCGGCCAAGAATAGTGTCGCGGAGGGCTACTTTATATGTAAAGGTCTAGCAGCGCATTCGTTTTCTCGAAATCCTTCCAGAGAGACGGTTCTCCGGCATGCCATACTGCTTCCCTGCCAGTGGAGAAAATGACGCTCGCGTTGCCGCCGCCACGTGGTTGCATGAGGGGTGTCCTTCGTCGTGCCAGCCGGGCCCATTTTCAGTCACGACATGCCGTGGCGCTTTTCAGCAGAACATGACCCTTGCTTTCAGTAGGCTTGGATAAGGCTGCAGCTTCCAGAAAGATGCCTACTTCCAAACCTCAGCAGCCCAGAATAGGTGTCATGCCGCGCTTCCTGAAACGGGGGGCTCGCTTTTTCAAGTTTTCAGAGCACTATGAAGGTGGACTTCAACATGAAGGTCAACTTGGGCCCGTGAGCCAAATTTGAAACCGCAACTCTGCAATTTGGAGGCAAACAAGTTCGCGATAGTCTACTTCCAGATTAGCAGGCATCGCTTAGACATTCGAAATCGTACCTGTTTGCTTCCCAAGAAATTTAAGAATGAACGAGAGGTGAGAAGACACGACTCCGAGCAAGGCGGACTTCGAAAATCGCGCATGTTCTGCCACTCACGTTCAAATGTAGTAGACAGCGCTCTTCAATTTCTATGATCCAACCCGATATCCAAACCGTCAACAAAATCCTGCACGAAGCAGGCGTCCCTGTAATTTTATGGGGAGAGCACGCAATGAAGGAGTACAACATCCCAACCATGATCTTAGTGCGCCCCCTCCTTCACCTTCCTGCCTCCCATAGCTTTTCCTTACCCCCAAACTCGTTCACATAGCGCGAAGACGTCCTTGTTCCAGACTCTCACCTCGACACCGCCGCATCCGCCCTCCTCGCCAACGGCTGGACAAACTCAACGGGCCCACTCCCAATAGCCCGAGCGGGTTTCTGGATGCCCGGTTGGGAGGTCGTTGCGGCCGCTTGTCGTAGATTCCACTACCCCGGGCGCCAAGACGACCCATTCGCCAACGAACTTCTTATCCTGCCTACATCTTTCGTCGGGCTCGGTGCTGAGCCGGTTTTGGACAAGACAGAGGAATTTACATGCCACGACGAGAACATATATTGTCCCTCGTCCGAATTAATGCTCACGACGATTATACGTACGATCTTGAGGCACCCAGATGCGGAGAGCGTGTTGTCGTTGATGAGGGCGTGGATGTCGTATTTTCAGTTGTATGCTGGGTTTGATGAGGCTTCGTTGGATGGCAGTGCGGATGATGAGGTGAGGGAGTTTTGGCAGGCGGAGGTGAAAAAGATGAAAGATACCTGATTTGGGTTTTGGAAGGTTGGTCGTACGCATGTGAGTCCTTATAGTAGCGTTTATTTCTCGAGCTTACCAACATGTCGGCAGTTTATACCTTTACAGTCCATGTATGCGCAGTGTACATATTATAGGAATTTTTATTGCGGCTTTAAGATGTCATCGCGGATCGCCAGCTGACATTCGGCATTGCATATATGCGGGCAATGAGGAGAGAACGAGCGAGCAACCCGAAGCACAAACCCTCGCATGGACGTACTCGACTGCAAGTAAGTACGTGGGTTAGCTATCTTTATACGAATATCATCTTAAGGGCTGACCAGGCGCTTTCTTCGGTTCAATCCTCATGAAAAGCATACCGCATACACGTTACGATCGGTTACTCCAAGTTTGTTGTATGTATGCGGGTATGGACTCTATGACGTTGAAGGTAACTACCTGCTCAACGTTGTGTATCGTGGCCTTTTATTGATTGAGCCTCCATCAAGCTCCATCTCTAGTAACGACCAGAGTACAACCTCACACGAACAACAGGAGTGTATGCGCGTGAAACTCTTCTGACTGCGAGTCCATCTGTTCTGCATCATCAGTAAAATCGAAACACAACTTGACACGTGCATCAGGACTTTGCACTTGCCTCGAAGCACCCACCAGGAGCTGGGACGAAAGCCATGCGGTTCTGCGCCCGCGGGCAGCAGCACTATAACCAGGCAATACCTTGAGTTACCCAATTCAAGGTTACCACAGCACCACACCTCGACGACCGTAGCGTAATGCACATGCAAACCGACCCAGTAGCTGCCGAGTCTAGATTCTTGAGCATGTACATGTCCAATGGCCATCCAGAGACTTTGATCGCCTACGCGAAATGGTACGGGAAAGTGAAGGAGGGGATATCCAGTGCGGAGATGATGGCGATCGACTCCAAGGTAAGTGAATCCTATATGGCAGTTTAAAATAACTTGAACCAACTGGGGAATTGTAAACTATGTAGAGCATGACGCTGACGTGTACGCTCGAGTCTGGATCCAAAAAAGAGGTTCGGGTAGCGCTTAACCCGCCTCTGTCGGGATACGATCAAGTCACGTCCCGACTCATCGAAATGAAGGCTATATCACAGGAGGGCCTCGGGATGGTCAGTCCGTCTAGTAGATTTTTCAAACGTGTGAACTCACCCTCGCCTATTCACCCACTCAGATCGAGGTCCCGAAAATCACCACATTCAAACTCGGAGTGCCCAAAGGCAGTAGTATCGCGGTGACCGTTGGGATTACTTTCCTTGTGGCCTTTACGTGGTACATCTTCTTGGCACCCATAAACTCGGCCTGTCCATTTTTCCTCCCTGCGAATATCGTCCGGTCGTACCTTGGCTTGCGCGCTGTGGAACTCGGAATGGGGTTCATCGTTCTTTGTCATTTTTTGGAGAGCTTGTATACGTTTTCGTTATGTCGGAAACATTGTACGGGTTTTTTTGTTGGCGTACGTCTTTTTTTTTTTCGTTTTGTGCAGTGGCTCACTTGCTCTTTTCGCTCGTGTTTAACAGGCACAATATGTCATTGCGACGATCGTAGTGGGTTATCTCAGCTGGATTAGTCTTAGAGAACATATCCGAATCGCAAGAATTGGTTCTGTGATGAAAATGGAGTAGGCGAGTTTGTTTGTGTGGTACCCCTTAGCCTTCTGCTATTAGCCTGTAGTGCTTTTTTCGTCGAAAGGTTTTTCAATCTATCCAACATTGACATCCTCGCTTGCCGCATGGCGAACTACGGTGCTGATCATCATCAACGAGCCAACAATGTACCTATTTCAGTGTGCGTGAAATTTATGAGAATGCCTATGGAATTCATAGCGAGTTGCAGCAGCTTTGGATCCAGGATTGGGTGATCTCCCAGCGACAACGAAGGCAAGGAGATATTTTGTCGACAGATGGTTGTGGTTGAGAATGTCTTATCACTTGGGGAGCAAATGGTCGCGTTCGGCATGTCACCCTCGAAATCAAAAACCCATCCTTATACCTTTACCTTTTCTGATCGTCCAAAATACTGCTGGAGAGTACCTTGGTGATCATGACGACTAGGTGCACATGCGGAACGGCGTCGGCGACTACCTGCTAACGCGGTTCGACTCCCAATCCGTTGCCGACAAGCTTTTGAGAAATCGTAGGCCATCGGGACTTATCCTTCGTGTGGCGCCGCTCTGTCGCATTTCCTCAAAATATAGCGACATACAGGTTGAATTGGTAGAAAATTCAAAAGAGTGATATTCACACGTGATCGGACGCGACCCTCAAATCTAAAAATAGCTTTCTTACTCCTCTCTTCTGCTCGTACCATGACTCGGAAGTCGTGTGACTAGTTTCAGGCTCATGTCATGGTCCGTGCGCTTCCACAAAATCATATATAAGGTCCCCGCCAGCCTCCTTACATCTTCACCACTCTGGCCTTATTGGCTTAGATCAAGTGTAGTATCTGTTCTTGATAGTTTAACCGCTATTATGGAGGCTTAACCTCTACCTGGTTATCCTATTTTTGCTGCCTCGGTTCCTTGGGCTCTGCTTGCACCCCTTGGATGTGATGACCTTGCTGCTGCAGAATTGGCTAGCGTCGTCGGAGGATTTTGATCCTTTTTCTTTGCGTGTTCTCTTAAATCTTTGCTGGAAGTTTCAACTGCCCATAAAATTTATGGAGCAGCGGATTTCAGCAAACAGATCATCGCGGTGGTCATTCCACCTAGCCAATTAGACTACATAGTTTCAGTCCGCTCAACTACCCACAGGCGCTGCCTTCTCGACCCTTCCTGCTTGTTGTGTATGGAGAAAGCGGGTCAAGAAGTTTGGGGGACCCGAAGAGTTTAACCCCACCTTTATTCTTATTAGCGTGAGGCAGCTTTTTGGATCAGTAGATATCGTTTGTTGAACCCATATGGTCTGGCATTCCTATAACTGCAGGCCAATATGATCTTGATTCATTTTGGTGTTGGCTCTCTCATACTCCGACCGCCTTCTCTGACTTCTCGCAAAGAAATCTCTCAACCTGCCATTCGTTCTTCACACTGCATTTAGGAATCGGCTCCTGCGAACGTCCACGCGCTAAGGAAAAGTTGAGGAAAAGGTCCCAGCGACAGCGAATATGCAGGCATCAAACCATGACAGTCTTCATCGCAACTGTACTAATAACAATGTTATCCACAATAGCGCGTTCACTACTTATGTTCCCTTTTGTTTCTTGTACCGCCACCTCCCCATTAAGTTTATGATACTGGGTGACATGAATAGGACGTCAAAGGTATATCAATGGATCGCACCTTCTTGATTGAAGACCAATCAGTGATATCCTTCACTTCAGCAAAAGGAACTATTTTCCCCAGAACAACAACTTCCATGAGTTCCTGGATTTTCGCGGAATCGAGGTTTGCTTCGCCGACTCTCACGACGATGAGATCCGTTGTGGTGTCGGAAACGCCATACCGTCGCAAGGCTTCAGTAATCTGCGATGCGAAAGGCTCAGCCTGGGAGACGTAAATTGAACAATGAAAACTCACATTATTAGTCGGGTTGAGAGCCCACAAAATTTCGGAATGCACAGATTTCGTTCTAATTGCTCCCTGCGAGTCAGCCAGTATAGCCTGAGAAATCGCGGTTTGTAGGTGTAGTCGACCCGTTATCTAGGACCATTCAGGTTGAACATCACAGGCAAGAGCCATGTATATGATAGGCGACGGACAAGACGAGCATCGATGAATGCAAAATTCACTGCTTCTCGTTCTTGATCGCCGGCAGCGCCTTCAATCGTCGCCGCTGCGATAATACGTTTTCTCAACGACTGAGAGTTCTTGACGTCTCTGAAGAGCGCGAAGTGGGCCACAGATTGGCTGCTGTGATGGTGGGGGAAATGAAAGAAATCCATATCCCCGCAGGGGGTCACATGCCAAATTTGACACATCGTGGTCAGACGTGTCACCGAGGCGTCTCAACCCTTACCGCACGACATTGGACAAACGGCAACGATGCTTCTCCTTTCAGTGATTCGAGACTTGCCAGTCTCGGTCCTCGTCACATCCTTCGCGCTCGCTTCGTTAGCTCTTCCTACCGTGCGGACCGCTGAACTCACGCCAAACACTTTCAAAGAGTCGACGGCGAACGGACTATGGTTCGTTGAGCATTTTTCGCCTCATTGCAGTCACTGCCGCAACTTCGCACCGACATGGGAGAAGCTGGTCGTTGATATGGAGAAGGAAACGCCGAGTGTGAACCTTGCACAGGTTAATTGCTTGCTTTACGGAGGTGCGCAATCGTTGGCGCCGAATTATGTTCCATGATCTGAACGGCGGCGATAGACCTTTGCGACCAGAATGGCGTCAAAGGGTATCCTACGATATTCATGTACGACGCGGGCAAACAAATTGAGGAATATAACGGCAATCGAGACCTGGACGACCTCAAGACGTTCATTAAACGATTCGTCAAAGAGACGCCACCAGTATCGAAACCACCCACTGTCGTCCGACCACCCGCAGCGGCTGCGCCTAAACCTAAAACACCCTTAAACGTTGACGGCGAGGTCTTGGGACTATCCGACGAGATCTTCTCGTCCACACTTGATCAAGGACCTGCCTTTGTGAAATTCTTCGCACCTTGGTGTGGGCACTGCAAAAAGCTTGCGCCGCTGTGGAAGAAGCTGGCGAGGCATATGAAGGACAAGGTCACTATTGCCGAGGTTAACTGTGACGACCATAGCGCCCTATGCAAGTCCCAAGACATCAAAGGTTACCCGACCCTCATATTCTTTTCTAATGGTGGTCGGTCAGAATACAATGGAGGCCGAAAACTGGATCAGCTAAAAGAATTCACTGAGAAGGCTTCCGAAGAGTATGCCTCATCCTCCCCGTTTCAATTTCTCGTCCTGACCATCATTTAAGTGTCGTGCAACCACTCGAGAAACCTACAGATCTCGAGGCCCATGTCGCTAAAGACAAGGTAGTCTACCTCCTCCTCCACTCAGAACTCGACACCGGAATTCTTGTACGTGGACATCATTTCTTTCTACGCCTAAGCTGAAACCTCACCAGGATAAAATCCGCAAGGATGCGGCTGTGCTCCTTGGCACACCAACAATCTACAGTTCCTCATCGCCAGACCTCCTCCTTGGATATAACATTCCCTCCTCAGTCTCCTGGTCACTCGTCGCTCTCAAAGATCACGACTCTCAAACCCCCTCATCAATCTTCCATGGCAGCTCCACCAGCACGCACGAAAAAATTAATGTTTGGCTGCTATCGCACCGACTACCCACGACGCTGGAACTCACTCAAGACACCTTCCAAGCAGTGATGAACGCACCTCATGCGCCTCTCGTCATGATCGCGGTCTCTACAAGTAAAACGGAGGACATCATTGAAGAGCGATTCCGGGACATTGCGAAGAAGTGGAGGCTGAGGACAGGGGGGACGGGTGTGTTTAAGGGGCGAGAGGTGGTGTTTACGTGGATGGATGCAGGGAGGTGGGCGGATTGGATGAAGAGTATGTATGGAGTCAAGGTTTCTGGGGGGCAGGAGCACGAGGTGGCTGATGATTTGGATAATGTCAAGATTGTTATTGCTGATCATAAAGTACGTCCCCCTGCGGCTGTTTTGGCTCAAGCTCACAGGTTTTTGTAGCGACTAAGATATTATGATGTGGATCGTTCTGGATCCCCCATCAAATTCAGCTCTTCCACGAGTATTTTCTCGGCGGTTGAGGATGCTGCGTCGGGGAAATTGAGCTACAAGAACTCGGAGAACTTTGTGGAACGATTGGCGAGGGTATGGTTTTCCTTCTCTCTTCCTCATTTCCAAAAGATTAAGCAAACCTGCTGTAGTTCCTGAGCGACAAGATGCTGGGTATACAGAACTATGTAATCGCGTACCCCTTGCGTGCCGCCTTCTTCCTCTTCGTCGGACTAGGTGTCCTCTTTTGGGTGCTTCATCGTCTCGTTAGCAATGACGTGAATGCAGACCCAAGAGTGGATCATAAAACGGGCAAATCAAGTCGGTTGGATTAAGTTTGCGTAAAGCTGTATTATAGGCATCTTTATTTAATTGGCAACTGGTGTTTATGATATACACTTAGTTGGTGAGTGATGAGCGAGTCGATGAACTAACTGTCCACACCCTGTGCAATATTCGCACTTTGATTAACAATGTCACTGTGAACAGTGGGGGAAGCTTTCACTGCTCTCGCGAGGTCTAACAATTAGGGGCCTGGGGTAAGACCTTCGACGGGTATAAAGTTGTCGGTGCAATTTGGGTGCAATATTCTGGATCACTATTATCAGTATGACTTGACTAATCGAGGCTCCTCCGCGCACCACGACCAGGACGACGATGCCTCGAGTAATGAATCCTTCACGTCCTCCGTTCACGACGTCCCCAAGCTTGAAAGGGATTACTTTTATTTCGACGTCCGTGGCGACTGTCGCCTTGGTCCCAAACTCATCTACAGGACTTCGAAGGAGAAGTTTACGCCTCCTACTGACGAGCCATGGAACGACCCTCGCCCTATACGGCTTCTTGAAGTCGAGGACCATGCCCAACTAGGTAAGGACAACCTGTGGGCTACTATCCGTGACAAAGTTCGTGATTTATAGAAGTGTAGCATTCTGCGGACTGACATTCGTTCCAAGGTTGGCGAACTCCTCCAGGAGCGACAGATCCCGTTCACCTCCATTGACCTCGTTCGCTTTAGTTGGAACGAGCCTGCTGCGGACGGCCGCAATAATATAGTGACTGGTAGCGTCACCATCTGGGTCGGAGTCCAGGAAGACACCACCACCGGCGACGTCGCGTTCGAATCTTCTCAAGATATCCTTGACCTCCTCAAGCAACATGATATCAACGACGTCGAGGTGGCATTCCGTGAATCTGAGGTCCGATTTCTTAGCGGTCCACCGTTGTTGGCACCCGTCGAGGATAATCATCCCCTTAAAAATGTTATCCATTCCGTCACCACTGCTCTCGGCCTGCCCATCGCTGGCGAAAATATGCCACAGACGCAGGGGACATTTGGTTTCTACTTTCACATTGGCGAGGCACTTTATGGTGTTACTGCACGCCATGTGCTGTTTGGGTTAAACCAAGCCAACGAAGAGTACACCTACGTCTGTACGTCCGTTTTCTTGAGACGATGGGCGCAATTTTGACAACTCCTATTTAGCCGTAAGAAGAAGGTCATCCTGATGGGAACCAAAGCTTTCGACGACTTCTTGAAATCTATTCAGGCCGAAATCGACCGCCTGTTTAACACCGTCACCTTCTTGGACAGCTGCATTAAGGCGTTCACCGGTAAGCCACTGCGGGCAGGACCACTGGAGACCGCCAAAACCGACTTGAAGCAAACAAACGAGAAGATCGAGGCCCTCAAGGAGTTTTATAACATGATGCAGATGGACTGGTCCGAACCGAAGAGCCGCGTCATTGGCCACGTCGTGTGGGCCCCACCGATCACTGGCAACACTCTTCCCCATGGGTACACGCAGGACGTCTGTGTCGTCAAACTTGACAAGAATAGGTTCATGCCAAACTTTGTCCAGAATGTCATTAACCTGGGTGCGTATTGAACACCGTCCAACCGGAGAACGCCTAATCTAACCGTTCTCGTTTCAGGCGTGAAGATTGACCCCGGCGAATTCATGAGCATGATGTACGACGACAAGGCTGATTTCGACTACCCCTGGGACCGCCATCTCTTCAAGCTCTGGAGCATCCTCCCCGCCGAACAGATCAGTTATTCTACCGCTGGCGACGTTCCCGTGCGGTTCGTTTTCAAAAATGGCTCCACAACGGGAACAACCATCGGCCGTCTGAGTCGATTCCAATCCAAAGTGCGTATGTACGGCCTCACCGGCACCTTCACTTCCACGGAAACCCCAGTCTTGCCCTACGGCTCGAACTCATACTTTGGCACATTCTCTGAAGATGGGGACTCTGGGGCTGTTGTTTGTGGTCCTAACGGTGAGTTTGTTTCCCTCCTCACGAGCGGTGCTGATCGTGCGGAGTCAGTCGATATCGCGTACACGACGCCGATGCATTGGCTTTGGGACGAAGTTATCCTGGCTAGGTTCCCAGGCGCCAGCCTTTACTTCGACTAGTTCTCTGCCTCCTGCCTTCAAATTTGTCTTTTAACTAAGTAAAGTAATCGGACGTCTGCGGCTCGCTCGGAACCCTCCTACATATAAAAGAGAGTGCTAATCCCATCGACTTCGGTCACACACTAATACACGAAGATTGACCGCATATTCGCCACTTGATGTCCTTCTGGAGGTTGTCCCTTGTATTTTATCTTGGTGGGTGAATGATGAGCGAGTCAAATTGCGTCTGAGGTAGAAACCACTGTTAATTTCACCCAGGCTCCCAACTCGAGCTGTGACGCCGATCCCTTGGCAGCTAACCCTGGCTTTGTGAAACGGTCTGCCTCAGAGGACATCACTTCCTTTGGAAAGTCCACGATGGGGAATTAGAGCAGGCGACGATTTCTAAAAATCTATTTTTAGGTGGGGTCTTGATAACCCCTAAGAATCACGTCTTAATTGGCTCTGGTGCCATGTCTGGGACACCTTATGTCCATATATAGACATAATTTATGTCTATATTGAGACATGTCCAAAAACAGACATAAGCCATCAATCTCACACCCACGCCCAAATAGGCAGCTGCTCAAGCAGTTCACCTCTTCCTACTGGCTTTTCTTGCTGTGCTATGCGCCGCAGGCTGGAAAAATATTTTAATAGCTCACTTAACTTGTGGAAAATTGTAGGATACATTACAGCAAGATGCAAAAACGTAGACACCTCTCCAAATTTCCCAGACTCCGCCTTGCTTTGTACAAACAACCGCATTTGGTGCAACTCCGCCGCACGACGCGTCATAGTGACTTCATGGCGCTTGCATGGCGCGCCATTTTATTATATATACTCCTACAAATATGGTACTTCTATATAATTTCTCTTTTCCCATCTTCAAATATGTCAGGGAACTACCGCTTTATATCTGCCGAACAAAAACGGCATCTCATTGTTACGAGGGTTGATAGGAAATGACATAGATGAGACGCTAGCGAATGGACGAAGTGGAGGTTGGTGGAGCGAGAACAGAATGCTTGCGTCACTCGCACCCGCTCATTTCCTAAAGCGGTTGTTTGTACAAAGCGAGGCGGAGTCTGGGAAATTTGGAGAGGTGTCTACGTTTTTGCATCTTGCTGTAATATGAACCCAGAATGCATTTTTGAATCATTGGAAAGGGAATTTGTGCTGTTCTAAGCATAAAGTCAGTTCCACTTGATGCAATTGCTCATCAAAGTATGTATCCATGCTAGTAGAATATCTCAGAGTATGTGGAAGTACTTTACATGCACTTCTTCCTCCTAATGGCAGGTTGCTGCACCAAAAGCAACAAAAAGACAGAATCAATGGGTAAAAAGAATTGTTGTACTGCTATAAAATGCTGATACAGGAGCTGCTGGTAATATATGTTGTTAATATTTCCTCACATAGTCTTGGCCTTCATATATAAAGAATTAAGATCTGGTGTGTTACAACAAATCTATCTGAAATTAAAAATAAATCTGTCACAATTGAACAACCCTTGCTATTGATCTATAATTTTACATATGTAATCAGTGTCAAGTACCCTGCTTCTTAAATGCACATTTTTGAAAAGGATTGAAACACTCTCAGCCATTCCAGACATGACACTAGAGCCATCATTATTCCTGTTCATTGTTATTTTCAGTACTCTATACTTGTTAGCATAACATGAGGAACTTGAACATAAATCTGCTTTGCAATTAATCTGAGCTCTTGGCCTAATCTCCAGTCTTGTAGTTTCATGTGTAAAAATGCATGTGGTTTTTTTCTTCACTGTTTTCCAACCTGTTTCCTCATAGTTGTGGCCCCAGATGGGTGTCTGGCCCATTTTTAAATGGTAGATAGGGAGAGGATATACTTCACAAATTTTCATAGCAATATGTCAAGATTCTACTGAGATACATATTTATGATTAAATTATCTCTGTGAAAAAAAAAAAAAGGATGTCAACCGCTGGAATTGAACTTGGGCTGGCCATAAAAGGAGATCAAAAAAGCGCAATATTCCACTACACTACACAGCCTTATATTATACATACATGTATGTCGGAGTTTTCTAATTCGGCATCTCAACCGGTTCTAACTTGTTGTGGACGTTCCTATCAAAATTGCCGTCATAATTAAGAGCAACCAAAGAGTTTTTGGTTACAATTTTGGTCCCATCCAGGGTGGCAACCTGGTTGCAACAGGTGGCAACGGGAGTTCCGGCGTGATTGTAGCCAATTTTGGGCTAAAAGATGGAAAAATAAAGAACTTTCAACGGTTAGCACTGGTTAGAATGCCGATTCAATGCCGTCCCAATTTCGGCTGGTTGTGACAAGAGAAATAAATCTCCGACATAGTTACCATATATGTAATTTTTGAAAAACGGGGCTCTTGTCCCAGACATGACACCAGAGCCTCTTAATTAAGGCTTCACTGCAAAAGTCCGGGGGTTAATAACCAACACTGCCCACCGCATTGTCGGCAGTGTTGGTGGTGTCACTGCATCACGGATTTTCTTCGGACGACCACGTTTAGGTGCGCCCTGAGCGGGCCGTGCCATTGGATGACCTTTCCCTCGTGCAGCGTTCATGAGGTGAGAGGCCGGATGGCTGATGACGTCTAGACCGGTGACCGGTGACCGTCTGTATATATTTTTGCGACGCGTCGAAGCGTCGCGTGATCCTGCTCCTTTAGTCGCTGTTTGGATTTATCTATACCAACCCCTTCAAACCGTTATTTTTGCAGCCAATAGTTCAAACCAAATCCCAGCGAAGAATCTCATTCAAATTTTAACCGTGCGTTATCTGAATTTTAATGAGTCTCACTAAAGGCCGCATGTGGCTCTTGAAAATTTGTCTTTTACCCCTGAAATGTGTTCTATTTGGTAGGTTTCAGCGGCGCCCGCCAAAAGGGAGCGTGAGCACTGCCTTGAAAACTCGAGTGCAACAACAGCTCGAATACTACAGACTATACAGACATCTTAGGCTCGTTCATTTGTGTGACGCTATCTACGCTATCGAGGACTGCGCGAACACGGATTGCTGGAGTGAGGTTACCAGCCGCGTGACGGAGCACTGCATAACTCGAGTGCACAACACAGGCTCGAGTAAGTATTACAGACTGTACAGACTCAGTGCAGAACAGATAGCTGGCCGAACGTCAACTCCGAGTCTATGACTCCATGTGTTCCTTGAACATTCATAAGTAAGCTCGCTAAGTCGAGTGACGATCCATATTCATTCCCACCGGCGCGATGGACCAATGGAACCCATACCTCGACGAGCCAGAGATGCAGAGAAGGGCCTGGGCCCAATGGTATGGATCAACCACTATGATCCTGCAACCCCCATCACCAGCTGCCTTCACCCCACGTTCGTTCTTTTGAACCTGTTTCCTGTCGTTTAGTTCATCAGGCGCATCTCTTCAGACACCGCACCCTTCCCTCCTGCGAGGAACGGTCGAAAGATTAAAGCCTCCATGATGGCCGGAGCACATGGGGTGCATTTCACCGGAAGGCCCATTTTCATGAACGTGGCCGCTGACTTGGTTCTCAACGGAGCAACCGTCGAAGGCGTCCATTTTCGTGACGCCATAGAAGGGTCGGAAGGAGAGGAGATAGAAGTGGACTACCTTGAACATTCGAGCGGCCTGAGGATGGATGGGAGTGGTCAACATGTAAATGTCGGCGGGGCTGTCAGGTATATTCCCGCTGGTCAACATGGTGTTGCTCCGGTGTCCTCTCGAGTGCAGAAGGCGGACATCAACGCGCACATGTTCAAAAATCTCAGAGACTCCGAGATCAACGGCGGACAGTTTACAAATGTTGCAGGAAACATGGACTACGTCGGAGCTTCCGAATCTGCCCCGTCCCACTCGCAAGGTAATTTATTTTGAAGGCCTGCTTTTTATGTGCGTTGATATGCATAATCTTTAGGCAGGAATTACAGCGCCAGATACTTATGACAGACGACGAACTTGAAAGGGGTGATATGCCTGACAGTTGGTGACAAGATCAAAGTAAAGAAAGGAAGAGAGGAAGTCATTAGTCTCTCGTAGACAGACTTCGATATTATGTGAAGTCGTACCTTGGCTCACGATAATATGAACTGTGTTTGTAAATTAGTAATTGATTTACACTGGGGTTTTGACGATATTGCTGAAATAGAAAACGACAGGAGCGCACCGACGGATGTTCTGCAGACAGTGACTCAAGTCTGTAGTGATTGCGGTTCTTGAGTATTCAAGATCGCAATCCAGCCTGAAAATCTTGGCTTCCCAATTTAATCTTAACTTACCGATTCAGGTCAAGGGAGAGACCAATGGGTGTAACAGCTATATCGATAGACCCGTTCTGAAAATATAAAATTGTAAGTCGAAGTGCGGCTGAGTCAGAACCCGCCTTATATAAACTGAAAAAAGAGTGCCCTGGCGAATAAAAGAGGGCTAATCCCATCGACTCCGCTCTCAAACTAATTCGCAAAAGCTGACCGCATATTTGCCACTTGATGGCCTATTTTTTCTGGCTCTAGTTGAGGTTGTCCCTTGTATTTTACTCAGTCGGTGAATGATGAGCGAGTCGATTTGCGTCTGAGGTAGAAACCACAGTTGATTTCACCCAGTATCATTTTCAATCGGGTGTGATGACATGGCAATTATCCCTGTTTCTGTGCAAGCAGCGCAGCGAGTTGGAGCAACTTGCGCAAATCGATACCGTCTGCCTCAGAGGGCATCAATTCCTTCGGAAAGTCCACGTCAACCATAACATCCTTCTTCGGGCCAACCTATACCCGCACAAGTAAGTAGTAAGCACGCATCTCAATCCCCACCGTGTGACCGTGTCTGACAAACGCACCAGAATGGGAAGAAGAACAGATTGCCCCCTCCCCGGCACATAATCCTTCAACACAACACCGAACCTGCCCAGTCGCTTTAAACACCCCAACGCATGGTCTATCTCCTGCCTCGACACTTTACCAGGGCTCCCCGGCGGCTTTCCCGCCTTGTCCGCCTTCAACACCCTCTCCCACGTCTCGCCGTACTCCTTCCCAAGCTGTTTCCGGAGTAACGCCTCCTCCATCTCTCCCTCCGTCACACTCCGCTGTAAAACTCTATACATATACAGCATAGCGCTGTCCACCCCTTGTTGAGCGGACAACCCCATCATCACCCTGTTCCGCATGATGATGAACGCAGCTGCGCCGTGGGGCGTGTCCAGCGATACGCCGTTGAGTTCTTCGTATCGCGAGTTTTTGTCCGGGGGAAGTTGGAGGACGTAGTCTTTTGTTGGGTAGTTTGTGAGGTACTCGATTTGGCGGATGAGGTAAGGGGAGCGGCGGTAGCCTGGGAGAGCCTTTGGGATGTCGGGCCGTGGGGAGATTTCCACGTCGTGTGTTGAGAAGGAGAAGGGGACTACGTCGTTTAGGACCTGGGATATGTCTTTGGAAGTGGTTGGCTGGTGCTAGCTTGTGAAGCAAAAGGGGAGAGGAAGGCCGTACCGTATGGTTTACCGCATTCGAGTTTGTGTGTTTTCCATGCGGCCTTTTGGCATGCCCTGCGGGAGGGAAGGGGATGTTAATATTTTCTGGCTAGGGAAGGTCCACTTACTTGTTACAGTAACGAATCTCACGTCCAATCGCTTTGCATTTCGTGCATGCGGGCATCTTGCCGGTCACATCCTTTTCTTCGGGTTTCAAGCATGCAGAGCAAAAAAGTACCATCTCTTTTCGCTTCTGCGCTTCGTCTCGCTGCCATTGATCGGCAAGTTCTGGGCCAACAAAGTGGTCCATCATGGGTTTCATTTTCTCGAGTGTCTCCTTCGTCTTGAAATGTTCGTTTGTATATTTTACGCGTTTGATTTTTCGCCCGTCGATGGACATGAGAACGTGTAAGCAGAAACTCGCTGTATAGATTTTAGCTTCGGAAACAGAACCACAATAAAAGGGGGGAGCACGTACAAATATGATACGTCCTCATCAGCCTCCTCAATCCCAAAAATACTTTGCGATTTTTACAAGGATCATCATCCCCCATCCACCCAATAATCTTATCATACCTCGCATTCTCCAGAATGAAAGGCTGCGTCGGCGGCGTCTGATTATTCTCCAATAAAAACACCTGCAGCAGCTCAATAAACCCCTTCCCATCCCCGCGCGTCAACTGATCGGAAGACAATTCAGGACAATCCGTCTTCCCAATCGAGAGGCTCCCCATCGGACTGTTGTCCTCCTCATTCTGCTCTCTGTACGCCTTGAAGATATGCACCTCCTGGCCCGCTTTACCCAGGTCAATCCAGGTGTTCTCAAAGTCCCGTTGTGTGAGGTAATCCATTGCGATTTGCGAGAGGTGCAGGTGGCTGGCACACCCTATCCGACGCGCGTTGATGATCTCCTGCAGGACATCGTCGTTCATCATGGCTTCGAAGTTTGACTCGCTTTGCCCGCGCTGGAAGTCGCGTGGAAGTGGCTGCGAGGGGTCGAATCTCTTTTTAGCGATCACGTCGGTCGCCTTTACCCAGGCTGCCGTGTCTGTTTCGCAATCGGGGAGGTCGTGGACGTCCCCGATGAGCTCTAGAGGAAACATTGAGATGCTACGGTTCTTCCCGCGTGCCATAAGATAAAAACTGGGCTAGGATGATGGAAAACAAGAGAACGTTACTTGGACTGGCAGGACCGATATCGCATTTATTTGGTGACACCCTTGCATCCTAACACCATTGAATTGCTCCGCTGTTGGAACAAAAAAGTATATGAGTAGTGAAAATAGCAAATCATTTCTTCTTCTCTGCCTCATCGTCCTCCTGCCCTCTCATACTCATCTCAATCGCTCGTGCAATCGCAGCATCCTCGTCCTCCTCATCCTCCTCCATCTCTTCAGATTCCATATCCACATCCTTCTCTTCCGACATCGCAAGGGCCTCTTGTAGGAGTCGCTCCTCCTCGTCGTCGGTAGGATCAGCTGGAATGGTTGTTGACGCAGCCGTCAGAGGGACAGTCGTCGACGTTGTTGATGATTCTGCAGGGGGCGCAGCTGTAGCCGTCTCTGCTGCTTCTCGTGCTTGAGCCTCTTGCATAGACATGCGCAGTGCCTGAGATGAGAAACGTATATTATATAATAGTTTATCTATTACAGACGCGAACAAACGTACCATTGCAAGCTCAGGATCGAGACTCGGGTCCACTCCAAACTCAAAGTTGCTAGTACCACCCGCAGCAGCGGACGGTCCAGCACCTTCACCGGTCCCGCCGAACTCTTCAGGGATACTGGCACTGCGGTCTCCAGAAAGTATCGGTGACGAAATGATAGCGTCGGAGAGGAGATGTGCCCCCGGTGGAACGCTCAACAAGTGTCTGTGATTCACATCAGCCTTTCATCCGTTCAAACCCGAAGAAGAAGAACCCACGAATTATCACCGCTCGTAGCAGCCTCCACAAAAGTCTTCAACACCGTCTTCCCATCCTCACCCGGCTCCTCAATCCCATCGCCAAAGCATATAACATCAACAGCCACATTATTCTTCTTCAGCTTCTTCGCCAACTTCACCATCGCCTTCTCGTCGGCCGCCTGCCCTTCCAAAGGCGACGCCACGAACACGATTATCCGCTGTCGGAGGTTCTTGTTCTCTCGATGTTTAAGCGCCAGCTGGGCAACGGCGATGGCGGTGGGAATGTCAATCTCCCCCCCGATCTTGTTTGAAGCTTTGTGAATGGCTCCTATTATCTGCCCCACCTCTTTTGTGTGTGTTACCAGAACTTCTGGACTACGTTTGATTTGAGTTTCGTGCATTAAACGCTAAATTAGAAAATCGAAATACCCTTTCCCAGCCATAGTCATGATCCCGACGGTGTTTTCTGGATTTGAATCCACCTTTGTTTGAAAGACGATGTTGACGGCGTCGGATTGGGCATCGAACCGCGTTGGAAGGTAGTCGCCGTTCCGCATGTACTCCGAGTCGTCAATAATCATCATGGTAGCCTCCAGCGGCATTTTGGGAGGCTAGGAAGGGGGGGATGGATGGGTTTGTGATTTCGAGGAGGGAGGTGACGCGTCGAACGCGATCACTGACAAGTTATTTGTGTCTGCTTATTCCTCAAGTGCGATAAGATAAGATATCAGCTTCAACTTCCATCTGCTCCTTGCCTTGGTTATGCTGGGAGAACACCCGATACTGGTCTAAAACCTGCTGAAACTCACTATGAACTCCAAAGGAATTCTCGTGCGTTACATAGGAACGTTAGCAGCCCAACCCCTCTCGACAACAATCTAGCAAGTTGAACCTTCCACGTCTCTCCCCTCTCGTCAGAGGCGTTTCAAACGCCTCCCTGTCCGAGGGTAACTCGGAAGTAAAGTTGACATGGTGAGCTTGACCGTTGACCGTCACCGCCACCGCTTTGAATGCAGCGACAGTTGATAGATGCTTCGATGTCCACTTTGCAAGTTGCAATCAAGTATCCATCAGGGAGGAAGGCATTCATCAAGCTCTTTCAAGACCGCGAGCGTTTTCTGTTTTCAGCTCTATCAGGTGAGTACATGATGCTTGAGTATTCACACTCGAGCGCTCACTAGTCAGGTCAATAAAAATTTAGCGGCCGCCTCAGTCGGATAGTCCGACCCAACCGCATTCACCTCTACCCCTGTTCAACTCTACCTGACCACTTGTCAATGACAGCAGCCTTGTGAGTCTATGAAACTGGAATCCTTACGTCTGATTCTGGTAGACTCTGTGTCCTTGTGAACAAGACTCTTCTCACGCCGCTCGGACTTTATCATCTGGAAACCACCTACGGGCGACTATGAAAGCTCAAAAGCATATCGTCAAACCTACCAGCAGCACGCCTGAGAAAGATCATGGCTCCCAAAGACAGCCAACTATCCGCTCTTGTGGCCCTAATTGCAGACGCAACAAAGATCGTGGAAGCGCACTACAACTTGAAGAAAGTCGAAGTGATGCCTTATGTTCCTTCACTAGACAATCTTGATGCTCACCCCCTGGACGCTGTTATAGCAGATGATAAAGGACTGTGCACCGCGATCCAGACAATCGAGGGTGCCTGTTCCCAGTTATGTGCTACCATCGCGCGTCCCACCCATACCCTGCTCGACTCAATAATTTGGACGGCGATTTGTGGGGGTAAACTTCATTGCGTTCATGCTTCTGTTTGATAGGGTCTCATTGTCGTGCAGGGATACGAGCTTGCTTGTTTGAGGGCCGTCATGGAATTTAAGATCGCAGATATTCTTCAAAAAAGCCCCTCTCGAACGTATCTTACAAGCGAAGAAAGAATTTTGGCCACGAAACTGTCCAGAAGCTATCTGAGAAAAGAGGATCGAGTTCCAGTCAATGGATCTCCTGACCGAGTCTCTAATTAAGAATTGTAATATGTACTTGGTGAGATGAATTTTTTTCGCTTCTGTTGGCTGCGCTGAAGCTTTACTCATTTTTATAAATCATAGCTGAAGAATATCATGTAGGTATCAGGTCTTTGATTTCATCCTTAACTCAAACAACCGCGTACTCTGTCTCTTTCATATCAGTCACAACTGGCCTGACGCCGATAACATCAAAATTCTGACGGGCGTGCGGAAGGCAATGGCTCCATATAGTCGCGTCCTCGTCCGTGAGTGACCTCCATTTGCCCTTCATATCATAATTGCTAAAGTTGAGTAATCACTACATTAATCAAATAGATGATTATGTTCTATAGGACGCCAACAAATGTTCCGCCGACTTGCCTGCCAGTGGTTTATTCAAGCCCGCTCACGGGCCTCTTCTGTCTAATTTTGAGGAGGGCAGGATTCGGCAGTACAACATTGATATTCACATGATGGTTGTATTGAACAGCATGGAGCGCTGCCTCCATGATTTTATTAGGCTTGGGAATGCGGCAGGTTTGCAGTTTGAGAGGGTTTGGGATCTTGGGGATATGGGAGCTGTGGAATTGAAGTCAGGGCCAAGCTATAAAATTAAACGACTCAGTACTGGCTGTAATTTTAACTACATGAGATAGTATTTTTCGCTTACCTTTTTTTGAAAACAAAAAAGGAGCGAACTAGGTGGAACTTCCGACTGCCGCGATGATCTGTTTGCTGAAATCCGCTGCTCCATAAAATCTATGGACAGTTGAAACTTCCAGCAAAGAGAACACGCGAAGAAAAGGATAAAGATCCTCCGACGACGCTAGCCGATCCTGCAGTAGCAAGGTCATCACATCCAAGGGGTGCAAGCAGAGCCCAAGGAACTGAGGCGGCAAAAATAGGATAACCGATAGAGGCGTGCCTCAATAATAGCGGTTAAACTATTAGGAACAGATACTACACTTGATCTAAGCCAAGAAGGCCAGAGTGGTGAAGATGTAAGGAGGCTGGCGGGGACCTTATATATGATTCTGTTGAAGCGCACGGACTATAATGATTTTGCATGGATCAGACTCGAACCTGAGACTAGTAACACGACTTCCGAGTCATTTTACGAGGAGTAGACAATCGGAATTCGTTGAAGAAAAAAAGAGGTTGAGTGAAAGCGTTTCATGATGAGCGCTGCAGTTCGCCATTCGGAAAACCGGCACTGCCGCGCCCAGAGGATATCAAAGTTCGATGGATTGAAAATTTTCGAGGGGGAAGAGCACTGCACGCTATTTCCGACGATGATGTCACCAGAATAAATATTAGTTACCAGGGTGTGGGCGTCCTTGGATTTGGAAGATGGAGATCGTTGATCCGTGCCGATGAACGCAGGCCGCCTGCGTTCGTCCCTGCATGAAAGCGGAGAAGAGGAGCCCATGGACCACTGAGATATTTGAGTACAATCCTATTCTTGGTGTCGAATGAGAGAAAGATACCATATAGGGTGAGGGAAACATACGCCAAATGGTGTAAGAATAACAGGTAGTTTTGCTGTTGATCAATGGGGTCGGTATCAATATGGAAGGACGCGGCATCCAAGAAGTACCCATCACTCGAATCGATTGCGTAGAACACTGGAACAGTAGGGATGATTAACGTACGGAGGTATTTTAAGTTTCCAATCTAACCAAAAAATATCAAATTGGTATCACAGAAACCTGAATAGTGAAGAACCTACCCACCAAATACCAACGGCCGATTCAACGTGTCAACAGCGTCAAGGAATAGCCTCCTCTCGTCAGCATCAGCTCCAACATCATCCCGGACAACCTCTCGATTTCAGATACTCATCCATCTTCTCATTCCACGCTATCCTCCCCCCTCCCTCATATTCGACAACAGCAATAAATCTACCGATCTTTTCCGCTTCGGGACCGTGTTCTATGGGAAAAATTATCCAGTTGTATAGTGCGGAGCATGAGGAGAGTTCGAGGAGAGTTATTGATGGCGATGAGAGTTTGAAGGAGAGGAACGGGAGAGGAGGCAGAGAGAAGGTAGGGGAAGCTTAGGAGGATCCGACGGTGAGCCTGAGGTGGGTGATACGTGGATGAAGGTCTTGGAGATGTATACGGAGCGGCTGTTTCATGTTTTGCGGAGAACCAACCAACTACAAAAAACGTTGAGTAACCACTCTCTTATGTGTGTGCACACATTCGGGCATTACAGACCTCAATGATCCGGGTAGATATTTCGACAATATGTACCTGACTTACGCTGTTATTTTCAGAAGGCGGGGGCCAAACATTACAAACATACATAATCTCATCTTATCCCCTAACGTCTACGAATCACCGCTTTTACAGTCCAGAGGGAAGAAAGAATTCGCGAATGGCCCGCCTATTCCTGTATCCTAAGGCTGTGCGTCGAAACGGGAGGTTTAATCAGAAATCATACTCAACGGACGACGACAGGGGAGCTAAGTGTACACTTGGTGTACACTGCCCTTTGAACTTAACATAATGATAAGAAGCAATTTACAGGAAACGGGTGTAGTGCCAGAAAAAAAGAGGAACCTCCATAAGTACAATAACAGACGAACAAGGTGTGCGATTTTACAGGCCTAGGGTCTGAATGTTTCTACACAGCCAGAGCCCCAATGTTCTCTCGGCACTTCTTAGAATGGCGATTCAAAGAGGACCTTGTCGCGAAGCTTTTCCCGCAGCTACCGCACTTGTGATCTTTTTTCCTCAAGTGAGAGTTGATATGGTCTGATTTAAAGTGGAATTAGACTCGAGATCGTGAAAAAGAAAAAGGCAAAAGAGTGCTAACTCAGTAGGTTGTGCTTGGCGGTAAAATCTCGTGGGCAGAAGCCACACGCAAATCGCCTGGGTGAACGATTGGTTCTGCGTCTATGCGCTGCAGAAACCTGTGCTGGCGACGCGACTACTGGTTGGGGCAGTCCTGCTGCGCCAACGCCGGAGACGGTCGGGTTAGTTGGCAGTGGCTGCCAGTGATCTTGGAGTCCTATAGGGTTGATCCCCTCTCCAAATTCTTGGATAGGTAATGGCAAGGCTACAGCCGCGGCATTGTAGAACGACTGCGTACCTGATAGCAGGTCTGGCATGAAATGGAACGGAGTATGGATTGCAAGAGGATGCTGATATTGTGGCGACGCTACCACTGGTCGGCGTTCCATAGTTCCAATATCAAAAGTGGCGAAATCAGCAGATGGCACTCTTTGGAACAGCCTGGAATAGTACAGGCATAGGCATAATTCCAGAGGGTAGAGGCACAAGTTGCAGCAAGTGTCTGGCTGCATGGTGAGGTTTGGGTTTTACTGCTGGGGTTTCTCTTTGCTTTATATCAGGGGTTCAAGCATCGGTCCCAGATTGTTTATGTTGTTGAAGCGGCATCATGATATGTGGCTTTCAATTTTTTATGGTGATCTGCTAATAATAGTTAGACGCCAGGCCTGCTTCTTACCTGAACCCGACGAAACAAGTTTGTTTGAGACCTCTCTTTCTGGTGCATTTTCATATTTGGACTTTTGTGACAGATACCTGCTACCTCCCGGGGGCACGAACTGGGGCCTCAAATCAGCTCGTTATACCAAGCTACGCCAAGTCAAATGGCACCTAGCCTGCAGCCTACACCTCAGCAGCGTCACCCACCTCGGCCCGACAAAGTGCGAGCCATCACGATGACTACTACCAGTATCGTTTGCGCCTCCTCATCGATCACGAGAACAAGCCCCTTGGAACTGTTTTTGGTCGCCGACGCGAAGAAAGTGATCATCATGAAGGAGAATGAGCCCGATCTCAACATTCATGTTGACTGGATGTGGAACTTGTGTCCCACAACGCCTAGTATACGTCCTGATGGGTTGATCTCGATGCGAAGCCAGATAAGTGATGGTATTCGCTGCAGAGTATAATCTACAGACCGCTATACAGCTGGTCGATGCCGACAAATGCACGAACATTGAAAAGCTTGCAAGCCTCGATCTCAAGGAGAATTGTTGCTCGTGACGATGCCACCAGGGGTCATAAGAGGCGAGGGTCTGAATGGAAGCCGACAGCACAAAGCTTCTAAAATTCAGCTGAGGTTCGCAACATTTTGAATTGTGATGAAAAATAGCGCGGACGGCTCTTGCTCACTCCCCGGCCGCAGAGATGACAGCTTTCGAAGGAACAACAGATACGCCAACGGCCGTCCATCTCATAAATTCAGCTCCGCTTGTTCCCATCTGTGATACATTTCAAGATCCAAGGCGCTAAAGACGATGATTCGGTTCTGTTAGATGCCCAGATGTATGCGCCGGTCCGAAGACTTCTCAAAGCAAGCGCGAACAGGAGATCAGGCTGCGACAAGAGAGATTGACGTCGTTGAATCCTACTTACCTTGAGTTTCCTCCGATTCGCGTCACCTTTTTAACGCTCGAGTGTTCGCTAAAGCACAGGTTGAACTAGAACATACAAAAGTTAACGGCTGAATACGGTGTGAAGGAAGCGTGAGATGGTTGCGCACCACATGTGATCTGGGCGGCGTTGGCTTCGTATGAGGGTAAGGTGTCACTCGTGGTTCGTCATTTGCTGCTTTTGAGACGAACAAAAGGTCGGAGAATCACTACAACCGTGTCAATAGTATCTCACAAGAAGATTTCTTCTCGTACTCATCCACCTTTGTTTGGAAGACGATGTTGACGGCGTCGGATTGGATCGAGCCGCGTTGGTAGGTAGTCACCGTTCCGCATGTACTCCGAGTCGTAAATGATCATCATGGTAGCCTCCAGCGGCATTTTGGGCGACTAGGAAGGGGGGATCGAATGGGTTTGTGATTTGGTGACGCAAGACTCGAACGCGATCACAGACACTGACAGTTATTTGTGTCTGCTTATTCCTCAGGCCTCAAGCTCAAGCGCGATAAGATAAGATATCAGCTTACCCAACCACTTCCATCTCTCCTCTTGCTGTCCTCCTTGCCTCTGATGCCTCGTTGTGATCACCCGATACTGGTCCAAAAACTGCTGAAACTCTCTATGAACTCCAAAGGCATTCTCACGAAGGATTCCGCGTTACATAGGAACTTTAAGTCTGAGCGTAACTTGGAAATAAAATTGTTACGGTGACGGACCGTCACCCTACCTCTTCAAATGCAGCGACAGTGGAACCATTACTCCCATTGTAGATGCTTCAATGTCCACTTCACAAATCACAATCAAGTGGTGGATTAAGGCTTGGAAAAAAAAACATCCTCCAAGCTCTCCCTCAAACAAGACCACGAACGTCTTCTGGCTCCCAAAGACGGCCAATTATCCTCTCCTGTGACCCTGATCACAGACGCAACGAAGATCGTGGAAGCCCACTACAAAAAAGTCGAAGAGATGCCTTATGGCCCTTCACTAGACAGTCTTGACGCTGATAAACAACTATGGACCGCAGTCCAGACAATCGAGGGTGCTCATAGTGAGAACTTGGCCAAGGCGGTTCGGTTTGCGATGTCGGCGGTGGGATCGGAAACATCACAATTCTAATGGCGAAACGATTCCCGACTTTGCAACAAGACCTCCCCGAACGTATTTTACAAGCGAGGAACGAATTTTGGCCCCGAAACTGTCCAAAAGCTATGAAAGAAAAGAGGATCGAGTTCCAGTCAATGGAATTCCTGACTGAGTCTCCAATTAAGAGTAATGTGTACTTGGTGAGATGAGTTTTGGTGTTTTTGTTAATGGCGTTGAAGCTTTACACATTTTTATTGATCATAGTTAAAGAAGATCATGTAGGTATCAGGGATTTAAATTTCATCCCTAGCTCAAACAACAATACTTTTTCTCTTTCGTTCTCAGCCACGACTGGCCTGATGCCGATAGCATCAAAATTCTGCCGGGTGTGCGCAAGGCCAAGGCTCCATATAGTCGCGTCCTCACTCGTGAGTAACCTCCATTTGTCCTCCATATCGTAATTGCTAAAGTTAACATCCATCAAAGAGATGAGTTTGTTCTACATTACGCCAACAAACCTTCTGCGGCTGACCTGCCTGCTATACTCAAGGCCGCCCCCCAGCTCTTCTGCCTAATTTGGGGGAGGGTAGGATCGAGTCGGCAGTATAATTTTGATGTTCACCTGATGGTCGTATTGAACGGCGTGGAGCGCCACCTCCATGATTTTTTTAGGCTTGGAAATGAGGCGGGGCTTGCAGTTTGAGAGAGATTAAGGATTGACGTTAGGGTCAAGCTGTAGAATTGAATAACTACATATATCATGATGAAGTTAAGATTACCAACCAGTAGTGAGTTCAGATATCCATCTGCGAAGGGCGGACTCCTCGCTCTTTGAAAAGAAGCGAACCAAGAAGGTGGAAGACTGTCGCGATAATCTGTTTGCTGAAATCAGCTGCTCCATAAAATTTATGGATAGTTGAAACTTCCAGCAAAGAGAACAAGCGAAGAAAAGGATAAAGATCCTCCGACGACGCTAGCCGGTTCTGCAGCAGCAAGGTCATCACATCCAAGGGGTGCAAGCAGAGCCCAAGGAGCTGAGGCGGCAAAAATAGGATAACCGAGAGAGGCGTACCTCAATAATAGCGGTTAAACTATTAAGAACAGATACTACACTTGATCTAAGCCAATAAGGCCAGAGTGGTGAGATGTCGGGAGGCTGGCGGGGACCTTATATATGATTCTGTTGAAGCGCACGGACCATAATGATTCTGCATGAATCATGATGATCGTGACTCGAACCTGAGATTAATAACACGACTTCCGAGTCATTTCACGAGGAGTCATTGAAGGAAAAAAGAGGTTGAGTGAAAGAGTTTTCAAAATAAATAATGAACTCATCAGCACTTCAGTTCGCCATTTGGAAAACCTGGCCACTGCCGCGCCCAGAGGATATCAAGGTTCAATGGCTTGAAACCTTTCCAGGAAGAGCACTGCACGCTAATGAATATACATACAACTCAGAAGGAGGCTAGGGGGTATTACAACGAACAAACTCGCCTACTCAATCATTTTCATCGCACAACCAAGACGCGCGACTCGGATGTGTTCTTTGAGACTAATCCAGCTGAGATGAGCCACTATGATTGTCGCAATGACATATTGCGCCTGTTCATCGCGAACGAAAGGGTAAGTGAGCCACTGCACAGAACGAAAAAGAAAAAGGAAAAAGTGGGAAGCATACCTCTCCAGTACAACAGCCACATTCCGACCCATTGCTCATTTCCTTCGTTGTTCGGAAGTCCTATCTCCCCTGGAAGGGCTTGACGGAGACCATTTACGTGAGGTTTTGCCAACGCTCTACTTCTCTCGGGCATTAAGAACGCCCGCCCGAACAAGCCCCCATATCTCTTCCCTCCACCTTAAAACTCAAGACACAAGGTTTGGGCAACGGCCGTGTCTCGCGAGGCAATGCCAAGATGCGGGATAGCTCAACATCGACGTCATTAGCAAAGGCAATTTCTGAGTTGAGAAGGGATCCATCGTCCGACTTGGGTGCGCGTTTGGCATGTCCTAGACAAGGAGGAAAGGAGATATCGCGAAGGAGACGTGGAAGTACCAGGAGGATACGATGCCTAGCAAGGGGAGTGAGGAATTGGACCAGATAGAGTCGGGGACGGAACTCTAAACACAAAATTATGTGCCTTTGCGAGGGGAGAGAGGAGCCCATGGGGTTAAGGTCTACGAGGATGAGGTGAGCGATCTAGAAAGATAACAGAGTTTCATCTGACGATACAGGGGAAGTTGGGATTGCAAGGGGACCATCTAGTTTGGAGTATACCGACGAGGAGTCCGTGTCGATGAATGCAACATGACTTGTTTGAGAAAAATCGATTATGCCTGAGACGGGATCTGCGCTCTCTCTCTCAATAGTACCCCCAACCACGAAAGTCCCGCACAAATGAGCTGCGAGGATGACTTGAGACCATCTCGCTGACGTTGGTACGTCCTGTACTTCTCAAAATATCATCTTGCAAAGCAAATACTGACATCAAGTTCAGCACCGTGAACATCTCATGATGGGGGTGGTAGTGCGGCGCTATACGGGTAAGAGTTGGTAAGAGAACGCAAACGTTCGAGTCGGACATGAAAGTGGAGAAGAGGCGGCCACGGACCAATGAGATATTTGAGTACAAGTTTATCTGTGGCGTCGAATGTGAGGAAGATGCCATATAGGGTAAGAAAAAAATACGCCGACATGGTGTAGAAATAATGGGTAACTTCACTGTTGGTCGATGGGGGCAATACCAATATTCTTTGGGCGTCCTCCGTGAAAGGAAAGTGATTGGTCGGGGAGCGAGACACTGGAATCGACTGCGGAGAACACTTAACGCTGGAACCGTAGGAATGATTAACATACGGTTGACATAGGAGGTAGTTTACACGGCCGCCATCTGACCGAAAATTATCAATTTGGTATCACAAGAACCTAAAGAACCTACCCACCAAATACCAACCAACGGCCGATTCAAGGTGTCAACAGCGTCAAGAAGTAGCCTCCTCTCGTCAGCATCCTCCAACATCATCCCGAACAACCTCTCGATTTCAACAACATACTCATCCATCTTCTCACTCCACGCTACCCTCCCACCCTCCCTCATATTCGACAACGAAGTCTACAGCAATGAATCCACAGGATTATACGGAGTATGAGAAAGGCGTCGCAAAAATGGGAAGGCGTCGCGAACGTGTGAGGTATGGTGGTCGGCGTAGGTCGGAAGCGCCGGGGTGGTTAGATGGGCGGGTAGAGGAGGGTTGGGAGAGATATATGGCGATGAGCGTTGAACGTTGAACGTTGAAATGTTGGAGGAGAGGAACGGGAGAGGATGTAGAGAGGAGGTAGATGATGCTTATTATGTCACGGATAATAGGAACTGTTGTACACTTACTAGAAACAACTACAAATAATTCGGTAAGTAAACCTCCTTGTTCTTATGTGTCAAGAGATTGAGCGTTACAGACGTCGACGTTAATCCGCATAGATATCTCGACAATACCCTCACCGTGCCCATTCATTCGACGGCTACTTATACCTCAGTGTTGAACTCAGGAACCAAACATTGCGTCCACAGAAGATACCCAGGGGCCAGCGTCCGTCGACTGAAAGCCGGCTCAACGCTCACGGGAAGATGGCGCTGATGATGTGGCAGGTTGTATCACCGCTTTTCAACCGCTTTAACAGTCCAGAGTCGCTCCTGCCAGAGTGTCCTGGCGCTGTGCGGCGGAACGAGAGGTTCAGAAAATATATCCAAGGGACGACGACAGGGAAGCTAAGTACACCCCTTTGAACATGATGATACGAAGTGACCTAAGTACAGGAAACGGGTGTTGTGCCAGAGAAAAAATCTCCATACAATAACAGACGAACAAGGGTTGCGACAGCCTTGTTTAAGGCCTAGGGTATAATGTTTCTACTTGGTTTCTACTCACCCAGAGCCATAGTATTCGATCGGCACTTTTTAAAATGGCGAATCGAAGAGGACCTCGTCGCGAAGCTTTTCCTGCAGCCACGACATTTGTGACCTTTTCTCTTCAGGTGAGAGTTGATATGATCTGATTCAAGGTGATTCGTGAAATTAGACTTGAGGTCGTGAAAAAAAAGAGAGCTAACTCCGTAGATTGTGCTTGGCGGTAAAATCTTGTAGGCACAAGCCACACACAAATCGCCTGGAAGAAAGGTTGGTTCTGCGTCTATGTGCTGCAGAAATCAGTGCTGCCGACGCGACTACTGGTTGGGGAAGTGGTCTTGCTGAGCCAACGCCGGAAACGGTTGGGTCAGTTGGCAGCGGAGGTGGCTGCCACTGACCTCGAAGTCCGATAGGGTTGCTCATGTCGCCCTCTTCCAATGCTGGGATAGGTAATAGTAAGGCAACAGCCACGGCGTTGTAGAGGGACTGCGTACCTGATAGCAGGTCCTGCATGAGAGGAAACGAATTATTTGCAAGAAGATACCGATCTTGTGGCGACGCTACCACTGGTAGTTCCGTGGTTCCAATCTCAAATGTGGCGAAATCAGTGGATTGTATTTCGGACAGCTCGGAATGGTGCAGGCATAATGTCAGAGGGAAGAGGCACCAGCTGCAGCCAGTGTCTGGTTGCATGGGGGGGGTTGGAGCTTACTGCTGGCGTTCTCTTTGCCTTATATCAGGCTTCAAACATCCGACATGTTGTTGAAGCACACCACATACTTTCAATTATAACGGGAGTGCGCAGATTGATGCTCTGTATTTTTGGAAAGAACGCCGGCTGAAACGCTCCCCACGAGAGTACCTGAAACAAGGAAGGGTCCCTAGCCGCACGTGATTGTGTTCTTGATCTACACACTGACAGCGAAAAGCTTCAACCCGCAATGCGTATTTTTCGGGCTCTCGTAAAGTTGTAGGAACACGATGTCCTTAAAATTTTAGCCTGAATGATATATCTCAGTATTCATAATATTCTCAAGGCTTATAGCCACCTCAAAAACAACATTTTGCTGCCCCAACCCCTTGATCAACCTTGAAAATCCTTGAAGAATGGGAATTCCAACTTTCAAAATTCAGATTCTTTAAGCGTGGATCTAGGCAGGGGGACCGGAACGATGTCCGTGATCTTCTTGGCGAACTGTGGATCTAACACCACTAGGATTGGAAAGGCGTGCGTGTACCGTAAATCAGAGTGAATCCGTCGTAAGATTTCACCCTTTCGGACCCTTTCGGACCCTTTTACACCATTACATCTTATCAACACGCACACGTGGTGAAATTGGCCCCTCGGACTCCCTCGGATTAGGCGTGACTTAATTTTGCCACGTTTGGCCACGTTTCAATTAGTAGTAGCCTCAGTAGGGATTTTCCGATCATTTTCGCTTTTAATAGCTCCGATCACTGGCTCGGATGTAAATCGAAAAAGCTAATCTTACCCGTCGGCTTACCCCTGATCATCGATCCGACTTTGCAGTTCCTACGTAGTCAGTTGGTCGCTACTCAGTTGCATACTTTGAACATAGATCGGTAGTAGTGACGAGTAAGAAAAATTATATTAGATCGAACTTGCTGCACGTAGGTTCTGACTCGGACGCCGATGACACCAAAGGCGCCATCTTTTGACGTTTGGAGTTGGACACTATGGCAACAGGGAGTGGTCAGCTTCGTTTTCTCGGCAAACACCGTTATTTGTCCACTTGCCGAGTTGCTGCCGCGCATAATTATTACAAAATACTGTTTTCCCACGATAATTACCTTACTTGTGGCTTGTAAATGTGAAGCATCCACTGAAAACAACAGTTCTGAGAGTGCATCAGTGATGATGGGTACACCATTTCCTGCCTATTTAGTTTGGAAATTTGTTTGTCAGCTCTGTATCATGGTACTTAACCTTCTGAATTGTTTTACTGATGTTACCCAGCTCTCAGCCTGTTGCAATCTATGAGGTTCAATCCAGGTCAAAGGATTAGTAAAAAATGCATTGGAATTTTTTTCATCTCATGGTTCCATCTGCAGACTTTGAAAATTTTCAAACTGGTGGCAAGGTAGCTGAGAAAATCTTTTGAATATCCTTACTGCAACTCAAATTTAAGGACTATGGGTATGTATATTTCAATCTCTGACTAGGATTCACTCTACATATTTTCTTGTATTCCAGGAATTAATTGATGAGCTACTGTCCTTTCTTGCTAATGCTACTTCTCCATTACAGTCATGTCTTTACCCTCCATATTCACAGAGTAAATAAAAAATACCTCATTCAAAGTATAACACCTGGGAAAAGCAGTGATTTGAAAATGTACTAGAAGATTTATTCCCTTCTGAGTACTTGTAATTATCACAGGACTTACAATAACTTACCCCACAGAATTTCAATGATACTAAAGGCATTTAGTTGAAAGTTAGCTTTTTTTATTGTTTTCTTCAGCATGAGGAGTGCTGCAGATTTGTGGTGAAGAGAATCAAATTACTTTCTTCAATCTTAACTGCTGAAGTTTGTTTCACCATTCTTCAACTTTGCACAGTGGCTGAAAAAGAACTTTGAATTTTGACTAATTTTTTGAACAGCATAATGTGACTGGCTGAAAGCTGGACAGTGTTGGTAGAACAATTTACATAGCAGAAGTATCATAACATAAAGATAACAAACAAATTTAAAAAGCAAATAGACAGGAGATTGTGTACTTACCATCTTCGACGCACTCTCAGAACTGTTAGTGCTCAACATTTTATGAGCTCAAGTAAGGTAATTATTGTGGGAAAATGGTATTTTGTAATAGTTATGTCCGGCACGCAACTTGGCAGGTGGACAAACAACGGTGTTTGCCGCGAAAACGAAGCTGACCACTCCCTGTTGCCATATTGGCTGACTGACTGAACAGGTTCCCAAATCTGTGTTCCTGATCCACACAAGGGTAAGCTTAATTACCTTTTCCTCAACCCCCAATGCGTATTTTTCAAGCTCTCGTAAAGTTGTAGGTACACGATGCCCTTAAAAATTTAGCCTGAATGATATACATATCTCAGTATTCAAAATATTCAGCCACCTCAATAACAACATTATTCTGCCCCAACCCCTTGATCGACCAGGAGAATCAACCTTGAAAATCCTTCAGGGCCGCGATCTGTGGATCTGACCTTGGATCGGAGGGAACTTGGCGTGACTCAATTTTGCCACGTTTTGGCCACATTTTGATCAGTTGTCACGAACAGCCACAGTATCCGTTCCTAGGAACGAAAACCAGAATAAGAACAAATTTGATGGCATCCGGACAGCTCCGGCAGTTGCCAATTTGTGTACTTAGTGAATTTGTGTTACGGGAAGTCACCCAGTGTATTTTTCACAATCTACATATTCTAGATCTAGTTTCTATGTATTTTACATGGTTTTACTTATTTTTGCGGCCATAGATAGTGTTTTTCGGTAGCAACATGGTTCTATTCTATAGTTTTGATCAAGTTTTGATTGAAACAATATATGCATTCTATATGCGCATCGTTGGCAGTGGTGAAGAGGGAATGGCTTGGTTGTGGGTGGGTGCGCTGTCTGCATTGGTCAGAAAGATGGAGGATGTCTGCACCCCCGGTCACGCTTGTGGTTGTGGTCGCAGTGGCCGTGAATCTACTGGTGTCGGCGTAGCTACTGGTTGAAGTTGTCGACCTGTTCTAATATTCACCTCAAACAGTGGACAATTGGGCACTTGAGCATATTCATTGACAGGTTGTTTGACGAACAAATAATTTTTGCTTATTGTTTGAACTGGAGACAGATATTGTGAACAAATCCTTCAATTGAATTGAAATAATGGATCTGTCCTCAGTATCTGTCAGATACACAAAAAATAAGCAAAAATGATTCATTCGTCCTAGGATATGTCCTGCGCTTTGCTCAGGTGCCCGATACATCCTTGTTTCAGGTGAATGTTGACCGGTGTTGACCGCTTCAGATGTTGTGGTCGCCGTATTTGGGTGATCGGGGGTGATTGTCGTGGATGTGGTTGAACGTTTAAACGTTTACGTTGAACACGCGTGCACGGAGGGCTGGGCTAATCTGCGATTGAAAAATTTGTGTTAAAGTCCGCTCAAACTCCGGGGCGCTGTGATTATGTTTCCCAACAGGGTTGTTCGTGGGTTGTTATGTGACTTATGTCTTCCCACCACATGGATGTCCCGCCACGCTGACAACCGCTCGACACCAGGCAGCTGAGGGTCACAAGGATGCAAGGTGAGCACCTACCATCCCCATTCCCAACGCTGGCTAGCGCTGACTATCCATCCTGAACCCAACAAGATGAACGCCGCAAAACGGCGTAAATGATTTTGCCGACGCACCAACGTGAGAGGGGCAGCTAGTAACCCAGTCTACGTCAGCGCACTAACCACCCATGCAGCCGTCTTTCTGATCGTCTTCTTGTCTTTAGAATAGCAAATCCAACAGCCAACGACGACACTAACGATCATAGCAAGCACGCCCACCCTCACCCCGCGCAGTGGCGGGGCAGAGATATGGGAGCTAGTTAGGCGAAATGCACAGCCAACAGCATGATTGGTGAGGTCAGACGACACCCTCGAGGCCTTTGGACTTACGTTTTCGCAGCTGGTGGGCAAATAGCTAACATCGCAACCTGTCCTTTTGACTTGGTCAATCACAGGCGCAGAGCGGGGCTTCGGGACAGCCGAGTTATCACGGGATTGCAGGTGAGTAGGATGCACATCCCGAGTCGTTTTCATCTTCTGATCAAAATTTCTTTTGTCTCTTTTGAAGGGACGGAAAGAACGATCCCGAGGAAGGGTTTCGGGGTTTGTACAGAGGTCTGGGACCTACTATTCTCCCTCCCTACGTGGGCCATATGTTCCGCCGTTTACGATGGGATCAAGAATATTTTGGGGAACTGCCGCCGGGCACTAGGGAGAGACTCTATCCCGCAGCTCAAGTGAAGGGATACCAGCCGATAATGCGCGAGCACCCCTGGTCACCCCACATCTTGTCTGCGGCCAGTACAATATGTACGGATCCATTGTGGGCCATCAAAATGCGGTTCATGGTGCGCACTGCCCCTCCTCTATCTGGGTAGCATCTGATCCCCTCCCTCTCAGACTCAGCTGCCCGGAGACATCAGGATTGTGTTGGCAGTTTGGATGTCGGGTCGGGTCATGGGAACTCTAGAGCGCTATTGACTTATGAGTGGCAGGATGCATGCGCGACTTTCAAAGTCCACCTCTTCAACATTCTCACCTCTCGTTCATTCTCAAAATTTCTTGGAGAGCAAGTGACAGTCTTGGGTGATAGGTACGATTTCGAATGTCCGAAGCTTGCTAATTTGGAAGTAGACTATCGCGAACTTTGCCTTCAAATTGCACAGTTGCGGTTTCAAATTTGGCTTGCGATGGACTCCTCCGGTGACCTTCATGTTGAAGTCCAGCTTCGCACATGGTTGAAAAGGCGAGCGCCACGTTTTGGGAAGCGCGGCATGACACGTACTCTGGGGCAGCTTAGGTTCGGAAATAGGCATCTTTCTGGCCCTTCAAACATGACAAAACGTGCTTTGATCGCGATTTGCTTCGCATCGTCAGAATGAGAGACTTGGAGAGCGTGATACCGGCAAGCTCGTAAAGCGGAGAGAGAGCACAAGTCGAAGCGGTGCGTCCACTTTGAGGGAGAGGCCTTGATACAACAGAAAAATCTTTTAAGAGTCTCTAAGGAGTTCAATATGACAGGGTGTAACAAGAGAGTCAAACGCGAAGTACAGAACCCCGATCCAACGCGGCTGCGGATGCAGCATGGAAGTAACAGCCATCAGAGGCAGCGAAGATCGTTGAGACGGTTGGGAAGACCGATTATTATAAGTGCAGTGCCAAGTCCCTCGAGGCGGCCAGGGCGCTGGTGCCACTTGATCAGCCAGATGTACTAGGAGGAAGTTGGTTGAGTCACTGTGGTCATAGTGAGCTCTTATAAGTCCTCGTGGCGTGTTGTACGTTATAATTATGAAAATGCGCCGGTTTTTGAAAGTCTACCCAGCGACTGAGGGAAGACTATCAGAGACGGTGGCAAGTGGTAACCGGCGAGACATGTCGGCAGGCAGAATGTAGAAAACTTGCGACTTCCACATCCTATTTACGAGTCCGTGGTACGGGTTGTTTCGTCTTTTTCGTCCACTTTACATGCCAGTTGGGGTCGGATGCATATGTTTGTGTTGTGTTGAAGTGCTATTTGCTCCCGTGCCTTCCTCTGCATGCTGCCTCCTTGCAGTGTATGTATTTGATCTTCCATTCGCGTCTCCTGTCGCTGTGTACTCATTCGAGGACAGTTATCGAACAAGAATTCTTGCTCCTTTCTTTTGTGGGCTCGTTCTTGCCGCGTGCCACCAAGAAGTCAGAATGGGGGGTTTGGCGCGAGGTCCCAAATCGCTGTCATGCCTCAGAATGGTACGCGAATCACCAGATAGATAACCACGCCTGATTACTTTGGGAGTGCGGGTTCACTTCGAGGCCGTACTGATTCTTGGTGTTAATTTCTGAGCCGCGAGAAGGCTTGCAAACGCCTCACTTAAACCGTTTGAAGGACGCCGAGCCTCCCATTTCGTTGCTCCAGCGTGTCCCCAATGAAAGTCTTTTCTGCGCTTTGCTTGTCACTGTCGTTGCTCGCTCAGGCGCATGTCATTGACGACCATGACTCTGCAATCATATACTCAAGCTCATTTGGATCGAAGCGATTCTCCGATGCGTCTGCACATAGGGGAACAACGTGAGCTCAACACTTTCTGCATGATCCTTTCTGGCCTAAAATCTTCACTCGTTGTTGCGCCGGTAGAGTTGTCATTCTACCCATCGGATCAGCGTCCGCAATATTGGGGACCACCACCTTCGGTTCTTCAACATCCGAAACAACGGCTGCAAATCACTCAGAAACCTTACTTCCACTGGCCGCTCCGGGCTTGAAGTAAGTGGCTCATTCTACTTTTCGCCCCAAACTCAGAGCTGTACCACAGAAAAACGCGCACGGGTGCTATAATCGGTGGGGTAATAGGAGGCACAGTGCTTCTTATCCTCACAAGCGTCTTGTTGTTGCTCGCCTTCTTGAGACGACGAGCACGACAAAAAGCTCGAGCCGATTCGCCGTTACCTGATGAAACGAAATTGTCGCCAATTGATCCTACTTCAGACAGTGATCAGGCAACAATGCCCCTTGCTAAACCTTCTGCGATAGCATCACCTCCGTCCGGTGTCTACCCCTTTAATGCAAACACTACCGATAGCTTGATCTTGGATCAAACGCCTTATATGCTGCCGCCAGTCCCACAAGCTTTCGACAATCCAAGAGTGGGATTGCCTCAGGCGTCGATAAGCACCCAACCTGCAGTGGCCAGACCGTCGATAACATCTTCATCAGCAAATTCGGCTGCCCCTGCTACCCCTTCCATCATCATGAGCGCCTCCGCGCACGGATCACTACCTTTGAAAACCCAGCCAATGAAAGCAGCTACTAGCCAGGTGCACAATTTTGAGGATTTGAGCTCGGCGACTAGTATCACCTCTCCAAAAGACTCCGTGATCGATAGCGTGACTCCGTCCATTGCTTCATCTGCACTGCTGGTCCCACAGATTACACGATGTCTTGCAGTTGACGAACCTGTGGAATTTGTGGATTCACCTTATCGGCAGCGGTTGTCTCTACAAGATGTTGAGGGTATCATAGACAATAGGTAAGTGGACCGTTAGGATCCTACATGCAGGTGATTGATTCACATCATAGCAACGTCTCATTTTTGGGCCAAGGAACAACCAAGTCTAATGCAAAGTTTACTATACTGCTCATCGGTGCGAGCATTTGTAGTAGTGCTTATGATATGAGGCTCAAACTTCAATAGGCGAAACTGGGACAGGCAAGACGTCGTTTTTGTCATTGCTTATAAACGTACTAGCGGGTCGCGTCCCCGACGAATACGACTTGGAGCCGTACGACACAACGAACGAATTCGTCAGTGGTCAATCGCACAGTCGAACCAATGCTGCCAAAGTCTACACCTTCAAAAGTGTGAATGGTGTGCAGGTCACCGTGTTGGACACGCCTGGTCTCGCAGACACACGCGGACTCGAGAAGGATAACGAGAACAAGCAGAGTATCACCGACGCCATTCGAGACAGCATCCCAGAGATCACAGCGGTGATCATTGTCGCCAACGGCACCGATCCACGCCTCAGTGTCGCCACCGATTACGCAATCACTACGCTGTCATCCACCTTCAGCGGTACTCTCGCGGATAACATTGGCTTTCTCGCCACCAACATCAGCCCTTTGAACTGGAACTTCGACATCGAAACGCTTCCTGTAGAGTTGCAGGGAGCAAAGACCTTTCTCTTGGACAACCCTCTTGCACGACACAAGGAATACTTGTATATGAAAGCCGCTGAGGCGAGGGGCTCAGTTGCCGAGGACAGTCAGGCGGTTTTGCAAAAGTTGAAGAAAACAGTCGACGAAGGTCATGAAACGACCTTGGCCACCCTTGCCGAACTATTCGACTGGCTCGACGGACTTGTTCCTCAAGCAACGACTGACATCACGTTGCTCTATGACCAGTTGATGGAAATTGAGAGAAACATCAGCAGTATGCTCGCCCATATGACGCAGCTGGTGGAGAAAAGGGGGAAGTTGGATGACCTCCTCAACAAATCCGACGGAATGCCTTTGGTGAGTCAGGCTAATCCATTCACCATTCGTTACATACCACTGACGGTCTTTCGCAGACCTTCAATGAAATGGCGAACGTCAAGAGCGTTATCCACAAGAAAACGTGGATTCTTCAAGATAAACCTTACCACAGCACTATTTGTGTTCACCCACAGTGTTATTCCAACTGCCATATCCAGTGCCACGTTGAATTTACTCTCGACCCTATGAAGTTGATTCACTGTATGGCTTTTCCGTCAGAAGGTGCCTGTCAGTTCTGCAACCACTCTGTCCAGGCCCATCAGCACTATAACGCTCTCTGGTCTGAGAAGCATGAAACTGAGGAGTATGTTGACGCCCCAAGTGAACAGCGTTACGACGAGGCGACGACGATGTTCGAAGGTACTCAAGTTTCGATTGAGGACATTCAGAATTTCATCGACATCATCGGGAAAGAGATGGCAGATGCAACTGGGGAGATTGGCCGTCTTACTGCGGAGTACTCGACACTTTCCCTCTCCCGAAGCTTCTCTGGCCAGGTCAAGAAGTTCGCCAAGGTTCTCGAGACCCATTTGGAAGCCATTCGCCACAAGATGGACGATACGAGTGTCAAGCGCATGGAGGCGAGCTTGGAACAGCTTAGGGAGAAGCTCAGGGTACTCGAGTTGCGTCGGATGTAATTTCCAAGCCTACCATCCTGGAATGGTTGGGCAGGTGGGCAAAATCATGATTGGCATATCGTGAATCCGCATCCTGTCAAGCCTTCGCATCCCCTCTTTGAACCGTTTGTCACTCAAGGATCCCCCCTAAACTTGCATATTCTCCCCTCCGGCGTCAACGTTTGTACAGTAGTATTCCGTTTCGGCGCGTTCTCAAGATCTTGTGTAATTGTTAGTTCTCGTTGTGCACAAATTGTAATTCCCGATATACGGTTCAGTAAAGGAAGCTAGAAGAGGATGCAGACGTACTTCTATCAACAACTTCGTGCTCAATGGTACCTACCTCGCGCAATCATATGTAGCTCAGCCACAACAATTCACGCCCTGTCCTGGCATATCAAGTACTTCGTAAATGGGGAAGCAGTAATTTCGAGGATAGTCTATCCATTAAAGCGAACAGAGTAACTCTTCTTCAAAGGGGAACAACTTCAGAACTATCTTTTTTTCCAGCACGACTTGTAGTTCTATCGCTAATCGGCATCAAACGTATCAGTGGGTGAGGAATGGGAAATCAAAGCCGTCTTGATGAATTCACCAGACGTTGCACACCGTTAGAATGGATTCTTTTCATGACTGCTTAATCTTACATCGTCCTACCAAGTATCTACTCATCCAATTTCATCCGCGACGTCCTGAAGAGCTGCACCATCCCAATAGGAATCAGGGTCGGATCGACCGCTTCAAGCCCTCCAAACTTCCTGACAAGATTTTCACCATACATCGAGATGATCCACTTGTCATACCAGTTCATGTTCTGCCAACTCGTCGTCTTGGCCCAACCCTTCCCGCTATCAATGGCAGCCTGCACAGTCGGCGCCAACACCATCTCAACAGGCTGAGGGACGACGAGCATCTCCTCGTACCGTGCCCCCCACCCCCGCAACCAGGACTCACGAAGAGAGGTAAACTCCTCGAACGACATGAACTCATCAGAGACTTCTACTCGCTGGCTTCCAGATCGCCTCATGTCCTTGTCGTGGTCCCAAATTTCTTTAAAGCCCCTGTAAGCTTTTTCGTCGTTGTCAATCTTCTTCACGAAAGCTTCTTCAGCTGTCATATCCTCAGACCAGTCATCAGAGCCGATGTCGTCGTCATCATCATCAGATTCCCAGTCTTCGACCCCTTCATCCGATGCATCGTCATCGTCTTCTTCTTCGTCGTCGAATACAGCCCTCGGCTTGTTGTCCTTCGCCGAAGCCAAGACCTCAAGCATCACATTCCGGAGTTCCAGCCCGCCACTCGCAATGGGGAAGTAGAAGTAACCCTCAGGCATGTCTCGGATACCAAACCGCTTGGCGATGACATCCTGCAGATACCCAATGGCGCCGTTTTGGCTGTCAGAGAACAGCTCCCGTTGGATCCTAGCCAGCGTGTCGATGATATCCGTGAGGTGTGGTACCCCAAAGCAGTTCGCTGGACGACCTCCAAAGTTCCTCAAAAAGAACGCCATGTACTTGTTGTACGCGTTGATCCAGCCAAACACGGACTTGGTGGCTGCGAGCTGGCGGCGCAGTTCAACAATATGTTGATCAACGTCCTTTTGGTCAATGACAAAGCGTGCTTCGTCTTCGTCAAACTTCAGAAACCCCCATCGAATATCGCCCGCCGGCAACCCCTCACACTTCTCTCCCTCACCAACCACGGCAGACCCAGTCTTGGGCTCGTTGAACTTGAGCCCGACGATGTTTGCGTACGTGTTCATCTCCTTCCATCCTGCAGCGCACTTTTTCGCATCTGCATCCCAGAGCCACAGGTCATCGTGCATGCGGTACAGGTATAGCCCGTCTGCCTTCTGGTTCACTGCAAAGTCCATCATGAAGAGGATGGCTTCTCCGCAGACGACGCTTAGGGCATGGCTGATAGGCGTACCCCGCTTTCTGATGCGCACCTCTGGATCCCCTGCGAATCGCAATGGCGCGCGAAGCCAGGCCTTGTAGAACCCGACCCACTGTTTAGAGAGACCGATGAATTCCAGGACAGTCAGGATGGAGTCATGAGGGAGGGATGGCCCGAACCACTCTAGATCGGAGCGAATGACTGTGTGCGTTCCATGAAGTGTCTGGTTTAAATAACACTCGGTCGTCATGATGTGCAACAACTTTTGTTTGATCATAGCAGGTGACGTCTCATTGGCACTTGGTTCAGGAGCATCAACAAGGTCATCGTAAGTCGACGGAATATGAGCCGAATCGGCCAGCTGACTGAGGAAGAAGTGAGAGCGCCGGGTTCGATTTCGCTGAGCGTCAATAGATTTCGAGCCATCATCGCCTCGCAGTTGTTGGGTCCACCGTTCTTTGACTTTGTGGGTAGGGGGATCAACTGTGTGCTTCCAAGCTTTGCTATCAAAGATCCTTCGGAAGGCTGCTTTCAGTTGAACCTGCCAGTGTATTCCGATGATCTGGGAGAAGAGACCATCTACGATGTCTGGATCTGTGAAGGCCCTAATAATTACATATGTTAGATGGTTATCGTAACTGGAATATATAAAAATGCTCGCCTATATTTTCCGTTTAAATGGCGACGCATCTCAAGCGGAATGCCCTCAGGTCCCCAGGACCAGGTGTCAAAACTGGCCAAGCGCATGGTCAGCACAGTCGCAATCTCGTCGAGGACTACAGGGTTTTCGAGGAAGCTCTTCAACGTCGTTCGCTTTTCCTCATCCATGAGACCCGATGCCAAAATTCCGCCAATAGCATAGATAACTGTCTGTGTGGAGATCGGTTGTCGCTGGAGGTGTGACCCAATGTCCCTTGTTTCCTTCCTCAGTTTCTCCAACGCGATGGTCGCATCTTCCGACAAGAACAGACCCTCCAGGTAGGTCTTCAATGCCTGCGTGTCAACGGGGTGCTCGTCGAAGATGATGGATACCAGCTTCGCCTTCTGATCATGCATCTCCTTCCTTCCAACCTCCACAAACTCGGAACCACTATCATTGGTCTCACTACCCGCCTGATACGGTACCGTAGACGAATCGCCGCTTGCCAGCCACTCGTTGAACAAACTGCCAAACAACTTCGCGCAATCGAACCGCAACACCGTATGGCGAATATGAGCCTCCAACGTATCAGCCCATTCCTTCAAGATGTCCCTACTGAAACTCGGATCCTTCTTCGCTTGGAGAATCCAGAATTGGAGGTTACCCAAGCTCAGTTTGCCCCCGACGATCTTCGCATTGCCCCTAGGCAAAGCCCCCGATCCTGCCCAGGATTTGATGGCCTTTGCGAGGATCTCAACCTTCTTGACGAGGTTGTCACCAGCTGCATCGGCTTCTTCGAGAACCTTGGCGTGAGCTTTGTAGGCTTGTCGTTGTTTCTCGAGCTCCTGGAGTTTAATCGATGTGATGAATTGCAAGGTCTGACTGAGGGAGGAGTCGGATTTTTGTTCTGCCATAGTGGTTCCCCACTCTGCCAGTGAAACGAAGACGAACGGATGAGGGCTGGGGAATAAGATCTAGAGTCCTTGAGAGGAGAGGAGAGGCCATTTTATACGATTTTATACCCCGCTGCACGCGGAGTGAATCGGCAGGACCCTTGAGTTGCAAGAACGGGGCCGCGCTCCACAATTACAGAGTCAATGGGAGTTTGAAGAAAGTTTGATCGTGAGCGGCGAAGGAGATACGAGATTAAACATACAGTTCGTTGAGAAAAAGAGGCTGTACACAATACAGGAAATGTGAGAGATTGTATCAAGGAATTCGACAAGAGTTGTTGTTCTCGTATTCACATGCACAGGCCTCCGGAAGACGGTGAGGAACACCTTTTCCGAGTTTATTCTCAGCTGGGTAGATTCAAGGACTCTGGGGAAGCTGATGACCGTGGCGTGTAGTCGACAACTAAACATCAAGACATGCCAGATTAATGGCGTTAGAATCGACCGACATCGTTTTCAACCTCGGGCAAGTCGACAGGATTTCCTTCAACACATTTTTACACCCTTTCAAGTCGGTTCCCGGTGGCGAGCACAGTCAGTGCCCCCCAGGATTGATCTTCTCCGAGTGTGAGAAGAGAGCCAAAAACTGCGGTAGCAACTGCACAATGGGATCATCCGTATCATCCAATCTCATCCAGTACTTAGTCTGAATGTTGAGATATGTAACCATAGTGAGGCTCTCGATGATGGAGCCAGAGGGGCTCATGGAATTGGAAATGTGTTGCATCCTGGTTGCATCCACTCATATTGACGACACCCGTGGCTGTGCACGTTGTGGATGTAGACAGTGCGTCGAATTTCAAATGGCGACCAATAATTTTGAGACGCATGAGCAGGATACTATCTGTATAAATTAAAAAGGCAAAAATCGAAAAATGAATCATCCCAATTATAAGCTCTAACCTAATGTTGAGCGCACCATTCAAACGTCCCCCGGCCTACCGACGCGAATTTCTGCCCACCCGCAACGACCTTGCCGATGCCTCGGGCCATGGCGAAGCCTGAGCTTCAAAAAGTACAGCCAATGTATGGCTACAGGACAACCATCAGAACTAGAGCTGAGGAAATGGGGGTAAAGCTTGAATCATATCGGACTTGCATCCAATCCTGGAGAGTACAAAAGTCATCTTTGCTTACAACTGAATCTAAAACGATAATTTCCAGGTTTCTTTCCCAGCGATCGCCAATTGCAAGCCCACGAAAAACAAAAATATCTCTACATAGTTTCTGCGGATTTTTTGAGTCGATTATATCAATCAGCCCACTCGAAGTTGGACTGCTCATCAATTAATCCTGCATCTAATGAGATCACTTTCTTGTCAGGGAACAGCGCCCTTGGCAGGTAGGGGCTGCCGTCCGCATGCTGAGCATTCATCCTGGCCAGAACAGTGCGATGTACCCGCACACGCGCCTGAATAGTCATCTTCTTTGCGAAGTCGATGACAATAGGACCTTGCAAGCTCCTCGGCTGCTTGTTAAACCTCTTATAAACATGCTTGCCCAGTTTAAAATTATACACCTTGAGAGGCATATTTTCGAAGATGAGCCACATGTGGGGCTTTATATCAAGCATGTCGTAAATGGGTGCCAACGCGTCAATGGCATCGGCTTCCTCCTCGTCTTTGGGAGGTGATACAGGATCTGGATCGACGCTGGCGGACCTAAAGGGATTGAGATACTTGACCCATCCTTTGACCGTATCGAGAGGGCCCAAGCGAGTAGGTGGCCGAATCTTGTTGCCTTGCCTTGCAACAAACGGTGGTCGGTCTTTCACCGTAGGGTAGAGGGAGTCGGGGCTCAGGTGAAATGTTTCCAGTTTGTCTTTGAGGAACATAATGCCCGTGTTCTGCATAAAGCACTGCCGGATCATCCATCTCAGCGATATGTGTGCTAAGTTCGGCTTGGTTCCATTCAGCACTGTCGACGTATCTCAGCATGTACTTATGTATGAGGCAAGTCGAAATTCTACTCACCAGCTCCACCGCCGATGTTACCATGGCAACCAGAAAACCAGACCTTGACGGATACTGTCAATACAAATTTAACGTCATCAATAGGCCAATTACCTCGTCAACGTCTGTTGGAGGCAGCCCATTTGATTTTTCCTCAACAAAACTCTTGACTACCTTCTGATAATCGCTAAGGCCGCTATCGTCCATACCCGGTAAAGTTTTGTTGTTTAAACGCCAGAGGTTCGTTCTGAATTTGGCTCTGCGTTCGTCCAACGCGACTGCATGTCGGAAAATGCGTACCATTGGATTGTAAGCCGTGAACGGAAGTGACTTGGTGGTCCAGTAACCTACGGAATTAACGGTGTCCCTTTGCCATGGTTTCAGAACCAATAAAAAGCCATTCAAAAGATGGTACAGACCAGCAACCCAGAAATTCAATGGGAACGTCGATGGATCCCCAAGTCCTCTGGAACGCCCTCGATTCTTCCCAACCTTCTTTCATATTTACAACTTTGTATGATTTGAAGGCGGCGCCGGCCTTTTCACGATGCTCTTTTGGGAGGAGCCCGACCTTGAAAAGCATGCCTGCGACACTTAATAATTGACGTTAGGACGGCTTCAAGGCAATCTCGCAAAGCACTGACGCTCGAGCGGTATATGAACCCCGCGAAAATCCTGATAAAGTGTTAATAGCGAGTCCATAGATGGCGGGGGTGAGAGCGTACCAAACATGCAGATTTTATCCCCAAGAGTATCTGGATTATGATCAAGAAATTAGATTCAGAGATGGGATTTTCCGTACGTACAGTGGTCCACGAGCCACAAATAAGCCTCTGGATGAATCAAGTATCACAATCCAAAATTACTTAAAATTTGAATGATGCGCATGCTCACCAATGACATGTCCCTTCAGACTCCAAGCCGTAGCCTGGTCCCATTTCTGCCATTCCCATTAAATACGTGAACATATGCGAAGTTGAGCCCTCACCTCAGATAGACCAGAGAGGACAGGTATCTTCACAGGTTCCTTGACCCCAGGAATCTTTGGAGTGTAAGTTCCTATTCCTTGCTGCTCAGGTGCTTTGAGAAGAGTTCAAGCCGACCTAAAGAGATGTACCTGATAGTGAACAAGTTGTTCCTCTTCAGCCACCTTAAGCATATCCCTCAGCTCGACAACGTTGGTTCTCTTGAAAACTTTGAGTATATACGCTAGACATGGGCAACGTCAAAAACACACATTGGCATCATCTCTGTATCAGTTAAGGTCAGTGTGTTTTGGGCAATGAAATAGAAGTACACACTTATCCCCCGTTCCATCGAAACACAAGACGAGCGTTCTGGCGCGTTCTGGAAGCGCAGGAGGTATAGCAGTGTCCAGACGAAGCGCCTCGGGAGTCGACGCAGAGTCCTGAGCAGTAGAAATGAGTGCCTCCTGAGAGCTAGAAAACCAAGGAAGTTTCATAATGGACGGATTCGGACGTTGAACGTTGGAGGTGTAGTTGAAAGAGGCTCTAGAAGGTGATTCACTCACAAGATGTTTATAACAAGTTTATAAAGCTTTCCCAGATTGCCCATGCATTTGTTTGGTTCAGTTACTTCGCCCGAGCATGGATAGGCGCAAGGCACCGTTTCGGCAAACGCGACCTCCACATCGCTCGATTGATCTCTAGAGGAGACTGAAGCCCAGAGCCAGTGTGGCTACATCGCGACCTTGATAGCCTGGTACCTCTCGGGTCGTAAGTAGGGTGTCGAGGTGTCGAGGTTATGTGGGCTGATGCCCAACTGATGCCTGAAAGAATAAAGCGCGCCAGCGCTCCGACTCGGCCTGGTCTTAAAATAACTTTGTCGGAAATTTCCCAGGCGCCTGATAAGGCTCCGGCCTTGCAATGTTGATCGCCGACATAATCAGGCCTTGCCCAACCCTTGCCAACCCTTGTACGGTGCGCCAGGTGTATAAGCCAAGATTTCAAGACGCGTTCAAACGTCGAAGCCTTGGATGCCGTGGTTCAATTCCCGTTTGAGTCGTGTCATTCATATTTCGCATGTACGTCGACATATTTTATTAGTTTCTGTATCTCCTTATGTTTTCTCCTTATGTTTTTCTGCATCTCCTTATGTTTTCGGCTCAGGTCTCTAAGTAAAGGTTTGGAATGAGTATAAAATGAAAATGAATGATAAAATTGAAATAGTAGTACAAAAATAAAATAAGGAGGGAGTACTGCGAGCTCGTCACCAAGGGGGTACCGGCATTTAAATGCCGGACCAGGGGCCGGTTGGTTGGTTCGGCCGCCAGGCCGCTAATTTTTTTTTGACATCCGAATTTTTTAGTGCAAAAAGGACTCAGAGATCTTTAGATACCTTCTAATGTATTAGCCACAGTCTATCTACACACAAAGAAGCCAAAAGCTAACTATCATATGAGATAAGACGTTGATAAATGAGGCAGGATACCAAGTTTTTCCAAGCCTAAGCTCGAATTTACCTTTATACGGAAAACGAGACCCACGACGACTCCGATAGCGATGAAGAGGAATTTGACAAGTAGCAAAGAGTCTGAGCTTGACAATCCGGAGGACATAGTGGGTCCTCAACGCGCACACGAAATGTCTGAAATGTGCAGAATGCAATTCAGTCGCAAGGGTACCCAAGTACTCAAGTACTCACATTTCGGCCTATTCTCAATGTGTCGGAATCATTTTAGTATCATTTAGGATGTATGAGGCTCGACGAGGAGGTCAAGAAATGGGTTTGCACCATCCGCAAGGCATCGAGTGGTGGGAAGGGAGCAAAAAGGGAGAAAGGCAGCGCGTTGATGACATCATATTTCCTAAAATAGACGTGTGCCTGATTACGTTGGCTGGTTGGTTCAGCCCCAGTCCCACTAAAAATAATTTCGACGTCCGGTCCTTCACTCAAATCCCGGCACCCCCTTGCTCGTCACACACAGTCACACAGGAAGCTGCAAAGCACCATACTGTAGTATCCACGAACTGGCAGCCTTGCATTTTCCGTTACTTCTCCTTGCTGTGTTTAATGCGAGAGGGTACTAGGACTTGCGGGTTAGGACCATCTCTACCTCTTGCTTGTGTCGCCTTTCCCATATGTGCTTCCCAGCCACACTGTTCACGATGGTGCGCTTCGCTAAAGCTTACCATCTCCTCACCTTGAACGCCACGGAACCTACCTATCCCAATGTACATTTTGCTTTCTGACACTGAATGCTTTTTTGTAGGTCTGCCCATAAAGGCATTTTCTGCACCTCCCAGCAGCAACACCAAGAAACCTGCACAGTGCTTTGCAATTTGAACATTGCTGAGGATGGAAGCCCCTGCCACCACCAAATTCCCAATCCCAGATCAGAAACACCCACACTGCTGGCCCTATTGGTTGAAAGAGCGAGTCTTGACAGGTCCGCAATGCGCATTCAAAGCAGTCCCAGGCGTCATCAGCCTTGGACGAACATGAACCCACCATGCAACTACCTCCAAATAGGCAATTGGCTGGACAGCTTGGGCTGTATGCACACTTCTGAGTGGAAAAATCTTGAGCCGCCTACAGCTAGTCGTTTTGGGAGATGAAGGAATTGTCTCAGTGACCACTGTTGCTGGGCAACCACTGCCCACAAAGCAGCTGGTGTCTCCACGATTAGTGTTTGAAAGTTAGGTTAGTTAACCAGAAAATAACCAGAAAATAACCGGACCTAACCACAACACTAACCTAACTGCAGTTAGGGTTAGTTGATTTCGAAAATGGAATAACCGGTTATAACCAGCCCTATTATACACCCTCAAAACGCACTTGAGAACATCGAAAACGCTTAAAATTTGACTAAGTTACAGTCAAATCTCTAAAATATCACTCAAATGTGTAGACTTTCAAGGATAATTGCATAAATATGTCAATTCTTCACCTATTTTAGCGTTCTTGGGCTCGTTTTAAAGCTAGAATATGCAGAAATAATATCTATCAAGATACATATGAGCATATTTGCCTTGTTATAACCGATTCTTTATTTTTCGGTCCTAACCAGTTAGTAACTGCAAATAACCGACCGTAACCGGTTAGTTGTGGTCCGGTTAGGTTATTTTAGGTTTTGGGACAAAGGCTAACCAGTCTCGGTCTCGGTTAGAGCCCCTGGGCACCCAATAACCGGACCTAACTGGACTTTCGAACACTATCCACGATGTATACCACGGTTTCTTCGTTCAAAGGGAATACTGTCCCCCACTCCCCTTCCAGCTGGTATCACAGGTATGCGTCCGATGGCAAAGTAGTTAAGTTTTTAGAATATATTTTAGAATATACCTGAAGCGGCAACGCAAACTCAGTCGTTTGGCAGGCAAGTTCATAGCATTCGTCAATTGGCTATACGTGCTTATATTCCACTTCTTTTCAGTCGCAAACTGTGCAGTGCAAATGGTGGAAGATTATGCCGCTTATTGCAACGATCTCACTTGGGATCTCTGCCTTATACAGTTTTGACCAGTCAACTTGCTAGTTAGAGAAATAAAGTTTTGTGGCTTGCCATACACCCCTCATTCTGCCCCTCTCATAAATCATTCCCCAACTTCAACCACAGATATGGGACTATGTGAAGGTTGCTCGCTAAATTTTCCTCAACTAACAGGGGTCATCTGCCAAAAGTGCACCAAACTTAGCGAGGCAAAATCAGAAATTGAACGTGGCATTGTTGAGGTACGGTTCGCCTACTACACTCAATACCTTTTTGTAGTCGCTGAGATGTTAACTCCTACAGGGCCAACCTCAATGTGCGAGCTGTTCGGTTGTCTACCCATTCTTGAGGGTAGAGTTTTGTGGTGCATGTCACCAACTTGATCTTGAACATGATCCTGATGCTCCTGGTATAAAATTTCTCTCGTTCTTATACTGCTATGACAATTCTTCTTAGATGTAAGGTCTAGCATTATGGACTGGAGCACTCAATATCAAAAAACTGCTTCTGAGCATCAATTAACCCAAAAGCAGAATCCCCAGCTCCAGGCTGCAAGTCAGATGAAAGACTGCATGGCGACCCTTCGCAAAGCATTGAAAACCAAGGCGTTCACCACAGAAATCTCCCTTTTCATATACCCATCAGCTGGAAAGGCTGCTCGCAAGGTCGGAATCATCATCTCTTTCCAAATTTCGGCTTATGGAGGTATCAAATACAGGCTCAGACCCTCCCTGTTCACAAGAAATGGATGGGAACAGATCTCACAAAGGAGATGTTTGACTTTGCGAAGGCGGAGCTGAACAAGGGATATTACAGCGTGGCAGCAGCTCAACAATCAAAGCCGATCACTCTTAATTTTGAGGAGTATGGCTAGTGTTCGAAAGTCCGGTTAGGTCCGGTTATTGGGTGCCCAGGGGCTCTAACCGAGACTGAGACTGGTTAGCCTTTGTCCCGAAACCTAAAATAACCTAACCGGACTGCAACTAACCGGTTACGGTCGGTTATTTGCAGTTACTAACCGGTTAGGACTGAAAAATAAAGAATCGGTTATAACAAGGCAAATATGCTCATATGTATCTTGATAGATATTATTTCTGCATATTCTAGCTTTAAAACAAGCCCAAGAACGCTAAAATCGGTGAAGAATTGACATATTTATGCAATTATCCTTGAAAGTCTACACATTTGAGTGATATTTTAGAGATTTGACCATAACTTAGTCAAATTTTAAGTGTTTTCGACGTTCTCAAGTGCGTTTTGAAGGTGTATAATAGGGCTGGTTATAACTGGTTATTTAACGGTTAGTTAACCGCAAAATAACCGGTTATTCCATTTTCGAAATCAACTAACCCTAACTGCGGTTAGGTTAGTGTTGCGGTTAGGTCCAGTTATTTTCCGGTTATTTTCCGGTTAACTAACCTAACTTTCAAACACTAAGTATGGCAACATTTTTATTCATCCAATCTGATCCTAATGGTTTATTGGCAGTGTACAATTTGGAATTGCTCATGGCAAAGGTGTACATAACTTCATGCCCTCAGAGAGGGATTTACTGGGGACTGTTGAAAGTCTATTCGAGCGCCTTAAACAAGAAGGCAAAATTACACCCAACAACATCAAGGACCATCAATTGACACTCTGTGTCTATGTGTGTGAAGTGGAAGTATGTTTCTACCTTTCTGTTGTCACCTTGACTCATTGCTCATTGTCGCTTGGATTTAGGATTGGGAAGAAGACGATGATGGTGGTGTTTTCCCAACTGAGAGGAGCTTGAGGTCTACTAAGTGTTCAACTGCTTGATCATCCTTACCCCGTGCAACATCCTCAAAGTGTAGCGCTTCTCATGCAGGTACATAATATTGTCATCTCTTGGATGAATACTCATTTCCTGTGCTAGGCCTCACATCAAGTTATACTAGCTCATTCCGACCCTGTAGGAACCCGGCGGTAGAAAGTCCCATTCAGGTTGAACTTGCGTATGATGAATACGAATTTGAGAGGACCACATTTACTACTGATACATATGGGAATCTTTTGGAGCATGTTAGCCTCGATACTGAGACGATCAAGATTGCCAGAGACTGGAGGAGGCACGTTAGTGACAAGCCTGCTAGTGGTTACATTTCGAAAGGGTTCATGAAGTTTGCATTTGCAGTAAGTTCTCTCTGATCTTAGGAAACCAAGTGCCTAACACTCTTTAGGGGCAAACAGGTGGGAAAATGTATGCCATATTTCAATGTAAGCTGGAACAAGTGGTTGAAGCGCAAAATTCAATCGATTTGATTGCTGAGTTGTGCCTTCTGGCCCTGGGTCAGTATTTTGCAAACTCCTTCGAACCGAGGGTAAGGGCCATGGGTGCAGCAGTTGAACCAAGTAAGTTGCTGAACCAACTGTGGGCGGGACTCATAGTTCTTGCCACCAGGCATTCGTGGAATTTTGAAGGTGCCTTTATGGGAAAGGTCACATCGGGGATGCTACCACATCCAGCTGATGGCGAAGAAGACAATCGCAGTCTCATCTACCCCATCTTTTTGGTGGCCCCACTTATCGCGACAACTGGTCTGTACAAAGAGAGGAAATTCAGTGGAAACGATCAGGCTGGCAACAATAATGATGAGGTTGGGCGTGTCATAGATGCCTACTCTCATCATGTTCTTGTCGATAGCAATGGGTTCCTGCTTCTTTCGGACTTGCAAGGTTTGTATTTCAGAATTTTCTGCTCAAGACATCGTCTAATTGATGACACTAGGTGTAGTTGGGCCTGATAAAGAGGTTATCCTTTTCGATCCTCAAGCACATTCGTAAGTTTCTGTTCAGCATCACCATGTGAATTTTGTGTTGAAGATTTCATAGTTTTACTTGTGAAACAGGCTTTTGGGATGGCGGTCGCATATGCATGGAGGAATGGCAGAAGCAACACACATGTCAGGCTCTTTGCCGAAAATTGGGACTGAAAGACGCTGTTGTTACCTTGGGTGAGTGTGAATTGACACCACCACTGGTGGAACGACCACTTCGTTTCGGATTTCCTTCCCCCAAGAAAGAAGTCCATGATTAGCATACACTCTGAATAAGTAGTATATAATAGCTGCATAAAAATGTACATATGATGAATTCTAAAGATGATCTGGGCAAGCCATTTTACATGTGAGGTAGCATTGCAGTGAAGACATTCCAAATGTTGGCCGTGGTTAGCTCCTCAACCCCGAGAGAGTTGAATACTTCTTCCGCATGTGCAGCATACTCAGGAGAGACAAACTGAACGAACTCCTCTCCCCCAAGATCCTCCATCAAACCTTGAACAACGGTAATGCTGAGTGGTTGCAGACAATTCTCGCTGCCATACTTCTCTGGGAGAGTAAATGCAATGTGTGGACTCACTCCAGAAGGGAGCTTTGACACAGTCATCTTCTTTGGCTTGTGGTCATTGTTGACTTTGCGAAAATGATCTAGCTCCTCCTGAATAAGCTTCGGCCACAGCCATTGGACTAGTTCACTAAGCGCATGAGTTGGCTTGTGAAGAGGAAGAGCATGAAGAGTATGACATACTATTGCACAGGATTTGATGAGTCGTATACTTCAGCACTGTTCTCCCAAAACATTTTGATGTTTGTTCCCCACTTATTGTGAACCTGGTTCCATCCTCGCTCAATCGTGATATTGTGGACACTTTTCATGAAACAATGTGCTGGCCCTATATTGACCTCATTGAGTTCAGGAGAAAACTGCTCCCTAGATTGACAAATATAGTCATCAGCTCTGAGCTATACAAAAAGTGAATCAAGAGTGTTACCGAAGAGCATTTGCAAGGCCGAACATGAGTGTGGTTTCCAAGCCACAATCTGTAGTGGACTGAAGGGGCATACCTGCCAACAATAAAAGTCTTAACACGACATCAACAGGCTGCGAAAGCTGCAATAACTGACCTTCAAGCTCAACAATAAGAGAAAGATACAGATAGGCGATGGCCTTGAGTAACTGATTGTTAGGAACCACCCAAAGACCCAGCCACATCTTGGACCATACATCCCGAACTCCCCAGATGGGAAAACCAATAGCAGATAGCTTGTCATGGCTGTCACAACTCCATTCATGATGAGGACCAAGGCTGATGATTAGTGTTTGAAAGTTAGGTTAGTTAACCAGAAAATAACCGGAAAATAACCGGACCTAACCGCAACACTAACCTAACCGCAGTTAGGGTTAGTTGATTTCGAAAATGGAATAACTGGTTATTTTGCGGTTAACTAACTGTTGAATAACCGGTTATAACCAGCCCTATTATACACCTTCAAAACGCACTTGAGAACGTCGAAAACACTTAAAATTTGACTAAGTTATGGTCAAATCTCTAAAATATCACTCAAATGTGTAGACTTTCAAGGATAATTGCATAAATATGTCAATTCTTCACTGATTTTAGTGTTCTTGGGCTTGTTTTAAAGCTAGAATATGCAGAAATAATATCTATCAAGATACATATGAGCATATTTGCCTTGTTATAACCGATTCTTTATTTTTTGGTCCTAACCGGTTAGTAACTGCAAATAACCGACCGTAACCGGTTAGTTGCAGTCCGGTTAGGTTATTTTAGGTTTCAGGACAAAGGCTAACCGGTCTTGGTCTCGGTTAGAGCCCCTGGGCACCCAATAACCAGACCTAACTGGACTTTCGAACACTACTGATGATGGCGCTCCGAGGAATTCTCTTGGCTGTTGGTTCACAAGCATCATATGCCTCAGAATCAAGTGCCCTCATTTCAGTTCGGCAAAACTCCCTGAGAAAAAAAAGGTAAACGACCTAGAAAGATGAAGCTGTACCCGACTATGGACCCACTGTCATGAACCATCCCACACCCATGCCCTATGCCGAGACATTCCCAAGACGAACCCTTCACCATGATGCCTTGTTTCTCCATCCCAACCCTTATTGTCTTGTTACCTTGTGATTCCATGCTCCCTTGTCTCCTCCCATCCTTATTGTACTTGTTGTTCTTCCTTGGTTGCCTTGGTATCCTTCCCTTAGGTATTTAGGTAGCTCGTCATGTACTCACTACCTCATCCTTGATATTACAAATGCACCTCTGAACTGTTTCTCTGTCCCTCGTCTCTCGTCTCTATCTCCTGGTTGAGCCCTGCTCTCAGTTATAGGCCTGTGTGGTTGAGCCTCTAGCTCCCAGCTCTGGTTGAGCCTTGCTCCTGTCTTGTTACTAACCTGGCAACGCCTCGGAGTCCGATTCAGTTCGTGATCTCACTCGCGTTCGATCCCTTTGTCTCCCCACCTCTTGCATTCTCTATATCTGATTCTGTCTCCCTTCTACCTTTCCAACAACCCCTTATACACCTCATTCTGCCCAGAACTTGTCCTGCTACGCACAGATCTCTTTTCATCAACCCAACCAACTCCGACGCCATAGTCAACTCCAGCGTCGTACCTCCTCCGACACCATAGTCAACTCCAGCACCATACCTCCTCCAGTGTTGTTCCCAACTCTGAGTTCCTTGTCCATCTGCGAGTTACCTTTGCCGCAACCCACTTCTGCACCTTCATCTAACCTTCAGGTGCATGAGAGCTTCCCTCTTAGGACAGATCCTCACACCCACCTTGTGAGATGAATACCTGTGTTCCATGCAATAGCCTCTTTGACTGTGCTAGGTCCTTGTCGTCCTGCAGGATCTTGAGCCATTTGGTCGAGGATGAGTTGGCGTTTGACGTTGGCAGGTAGTTGCTTAGTTGTCGCACCACTACCTGTAAGGCCAACCGCCTTTAATTGCTTCGCAACAGAAGCCTCTCTAGCAAAGAATTCAATATTGAAACATGATAAACAGATAGTTGCATACCCGAGCGTGATGCCATGCTCCTTTTGAAGCAACTCTGGAAGGATCTTGCAGCTTCCCAACCCCCGACGATGATAATCGCGAAGGAGAGCAGCGATGTGTGGATCGTCTGGCGGTGCTGAATAAGGACTTTAGCACTCAGGTCTAGGAGGCGGGGAGTGATCAGAACTTACAGTGATTCTTGTATTGATTTTTGCCAGTTGGGTTATTGTTCGTCGACATCAGATATAAGATGCAGATATCTAGGAAAGAGTAGTTATGAGGAGTCATAAGATGAGTCGAATGGGGGTGACGGCAACGAGCAGGACTTACCATGTATATACCAGCAAGCCATGGGATGTTCATATCAGCAGGAGGGGGCAAATATGCATCACATCGGCATGCACCAACCCTTCTGCTGCATTGAAGTGTGGTCCTGCTATTGTTCAATGCAGCTATGATGCGAAAGCACAGTTTCACTAACCATGTGCGAATCTTCTGCCACACAGAAGTGTGGTCCTGCTATTGTTCAATGCAGCTATGATGCGAAAGCACAATTTCACTGACCATAAGCTAACCTTCTGCCGTGCAGAAGTATGGCTTGCTATTGTTGATTGCAGCTGCTGCGCAAAATCAAACTTGACATGCCAACTTACTGGGCACATGACTGAGGATCGAAGACCTTTTTTCATCGTAAGTTGGCAGAAGAATTGCTATTGATATCAAGACTTACTGTCGAAACTTTTCTTCAGAGTAGAATGAGTCAGCAAGCAGAAATTATCAGTGATGCGATGATTCCCTGTACACAGCTAAAATGATCAATTTTTTTGTAAGAGCCGAGATGGAAGGGCATCACAAGTTTGGTCAAGGTAAGATATAAATAAGCAAAGAACTCGATAAAAACCTCAGATACCACAAAGAATACCATCAAGCCTTCAATGACTCACCCAAGTCGAGTTCGCTGCCCACCTGGCACACAATATGGTGAGGACCACATTTTTGTGCAACCACGACAACGGGAAATGATTTAAAACAGATGAAATCATCCTCGAAATTGATGATGCCACAGGGTGCATCCATCTCGTCGGCTATACACTCCTGTGTAACCCAAGGTTAGTGAGCCACATTCAACAGAAGTTTTGTTTGATAAGCAGCCTACCCAGTCGAATTACCCACTTGATGGACATGCGCAGGCATCCTTCACGCTTCACATCAGACAATGGTGAGGGCAGGGGAGGCCAGTTGAATGGTGGCGGTCCTCCAGCTAACAGTCATGGCTGCATCAGCCAAAACAATTAGATACCACACTGTTGGCATTACTTCCGCGCCAAGCTTTAACTCCATTACAATATCTCAAGTATGTATTGTACTTCAAGTAAACACAGAGTAGCACTTCATGACTCCATCTACAAGACCTACAAATATAACGGATCAGTATTGGAAGTTACCAATGAGAAAACAAAAACCTGCGCGATAGGTGATGTTGATGATGACGGTACTGACTGTGCATCCGACACAGACCAAACGGGTGTGCTGATCTTCAGTTTGAGAGGGGGTCGAACCCGATACGAATCGATGACTTCAAAACCACAATGCTAACGTCATCCTCAGACGCAGCAGCGAAAGTAAGTGGAGTTGCGAGGGGGTAGAAGACATTGTAAAGGTGATAGCTCAAGACATATCCTTCAAGCAACTCGTGCAGTTCTTGTTATTAATCCTCCTGATCTCGTCATTCCAACCCCCTTTGTCCATACAACTGCTCCCTTCCCGGACCTGTCATTCACTTCAGTCACCCATTTTTGGGTACCTATGAGGTTATCCAATTCTTTGAATTAGGGAACCTTAGTGGTACCCCATTCCAGAGTGGTATGACCCTCATACCAATTCCATCATACCATGGTATGGATGCCACATACCATTCCACCTCATACCATACCATACCATACCATACCATACCATACCATACCATACCATTCCATACCATTCCATACCATTCCATACCATACCATACCATACCATCATTCCATAGCTGTCACAGGGTGTCTGGGGTCCTTTTTACAAAATATGAAAATTATTTCTCCAGGCTGTAATACTGATCCATTGGGCTCCATTTTTTGTGGACTGGTTCTTCAGATTTCTTCTGACATTTTAAGCTACAAGTGGAGGCTATAGGGTGAACTTGATCTTTTGAAAATTCACTTGAAAATTAGCTTGATTGGGCTTTATCCCAGGGTTTGGCCATTTTCACTGTGGATAATCCATCACAAGCCACTTAAAAGTGTATATCTTGCCAGGCCATTTATATTCATGACAAATAAATTAATGTTGTATCCATCACAATGGCATGGCCTCTGAAGGAAAACAAGAATTTTGCAAGACTTTATTTATGGCAAAGGCCTGAACTTTACCCAAATTACTAACCAAGGCAAGGATGCCTTCTTCCGATAGAATATGTAAAAATTTGCCATTTAGAAAAAGTACGGGGTCATCCCATAGGAATGGATCATCAAAAAACTTGATTTGAGATCTCCTCATATCTGCCACTCAGCAGAGCTGGCATTGTGGGGATTTTGATTTGACATTTGAACACAAGCAGGCCAAGACTTCTAATTACAAGCTTCAAGGTATCATTATTAAATATAGCTATTCTAATTTAAATCAAAATTCTGTCTTTTATACAATTAATCAGGGATGGTGAAGAAGTCCATGACATTGACAGCAATATGAACAAATGCTATGGACATTCACCTATGAGGGAGCAACTTGGGAGATGCTCTTGGAACAGATTGCCAATTCCTTATCCCACATGTCTTCAGAATCATACAATAGAGATGGAATCATACCATGAGTATGGAACCATACCATACCATGGGCATGGAATCATACCATGGGGGTGGAATCATACCATACCATGGAAATGGAATCATACCATGGGGGTGGAATCATACCATACCATGGAAATGGAATCATACCATGGGGGTGGAATCATACCATACCATGGAAATGGAATCATACCATGGGAATGGAATCATACCATACCATACAGAGATTTGCTTACAACACCCCATACCATGGTATTGCACCCCCATACCATACCATGGTATTGCACCCTTATACCATACCATGGTACTCCACTCCATACCATACCATGTTGTTTGATGTTTGAGGTGCTGTTCTCAGGATCCAGTGTGAATTTCTAAATATGGAAGGTGTGGCTATGCTCAATAAAAAAGAGATTGATGGGATAGATGCTTAAAATATCACAGGAACCATAATCTATGCAGAGGAAGGCAGAAAACCCTCATTTCGAAGTTTGTTTACATATATTTACCAATAGCTTTAACCAAAGTAAGGCTACAAAAATTGTAGTGTCCGCTTTTTTCATTAGAAAAGACAAGCTTAGTTAGAAAACTTTGTAGTGCGCACTATTTCCTAATTGGGAAAAGTGTTACACTTTTTTCTGCCACACCTAATGTAGTGTTGCTGGAGCTCGGCTTTGCCCAAAGCGGGCAGTGTGGGAGCTTGGAGCTGAGCTAAGCTGCCAAAATGATGGCTCCAGTTCAGGCACAGCGGCTCAAATCATGGCTAGCTAGCAGCTCATCACCGAAAAAAGGAACCTTTACTTTAGTGTTGCAGTTACAGTCAAAAACCTTTAATAAATGAATGGAAGTAATCCAAAGGATAACCATCACTCTCTCAAGTACCCTGATGTCTCTTTGTCACTTTTTCTGGCCATAAAATTTGAGAGATCTGGTTACCTGTATGTGTGACAGCATTTGTTTGTCACATGTCACAACCAAATAGTCACATATATAACATATCAGCTCTGTACATGCGAGCTCTTGCTTGACAGCCTTCAAAGTTGGCAGAATAATTAGCTACATCAGTGTCCATATTGAGGTCAATTTTCAGAGTAAGAAGGCTTGTACTGTCAAAGCTATAGTTTTGTTTGTATTGTTACTTCCAAAATAGGATACAAGCCGTGGCTGAGCCAGCTATCCCATCAAGGAGCTGGCTCATAAGCAGGGTGCAGCCGCTGGGGACGCCCAAGCAGTGAGAACAGCTCTGCTTGGCTACTTTTGGCTTGGCTTGCGTGGCTCAGCCAAGCCGAGCCAAGCTCCGGCAACACTAACCTAATGTCAGGCACAGTGCACATTTAGGTTGGGAACTGTTTCCCATGCTCTTTGGGCCACAAGAGTTAGTGGCTAGCTTAGTGTTGTCATTGTTAATGATGATGTGCGCACTATTTCCTAATTGGGCCATTTCCTAATCAGGAAAAGTGTTACACTTTTTTCTGCCACACCTAATGTCAGGCACAGTGCACATTTAGGTTGGGAACTGTTTCCCATGCTCTTTGGGCCACAAGAGTTAGTGGCTAGCTTAGTGTTGTCATTGTTCATGACGATGTTCGCATATTTCCCAATTGGGAAAGTCATTACATAATACCACTTCAGTTTGTAGTCTCCGCTTTTTCCATACCATGGTATGATGGAATTGGTATGAGGGTCATACCACTCTGGAATGGGGTACCACTAAGGTTCCCTAATTCAAAGAATTGGATAACCTCATAGGTACCCAAAAATGGGTGACTGAAGTGTGTCATTCGCCTTAATTATAAGCGAAATGTTGATTATGACGCGGTTTGACAATGAAGAGTCTCTGATAGCCACAATAGCCAAACATCACAGAATTAGCACATGGGTGGTGCAAGGAGTTGGCAAAAGCCCAGCCGGTTCTGTGTGCATGAGGCAAGGGCGTGGCAGGTAGTTTTGAGTGGTGTCGCCGATGGCAGTGGTTGAGCGTGGAGGCCATGTAGAGACCCCCCGCTGGCGATGATGCATGGGGCATTGACGGTGGTTTGTTGGCATTGATGGCAAAAAAGATGTGAACTTCTGCCTTACAGACACCTCCAACCTGAAGGGGTTTGGCTCCATCAACCATACGCAAGGCATTAGAGAGATGAACGAGTTTGGGGTCTCCGCCAATTGCTGCAGGGAAGATTGGCTTCATGGTGGCCTGCAAAAGCAAAATAAAAATGGGAAGATTTGCAAAGAAATATTGATGCAATCTGCAACATACCTTCCAACCAGTGATGATAGTGAAATCCAATAGTGGGGCGTGAACACTCTCGATTTTGGCGCACACATGGCCAAGCATGGGCACCCCAAACCTGCAGCAGTGCCAAAGCAAACACCCACAAAGGGACTCGGCAAAACCAGAGTGCCTATCACATGGTGCTGAAGCCTCAGCGAAGCCAGAGTCGGACAAATTCCAAGTGCCAGTGGGCTTGAGCCAACGACAATGACACGCCTGCAAGGCACGTGAAAGTCGTGACATGTCACAATATCTTCCTTATATGTCGTATCCTCAGCCTTTCATCATCCGAAGATATTTTATTATTTTCACAATTGAAGCTGTAGTCAAATGCTGAAGTTATTGAAGAAGAAATTTTGAATTTCTTCTTCATTTCCTCACTAATGTTATCCCTGAATAATTTATATGATTTATTCTCAATTTCCAAGAATAAATCAATGTCCTGAATGAAACAAGAATATGGGGATTGGAAAAAAGTTTCAGAAAAAACATAAGGAGAAAACATAAGGAGATACATAAACTAATAGAATATGCTGACGTATATACATGCGAAATGTGAATGACATAGCTCAAAGGGGAGTTGAACCAGGGCAACCAAGGCTCTGACGTTTGAACGCATCATGAAATCTTGGCTTATACACCTGGTGCACCGTACCTTGTCATTTCACAGCAAACCTGACAAGATGATGCTGGGAAAATCCGGAGGGCAGTTGCCTTACAAGGCAACCAGACGTCTGATGTAATGATTATTTCCATGTTACAAGCTTGATTATCTCCGGTAAGGTGTGATAAGGCAAATCGGGTCTGATAAGATTTGTCCAGCCTCGTAACATAGGCTCCAATTGCCTCTGCAGCCAGGTCAAGGCTATGAACCAATTATTGATTTTTTGTGTCTTATAAGGTTATCTGTATCCTTTTGATCATGTTCAGCTCAAAATGTTACCAAATTCCATACAGAGAGTAAAGATAATGCTGTTGTAAGGTAGGCTTAAATACTAGATATATGGACGACCTTGGGAAGTTTCTTATATGCCTTTGTAGTGTAGTGGTATGTTGCAACTACAAATTTGTAGTCTTCACGTGAGGATTGCACAAGCCCCGAGGTTTTGGCTGGCTGACCATGTCTGTGGAGAATAGCGGATACGGACACTGAGTTTGAAAAATATTTTATGTAATCGTCACATGATCAATGTTATCGTCTCTCTCAGCCACGACGGACTTAGATTCTGGATCACTACACGTCGAAAAACTGGGGGACCATCCTCAAACCTGTTTGGAAGCACCCGGGAACTTACAAGGTGCGTAACTCCCCAGAGACTTCTTTCCTCGCGCTGTTGCTGATGCAACCGACATCTGAACAGACCACAATTTGTACAGGAATTCACATCGGATATGGAAAACATTTTTGGGAAACCACTCAGGTGCGTAAGCTATCTCTTGTGATCATTGAACATACATACTCACACTCCTTCAGCCAAATTTCAGATTCTCGTTACCCCTCCCCATCTCTGGTTCTACTGACAATTTAAACTCCCCCCCTGCCGACCATCGCACGCTTTCAGCAGCAGAAGCTGTACCATCCGGCTCACCTTCCGTGGCACACATACCTTCTACGACTTATCCAAGCCCTCTTGCGGCCACCACCCCATCTGCTGCTTCACATACACCCCTTCTTGGACCTCCTGAGGCGGCTGTTTCATCTGGCACCTCATTGACCGCTCTATACGCAGTCACCACGCACCCCTACAGCCTCAACTACATTACCTCCCCTTCCTGAATGTAAACGCGACCACAATACCTCCCCTTCCCGAACCGAATGTACAGTACCTCATCATATTTGGCATATATATCATTTGAAAAACATATTACAAACATCAAGTTGCCTGTGCCCACAGCTAATATGCCATACTTGTATTACACTTACCCATGGCTTGTAGGATATATACCCCGAGGCGTTGGTGCATGGGTTGGCAGCTGGGAATTTATGGCCACGCTGTCGCCTACCAACATGTTGGAAATACCGAACATGCCGCAAGTGCACCCTCATTTGACCCTCATCAATTTCCCCAGAAACCAGAAAGTTTCAATGCCGTGATTGTGGGGGTGAATTGTCAAGGAATAAATGCAATGTAAGATGGGTTTCGAGGGCTGGGAATACCTATCTTATCATAGAGATATATATATCTGATCTGACCGTACCTTCTGTGTAATCTAAGCGAGTATCCAGCTTATATAACGCAAAATAAATCTAAAAGGAGGAAACAAACCCTGATGATCTCGCAAATCTAAGCGAGTATCCAGTATCCCGCTTTCCTACAGCTTGCAAACACTCACAGAACGCACTGCCACACCTCAGCAGAGTGTTCTACAGGTTGCTCGCTTGTGTGATTGCACGCCGTGTTGATATTGTGAGGTTAGGATCCTCCCTTCCTCCTCTTCTCTTTTTCTTTTTTCTTTTTCTTTTTATTTTTTATTTAGCCCACAAACACCGGTATCCGGCCGAGGTTTTTGGTTCAATCCTTACGTGTTGCATTTTAATTTGCCACGTAACATTGTTAAGTCTAGACTGTGACTATTTATAATTTGGATAATCTTATCAGGCCTGATAATCTGATCTTATTAAGTTAACCCAAAACTTAATAAAATAACTGCAACGTTGTAAGCCATTATTAGGTTAGGGGTGCCTTGGGTGCCTAATAACCCTTATTAGGCGCCAGGGAAATTTCCGACAAATTGTGAGTGGAGCTGGACCCTTTGTAAGTAGCACAAATTGTATTTGGTTTTGGTTGTGGACCGACATACCATAGTGCTAATGGACCAATAGCAATTACAAGTTTGAAGTGGTTTTACTACAAACCACATGATGAATTGATGATATGCTCCTACCGGATAGCGGTGAGGACTGAGGTGTGATTAGATGTACGATAGGATCCATACTACCCTACTTTTCTACTACCGATTGCCAGCATCAATGAAAAACGGCGCTTCTAGTTATACATACGATAGATATATGATACAGGTTAATGGTGCAGTGATGCTAGCAGCGATGGTTTGGGTAATTGGTCAAGACTGATAGTTGCCTAATTAGATGGATGGTGATAGCAGTGCGCGATGCGGATGGCGACAGGGATGACAGCGATGTTGAGGATTAATGCAGAATCTGGGAATGGTCCACCATTACGCCGCTTATCCGATTGTAAACCGCTTCAGGGTATTGTCTAATAGAAAGGCAGGTGAACCATCAAAAACTGGGGGTCCAAGGAGCAACGTACCTAGCTCTAAGGCGTTCAAGAAGGTCAGTAGCTTTATCCCGGTTTCCGGCACCTAGCTCAGCACGAACCATGACCTCCCATGTCGAGGGCTGTAAGACGAATCAGATATCAAATTCTCAGACAAACATTGTGGACTATGTGCTTACCTCACGATACACAGGTTCCGTCGGACTGACAATAGGTGCATCAGATGGATTATGTGGAGCATGGTTATTGGGAGCAGCAACCCCGGTGGCCGGATCCGTCAGCGATTCAAAGATCATTCTCGCTTGCTCCATGTCGCCAACGTTAGCGTAACCTTTAATCAAAAAGTTCGCAATGTACGCCGTCATATGCACACCCGCAGCCGTCATCTTGGAGATGTACTCTGGCATGAGTTCGGTCCGGCGGTGGGCCACGAGAGCGTTGATAAGGGCCTCAAATACAACTGCATCGGCGAGTGTTGGGCCGTATGAGGGTATTGAGTCAAAGACTTCAATGGCCTTATCGAGATCCCTCTGAACACAACCATACGCGTTGATCAGTGAGCCAAAGTGCTGACCAAGGATCTGCACTCGTGGATCATCGCAAAGTTGTTTGAAGACGCCTTCCATCGCTGGGATGTCTACTGGTTCAAGCGTACCATATGTGTCGAGGAGTAGCTGAGGAAAACGTTAGTATGTAGCAAGATGCGTCAAGGAGCGTACATACCTTGTACGTGTGAGCTGTTGGGGCAATGCCTGCCCGGAGAAGTTCATTGTAAAAGTAGAGAGAGCGCTCCCGGCTGGGCTTCGTCGTCGTGTAGAGCTGCATCATCGTATTGTACGGTGGGACACGTGGGCTGAATCCAGGAGCTTGAACCATCTCCGTGAACAATGTCTCAGCAGAGTGAACGTCACCAACCCTGGCACAAGCACCAATAACAGCACCGTACGTGATGGAAGATGGACGTACCCCGCTCTCCTTCATCTGCTGGAATAGCTCCAAAGAGTGGTCTGCCTTGCGCGCCTTTGACAGTTTTGAGATGATGTTGTTGTAGAGGTAAATATTAGGGCGGACGCCGAGCTTCTGGGACTCATTGAAGAGTCTCAATGCATTGGACGCGTCGTCCGTAGTGTCCTTCACATAAAGAATCAGGGCTCCGTAGGCGTCAGCAGAGGGTGCTGCGCCGAAGTCCAAAATTCTCGAACGATGGATGTGGGCTGCGTCCAAATTACCAGCATGCGCGAAAGCGATGATCATACTATCTTCGATCGCAATCCAGCCCGCATCACGGTGGTCCTTGAGATGCTCCATGGACATCAGGCAAGCTTGGGCAACGGTATAGAGCTCCTGGACTTTGTCGAGCTCGTTCAACCTGCCATGAGATTGTATGAGCTTCCCTGTTGTCTGAGGCAAAGTCACAAGTCCCCGTTCAACTCCGGCCATGAGAAGGTCATAGGCTGTTGACGCGCGTTGGGCTGGGGAATATTTGGTATCGCGCAGCGCCGTCTCAACGGTGCGGTTTAACGACGTATTGACATTGAGCCTGCCGTAGTCCTTGGTCATCTGCGTTTCGGGTTCCTGCAGAGGAGGCGGGGCAATGTTCAAAGCTTCTTCCAGAGCCTGATACCGAATTGTCTCGAAGCCCTGCAGGGCTTCGGCGTAAGAAGGTCCCAATGAAGTAAACAAGGATTTGCACTCCTCATGGCCAAGTTGGGCGGATAACAGCTTCATCGTGCACAAACGAACATTCTCGTCGAAGGATTCGAATGCCACATCACGTTGCGCAACGTCAGTCAAGAGGGAAGCAAGACCAGTGAAGGCATAATTGGGGATGGTGACCTCTTGACCTTGCTGGGCCAAAGTCTCAGCATGAACGGCGCAATTCAAAAGAATAGCCCAATCTTGTGTATTGATGTCGTCCGGAAGTTGGGAAGTTTGCTTGGCGTGTCCAAACGAGTGGAGGATGTAAGGGGCGTGATCAGCGGATACTTTGAGTTCGAGGTTAAACGTTAGCCGCAAAAGCTCTAGGGAGGCGACGAAAGGGAGATGATCCTGTCGAAGCGTGAGAGTGCTATAGACTTGGTTCGAAAGGCTGACGAGCAAATTTTGGAGCTCGGAAACCACGCCCACAGCCCCGGCACGGTCAGCCTTTTGGAGGAATTCCAGCTGTTGAGTGTACAGCTGACCAAAGAGAGTGACTGCCGATTGGTACAACCCTCTCGCAACATATTCCTCGCAGATTCCAGCCAACATCTGGCGTCTCCGATGCTGCCACATATCGGGAGAGATCACATTGATAGCGAGGAAATCCAAAACCTCTGCGGCTTTCGCGTCGTCCCATTCCTTGATGTGGGCCATGTTTACGGAAAACAAGAAAGTTCTGTCGATTCGGCGGACTATTATACCATCCGTCTTCGCATCCTGCAGCATGATTTTGAACAACCGGTTAAAATCGTCCACCATACCAGCCTTTGCTAGAGCATCAAGCATGACCCCCCAAGCGACTTGGTCGGGCTTGATGGGCCCTCCGCAATAAGCTTCGAAAGGTCTTTGGACATAAACACCCATAGCAAGTAACCTGTCGAACCAATTAAGCGCTGTCTGCACTTGTCCCGTGAGGCAGAATCCACTTAGGATAGTTGTATATGTCGATGAAGCTGGGGGAGGGGTGTCGCCGGGCCCGAAGCTTGACCCAGCAGTGGTGGCAAGCATGTCATCTAGGATTCCTACAGCCTTTTCGGGAAGGTCAGCACGGAAATACGACTCGATCATCTGATTCCAAATTTGCAAAGTTTCGGACTGATGCCCTGTCAAAGGTCGATGGGAAGAATTCCAAGCGAGCCGTTCTTCCTTACCGGCCTGAAGGAAATCTTTGAAAATTTCCTCTGCGCCTTGGTAGTTACCAGCGTTTGTGAAGACCTGCAGCATATATCGGTACGTTCTAACATCCGGAAGAATGTCTTTACGACGCTCTAGTTGCTCGAAGACATGAATGGCCCCTTCGACGCTATTGTGGTAGGAGCATGATCGGATAAGGTTGGCATAATGAACCAAATCAAGCTGTGCATTTTTCTGGGTGGAGAGGACAGCCTCAAAAAGCGCCATGGCCTGGGAAAAGTTGCTCTCAGCGCGGAGGCTTTCTAATCTCTCCTTCTCCCATATTCCATTGCTGCGTTCAGTGGAACCGCTGAACTCGATGCGCTGCAACCTAGCTTCCAGCGAGACCGACATGCGTCGCACTTCGTCATCTCTCTGGGTTAAAGCTTCAATGAGAAGTGCATATGTCTTGATATTGGGTGACAAGGATCGCAGGAGCATTGCATTGTAGGTTTCGACGACAACATTCAAGGGTTCCCCTTCTGGACGCGTTGCAATCAATGCAAGAAGAGCGGCGTTGAAATCCGAGGTCGTTGGATCTTTTGTCGTCTGGATAAACTCGCGGACGAGATCTGCTGCGAGGAGTGCATCCTTGGTTGTAGATACTTGGGTCAGCTTGTAAACAATATCCTGTTGTGTAGGGGGGTTCGCCTGCGGTGGTAAGACAGTCTGAGGAGTAGCAGGATCCGTTGACAGGCGCTCGGGAGTAAGAGGTGGAGTAGGAAGGTCTGCAACAGCGGCTTCTGCCTTACTGTCGTTTTGCACAGATATTGAAAGACGACGGACTGAGCCGACGGGGGAAGAGGGTCTTGAGACTTCACTCGAAACGGAGTTCCGACGCACAAGTGGAGATCGAACAGATTTTTCTGCAAGATCAGTAGTGGGAACCTGTGCCTCATACTCTGCACCAGCTGTTGCGCTCGTGCCAAAGGCATGGCGAGAACGAGCATGCAGCTGAACAGTCTTCAGTACACCAAGCTTCTCACCGCGTTCACGACGACCTGCGAGACTCAGGGACACGCTCGAGCTCCGTATACGCGGGCGCTTCGGAGTGCGTAGGATAGAACGACGAGATGTAAACTCCTCCGTGTCGTCTGACTGTGTGAAAGTGCCATCTTGAGAGGTCATTACATTGGCCTGCGTCACCGCACGACCTGCTCCCTGTTATCATTCGTTGAGGTGAAACTACCCCCAGAAGAAAAAAACTGCAGACTTACGTTGTAGCCGGGGTGAAAACGACTCCCTGCGTTGTATTTTGCACCTCCAGGTCCTGGCCCATTTCCCCAACTTGAACCTGAACCCGAAGAAGGTCCCGAAGACTGCAGCTGCAGAACATTTCTGATGGCGTGGGTTTGGTTCTGAACTGCCGCGGCAGCACGAGTTGTGCTGTGGAGAATGTGGGTGGCAACTTTAGGTAACATGGCCTGTGGACAGCCCCAGGGCAAACTCCTGGGCCAATTTCGATGGCGTGGTCGTTGGGAAAGCCACAATTTGAGAGGTCGCCCTCGTCTTGACTGATGATGTGACGAGTCAAGCCGGCAAGAAAATATCACAGCAACCGGGTATTCCCGGAAGGATGTGCCCTCCAACAGTGATACACGTGGAGTTTAGCCAAAAACTCTTGCAAGCTCAAATTACAACTTACAACGCTAGATTTGCGATTCCTTGCCCCAGGCGCACGAAAATTCTGGCTTGAATCACTTGGCCAGACAAAGGCCAGACTCCTGTGTCTAACTCCTTGGTACATACATGGGATAGACCCAATCAGAAGGTTACTCAGTATTGATTGAATTTCGAGTCACCTTTTCAGCCCCACGCAATCTCGGAGCGATGCCAGGACAAGTGGCTTTTACCTCTCCGTATCCCTCAACAACACTGTCCGCCAGAGCTTTAAAAAGTGCGCCCTAGATTGTAACCTGGCATGCTGGACCACCCTTCCTGGTTGACAAGCTCGCAAGCCTAGCTGTTCTTACTCTCCTTTTATTGCTTTTTCGTCATCATGCGTACCGGACTACCTACTCAGCTCCACCAGTCCCAGAGGCTTTCCCCTCATGGGAAGCATTTCAGGTGCTCCAAAACAGCACTATTATTTGAAGTATCGAGAATGGTGCCGCTCGCTCAGTGGGTCACTACGCATTAACTTGACTGAGCTGACTGGGAACTATCGACTTCCTCCCAAATTTAAATATGTCCCGTCGTGGTTTCCTGGTGCCAACTTTGAGAGAGACCAGGCGTGGAGGAAGGGCGTTCTAGCGTTTCCAGAGGCTCTGATAGCCTTTTTTTTTGAATTTCTTAATTCTTTTTACGACTGCTACGATTGGGCGAACAAAATAATCGCGTCGTCAATTGCGTCCCAATTAATATCAACGTTGACAACCGATGATCATCCTCAACACAAAGACAGAGTTCTGAGGGATGTTCTGGGCGAGATGCACGGTGGCGAGTAATCATTTGGAGCTTGAATTTGGGATTTGGGCGACGGATCTATCCTAGCAGGGCCGTAGCCTACGATTCAATATGATTGGTCGTGAGCTCGTTGTTGGCCGCATTTGATATTTCCAGGGCAATGGGAGAAGATGGACATGTAATTGAACTTTCTCGAGAATATGAAACAGGGTTGTTCAGGTACGTTTTTCCATGTGCATATGACCAAAGTTCGTCGATGTTTGCCGCAACTCTGATCAAGCTATCCGGTCCCCTTTCCTTCTACATTCAAGCCGCGAAATTCAGCCGTGCTACAGCGGGTCGATTTTTTGGCAGCTTCCGACTTGAACTTTCCCGGCAATTGCCAGTTGGAATTGTCTTTTATGCATCATTTTTTGAACGAGTTTCAAAGCTTTGTTACTCGAATCGCAGAAAACAAACCTATAGATAATTTTACATAAATATCAGCCCTTTTTTCGTTTAAATATGTACATGAGTGTTAACTTGTAGAATAAAGAAGTCATACCACAGAAGGTACCGTCCTGTATAAACTGAACGGAGCCTAGATATAAGAGGCGAGGTAGCAAATGGATGATAGTTACAAAAGTTGTGTGCTTTGCTGCAATTATTAACTAAACCGTAGAGGACGGTGGCGGCGTTAGTTGGATAGTAGGACCCTGTGTTTCAACATCAATCTGGTAAAAACAACTCAAAAGAGGGAATACCGACCTGGTGTTTGACGTCTTCCCATTCGTGCGGAATATCCTCTTGGTCCCTATCGGTGTTGACGACCGAAATCATCTCAATTGTAATCATTTGAATGGGAAAGGACTAGATGTAAACACATGAGTAATAACGACGAGGGAGAAATATCAGAATCAACATTAGCTTGTTTTGCCTGTTGTGTGAGCGAAGAGTGGTTTCTGCTATCTATTGAGGATGGTCGACGTGCGTTCAGTCTAGGGTTGTGTCAACCATGGTTCAATCAAGGGAGCACTGTAAAAATCATACGCTGAAAGGAACGAATTGGAGTACACTTTTCGAAAGAGAATAAGTATCACGGTTAACGAAAGCCACGCGAAAAGGAACGCACATTTTGCGAGGATTGTGTATATGGCAACCCAAACGTCTGCACCGTAATATTTAAAAAAGGAAACCAATTGACTTGAGAAGCAGCCTCACAGGTCTCCCTCATAGTGAGGTACTGTCAAGCGACGACGAAGGTAAAAATTTAAGCCTTGAATGAGTTAGTAGTTAGAAGGTACTCACGCAAACAAGCACAGACGTTGCCGTGATACTATCCATTCTATTAGTTTTCGGTAAGATTGGATGGGATGATTGGCCCTTACCTAGTAAGAAGGCCAGTTCCTTTCAAAAGGTTAATGTTGTCTGTGACAGCCAACTCTGGAGGTTACGTACGGATTGTAAAGGCTGCGGTTCGCTCAATGATTTCTGAAAAAGCCCTGCACAACGATGACTTTGTATACGAGCTAAATGTCAACGACTAAGTTCGCACCTAGAGATAGTTTCTCGCCGTTTTTTTAATAAAAACGATACCAATGTAACCGCAATGATGATGTCGATTATGGCGCCGGACGACAGCAACACTGTGACCAAGGCAAAAGAGTGTGTTCTCCACTGCCCAACGTCTTGGGTAATGACTCGCTGACTAAATACAAAAGCTCCAACGCCTCGTAGATTTGCAATCACGATGCAAAAAATGCCGATGTAGCTGAATGGCTGGGGAAGTAGTTTGTAGAGGCGCCAGGAGAAGAAGCTCTAGATATGTTTATCTGCTATTAGCCTTGTACACAGTGAAGCAATTTTAATCAAATCAGACGCACCTGCACAACCGCCGTAATTAACCCTCCGAGAATCACTGCAACTCCGAGGCCGACGAAACGAGTCGATTGGGACCCGTTGACCGTCGCGATATACATCACGGAGGACACGCATATTGATTGTCCAAGCTCCATAAGCCTAAGTGTTTTTGCCTTAGCGCATATTTATCACGAGGGTAGCAAGAAAAGTTGACCAGTTCAAAGCAACCTATGGGTGAGAGTTGGGGAGATGAGCCACCACCCTCAAGCTTTAGCAACAAATTTCTCACCAGCGTTTTGAAGATAGCCGCATCGTCTGGATAACGTTTCACATACTGAAGACACTGCATAGTGACGATTCCGAAGAGCAACGTCGAGACAGTAATCGCGATTTGAAGAGCGCCAAGAGTGTTCCCTACAGTGACCTGCATCCTTGCGCTGGAAAGCGAAATATCGGAAGGTGGCTACACAGGAGGCTGTAGAAGATGAAGGAACTCAACAAGTTCAGGTTAGTTTCGTTCCTGCTTACTCTGGGTATATGTAGTCTTCACCACGCATCCCTAATCCAAAAATTGAAACATACTTACCATAGCCATCATTTGACATTTGAGAGATGACATCGCAATTAGTGATGTGCCAGGCCCGGCCCAAAGCCGTAAGCCAGCCAGAGCCAGCCGTCCCAAAGCCGGGCCTTCTTGGGCCGTCGTCAAGGCCCAGGAAAGCCCAAGGCTCAGGCTCACAATGCATGAAGCCTTGAGCCGTGGCCTGAGCCATGGCCTCAAAGATTGGTGGGACCTTGCTTTGGAGGGGTACGGTTGGTATGATTAAGTAGTTGAAATTTGAATAGAATGCCAGCACGGAAAGGCGGTAACTCACAAGTAACTCACTGTCCAAAATTTTCCCATCGCGCAACATACTCCGATACATTCTCGGCTGCGTCTTGCAATAAAAACCAGTAGTTGCGGCCAAACATCGGTTTCGAGTCCTGATTTTCAAACCGAATTCTGTATACCAATGACGTTCCTGTCAAGCATACAACGCGCCTTTGGACAGTCTCAAAAGTGTGGTGCATGCAAAGTTGCATTGAGACGATGTCAAATGGTTGCACGAGTTTTTCAGGGGAAAACGCGAGGCCTGGTGTAACAACCCAGTGCAGCAAAACTAGCTCCGAACCACGAACCATGCATTGCCTCCCAACGTCAACACGCTTGATCCTCCGACACCGCTGCGATATCTGAGCGCACGAATCCATTAACTCCCTATTTCCAAAATGAAAGAAAAACGCACCAACTCCAAGCAACTCCCTCACTTGCGCCTTTGCCCACTTCGTCATATTCCCGTGACACCCCATATCCAGCACCTTGCCATGCTGAAACCTATAAGTTAAGTTAAGGGAGGTATGACGTGCGAGGTGAACTGTACGGTGCATGGTCAGGAGCTTCGAAGAAAGTGATAGAGGAGACATACCGTAAACTCCAAAGAACTTGCGATAAGTTTTCGACTAATTGATTGTTTGTGCGTATTTTTCGACTTTAGCACCTGAGCCGTGGCTTGAGCCTGGGCCGGGCCTGAACCAGCCTGAAGCCTTGCAAAAAGCTCAGGCTTGAATATAGTCAAGCCTGAGCCGCTGAAAGCCGGGCCATAGCCGTGGCTTTCGGGCCAAGCCGGGCCTGCACATCACTAATCGCAATTCGAGAGCGCTGGTTATAAGGAACTTCCAGTCCCGACTAGCCTGCTGTCATGAATGCACAGCTAAACTGAGCTTGTCGTGTATATCGCGCATTTCGAATTGCCCCCGAGAGTCAAATTTCGGGAATCAAGTCAAGTAAAGTAGCCTGGAGTAGCTTGAAGTACAAAACCTCGCGCACGCGACGTGCTCTTCAAGTCAGTACTTGACGGGTGTTGATATCGGCGGGACGGCACCACCAGGTCAGTGTTGTGATCGCCCAGGTCTGACTGGCCGTCGTCAAGTGGCAGTTGATCATGATCGGTTGATCAGTCAAGGTTTCTGTGAGAAGTGGCGGAGTGGCGGAGATTGGGCGGGGAGTAATAAAAGCGGTCGCCTCCTCGTCGATGTTTCGGTCCTTGTTGATGGTGTGTAAAGTCTTACGCCCTATTTCTTCCCATCTGTGTTAGTCGTTGCAATTCATGATATTATTGATCATTTCAAATAAATTTAGGCGAGCAAGACAAACGCGACAGCCGCTATGTACGTATATATGCAGCGGGTGGATCAGGCCCTGCGTCCATTCCCGAGTTTGCAGAGTTTCTGGTCAAACAAATAAGAACTGACCAGCTATCGCACCACAGAGCACAAGCACAATCGCAGTGTACTTGTGCGTAAACCTGTAAAGCACGACGAGTGTGACGAGGTACAAAACAGCTGCTATAGAATCTTGCGTGGCCACGGCCAACACACCATCGGCTGTCGTTGGCTTGACGCGGCCAGTGCTGCCTACACTGTCTCTTAAAATTTGGATGGCTACGATTGCGATTACGCCGACGATGGAGCCACATATACCATCGAAGAATGCGGCGAGGAACTACGGTGAGAATCAAGAAGAAAAATCAGAATCATTAAGTGAGGCACAACAAAAATTGCTCACTTGGTTATGAACAAGTTTTTCGAGCACAGGGTGTCCAATGATCGTCATTATAAAGCAGGGGAAAAACATGCCCAGCGTTATGACTGTCGCAGAAGCAAACGCGTATCCTAGACCACCATGGAGGTAACCCCCTTGGAAACCTACGAATGTTGCAAAAATTACCAATGGTGCCGGTAAAACGTTCCCAATAGCAATACAGTCAATGAAAGCCTGCTCTGGCATCCAGCGACCCAGCAGGACGGCCTCAACATGGATGAAGGGGATTGCAGTGTATGCTCCGCCAAAGGAGAGACTTCCTGCGACGAGCCCAAGGACGAAGAGATGTGCAAGGTCAGGGACGCGAGCCACGCCAAGTGCGAGTGCGAGTGGAGATGGAACACCTCTGAAGACGACGTAGAGGGCGTAACCTACATATTGGAGGGTGAAAAGAAGACCTGCAATAAGCCAATACCGCCGGACGAGGGCCATGTTGATGAGGCCGTAGACACCGAGTGATATGAACCTATGGAAGTACAATCAATAACAGCACGAGTTAAGTTAGCTGAATGAGCGCGCGCACCAATTAATTCGTAGGGCGCTATTGATCGCAGTCAAAATTGCGAAAGCAAAGAGCCATGGATTAGGTTTCTTCGTCTCGTGTGAGAGGAGTGCATGTTCAGAAATCTTATGCGTGGCCCGTAGAATCTGGGTTAGAAATTTAGTGTCTGTACGTTCAGATAGAAGAGAAGTGACTTACCATGGCTGCCACCATCGGCTGCAAAGCCCTGAAACTTGCATTAAAATATACGTTCCCAAAGCCCACTACAGCATAGACGTAGCTCGCCACCAGCATGAGCACGAACCCCGGTAGTATAAACCCGATGCCCGCCGCCAGCCCACCAATCCTCCCGCCCGCCAGGCAGCCGAAGAACATGCACAATTCCGCTGCTTCAGGTCCAGGAAGGATCTGATACACAGCGAAGACGCGGTTGAATCTCGCAAGGGTAATCCATTGGTCTCGGACGACAAGCCGTTCTCTGATCAGCGCAATCTGGGCGACGGGACCACCCCATGCAAAAAGCCCGAACTGGGTGAAGAAAAGCCAGAAGATGCGGAGAACTGAGAGATTTGGAACGTGAGAGTTGTCTGTGTACTCGTTTTGGAAAGGAGGATGTCGTGGGAGTGCATTTTCTATATCTGAAGCCCTTTGTTCAATCTCCCCTTCCTTGCTGGGGGTTAGAGAGGCAACAGCTTCGGTGACAGACATAAAAAACCAGGACAAAAACTTGGTACGAATGACATTGGGTTTTTATATCCTCGTCCACATTGAGTTGGTGTGAACGTCAGTTACGTATCAGGAACGAACAATCGATAAGGATACAGTGCATTACTAAGTCTGGCACAGTAGTCCTTAGTGCTAAGTAGGTTGGCGCTAGGTGCCAACTTAACGCGGTCAGGGTTCAAACGTTCAAGGCCCTGACAAGGCAAGTTAACAACTTTCCAGGGCAGTTCTAACTTTGGTTCTAACGCTTTCTAACGGTGAAAGCGTGAAAGAGTTTCCGCTTTAGGAAGCCAAGTCCACTTTCTTTCAAAAGCGGTTATAGCTTTCAAAAGTGGCGAAAGTCTTAGCGAAAGTGGCGAAAGTCTTGGCGAAAGTGGCGAAAGTCTTGGCGAAAGTGGGCAAAGTGGACTGGGAAGTGGCCGTAAAAAAGGTTGAAAAGAGAGATGAAAGACTAATAGAAGGTCATGTAAAAAGACCATAGGATTTCAAAACATTAATAAAAACAGTAGCAATCCACTACGTACAAATCTTTGGGGCCGTCATCGCCTCATGGTCACCCAGAGGCCACATCTCACTCTCCAATGCTACCGCTCTCCGCATACTTGGCATCTGAGTCCGCCTTGTCCAGAACTTGAAAGAGACATTGTCCATTGTCGGCGAGGTCGGGAGCGCGTCAATACGGTAAGTAAACTGGAGCTTAGCCAGGTCGATGTTTTGACGTACAGGAGGCACTTGTACTTTATGAGGCATATCAATGAACGAAATGAATAATGACGGGGGTCGAGTGAATTGCGTACCCACTCGACGAGGACCCAGACAACCAAACCATCCATATCCCGCACCTCCACGATGATGGGCGTCCCCAATTTGCTCGACGGAGCTTACTAGACCCTCGAGGTCGGTTGGTTCTTAGCGTGGTTGTACATCTACATCGGGTTCTGAAACTCCCGACGAACGCCTCGGCGACGCATGTATCATCCGGGTGTGTGTTGAATCATCCGTCCTTGTTATGTGCTTGACTAGCTATATATCTACGAAAGGTACATATACCCGATTACGAGTTCGGCACGTCACTCGTGTCCCCTTATGCGTTTTTTCGACGACGGTTTCGCTTTCGCTCGCTGTGCAGTCAGTTCGAGGCCATTCTGAACCATTACGGTGCCGCAAAGCGAGATGAACTCGAGTCAAGTTGTGCCTTGGCTCGTACGTACTTCCTAAAAATGGAGTAGTTGGCATATAGGCGGCAGGCTTACCTGCTTCTGTTATCAATTTCTATCTCTCGCTCTCGACTTCCACCTCTGTTCCTCCCTCCCTCCTCTTTCACCCTCAGTTGTCGGAACCGCGAACCTTGGTATTGGTGTGAGGCACTAGGCAGAGGTGGAGCGCGTCGATGCGTTAGGGAGCCTTTCGCATCGAATTGCTGGTGGTGCTTACTCATGAAGTGACTTGAATAAAAAGTTCTCACTAAACAGTGAACATGCATAGCAGCACCAAAATTATGAAGGCATTATATAAGTATCAGACATCCAGTTGCATAACTCTCCATCCCGGCCCGCTTATGATCTTCTCCCACTCATGAACTTCATCCGCTTCTTCCTCACCCACCTCCTCCTTCCCCACTACATCAAATCCAGATAACCCAGCCCCTGGACGCAGGAGTTGTCGGATAGTGTACTGTGTGCCCTCAATTTGAGTGATTTTGGCAACAAATAAGAGATTTTCCGGGGAGAATGTTTGTGGGTTCAGGCCAAGTTCCTAAGGCGCGTAAATTGGGTTGAAATGCCGACGATTATAAGTAAATATACGTACCTTCCACCCAACCAAGCCACCAACCGCGAGCTGATCCGGGCTTTTTACTTCAAAACTCGTCCCCCACACCTTCTCCGCGAGATCCCAGTCGAAAGGTGTCGATCCCGAGACTACTGCTTCTTCCACCACCTCCTCTTCCTTCCAGTTATCCGTCACCTCTTGACGTGGCCCAGCAAAAACGAGTTTCGCCACTTTACCTTGTACCTGCGGCTCTTCAAACCACAGATCAGCCCATGTCGCCTCTTTGTTCTTTTTCTTCTTGCTATTCTTCGGCTTGCGGTGTTCCTTGACCACGTCCCAGAGCCCCCGCTCAACGTCCACGCTTGTGACGAACATGTTTGGCGGGAGCTCACCGCGACCTTGAATTTCAGAAGGCGGTATAAGACGCACGTACTCCTGCTGAGAAGGAGAAGGGACCACATCAACCAGAGTCGGCTGGACATCTTCTGCATCTCCAAATACAATTTTTTTCGGTATCGGGGCCGCCATCGACTGCTTGAAGCCCTTCTTCTTGTTTTTATTCTTCAGCGACAGCATCATCAGCTGAGGCTTGGGCTCGTCGTCGACATCCATATTGTCGGTGTCTACTTCAATGCCGTGATTAAGCTCACCCGTGGTGGCGTTCGATCCAAAGGCACTATTGAGAGCAGAAGCAACATCATTTGCAGGACCTACGCGATCGCGTCGCGTAGGCAGGATTTTTTTCCGTCCAAGGGGAACAAGGTTTGAAGCGGAGCTACCTTTCGGCGGGGCCGGAAGAGGGGGCGCGGGCGAAGATGAAGGTTGTTCTGGAAGAGAAGGCGATTGTAAAATTGGATACGGTTGTAAACTCATCGGCCGTTGTTGTTGTGACGTTGGTGGGGGCGGGGGTGGCTCGGACAGAGTCTTGGGCCGCTGCACTTCTTCACGCTCCGCTTGCTTTTTATACCGACGGCGGAGGTTGCGTGCGTGCGTCTCAGATGACCCGTGTCCGGGAGGTGTGTGTTGAACCCTTTAACAGAGTTAGCGAGGCATCATAACATTAGTTAATTGTACTCGCTTGGAAGATTCGCCCACTGAGGCATTGGGAAGCTTCGGTGTTACGTTGAGAACACCCAAAGTAATATGCGGGAATTTGGCAGATATCCTTTAATGAAGTCAGTCGAGCCTACAAAATCATCAGGAGATGCTCACTTAGGGGATGTCTGCGGTACCTTGGATGTTTGCGGTACCGGAGGAGATGATGAAGATGACGACGATGTCGTGGACGATGAAGATGATGACGAAGAGGAAGATGTAGAGGAGGATGAAGTTGTAGAGGATGACGAGTCCGAAGAGTCCGAGTCAGAATGGTCGGACCTGATTTGCTCTTTGTGCTTCGGAACCACCGTAGGAGTCCTTACAGAGCGTCCGGGTATCAATATAGAATTTGCAGAGGTCGGAGACCGTTTCCGCTTTTGCGCGCGAGCCACCTCTAAGGCAGGGAAATTAGAGCTATCAAAGGAGGGCTGTGGATGAACGCACCCGACGAACCCTCAACCTTCACTGTCATAGCCTGCACGGAGGAAGCAGCCTTGATACATATTAGATCACCATCTCTCACGGCGCTGAACGGGCTATCGTCCAAGAGCTCAAAGTCATCAAGAAATAGACCAAGATCGTGACCAAGGAGACGCGACTCGTTTACGGGAGGAATTCGCTGACATAGGGCCTCTTTGAGATCATAAATGGTGACTGGTGCATCTTTATCGTCTGGTATAAACCAAACCTTGAGTTCTGGGAGTGGTTGACAAGTCTGAATCCGTAATCTCATGGGGGCGGGGAGGCAAGTCGGAAATTGAGGAAATTCAAAAGGGAAGAAATAAATGTCACGTAGTCACGAGGTTAGCCAATTTACAGTGCTTTGCATTGCCGTCTGCACAAGGGAGTTTCGAAAACTCTATTTGGTTTTGTATTTTCGTCACAGATTGTCACGTATCAGAACCAGATCTGAGCACACAATTTGCACACAACCAACTCCCATGGCGCCATAAGGATCAGATGCGATGCGCACACGGATTACCATTTGGCATGGTGGGCATCATCTCTCAGCACAAGAGATTTTAGGCCTTGTTGGATGAAGTGGTCTGTTTCTCCCCGCTTTGTGGCAGTCACGGTACAACACATACAAACAGGTTTTCCAAATTCCGTTGTGCAGACGGCAGTGCAAAGCACTGTATATTATTCTATTCAACACTTGTCTACCACCTCCTTCCACCTCATTAACTTCAAGCTAAACCTTATCCTATCAAGCACACTTCGCCGTGTTCGATAAACGAGGTTTTGAGAAATAAAGGTTCCACGAAGAATTGTGGTCCACAGCCGCAACTCGCCCTCGCAATAAAGATCATGAATCATGATGCTCTCAAGCTGTAGTAATAGGCTACGCTGCCGCATAACATAGCCGTATCGCGACCTCTCGATAGGGCATATCGAGGACTTGCTCTCGAAGAGGGATCGGTGGCCGGTCTGGGCTTCTATTTGGCTTCTATCTGCATTTATGCCCTATTCTAGATCCAGCTTCACGCCCAGTGAGTGCGTTGGACCTTGGTTGGACCTGCTCTCGGACGGAGTCAATGGCTTGATGCTGGGGTCGAGGATCATCCTCGCAAATTTCTTCCTCGCGTTGCATCCTCATCCCGTCGTCCTCTCTGCAAGCGTACTTGGTACTGTCCCCTGGAGTGGGTTTCATCCCTCCAAGGTGCCTTGTTCTTGGCCTTGGTGTCCTCGTCGCCGTCTTCCTCATACGCATTCTGGTTATGTCATATTACTGTCCTTCTCGTATTCGTCCTTGTGTGCATTGTCATCGCAATCCTCCTCGTGTGTGTTACTCGTTGTTCCTCCTGGTACGCTTGGTTCCGCGTCACCGTCCTTGTCTGTGTGCCCTCGCCAATCATGTGTGGTTCTTCGTTGCCATGCTCCATGCATGTGTCCTGCAACTGTCTTATTCGTGTGCATCATCGTCCTCGTCCCAGTTCTTTGCATGACACCTCATGGCGGCAGCGTACATTGTTCATTTGTGGTGCAGACCAAAAGACCTCATCTCCTCTGTCCTCTCCGTTCACCTTCGTTGTCATTCCAAGACGCTGCAGCTTGTGCCATTATTATTGTCTTCATCTGTTGAACCGCGTGATAGGCACGTGCTAGGTCTTTCGTCGTGGTCTCGGTAATGTTTCAACTATTCACTTGACCTTAAGATTGACTCCTCCACAAGGGAAACCGCTACCAATAAAAATTTGGGCCTTTTGAGCAGATCTCCAGAGAAAGTAGAGCAAGAAAACCGCGCCCTCAGCCGACGCCGGCGTTCTGAACCGCTCTAACTATCTCGGCCGAATAACTTCCCAATACATACATCCGCGATCTGCTTCTGAACGCGAGGCACCGTCAATTTGCGGACGATATCATGCGGGGTTCACTTGAAAACGCTTATCCAATCTGATGGAAGCTGAGCAGTCGCTGGCATTCTGTTGAGGCTTAGCCAGATTTTTCCGATTCAAATTTGTACCATTGAGTTTCAATACAATAATGAGCATTAGCGTCGATTGACTGATGTCTTTGGCCTCCATTCTATAGAACTGAGTCGGAAATACGCAAATCCATCAGTAGATACATACGTAGATTTATACTGGAATAGACAGAGGGTCCAGTGGAATGTTCTTAGATTGAATTCGGAAATTCTCCCCCGAGAGCAACAAACGAGCGGAGACTCCGCAAGTCAGCCTGAGCTCCCCATGGTTACACTAGACGGGTCGGTGACTCGGATTGCTATCATTCAACGGAGAATTATTGTTGTACGTTATGGGCCTTTCGATGGCATATGACCATACATCAGTTCCGGTTCATTGTTCAAGGTTTACTAGTTCCTGCCAATACCTAGATTTACTTACAACCAGATACTTTTACATCGTTTAGTACTCTCTCACCATCCTATACAATAAATTAATAAGGGAGCGCCGTACTCCATTTTACCACTACTTTGCCTCCTCCATAGTTACCCACAATCCATCCTACGACACGTATATCAAAAAAAGTCTGTCCAACGACATTTATAGCCAAGGAAATTACTTACCTGAACGTACATCGTCAAATGCGTCTTCGGCCGAATTTTTTCCCTCCCTTTACGCCCAGTCCGATCCTCAGTCGCCCAGATGGCAGGAGCACGCGACTCAGGCGGCTGGGCATGTGAGGCCAGAAAAATCGAGGAAAAATTTTGCAAGAGTCGAACAAGGAAAAATGAAGCTTCGTGATACGCAAACTAAAATCGAAATGGTGATCAGAAATGAAAAAAAGGGGTAAAAACCGTTTACCTGTTGGCCCAAACAAATCCGAGGGCCTGCATTGAATGGTAGGAAAATAAAAGGATTGGGTGTGAGGTATTTGTGAAGTCGTTCGTCCAGGAATCTGTCCGGATCAAATTCAAGAGCTAACGGGGGGTTTTGGTTAGTGCTGAAAAGACAAATCCGTCTGGTGTAGAAATCACCATCTGGACCCCAGAGATCTCTGCGTCGGTGCATCATGAAGACCGTATACAGCGACCTAGAAAATTCAATGAGAAGGTCGATTTTCAATAGTATCTTGGATGACGTACCTTGTGTTCGCAGGAATATACCATGGTTTTCCTCCGGGAACCTTAGATGGCCATGTTGTGGCCCGATTCGACATCCTTGAATGTTGTCAAATAAACCAAAAAAAAAAAGTAACCTGAGTATGCCATACCTGATATTAAAAGGACTAGTAAACGAGCAAAGGATCAGATATTTGGCAAGCATAGCGAAAGGTATGAAACATACACCACCGGATAAAGACGGAGTGTTTCTTCGATCATTCAAAAATGAGATCGCACACGAATTACTAGTAGAAGACGCCTTACCATTGATAACAGCCCTTAAAAATTTCATCTCCTTAAAATCATCATACGTGGGCCTCCGTTGAGGACCCACTTTTTGGAGGATTTCCTCCCGTAAGCGTTGTAATATTTTCGGATGTTCCGCGAGCATATAAACCGTGAATGTCAGAGTGCTTGCAGTCTTTTACGTCGACAGTTAAAATGAAAAGCTCCTTGGTATAGATAAAAATCAAAACTCACCGTATCCCGTCCAGCAACCAACAACGACATGATTTCGTCCCTCAATATAATTGGATCTGAAAAAAAACGTTGAGGGTGAAAGCGCGACAAACTATATACCAATCGACAAACCTTCAGTCGAATTGACCAAATTTTCTAATAATGTCTCATCATCCCGATCCAGACTTGGACTAAGCATCTCCTCCTTCTTCCTACTTATCGCAGCAGCGACGATGGGATCAATAAAATCATGAACCACTCTCATGGGTTTCTTCATCCTATCATGCCAAAATTCAAACAGAGGCCAATGAGACCCAAACCGCGACCTGAAAGCAGTAATCATCTGAGCCTCCTGGAACGCATGGACGAAGCGTGTTGAAGGATGGGCATCCGAATCAGAGGTGGAGGTGGTGGAATGGTAATACGGATAAGGAAGTCCGCCAGCGAGGGAGTGAACGTCGTTCCCGAAGAGGAACTCGGTTGCGGAGTCGAGTGTGAATCGGGAGATTAAATCCTAAGTAAGCATGTCGGAACAAAAACCAACAAGAATGAAAGAGTGATGATACAGACCTGAAAATCAACCGCATGTCCTTCTCGCAGCCTGGCCTTCAGCTGGCCAAGCGCGTCATCAGCATGTCGACCGAAATTATCAAAGTGGCTGATGCGGTCTTTACTGAAAAAGGGACGAGTCATGGTTCGATGAAATCTAACACGCAAGCTCGTCAGAAAAATGCGGTTGGTCTCATCCCAAGCGATGAAAAAAACATACTTCCATAACTCCCCTTTTGAACATTTAGTATTGAATCGAAAAGGAAGAGGAGCGGCTGACCATCTGCTGCAAAAACGCCTGTTCCTAAGAGGGGATGGAACAAAAAGCGTGTCTCAGGTCCTGTATTGACAGTAAAAATGGATGTTGAGCTGCAAGAAAGATGTAAAAAAAACCTTTCTCAAATTCTTCGAATTGCGTTGCGAGCATGGCCTGCAAATGTCTCAGCAAAAGTATTCATCTGGACATTCTGGACATGAGATGAACACACCTTGATATGCTCTGGCTCCGCAGTAACAACCTAGGTAAACCAAATTAAACCCGTGCACAAAGAACAGAACAGAGCTAAGCTCATACCCTATACTCGAACAATATCTTCGACATAAACGTGTACCCTCCAAATTTATCACACATATCCTGCAACCCATCAACTTTAAGAATCAAAGTTGAGACGCCTCCAAGTCAGAATCAATCCTCAAAAAATAAAGAAATCCAACACACCTGGATACCCAGTTTTAAAACTAGTCACAGCCCTGTACAAGCTCCTCGCGCCTCCAGGGAACGGATCAGGAGCAACAGGGGGCAACACTGCGCCTTTATTAGAAGCGTCCCAGCGAATCACCAAGTCCTTCCACAAGACGCTAAGGGTCAGGCCGACGGGAAGGCTTAACAACAAGACGGACGAAAGACCCCAGGTAGAGAGTTCGATTGAGAGATGTGTTTTGCCTAGGTGGACTAGAGCGTAGGCTAGAGTGGGTGGTGTGAGGATGCGTGGAAGTCTTTGTACCAGATACGCGATTCCTGGAGGGACATCCATGGTACTGAAGACGAATTCGAAGGCTGAGTCGCGATCCTGGCTGACGTGCCCTTTAGAGCAGGCTTGGCGGTGAGTCAACCTCTCAGATTGAAAGTAATAGGGCAACAGAAGCCAATAATCTCTCGAGTCTCGACCCCTTTATGAATGATCACAATCGTCCAGATCAAGGCGTTTTAAGGGGCATTCGGTCAGTGTTGTTGGTCCCATTAGAAGCGCTTAGCCGGGAAATCCGAAAGGTGTGACGTAAACATAGTTGGTCTGCCCACCGAGGTCACCGACGAGCTCAGGAACGCATGGATACAACAGAAAGAATTTCCACAACGCAAAGGTACTGCTTACATACAACAACAAGGACCCGTTCTACTTTTTTCATTTCATCTTCCTCTACCTCTACCTCTTCCCAGCCCCAAACTCTACAAACGATCAACGTTACCAAGGTCCTGGCACGCAACCTTGATACGTTCAGAAAGAGTCTTTTCGCCCTCTCGCACCCACACACGTGGGTCGTAGAGCTATCGCAGTCAATGTCAGCATACTAAACAACAGATCGAAAAGCCCATCCTCAAATACCTTCTTGTTCGGCTTGTCAGCACCTTCTGGGTTTCCGACCTGGGTGGCAAGGTAATCCTTCTTCTTCAATATAAAGTCCTGAAAGGGAATTTTGGAGATCAAAGTCAACTCTACGGATGATCACACCACGTACGCGAATACCAGTGAGGTAAGCGAACTGCGTATCAGTATCGACGTTCATCTTGACGACACCGTGTCCCACAGCAGTGGAGATCTCGTCTTTCGATGAGCCGGAACCACCGTGGAAGACGAGGTACCTGGGATATATGGTAAAAGGCTTTTATCAAATCTAAAACTAAACGAGAACTCACAGAGGCTTATCGGACCCACTCTCCTTCTCCTGCACGTATTTCTGGTGTTTCCCAAGAAGGTCGGGGAGCAGTTTCACATTCCCAGGCTTATAAACGCCATGCACGTTTCCAAACGCAGCAGCAATGCTGAAATTAGGTCCGATCTTGCTCAAGGTGGTGTACACATCATACACGTCCTCGGGCTGCGTGTACAGACTCGCGTTGTCAGCACCAGTGTTATCGACGCCATCCTCCTCGCCACCCGTGATTCCGATCTCCATCTCGAGCCAGAGACCGATCGGTGCCATGCGTTTGAAGTACTTGGCGCATATTTCGATGTTCTTTTCTTTGGGGTCTTCGGAGAGATCGAGCATGTGGGAGGAGAACAGGGGTTCTTGGTGTTCTTTGTAGTAAGCCTCGTCAGCTTCGAGCATGCCGTCGAACCAGGGCAGAAGTTTCTCGGCGCAGTGGTCGCTGTGCATGACGACGGGGCTACGGAAGAAGATGGTTTAGAATCAGTGGGATTGGAGAGATCTCCGCGACGTACACGCCATAAGCCTTAGCCACCAGTCTGACGTGTTGAGCAGCAGTGATAGCGCCAATGATGGATGCCTGTTGCTTATCGTTCGCTAGGCCTTTTCCAGCGAAGTATGCAGCTCCTCCTTGAGAGACTTGCAGGATGATTGGAGACTTGATGTCTCTACGAGAACATGAGACAAGAAGTCTCATGAAAATCGGGGAGCGTACCTCGCTGCCTCAAGAGCAGCATTGGCCGTAGACGTTGAGGTTACGTTCTGCACTCCAATTAGCTGGGATCGGTGAAAAGAGGGGGGGATGACGCACGATGGCCTAGATAAAGTGTGTCCTTCAGATCTACATTCGGAACCCTCTCCAAAACTTACCGGAATAGCAAACTGTAGACGGGTCTCAGCGCCAATTACCAGGATATCAGAAGTTAAACTCGCCTTGTTTTCTTTAGCATAATCGAATAATTTACGGACGTTATCGCCAGTCAATACACCAGCCTTCAAGTTGATCCAATCGTCAAAGTCGGTCCATATCCTAGGTCGTTCTCTGAACTCACCGGGACGATGTCGAGAACGCCCATGTTTAAAGAAGGAAGAGGTGGTGATAGTGGTTTGAGTTTGAAAAAAGCAGGAGCTCCAAAGCAAGGATGCAGTTATAAACATTATCGATACGGTCAGGTGCTCCAAAATTGACGTCGGTGAGCCGTGGCGGGCCGCCATGCCCTGATCGTCAAGATCTTGTCAAGATCCGTCGTGATCCTAGCTATGTATCCATGAGGCCTATAGGCTCTACATGGCCAAGAGTTACAAGACGATCTTCATAGTGGAATGGTGGGGGGAATATTTGCATCCCAAGAGAGACAATCATCTACAATCATCCGCAAGAAAATTTGTCGGATACTTCCTTACAGTAGAGAAATAGCCTCGGCCGAATGTCATTGTCAAGCATATCTTGCCGCTCATGGGGATGGTTTATGAGCCGGTGGCGTCCAGAGCGGCAAGAAAAATTCAAGGCACGTCGCTGGTGTTTGCGTGGACAAGAATCCAAAGTAGCCCAAACGACCGACATAACCGTTGAACGTTGAAGTAGCTTGTTGTGTAGTTGATACCAACTCAGCCTGCCAGCAAGGAAGAGTTTGAACTCCAAGTCATAATCAGCATGATGAAGACAGAGTAGTGATGTTATACACGAAAAACTCAACCTCTAATCCTCCTTTCTGCGTTTTTTCCTGCCACCACCATCACCAAAGTCATTCTCATCATCCACATCCATTTCGTCATCCTCTTCCGCACCCGCCTTCAACCCCTTCATCTTCCTCGTCTGCAACTTACCCAAATCCTGCTTCCCAACATGCACCCGTCCTCTCAAATCGCCCATCTCATCCACCTCCATATTCTTCCTCTTCTTACCCAACCCCTTCTCCACGTCCGTCTTCTTCAACTTGGGCCTCTTCATCGCCTGCTTCAACATCTCCGGATCAGCCTGCTGGTGCCGACGAAGGGTGAGGTCAAGCGAAGGACCCATAGGCGTCAACTCCACGCGAGGTATCCGGGTCCCCGAAGCGAGTAGTTTGGTAGTGTACGTCCGGATGTGGACTTTGGGTAGCACAGAAACGTCTTCTGGCGTGGGGTGTTGGTTTGGGTACATGTTGACCGTTGCATTGTTCAATGCGGCAGGTGTAGGCGCGCAGGTGACGCTTATGACGTGCTCCAGCCCAGGTAGACATATTGAATCCACAATCTCTCCGTTAAAAAAGTCCAAGAGCATGGATTTGAGTTGGATGAATCGGGGGTGGGTATCGAACAGCTCCGAAGCGAAATGCATCAATGGTTTGTGGCCTGGAGTCGATTTTTGTGTCTTTGGACAAACTCAATCAGACGGTGCGAGGGTATATGGAAGACCGAGAGAAAAACACACCTTGAACTCCGCCATGCCAACCCACTTCTCCACACCAACCTCCAACATATCCAAAACTCGTCCATCGAACATCCGCACAAAAGTCAATCCATCAGGGCGTTTTTTCGTTGTCTGTCCAACAACAAACAGAGAAGCATCATTTTTAGAGGCCCAGAATTCTAACGAGGCCGTGGAGGTCGACGCAGAATCAAAAGGGTGAATCTGATTCTTTTTGTTGAACGCGATCGCGTCAGGTCGTTTGAGGGCCATCTTCCGAGTTTGATTAGAACTTTCGAGATGTTAAAAGATAGCAGTACACGTACTAATTCACGCATTACGGCGTTCAGCGTTTCCCCCGTGTGCGAGCCCTTTACGAAGATGGCTGTTCGCGCATCTTCAATTTCTTTTGGCAGACGAGCATCCAATACTCGTTTTGACCGCGCATTCTTTGGTTTTCTAAAACAAGCAAAAGATTAGAATCAAAAGCTCAAGGGGGTTCAATACTTACATTGTTCGTAGCATTGCGGTCTAACGGTCGTTGAAGAACGACGTCGAGCGTTAGGAAAATGCTACAATGGATTACGTAACATCCTCCTTCGCCTCTTGTCCTCTGTCCAACTTTGAAGTGACCTCCCTACGTCTTGGAAATTTATCACCAGCAGCCTTGGCCCATTCTGTTTTAAGCGGTACCAAATCGTCCGAGATGCCATTTTCGGAGCGATCATTACTTCTTCCAATGGTCACCTTTGGCGAATTGGGTGCTTGGAAGTTGCGGTCTTCAGAACTTTTCATGGAATCTGATCAAAATACACACTGCGCTGATCTATAATTATCGACACTGCTTTGTGATCCACTTGACGCCCGTGCGGCAGCCTCGTTGACAGTTGTCTATAGACCTTTCAACGCCCTTGGTCGCCCCTACTCGAGACGCTCTCAGACCTCGATTTCCTCAAGGTTTCTCATGCCAAAGACACCTCACCTTCTGACTTGACAACGACCTCTCTTCATCTCATGGATTCCGCAAGAAACGCGACTGTTTGTCACGGATTAATTGAGGACTTGGATATTACAGGTGTTGGTAAACAATCATATATAACACGCCAGAATCTCTGATTTCTCAAGAGAACCCAAGGCGTGCGATCGACATTCTATGTGACGAGTATGCTCGCAGGTTAGGTTGCTAATTTCCTGGTGGTGAACTATCTCTAATCGAAGCGCTTTTACCCAGTCATCAATGCATGCATTCCTGGTCGCGATATAAGAGGTTGGTTTCTTTTACAGTTCTTCGAGTCCTCATGCCAGAACATAGGCTCATTTTGGGCAATGATCATCACCAGTCTGGCCCTCCTCATATCCGCCGTCGTCCAAGCAACAAACAAAACAATATCTCTCACCATCGTCATCTACTTCTGTTGCCTTCACGTCTTCAGCTCTTTCCTGTACTGGAAGTCTTCCGCTGGGTCCCAAGGCCGGGATATCGACCCCAGACTCACTCTCGTTGTTTCATTGCAATGGTTTTTCTGCAATTGTTTGGCGACCGGCGTTCTGCCAGTGAGCGATCAGAGATTCGGTTCCTAGCCCGAGTGTAATTCAAAAATTAGAAACGCAGGCACAAGCGCGTTGTTCAGCTGTGAGTAGTCTTTAACTAGCTGTTCTACTATTGACATGCGAGCGGAACAGGGTGCATGATTGCCGTTGGAATCTTCCAGCCCTACTCTTTTTTCTCTAGAGTGGGCCGCATGATGTCTACAAGGCTCAGACATCTTATCAGCAGCATCATAGGATTCTTACATTCCTCAATCATCATATGTGGAGGCTTGGGTTACCTCTTGTCACCTTTATCTGGATCTATGTGGTGGTGACCAATGGACGAAATTTCCATTGAAACAAATCTCTATGTTGTGAAAGAGCTTTTAGATTTTTCCCGTCGTCTCAATTGGATTCCCTATCGTATCAATCTATTACGACATGAGGGCTTGGTTGCGACGTAAGGCCGCCAGAGGGAGTTTGAAGGCAGACGAGGAGTCACTGGAAGCTGATCCAAATCCAATTCGGTTTGATCGACGCGCTGCTAATCCTCTTCAATACCGTCCTTATCTCAAAGTTCAACAAGGTTATTAATGAGTTGGTAAGTAAATTCTCTAGTTTGCGCGACGTTCACACGAAAAAGCATTCCGACGTGACGGACACGACTCCGCCCATATGTACGTGGTGTTCACAACGTCGTATAGTCGTGCCCTGGATTGTTGAGCATACAAATTTGTTTGGGGTTGGGGCGGCGGTCAAGTATGTGTTGAAATTGGTGAAGTCTCTCAATATGGGTGTGGCCAGGCTTGCCACTGTTAGCAAAGAGGTTCTCAACCTATGGTCAAACGCCATTAAATGATTCGCAGATATGCCTCACAGGGTCACACCACTGATGATGGTCAGGTAAATCTCATTAAGTGACAAATAATATGTCCCTAAGCAACGAATGCCTTGCCCTTCTCAATGTTCTTCTTGAGTTCGGGCAGGCAAGCGTCGAGAAGCGCCTGTTCATCAGCGCTGATGGTACCAATAGGGTGAATCTTCTCAACACCGTTAACCTACAGAGATATTTGTCAATCATAATGGTCGATGGCCCCAAGGAAGGAAGACTTACACCAAGCTCAACGGGGGACGAGAAGAAATCAATGCCCTGGTCGGCGTAGAGAGGGTTCTTGACAAAGGTGGGTGTGATCACGCCCTTCTCGCCGCTCAAGCCGCGCAGGAGGTGATTGGTGAAGCTAGCGCCAGCGTAAGCCATCGAGAGGGTAGCGCTACCAGCACCATCCTTCGCCTTCACAACTTCATCGCCACCAAACTGAATGCGATGCACAAGTTTCTTCCACGCCTCGCCGGTGACCTGCTTGCCCCACTCAGTTTGTGAGAGGAGGGGGACAATGGTGGGGCCACTGTGACCACCAACGACAGTGACGCCGGTGTTCTTAGGTGAGGTGCCGACCGCCTCGGACAGGAAGCGCCTGGCGCGGACGACATCGAGAGATGTGACACCGAAGACGCGGCGGGGGTCAAAGACACCGGCCTTTTCGAGAGTGGCAGCAACAATGGGAACGGTAGAGTTAACGGGGTTGGAGATGACGAGAATGTGGGCTTCTGGCGCGACGCGGGCAACGGCTGCGGCAAGGTCTCGGACGATGGAGGCGTTGGTCTAGTGACGCGTCAAATTTTGAACCCTATGTGGTAGATGAATAGAAACTTACGTTGAAAAGGTCATCACGGGTCATCTAAAAAGCCAATTTAGCCGAGTGCATCAAAATACGAGAGAAGAGAGAAGGGAACTTACACCAGGCTGTACGATGATGCAAGTCGTGAGCAGAGTGTCAAAAGCAAGAAAAAAGAGATACGAACCTTCCTTGGAACACCAGCAGGGATAACAACAACCTTGACACCCTCAAGGGCCTGGTCGAGCTGATCGGCAGCATAACCAGTCACCTACATACACGTCACAGAATTGATCAACGAGGTCAGACTAGCCATCGAATGCAATACTCACCTCGCTGCCAGTGTCTACGTGGCTAACATCGGCGGCAACACCGGGTGCACCACGAATATCGTACAAGCTCAGAGATGTGACGAGAGGATCACTTTTGAGTAGAAGAGACAGAGGTTGGCCAATTCCTCCGCCAGCTCCGAGCACTGCGACCTTGTGAAGGCGCGCAGCGGATGAAGAGAAAAGACGTGATGAGGGGGCGGCCAGGGAACGAGCTGCAGTACGGGCAAACATGGTAATGGGGATGGTGGTTGTGGTGGAAGGAAGTTAAAGAGAAAATCTCGGAATCCCGTGCACCGGATCTTGTCGGACGATCGTTGCGGACTCTCACGCGCACGGAGGATGATGTCCCCCCTGCCGCCACAAGATTCTGAACTAGAATAAATTTGACATGGATAAAGAGAATGTTAGAAGTCGTGGAGGTTCACAAGTTTATACTGTACATTCAGCGTGAAGAACTGCTATTTTTCAGGGTTTCCAGTGACCACCGAGGCTGCTTGGCGCTCGAATTTTCGCCAGTGTTGACATGGCACATTCCAGTTCCGTCCCCGTCATCCGTCGTATACCGTAGACGTCATATTTACATTGCCCGACGTTTACTTCCAAGTTCCGACTCGACGAAAAGGTTCAAGCGAGGCTGCATGACGAACCACGAACCTTTCATACTCCGTTGATCGGACTTCCGACCCTCACGAACCGAGGTTGACCAGAACCACCACCACTTTGGCCACAAGTTCAACGAATGGCGACGGATTTCTGGGTAAGCTCACACTAGTAAGGTTCACAAATACCTCTTGTTCTTGGCAGAACCCACTGATATCGTCCAGCAAGCGCTGGATCGTGGATCGTGCGACATTGAAGCAATCAAGGGCAGAAATTGACCTACACTATGTCGAAGACCCAGAATATCTAGACTTTTTGGCGATTTACTTTGCAAACGGTAGGTCGAAAAGCAGATCCATCTACGATGTCAGATATAAGATAAATATGAACGGTTGAAAGCTCCTTGTCTCTCTCCTGAGCTTTGATTTCTTGATCAGAGCTGTGGCTTTCTCGCTCCCTGTTGCTCAGCTTCCTGGATTGTTGTCTCACTTGGGCGTCATGCGGTTGGCACAAATCATTTCTTGAATCTTAGAGTGCTCCGACAGGCAGTGAATCCTTGCTTTTTTATATCCTTCTCCCAATCATGAATGCTTCAACTGACTTTCACTCGAAAGTGATCACGAAACTGGGAAAGAAACTCCAACTGCGACAAAAAGTCATCGCAACGGCCACCGTATTCTTCCGGAGGTTCTACATGAAGAATTCGTACTGCGAGACGGACCCGTTTATCGTCATTTCGGCATGCTGCTACGTCGCAGCCAAGGCGGAGGAGTCTCCAATACACATCAAGAATGTAATGACGGAATCCCGGACTCTCTTCAGTCGTGCGTGTCCAGCCGTTCGGCGAGGAGGAATCATTCTTGATACACTTTTTAGAAGAAATTTACAACGTTAAACATTTCCCCACTGACAACTCAAAGCTGGCGGAAATGGAGTTTTATCTCGTCGACGATCTTGAATGCGACCTCATCGTATTCCACCCTTATCGAACCTTGCTCACCCTCTGTCGAAAAGAAGATGATGAGGGGTCTGCCGTGTCTGAAGATGGGGAAGCTGGAGAGGTGGGTACAGGCCTTGATGATGGACCTAGATATTGGGGATCAGGGCAAGGTCAATTAGAATTGGCTCCCGAAGCTTTACAAACCGCCTGGAAAGTTCCTTTTTATTTATCTATGTTGCCAGTACTTTCATTAACCTCGCCTCCATTTCAAAGGTCCATCATAAACGACACCTACAGATCCGAGTTATGCCTTGTACACCCTCCCCATCTCATTGCCATCGCCGCCATCTATCTCACTTTCATCCTCCACCCGCCCACCCGTCCCGAGCTTTCTTCCACCTCCGAGCCAGATGCCGACCTCTCTGCAGAGCAAACGACACCCCAACCACGCCGTTCCTCGCGTCAAGCTCACAACGCCACGTCCGCAGGACAAACACCCCCGAAGAAACCACAAGACCCAATCACCTTCCTATCCCAACTGAACGTCTCCCTTCCCTTGATAGCCACCATCGCACAGGAGATCATCTCACTTTATACCCTTTGGGATCGATATAAAGAAGACGCAACGCCGGACGCTCCCAAGTTATCGCGAGACGTATCCCAATCCCCGATGGCTAGTAGTACAGCCACGAGTCCTGCGAAACGGTTAGTGTCAAGCTCTAGTCGCAGTGGAAGCGCAAGCATGCGCGGGGGCAGTCATAGTGCCAGCGCGGCTGGGACTCCGGATGGGATTGATGTTGGGGTTGGTGATGAGATGTATATCACCCCCTCTTTTTTGTCGGCTACTTTGCTGAGTATGAGGGAGGCGAGGCTCGCGGATTTGACGCATGCTGGAAGATCGGTGGCTGTTAATAAGATGTTGGAAAGGACGCAGGCTGCGGGATAGGGGTAGGAACCTCGTTCATTCCTTGGCCAAGGAAAGTTTTGCTTTTTTGATATGCGGATGGAATTAATATCGGTGGTGTTCGCGCGCGATGGAATAGTAGGGGAAAGGGGATAAGCAAGTAGAACTTCGACTCAATCTTTATCCACAGATCTTTCATGACGACGACAGTAATTTCGATGGGGGCGTATCATGGATCAATTGACTGGAATTTTGACTTTTACGTATGTTACGATTTTTCAATAAAACTACATTCAAAGTCTTGGCGGCGTAGAGGCGCAAAATCTCGTCGCAGCAGTGCGCTGCCTGAACATTCTTCTAATGCCGATCTCAAGGTCTTTGCTCCTCGGAGTCTCATCGTGTCTGGGCCATACGGTACGAGTCATGTGCCGCGATGCCTGTCAGATCGCGCCTTCTACTGCCTTCCCAGTCCCCGGAGCAGGTATTTGCTTTGTGCATAAGGCCAAGTGCTGGTGCATCCGTGAGAATTTTGAAGATTGGCTTCTTCCTGACCTCCTCCAGCTTGCCTCTAACGATCACTACAGAAATGTAAGTGTACGAAATCAACTCTTGGTCGTAAACTCAACTTCATCAGCCGCCGTCTCATTTGTGGCTTGAATGCACGGCGAAAAATCCCCACGCTTACCGTCTCGCGGCAGAATGCTGTCTGGCCCTACGCTGTCAAGGAAAACGGCTTCGATGTTTTTATCGACGCTCATTTTATTCTCATTTTTCCTCTTTGCCCTTTGGCACGATAGAGAATATCTTTTAGCCGCAGAGGTCGATACAGAGCAGGGGAAGAATATAACCATCAATCCTGACAATTTCTCTTGGGATACGGTAGAAGGATTGATGGTCAATTCACGCTCCTACACTGACTGCGATCCTCTCCACAGTGTACACCAAGCAAAGAGCTTGTTTGGCTCGACTGTTACGCTACGCGCCAGTGCGCTCGCCTGATTGTGAGTTTCTCCATTTTTATTTTAACAGCTAAAGTCAAAAGACTCGTTGAACGTAAGGTACCACTAAATTATTCCGACCCCAACGGCGAAATAGCGATCATCGCGCTTACTCGCAAGGCTTCTATAATTCCTCAGAATTCCCCGCTATATCGGGGTCCAGTACTATTCAATCCCGGCGGTCCAGGCGGGAGCGGAGTCGACCTTGTGCTACAGTTTGGCGATGCGCTTGGGGTCGTCCTTGGGCCCCAGTTCGACGTTGTCGGATTTGATCCCCGAGGTCAATCGCCATCTCCGTCATGCCGTTCCCTGCCTGATTGATTTTTCTAGGTGTTGGACGCTCAGTTCCACGCGTCTCGTATTTCAAGACTGAGGTAGAGCGGCAGCTCTGGGGGGATTTCGGTCTCCATGTCGTGAATAACTCTGACGAGGGCATTTCGCGAACATGGGCTCGGTCTGTGGTTAAAAACAAACTTGCTGCTGAAAGTGATGATGGGTATTTGGTGCACATCAACACCGACAATACCGCTAGAGATATGCTACGGATCGTTGAAGCTCATGGCAGGGAAAAACTGCAGTATTGGGGTTTTTCGTACGGCAGCGTGTTGGGAGCCACATTCGCCGCGCTGTTTCCCGTGAGTCATTTTATCAGTCATACCATGGAGAAAATATATCAGCTAGATATAGGACAAGGTTGAGCGTTTGGTGATCGACGGCGTCGTCGACGCTGAAAATTATTTTGACAGTATGCGTCATTTTTCCAGCTGTAACATCCTCTTGACTGAGACTTGATGTTAGCCCTGTGGTCCAATAACCTTCTGGATACCGATAAAGCGATGCAATTCTTCTTCAAAACTTGCGCAGATGCTGGACCACTTGGATGCCCTTTCTACGCCCCCACCCCTGAGGCCGTTCAACGAAACTTGACGAAACTTTACGACTCTGTCCGCGCCAAGCCAGTTCCCGTTCGTACGGAAACATCTTACGGACTCCTGGACTACAATCTCCTGCGTCTGGCTGTGTTTGCTTCCCTTTATTCGCCTTACGTTACATTCCTCCCACTTGCAACAGGCTTATCTCAGCTTGCGGCTGGTGATGCAACCTTGCTCTTCCAAGCGCTCCAACCACCACCCTTCCAATGCCCTTCTCAATTACCTGAGAACGCTTTTAATGTCATCCCAGATGCACAAAGTGCTATCCTCTGTAACGATGGGAAAGACATCCCAGGCGACCTTGATTCTTCGGAACAATATTTCAAGATGATCACTGAAAGTTCACAATGGGGAGAAATATGGGCCAGCATCCGGTTTAGTTGCATGTATGCATTTTTTTCTCTGCTTATATCGGCCATACTGAGGAAATCTTCTCATAGAGGCTGGCCGAAGTTCCCGAAAAATCATTTTCAAGGTTTGCAAAATTGAACCATTCAAGTAACGCAAGCTTTACGCGTTCTTAAGGTCCTTTTGTTGGGAATACGAGCCACCCGATCCTTTTGGTCGGTAATACAGCTGGTACGTGTGTTCCATATCTATACCCATGTTGTTGAATTTGGAAATTCATGGCATCTTATTCCAGATCCCGTCACTCCTCTGTGGGCGTAAGAACACCAAAAAAATCGTTTTTCTAATTACTGATTTTTTCTTCAGTGCAAAGAAGATGTCGCAGGGGTTCCCCGGCTCAGTTGTTTTGACTCAGGACTCTTCCGGGGTGGGTCGCAGATCTGCCGACTTTACGAAAAATTGACTAACATCCTGTATCTAGCATGCTTCTATCAATGCCCCTTCCGTTTGCACCCAATTCCTCATCAGGCGCTACTTTGTGACGGGTGCCCTTCCCAAGCCCGGAACGATCTGCTCCGTTTTTAAGTCGCCGTTCCCAAATTCTCTCCGCGTTCTCGAAAATCAAATGCCATTCGGGGACTTCGCGGTGGAGGATGAGCATTTATTCATAGAGGCTATTGAAACCTTGAGCAATAACTTGAGGCTCCCGCTTCCGTTGTAGTATTTCTTTAGCTTACAGTGGTATCGATGTCTTATAAGAACAACATACAGGTGTGTGAATAAATATCGTGATGATGAATGAGAGGGCTCCTTGGACGAACACTACGGATTCACTGTCCATGTCACTTTTTTTACGCTAGGCTCCCAAATTCTGTAGGGGGATTTTTTCCCTCCCCTTGGGTCCCACTAATCGTAGGGTATCGTCATCGTCATCAAGAAATGTGTCCATCTCTTCCCCAAGATTCCCTATTGTTCTTGCTACAAATGCTGAAATATCGCGGTGGGGGTCACTCGATCGTAAAGGCACTGCAGGTTCTTGTTGGCTGTTAGAGACGTAAGAGAGGGATCTCAGATTGAGCACCAGCCGAGAGATCATTGTCGCAGTGATCAATTGGCTGAAAGAAGCTCCGACAGCTTTCAAGTCAGGTGGTCCAAGCTTCAATGGGATTCAATCAAGGATGAACGCCTCAGTTTTGAAAAAGGTAGCACTGACGAAGAAAATGAGAGTGTTGAAAAAGTTCGCCATACAAATTACGAGAAAGTACATCAGACCATCTCTCAGAAAAATATGAATTGTTCTGTAACCACATCAATAGATTGCGCGGAATTCAAGACTTTAGGAGGACGCACGGTGTCCTTCTAGATTTCTTGATGAATGTCCGAGTTCGCCAAAGAGTAAGACAAAAAATGCAACAGTCGGAGGCCAAGGGAGTCACCCAGACGGCGGCTTCAACAAATAAAATGTTTCAATTCGCATTCAAGTATTTTACACTCACGAAATAGAGGATTGTTTCCGGTGAAAATACAACCTTTCGCAGAGTTAAATTTTTCTGGAACAAAAAACTTCAATAAAACCGACCAACGAAGCCTGGAGGAAGTGGAACGGCTTTTTCGAGGCCCACTTTCAGCAAAGATTCCTACATCTTTACAAGCTACTCACCAAAGCCGGTCGTCATACCGACGGAAGACAGTGTCACTTGCACAACCCACAGAAACGTGAGGAACGCTAAGATGAGACGGCTACGACCGTACAGGGCATAAACCCGCAGCATCATGATCACTGGTGTATCATTGGTAAATGTTGGTCGGGGCCTACTACGCTGAACTGACTTTCACAGACTAGGAAAACAAGTTAGGTTGACCCCTTTCTCTTATGAAGATGACTTGCCTGCTACCAGGGCCACTGTAGACGTGCCTTCAAAAGCTACGAATCTATCGCACCTGTAATGAAACGTCAGGCTTTCCTAGCGACATCGTATGTTGGAATCTGACGCCTATGCAGCATTGCGATCATCATCGGACGTCCATCTCATAGGGAGCAGTTACATACTGATTTTTTCCATCTAGGGTCCTGAAATGCTATAGGCGGATGCAAATATTGATAAAATAAAGTAAGGGCGGTGCGTTTGAACTCACCATCAATAATAATCACGAACTGCAAAGGGGTGACATAGCGGTTGATGAGGAATAAAATTGTCGCTCCCGACCATTTCTGCTTCCAGATTCGTTCAACCTGCCGCACTCGATTTGTACAGTTGTCATGTGAAATAAGAGCTATACTCACTTCGTCCGGGAGTGTAAGGACTACAATTCAATTAGCGGTTATCCAAGGTTTTAAACGTAAATCCACAGACTGTGGTCATAAACCAACATCACGAAAGCAGCGACCTGAAAGTACTTTCCCGCAGTGCTTGATCAAATTAGTATATGTAATGAAAAGTAGTACATTGTACTCACAGATGAAGAGCAGCTGTCGCAAGCGCTTGTGCATCGGGTGGCGGGGAAGACATCGGGACCTTTCAGGAAAGGATCGCACTCCTGATAACGGAGGATAACTTATATACTTACAATGGTGGGCCCTGCCGCATGGACTCAACAAACCGCAAATCGCGCGGTTAACCTTTGCTCCATCTGGCTGGTACCAATGTGATCTATGACATCCTTCCCACTCCAAAGGGATGCTAACGCCGATTGAGACATTGACGCTCTTGAAAGACGCTTCGTCGGATCCTTTGCCATACGTTTGAAATCTCGCTAGGCGGAACGTCGAAATCAGCGTGGTTTGGTTGTGACGTTACCTTCATGGATGGCAGAATTCTGGATGACAGACATTGTAAGCCTTCAGTATATTGATCGGTTGTAGGCCTATATGCGCGTCTTCCACTGGCGCCCACCCCTTCGGAGAGGACACCGGAATTCCGACGATATCAGATGTCTTTCATAATCCAGCTATAGGAAGTGGCGCTAGACTCTGGATCCTGAGGAAACCTCATTATCACGGGGCCGAGTATGTAAGTGACAAAAGTTGGATGGCTCGATGGATTCGTACCATTTTCCACCACGTCACTTTGAGATATATAATAGTAGATAGATCCCCTCCGGAAGTCTAAGGCGCATCTTGTCGTGGGTGACACGGCATTTCTTCAGCGGGGATAAGTTATCGAATGAAGTGTTGCAAATAACTTGACTCAATGACAACATTGACATAACGGTTCCATTTTACCCAATTTGGGTACCACGGCTCGGTCACGAGTATTATTGGAGTTCAAGTTGATTCCAAAACAGGTGGTAAATTCCGTGGTCGGGGGAGTTGGGGGCGATGGCCGTCATGCAGATGAAAGCTAAGTACTACTAGTGTCCTCCACGATTTCGAGTTGAGCTAAGCAAGGCGTTGGTTGTGATCTCCGAGTCCGAGTCCGAGATAGCCGGCGTTGATATATGATATCTGAGATCTGAGATCTGATAGTCGGTTGACCCGGTCCGCCGGATGCCTGTTCTGTCTTTGCAATTCCACCCATGTTGACAACTTGCGAATTGTCATCTCGGCGGCTCTCGCTCGAGTCAGCTTGCCTGAGCAGCTTGTGAGCAGCAAGGGGCCCTTTCTCATCTTTTTGGCGACATCTTACTATCCCTTTTCTAGGATTCTGTTATAAAACTGTCATTGGTGAGGTGGGTTTCAGAGCGCGTCGACATGCCAAATCAAAACCAAATGGTCTGCTGAAATTCGACCTTTACCCATACACGAATGACTGTTTGATATATAGATCCCACCTTACTTTGGTTCCATGCGCTGAAGCGATTTTTTCGAGCCAGCGGCTGCTTTCCCAAACATGTGCTAGGCGATAATTGTCAGCATTCATCAGCATCAAGTGCTTGATAACGTTAACCTTATGCGGTTTGACCAGGGTCTGACACAGTTTATATAACAGCTGCGAACTTTATGGAGCTTTCGATACATGTCTCACATGGCGCCCATGGGTCAAACTGGCCAGTTGTCGGCTCTAGTGGATCTCATCGCAAATGCCACGAAGATTGTTGACGCTCATTATCAGAAATCCACGAAGCCTTACGTTCCATCCCTCGACGACCTGGAGTCGCACCCGTTAGACGACGAAATATCTGATGCAGAGCTCCGTAATGCAATTCAGACCATCGAAGGCGCCTGCGCTCAACTGTCGGCTACCGTCGCACGTCCAAGTCATACCATAGTGAATGTATGTTCTGCCACCCTCCGTACAAACTTAATCTGATCTGTGTCCGAGCAGAGACTTATGGGTGTAAGTGGCAGGAGAGGAACATCTAACTATCTGTTGACGTTGGCTGCAGAGCTATGAGCCCGCATGTTTGAACGTTGCCATCACGTTCAACATCGCCGACATTCTTCAGAAAAAACCTGCAGGCATGCATGTATCTGAAGTTGGGAAGATAGCGGGACTCGACGAACGGAAACTTGGAAGGATTTTGAGATTATTGGCAACAAAGCATATTTTCCGAGAAAGTGAGTTCAGTGTTTTGGTGCAACCCACCATCAGTTGAGTCCCCTTACAGTTTCACGCGATGTCTTCGCAAATAATCGGTTGAGTTTGCAACTGCTATCTAGCAATCCTCTCTCCAGCCTGGGACTTCACTTGTAAGCAACTCATTCAATTTCGTATTCATTCATTCACAGAAACTTAACAGCACTGATGAATGCCAGAAGTCGGCAGTGTTACTATCCGAAACCCTGGCTGACCCCGATTGGGGATTCTCGTATCAGCCACAACATACCCCCTTCAACAAATATAGCAAATACGCCGAACCTCTTTTCCTATACTATGAGGGGGTGAGTCGTACAACCCTTCAATCTCCGTTTCCCACTTGCTCAAAATGAGCAGACGACTCCAGAAGGCGCCAAGCTCGGTGCGCGCTTTGGGATCGGGATGATTGGCTGGGGCACTGCGACGGAAGCGAGCGCTGTCATACGTGGTGAGATTCAATCCCGATGCATTTTGAGAGTGCAGTTAACATGTAGCCATCATTATTCTTCAGCATTCCCGTGGGGAGAACTCGGTCACGGTGCCTCTGTTTGCGATGTGGGTGGAGGTATCGGACACGTCACAATGCAGCTTGCCAAAGCGCATCCTACACTCCAACTCAAGTTGCAAGACTTGCCAGAGCGCATCCTACAAGCCAAGAACGAAGTTTGGCCCAAGGAATGCCCTGAAGCGATTCAGGAGAAAAGAATAGAATTCGAGCCAATCGATTTCTTGAGTGAATCCCCGATCAAAGACTGTAATGTTTATTATGTAGGGTCCACCATTTTTCTTACGCGTTGTTCACCTCACGAGATACAAACATCCCAGCTCAAGAACATTATGTAAGTTTCATCTCGAGGAATTTTGCGCCTGGCTCATTCCCTTTGTAGTCACGACTGGCCGGATGAAGATTGCGTCAAGATCTTAACAGGTGTCCGCAAGGCAATGGCACCGTACAGCCGCGTCCTCGTCCGTAAGTCGAAGGGCCACGATCCTAAGATACACTAAAACTTATGTGATATATTTATCAGAGGAGTACATCTTGCAACACGCCAATCGCCTTCCCGATGATCAGTCCGAGTTTATCCAGGCACCACAACCTCTTTTGCCCAACTATGGCGTTGGCAGGCTTCGACAATATAATCTCGATATTGATATGATGACCATGTTGAACAGTGAAGAACGCCGTCTCGAAGATTTCATCCGACTTGGCGATGAGGCAGGCTTGAAATTTGAAAAGCTTTGGGACGTTGGCGATACGGGGGTTGTGGAGTACCGTCTTCCCTAGTGAAAGGGGCGGCTTCTGAATGTATATCGAGCTACCCACTGTTCCATCAATGTGTTATCACCAAAATTGAAATTTAGACACTAAGTCGCGTGGAATATGGAAAGTACGTAAGGATAGAATATCTACATAGGTCTTGATGACCTCCAAAGTCACAAATCCGCGACCGCAAAATCAAACAGACAGATCAAAAGACCAACTTGTGGTTTCAAACATATTTTGTTTACGTATATGCAATATTGCACGGCACGTTAATACTGAATACATGACCCGTTCCAATCTGAAAAGAAAAGGTCAGCATTTGGAAACAAAGAATTGTAGGGGAAAAATTACGTTGTGAACAAGTTCACATACCTATACTATGATGAGTTATCAATTAATGGCAGCCTTGAAATAATATTGTCTGACTCACTGGTAGACAGACGATGATGACAAGGTTGCCGAGGGATAAACCTAACAGGATACTTAGCATGTAGAAGTCTGATTGATTAGCATCACCGACCAAAGAGAAGAAAGTAGTAGATAAGTCCTGTAAAATTGTCAGCGAAGGCAAGATGGTCAAGATTTTATACGAACCATCTCGGTAGACAACTTTTGAAAGTGTTTCCTTTCTCATACCGTTGACTAGAGTTTATGAGCCGATCGAAGGGGGAATTTGAGTGTGACAGCCTCACTTACGTGTGGAGAAACCGCGAATACCCATAAGCAATAAGAGGCCTGAGAATGGGCTTTAGATGATGGTTTTTGGAGGAAAGACATGTGCCACCTGCATGGTAAACCATAATCGCGGCCCAGCAAGCAACAAAAATAGGATTAGCTCCTACATGAAAACACCCAGCTGGATTTGCATAACGTGGGGGTCGAATGACTGTAGGACAATATCTGCATGCGTTGACAAAGAGGTAAAGTTGACTTACACTCTACAGAACGGATGAAGAGACCCAGAAAGACGTAGACTATGGCCCAATTGACAAGAAAAAATATGGGCAATCCGATCGTGAGCCATTGAGCTTTGTCCCAGCATGCCCACGTTCTGATGGTGAGAAGTACTTGAGGCACTCTCAATAATGAACCAAGGGGATGGGTGAGCGAACTCACTCTCAGCCACGCTGGTGCCGACAGCGAACAGCCCTGTAACCGCAATCGGTCAGCCCAGCCAAACAGACTTAAGAACACGCCAAACGTACAAGCGCTTGTTTGAAAAGTAATACCGCAGGCTGCAGTGTGCGCCGTTCCATTGCGAGTTAAATCTGAGCTGACATCTTAGTGTTACAGTGGAGGCAGCGTTGGGGAAAACACTTACAAAATGTTAACAAGGCCATATCAATGAAAGGCATATACCTAACTAGAAGGAATAGCGCCTTGACGAGGTTCCAGCGTGATGCCCAGATCAACAATAATTCGGAATCAAGGGTCAACATATAGTCATAAACCTACAGGGAGAAACCTCGAGTCAGGATAACAATTTGGAAGCAAATAAAAATCACAAACTAGAAGCACAATCGAGGCTACTATTAAGCCGTATTTCGAATGTGAGTGAGACTGATTAAAGATCTAACGCGTAACGGACCTGTCATGTACTTCACGTTTTGAGCATTGAATCTGGTCAAGAATAAATACAATCTTACGTTGCTTAGGCATGTGCTTTGCAGGATTAAAACCACCTCTTCAAAGGTTAGCTTCATTGTAACGGTGGAGGGTAGATGGGTGATTAGTAAGTTAGTAACAGTGCTAAGGAAAGACGGATTCGAGACTGCAAGTTATAGCTTTGCGAACGGACAGGAACAGAGCATGTGAGATCTGGGGGCCGAGGCTATGACTCATGAGCCGAGGGAGGTAGATGCTGCTATGCAGGCTAGTAGTGCTCATGTTAATGAAACAGTACCTTTTTTTTGCGCTTGCTGCTTGTTTGGCTGTCGCCTTCCGAAGCGCGTTATATCCACCGGAACAATCAGAGTACGAGATTCGTCGTTTTCTCGTTGCCGAACAGAGCCATACAGAGCCTTCACCTCAAACAAGGGGTAAGTAAATTGAGCAGTCGAGCGAATTATGTAATCAGGACAGACACTGAATCGACTTGTGTTGTTGGTGTGAGGAGTGTTGACAGGATACATGACTTGGAGTATTAACCACGGATGCCACTCCCCAGCGCGCTTGCTACAGCACCCATCATCCACCGATTAATAAAAACAAGATGCAGCATATTATCGTCTGCTGAAAACGACCGTCCGTTCTCCAGCATGCCCAAAGGCACGCCCGAGAGCCACGTCAAAGCATCAAGCACAGGCCACAACCTATCCAGTCCCCTCAACTTGAACACGATAGCCAGCACACAAACAGCAACTGAGCATGAAAATGTCGAGTACGCCATCCAGCGGGTGGGCAGTTCTGAATCTTCCCACCATGTCTTCTCATATGCTTGTTGTACCACTAACATCGACGTAACGAGAAGGGTTGTTCCGAGGCAGAGAACCACGGCTGTGTACAGGATCCAAGAGGGTGTCAGAGCGCTGGGTCCAAAGCGCAGCGTGACACGAGTTTGTCTGACAAATATGGCACCGAGGATAGCTGCCGCCAACCCACAGGTGGCCATGAAAAAACCAGGGCGAAGGCCGCCTTCTTTTGGAGTGGACCGGTCAAAAGTCGCGATGACCATGAGTTCTTTGCTTGAGGATCCAGGAACATACATCTTCATGCCGGGTTGCTCGTCGCTCTTTGCAAGAGCTTTCCCGTAGTACATGCTATGCCAGTCGGTTAAGCGACCAGCGTATAAGGAGTTGGCAAGGGCAACTGATGTCCATACTCCGGCTGATGTGCCGACGGAGAGGAAGTAGCACACCGCGATCTGACCAAAAATCCCTGCTATGAAGAATGGGACAGCCGATCGTCGATTGATGCCACCACTGAAAACAAGGTCGCCAAACTCGGTCGCGGTGCCCGCATATGGCGCCAGCTGTTGCAGGACACTATCGATGCGGGTCAGGTATGCATCGTCCGCCGTTATATCTTTCATGCCCCATCTACCTGGGAGATTTTGGATTGTTAATCTCCCGGTGTCAAGGATTGCACCACCTAAGATTGAGATCCAGAGCGTTTGCCCGACTTCAACTCGCGCGACTTGACCAGAAAGTCCGATTTGCTGAGAAGCGTTCTGTTTGAGGTATTGTACGACGCGGAAGTAGGATCTCGCTAGTTCGGAAAGCGTGGCGGATACTTTGTGGCCCTGGGGCGCATAGGAATGAAAGTCAATGGCGCAGATAGGGATGTCGTGGTTGATGAGATCAAGGTCAATCGTGTACACTGGCCCATATTCGTTGTCACCAACCCTTGTCGCCACTCCACGCAAGGGGCTTTGGGAGTGTGGGCGTCGGACCATTTGCGCTGTCACTACATAGAGCGCATCCCGTTCACTTGCTACATCAATGATTGAACTCGGAGGCATGTTTTTGGTGCAAAACACCATTTTGTTGTTGGAAAAAACTTGCACCTCCCATTCGCGAAAGGCATGGTAGTCTGTGGCTGCAAATAGAAGAAAGTCACGGGCTACAGGAGGAGGACATTTGGTTTCGAAATTGGGGGATTGAGGTACGAGGTTGACTCTTGTCATGAGCCCCGCGGAAGTAACTTCCCATATTTCCTCGTTAAGAGGTGTCTCCAAAGGTCGGTAGGTCACGCATCGCAGCTGAGATAAAACTCGCTCCAGCGCTTGAGCCCTGGCACTGGCGCTGATAGAGTTGGAGCGCACCCAGAAGTTGGCTCTCCCATAGGCGGAACGAATGCCAGGTACAAAGTGACATGCGCTGGTGACCCAGTTGACGCGCTGCATACCACGTATGGATAGCTTTGGTAAACCCGTGAAAAGGAAAATGCCTGTGACAGGCTCGATCTCCCAAAGCTCGTTTGGAGATGAGCCCAAGGTGGCATAGAGAACGGTCGCCAGGAGAAGAAGACCAGGGGGCCATGATACCACATCGTTCACGGGTGCTTGAGCGAAGACAAGGGGCAAGGATAAAGCAATGACAGCTGTGGTGATGATTGTTACAGGGATACGAAGGGACATCTTCAAGATCTGCATCTCCATGGTCAAGTTCCACAGTTGTCATTGTACGAGTTGGGTTTTCTTACATTATTTGATCCATCGGCCGCACTGGATCCTTGTGTTCGATGTAACGAGTTCTGAAACTGTAGATACGACGTTGATATAGGATGATGTTGAATTTCGCTCGAAATACTCACTGGTTTACTACCATTGGCAAATCCATCTCTATAGCCCTCCATCCCATCCGCAACTTTCTCGCCTTGGTTTGGGAGCATCGAAGAATGCTGCTCTATCGGTATAGGTGGTGGTGTTCAAGTTGGCAGAAGGAGCGCTGGGTTGCCATCCCTGTCCCGCGTGTGAGTGCACGTCGTGAGCGCTAATCTAGTTCCTCCGTGGTCGGGCCATTGCCATCTCCAAATAACTTGTTAACTTTGCACTATGCTTTATTACAATCGACACGACTTACTTAGGCCTCCCATCGTGTTTTTATAATTCGCAGAGGACGCCTAGTTTCTGATTGAGGCGAGAACTGGGAATGGCGTAACTGGCAGCCAGTTTCGTTTCTTTTTGAAGGGATGACAAAGGGATGAGGTCGTGACGTGATGTTGTTTGGCGACAGCCTGCCAAACAGACAACCAGATCGGCTCGGAAGAGAAATTTCTCATTATTATTTCTGACCCTTCAAAACTTGGTCTTTCAAGCTTCTTTTGTTGAAAACTATTTATTCGAATGAGCTACAAAAGTATTTTCGTCGAGATGGACATTCTACTCCTCCCCGATCCACCACTCGGGACTGGGCTCATTTTTCCGCAGCCGCTCCCACTCATAGATTGTTCCGTTATGATCAGCATACAGAGTTCTCCTGGATCAAAGAAAAGTGCGCAGACTTCAGAGTCGCCTGACTTGATGTAGAGCTTTTCTTCCATCTCATACGACGCCACATCGATCACATGAATGATTTCAAGATGGGAGTTACAATCATGCTAAGGGTTCAAACTTGGTTCAAACCACCTATTTGAGAGGTGGGGATATCAGAATGTGAAAAATAGACGTACCTCTACAAATCAAGGGGGTAGCGGGACGTGGATCCCGAACCAAGGGTAGGAGGGGGGGTGTCCGGCCGAAGGCCGAAAAAAAAAAGTTGACGCCGTCAATTTCAAATTTTCTCATGCTGGTCTCGTCATAACTATCTTTACACTGATCATGACCTACTTGCAACCAGTTACACCACTCTCGACGCCTGGGTTTCTTGCGACACGGCTGGCCGTGATGGATCCCTCACGAATACCCTATAGCCGTTGTTTCAACAGCCTGCTATATGCATCCTTACGACCCCTAGGCTTAGTTTACGGTCAACCACCTGTGTGTAGCTTACTTGTTACACGGAAATTTTTGAATTCAAAAAAAAAAAAAAAAACATGAGTATGGGGAAAACATACTTATGTCGAACGTTTTACTTACCTTTGGGCTGAAATATGAGAGGGGCAGGGACGGCTTTCCCCGGATTTCCGAAACGAGACATGAAATCAGACCCTGGAGCTATTTTGAGCCTTGTTTGCCATCGCCCTCCAGGGCGGCGTCGGCTATCGGCCTTGTTCGGGTCCTCGTCACAATCATTACAATAATAGATCTGATCGTTTACACCTACTATAGATTAAAGGTTGACAACTCCCAGCCAAACGTTGAGCATCGCAAACCTGCTTCCACTCTGCTGGCAAAGCCCCGGCCTCCACCGCTTCCAAACTTCCAAGGCCCCGCCGAATTGACAGATGGCGCAAAGGCAGCCAAGAAGACAGTGAAAGGCGCAGCGCTGGCTGATGGAGAAGAAGAAGCGAGAGATACAAGGTGCGTAGCGCGCCTCACCCGATACACTGATTACCTCCTCTTTATTCCTTAAACGGGTCCACCCCGTCGCTTGTATCTCCAACAACAAGCTTAGTGAGAAGCGACCTCTTTGGAACACATTGCGTTGACTCCTCAAACAGGTCCAATCGAACACTCGTATCTCCAACAAGGTAATGGCTAACGAGACAATGTCAGTCGACCACGGCAAGGCCATTGAGACTGCGCTTGGCTCTGTGGATAGCTTCCTTTTCTCCAGCGAGCTTGGTTGCCTGTCTGATAACAAGGTGAGCAGCTGATCTTCAATAAATGTCATTCTATTGCAAATGAGCTCGCTTTTACAGCAAGCACACAATGGCCAGTCGAAGAAGAGCATGTGCAAGAGGCATATTGTCAGGCTTATCACGGAGATGTGAGTAGTGTCAGCACCGGCTCTTTGGGCTGTACAGCTGCTCTGGAGGTTGGTGCGCCACAACTAAGGTTTGTTCCAGATAATGATGGATTTTGTTTTGTAGGTATCAAATCAACTCAATCCAGGGGGAGGCGGGATCAAGATGCAGCTCATGAGTCTTGCAATGGCGGAGGCGACGAGGTTGTTTGGCAAAGTGTGGAGGTGCGGCGTCGGGTAACAGCCAGGGCTTTCTTCCTTTCTCGCATCGCTGACAATGTGTGTGTAGAGTTCTCGTCAGTAGGCGCGCATCCACTGCTGGCAGAGTGCTGGCCTCCACCGCTTCCAAGGCCGAAATCGACAGTGGCAACTAAGAAAACAGTGAGGAAAGTTACTCCTCTTACATCTACAAGGGTGTGTGTTTCAACCAATACATATAATTCCTCTTCTTCGGCCCTTGGACAGGTCCACCCTGACACTGGTATCTCCAAAAAGGCGATGGCTATCCTTAAAAGCTTCGTGAACAATATCTTCAAACACATTGCTACTGAACCTTCCAGTACATGCCATGTAGGTCTTCGTCTCTCACATTCTGTATTTATGTTAATTACCTCCATCAATTTTGTATTACAGGATCAAATCAAGTCTTGAGCAGCATAATGAGAGCATCGACTCCGTTCTGGTCTCCTTGCTTCTGGCGCCGTAACGTGAACCAACCAAGTTTTTTATTGTCCAATATAATCATTAACCAGGTGTCCGTAAAACTTATTTAGTGTCCATAGATTTGACTAGGATGTCCGTAAATTCATGATAAAGCTATGGGCATGGAGGAAATTGGGGTGTTTGGGGCAAGGGAATGTGTCCGTCGTAATTACTGAATGACCGAAATTCATGCATCAAATTCAGAGTGTGAGTCCTCCCTTTCTTCGGAGTTGTCTCGTTCCTCAGGCGTGCCGCGTTTGCTAACGCGCCGCTTGTTGTGTGCGACTCTGATAGCCTTGAGGAGCGCCTTCACCGATTTGTCGGCCACCAGGTAAGTCTCACAGAAGCGAGCATCGTCACGGCCCAAGCTGATGAGATTAATGTGTTTTCAGCTTTCAGATGTGCATGCGAGCCGATGAAGAAATCACACACCGTTCATATTCGTTAGCGATCATCTTTCTCTGGGAATACAAGGAGCCGGTAAACCTTTTCATCCCACCCTGATACCACTCCTTTGGCCAATCTTTCAGAGCCATTACCGATGCATCACCAAGCTCCCACTGCTGAACTACGTCACGCCAATTCTTCACATCAGGGATCACCACACCAGGAATGGGAAAATTCAGGCTGTCCGAGGGGCTTTGAGTTTGGGCATCTCCTGCCAGGCTATCGACATCAGAGTGGCTGGGTATGCTCGAGGTACGGCGGTTTGGCGCATGTGCAGAGTACGGATTGGAAGAGTGGCGAGCACTGTGACCACGGCGCAGCGAAGATCGCTCCTGAGGCATTGGCTCTCCCACACTCATTGACGGAGGGGATTCCAGATTAGGCTCAGGGCTGGGAGATGCAGAAAGGCGAGTTTCGGACAAGGCAGCTGTGACCTGACCAACAATCTCAGAAACAGCGTTTCCGAGAGAACGATCCATCGAGATTTTCCACTGCCGGATTTCCTCAGTAGAGGGTGGCGCCTGGTTGATGTGTTCGCCCATGAAGCTTTTATCGGCCTCCGCTGCGATTGGGCACAACGCGTTTCCGTGACCTGTCTCATAGCTTTGGAGTGAATCTACAAGGTATTTTATCATTGTGTCGACCTTTCGAAATTCGATGTAAATCAGTGACAAACACGCTAAGTATGATATCACAGAAATCTACCTGTTCGCCTTTGGCCCACCCACCCCACCATCGAATAATACTCAAAGACCAGCGACGGCCAATCGGTGCATACATGAACCGATATTGAGCGCCACCTCTTCGGAAGCAATGCGTCGTGTAGGTCTTCGTCAGGCCAGCACCAGCCACGAACTCGCTGAGGTGCTTCTGGAACGTGTCATATGACATAGTGCGCTTCGGATCAATGGTGCCATTATGCGAGATATGGGGGAAGATAAAGTCACTAGACTCGAGACTACGGCCGAGGCGGCCCTCCAAATATTTCAACCAGCGTTGGAGGTGAGTAAACATGTCCATTGCACCGATATCTTGCTGATAGATCTTATAAATGCCACCTAGTCAACAAAAAATCCCTAAAGTTAGCTTTGGACAACGTCGGAACAATGATTTACACACTTGTGCGTGGACCATCATAGCCCGCTTGCTTCTGCCAATTCTTACGCTCTTCAAGCCGGACCTCAAAATAAGGGAAGTGGTATGGTGCAGGTCCCTTCAAGCCCATCGTAAGATCGCCATACTGTAGAGAGAGGCCTTCGAAAACCCTAAAAGGTGATATCAAGCTAAATTCCCAAATTGGACATGTGTAAACTCTCATACGGTCATACCTTAGCATCAACACGAACAGCGTTGGATACAACGCCCGCATGAGGCCATGCAGGGCGACGGACTCAGGATTGGATGGCACGTTATCAAATAGTTCATTGGGGCATCTTCCCTCTGACCAGTCCATAATTTTTTGCAGGTCCTCGAGTGACATGGCCTCGGCATGCTTCCGTGTTGCAGCTGCCCCCTTTGTAGCTGCCCTAGTTTTCACCGCTTTCATCAAATCGTGGATAGCTGGAGCTCGAGCTGGACATCCAGAGACCTTCCCAGTGGTTTCATCCAGGGAATAGGCACCAGCATAGGTCTGTCCCTCCCTGCAGGTTTGTTTCAGTAACGGAAAAGTGGGAGATTGATGGTCTTGAACGCTCACATTTTATCCCAGTAGTCTGCAAATGCTCCTTGGATTCCTTCTGCGGAGCTTTTCGACAGTTCCTCCGTGAATACTTTTTGAACAAGGAAGAACTCGAGTGCAACAGCGGAGTAACGGTTTGGCGGCTTGTCGAAAGCTTTCGCAAGCTCAATGGTAGGGATTCCCTTGTCACAAATCTCAATGCCTTTGAACTCCCTCTCTGCGACGATATCAGCCAGAAACTTTCGTCCCCGGGCAATGTGTCCAGCATACACCTTGTTTGTATTTTTGGACTTGCCATATTCGACCAAACGGGCATCGCGAATGTTTTGCAGGGTCTCGAAGTCAGCCGTTTTGGCTTTGGTCTTCCTCTCCTTTGATTTTTTCACGCTGTGGTTGCTGCCCATGGTGTGTGCTGTCAGTTTGAGGTGGATGAGTGATAGACGTAGCGGTGTCTAGGTCTCATAGCGGTGTCTAGGTCTCTTCCCTGTTTCAAGACAAACGGAGCCGAAAAGGGGGAACCTATTTTTTTGCTACCAAATTTCAAGATCTGTACGTGGTATGTCTGTACAGCAGAAGTGTATCTACAAAATAGATAACTATTGCCGTGGCATGCCGATTTTTGTTGTAGTTGTGTAAAGAAGTCCATAAGATAGAACATGTCCGTGACAGATAATAAAAATGTGCATGATAGAACCTTTCAATCAATGTAAATAGCATTGTCTAGTGAGCTACCAAGTGTGGCATGATGCTCAGCAACGAGCGCAATGCTATGCCCAGCAGTGGGCACACGTTAAGCCCAGAGATGGGTGCCATGATACCCCTAGCAACGGCGGCAGTGGAAGCTCCCCCATGCACAGCGATGGGGCCGACCCTATGGTCAGTGCTAGGCCCAGCAACGGGTGCCGTGTCATGCCCAGCGATGGCAGCAGTGGGAAAAAGCTTCGGGAATATCTGGAATGATAAAAACATCTAGAATAAACGATGAAATAGGCTCAGAGAGGATCACGTACAGCTTTGTAGGTTGAAGACACAGCAAGGCTGGGCTTGTTCTTACTCTTTTGTGCCTTCTGGTAGCGTGCGACGAGGGCTGGCAGTGCTTGCTCAAGAATGGAGCAGGGCACCCATACCATCATTCTCCCTGGCAAAATTTTTGTCTTCTTTGTAGCGGACTTTGTGGTAGCTTCGGTGAATGTTCGAAGACCTCGAAGACCAGAGAGCGTGGCCGTAGAGAGGTGGCCTGTTTGAACTTCCACAGTATAACCTGGAACTGCTTTCTTTTCAGCCTTCTGCTGTCGAACGATGCAAAGGATGGACGAGAGAGCAAACGTCCCTTCAGCAATAGTTTGGGCAAAATGCGCTGTAAGCATTGCAGTAGGATCAACATTAGCTTCCTGATTTCTCATTAGCAAATATCAAAGTGAAGAGATAATGCGATGACGAACCTCAACCAGTCGATAAAGAGTCATGCCAGGCCAAACATGTTCTTGGAAGCATGAAAGGATACCATCTGAAGTGCCCCAGGTGAACGAGCGCTCACAGAGCGCAGCTAGTTTGGTGAGGTTGACTTCTCGAGGTACCCATGCAGCTGTATTGGGTAGTTTCTGGCCGGGGGACCACGATGTGATGGGATTGACATAAAGGGCAAGGATTCTGGGGTCGGGGAATGTATTGGGTACACTGTTTGAAAGGGCAACCTGGCGTCTAGAGAGATGACCAGCGTCATTGTACCGAAGCGCCATGCGTAAGCGATTGCGCCATTTCTCAAGAGACTGTTCCAGTTCCGGTGGTGGGCAGGTCTTCGTGGCATGCAGTAGTTCGTCACCAAAGCCAGCACGAGCAAGGCTGTACGCCGTTGTCATACCACAGCCCTGCAATCCAACCTAGGCTGAATTAGTCACAGAAAAGGGAATTACGGCAACTGCTGGCTCACCGGATCGTAGTCACCTCCACTGAGTATCGCGAGTAATAGAATTCCACCACTTGTGAGGGACAAGGTCGAACAGATGGCGTCAGCCGTGTAGATATTGATGTTATCACCATCTTCTTTGACATTGGGGCTGGGAATGGCTATGGAATTGTTCGAAAGGATATTGAGGTGAAGACTTACTTCCGAATGAGATGAGTTGCTCCAAAAAGGAGCGTATCCGCATCGTCGCTTAAGACGGCATCAATAATCCCGTGAGAGTTGAGGACCGCCAGTTCTGCTTCTGCCTCTGCGGGTGCCTAAAAGTGGGCCTCGATTAGTCTCAAGGAGAAGTAAGTCAGGAGATGAGCTCAACGGTATGGAAACTATAGCCATATTGCTCAATGAACTCCTGGAACGAGCTCGTCAGCGCATGTGCCTTGGTGCAAACATTGACGCCTCGTTTAATCGACGGACGGTGTTCTCCATCAAAAACGAAAACAAGGTGGATTGGGAGCTTGCGGAAGCGCGCGAGGCGATAGAAAAGGGTTCGGAGCTCGGGGTTTTCACCAGCCTGGTAATGCATGCCCGGTACATGGAAGATCGACTGTGTCTGGTTCAGCCAAATGCTGACAGTGACTGGATTAGCTTCCCTCATGAATAGATGAGATATAAATGTTATACCTTGCGTCAACACCAATCATGAGGGTCCGAGCTCCACGCCGATTTGCCTCAAACCCTTCTAAAACTGTGAGCTCAGTGAAAGGGCGTGATTGCTTTGCTTTCAGCAGAATCTGATAAAGACAATCAATTTTGGGGGGACCACAAAAGATTTGAGTGTCGTACATTCCAGATGCCAGGGATACCCATAATTTCTAAGAGGCCTAGAGAAGGGAGGACGGAGGAAAATGTCGAAGATGTAACCTCCTAATTACGGACTCTCCTTTCCGAAAGTTTTCGACTTGGCAACATTGTATAGTTGAGAATGAAGCGGGTCCGTGAATGAGCAGCAGAGATGGTGTTGTGGCATGGTGCAGATGGTGAACAACTGCAGCCCCAGTTATTTCTGCCTGGCCTAAGCAGCAGCTGCTCGCTCGCTGGCGCTCGGATATACCAAAGCGACATAGACGAGGCGAGCAGCATGCAGCATGCACACACTGGGCAGAAAAAGATAGACAAAGAGAAAACGGGTGGCGAACGAACGCTCAACGATGAGTCACATGCTTTTGTGCCTCACGTGTCAACTACGCGTCGTAAACTACGTGTTGTAAACTTCGCGTCGGACTCGCGCTCGACTACATACAGATAAAAATGTATGGTAGAATAAACAACATGTGTGGGCAAGGACAACTATATAAACAAATCAGTCTACTATGGTGCTATCAAGTCATCAAGCATTAGGAAGAACACAGTTTTCTATGTAGTCCTATGGTGTAAAGTCCAAATATGAATGCATAAGTGCACCTAAGGACTTATTTCTGAGAGATTTACCAGTAAATCCAGTGGATTTACTGGATTTACTGAGTGATGGCTTGGCCGCTCCCAGCCGATTTACATTTGCTCGCTTCCCTGGCGCTCCCCATCTTTTGGATCCCTTGCTCAGTCTCCGAGTGATATCGGGTACGTGTTGATACTGGCCACAATCCTGCGTGTTTTTTGTGCATCTTCGTTGAGTGATATGCCTTTCAGTGTTGCGTTGATACCTTTCTTTTCAATATCCTCCAGGAGAATGTTAATCCTTTCTACGGAGGCAAGTTTTATTGAATTCAGGTTATCTTAGCAACAGCTCATTACAGTGTAAAAGTCTTCTACTTAATCGTTGTCTGTTCGGTTCGATTCATTCTGCACTGGAGTTGTCGGAGCGACAGCTGATCTCGCCAAGTATAACTGCTGTAATTAAGCTGGAGGAGATTAGAGGAGATTGCCACCATCGTTCCAGGGCTATCTCAGGGCACAGGGGCATCTATGACAACCTCGGGAGACCCTCGTCTATGGCCCCCACACGAGCTCCTTTGAGCACAGGTAACCACTGAACTCATTAACCAAGCTGACGAAACCCTCCCGCTACCCCCCCCAATCGACCAGTTGCACTTGGGATGCGTATACTGGAGACAGGCAGATCAGATATGCAACAAGCCCATTTACCAAAGTTCAGCGTCCCTTTCACGATTGCCGCGCTGCTCGCCCGCAGCTTCTGGAGCAGCTTGCTGTGCTTACCTGGTGTGAAAATGTAACCTGGGTGGATAAAACATTAGCAAGATGCCAAACTAGTTCGGTCCCATGCAATGCTCACTTCTATCACTAGCACGATGCTCGTTATCCTTTTGAACAAGCTCGCCCCTTCCTGTGCCGCCTGCTTTGGAGCTGGGTCCTGCTGTTTGGTCATCTTGGGCTCCTCGCTGGATGCTCCAGTCAAATACGTAGTCGTACTGGTACTCCTCGTGCACGAAGAGTTCACGGAAGAGTTTGTGAAGATAGGAGTAGTCAGGTTGGTCGTCGAAGCGAAGAGCACGAGTGTAGTCTAAGAAAATCTCAAACTCGTTTGGGAATCCATGGCAGAGAAGGTCGGTGGGGGTATTTCTGCTTCTTGTGGCAACTTTTAGACCCTGTCAAGGAAGAACTGCATGGAGGAAGTACATTAGGACATAAGCAAGAGATTTGAAGTCATCACGACGTACTTGCTCAACACCTAAATGGGTGTTGACCGATGGATGTGCACCGCGCAGTACCCGTCAAGTCCTTGTTCTCTCTGTACGGAATGTGGAGGTGGGTCTTGGGGTCACAGAACTTCTTGGCGAGACCAAAAGCGATGGCATTGAATTCATTACCGCGCTTTCCAATGCCCATCAGAAAGTTATCTGGCTTGATATCAGAATTGCGACGTATGAAGTTGCGTGAGTGGATATCCCATCCCAGAGGATCAGCGAAGACTAGAAATATGGAGAAAGACACGCACAAGGTGGTCGGTGCGTAAAAGAACAGTGGACTCAGGCTCAAGCGCTCAAGACCTGAGTCCACGTGATACAATCTACGCAAATGCGCCAACCGTAAACGTTCAAACGCTCAAGCTAGCGCTCAAGGACTCTAACCGCTCCACAAAAACATTTTGTTCTTACGAATTCACGTCTCTGGTGTATGTGTGGCCGTGTAGCCGAAGAGCGCTGTCCCTTCAACCCTGCCCCTGAAACCAACCTTCAGGGAACGCTCGCTTCACCGTCAATGCCCAAGATCGCCACGCTTTTTGCAACACTTCGACAATCCGGAAACATCCTCGATTTACTTGGTTTTACAGCTATTATCATAAAACCTTCCGAATATCCTTACTTTATTAGGAAGGTAATGGTGGGGGGTGTCAGGCGGAACCCTGAAAAAAAAATAACGAGTGTTGGTCTCTTTTCCACATTCCGCCACCCCCTTGCTACAAATACCAGAATTTCTTTTCCTAAATTTCCACTCGTAAATCGAAGAAATCTTTGAGGTTGGAAAAGCTGCTCGGGCAAGGGGACTTCCGTGAATGTCCGTGAAGGAACTTGGCTTCGGATATCCCAAACAGACACGCCACTGCAATCCATATCCAAAGCAAACTTGGCCCCATTGGCAGAAAATGGAATTTCTGGTAGATCGTAAAGAAGTCTTGTTGCGGGAATAGGCAGACAGGTAACGAAGGAAAATTTTGTACCACCAGAATTCAAATAGTGAATATCAACTGTTTCGTTGTGTCGTTGGTTTTTCATATCCACATTTAGGAGAATGCACCTGTAGGGGGATAGCAGTGTGACTGGAGAACATCAGAAGCAAGTTCAACACGACTGCTTGATTTCGGACAAACCATGACGCGTTGGGTCAACCAACAACCTCAGATCGGACTTGAGATGAAAATCTATCCTCCCCGACTCAATTAAAGGAAATTTATTCAAGGCGTCAGTTGCGGTAGTAGAGATGTGGAGCTAGTGATGTGCCAGGCCCGGCCCAAAGCCGTAAGCCAGCCAGGGCCAGCCTTCCCAAAGCCGGGCCTTCTTGGGCCGTCATCAAAGCCCAGGAAAGCCCAAGGCTCAGGCTCATAATACATGAAGCCTTGAGCCGTGGCCTGAGCCATGGCCTCAAAGGTTGGCAGGACCTTGCTTTGGAGAGGTAAAATTGATGTGATTAAGTTGTTGAGAATTGTTGAGAAGAGTGGCCCCTAGCATTTCAGGGTGTTTGGTGGCAAGATTGTCAAGATACATCATCGGTCATCATGCTGAAACGTCTCTGGGTCACATGCGAGGTGAACTGTAGGGTGCATAATCAGGAGTGCAAAAGAAAGTTGGTGATAGAGGGGACATATCGTCTTATCACTGAGGCCTGAGGTTTATGATGGGGAATGACTCAGATTCTACTGTGATCTTTATGCTAAAAAGTTGTAAGTGTGATATGGTCGTGATATGGTTGTGCTAATTATTTAGTCTTACAGCATTGGGGTTGATAACATTGATTTTCTTGACTCATACTCCAACGAACTAGTCATATCCATGTTCAAAAGGTGAGTAAGTTTCCAAGACACATAAAAAGCGACATCGTTTCAAGAGTAGCTGATTGTTTGTTCATGTTTTTCAACTTTAGCCCATGAGCCGTGGCCTGAGCCTGAGCCAGGCCTGAGCCAGCCTAAAGCCTTGCAAAAAGCTCAGGCTTGAAATTGGACAAGCCTGAGCCATGCAAAGCCGGGCCATAGCCGTGGCTTTCAGGCCAAGCCGGGCCTGCACATCACTATGTGGAGCAGCTTCCAATGGTCGCCAGATTGCACCCCAAAAGTGATTCCCAATTCGTTTTCGGTGGATTTTATCAGCTCCAAATTAAGATTATTAAGGTGACCATCAACGCTACCGCTGAAAGACCATGGCAGAGCAGAACCAACACGATGGTCTCGGAGCGGATTTCGTGGATTGATAGGTGTAGATAGGGTTCGGAAGTCGTCCTGTCGAAGTACTCTGCGAATAGTAGGATCCGATTGCCTTTGATGGGGACGAACGAAATTTTGGTCAAACGCCGCGACGGATGTTTCGGGACAAATGATTCGTGGCTTGAAAACAAAGTTAATTATATCGACTTTCTCAGTGAGCGACATGTATCAACCTCTGACCTCATGTTTCCCAGAGGAATGGATGTTGTGCTCGAATATCGTGTCGCCCCGGAAATAATAGATGATTCCTTTTTGAAGAGGACAATGAGTTTGGCGAATGATCCATTCCCAGGACAGACCGAATCTGCAAAGTGGACGATGGTGAAGTTCAAACTTCTGAATCAATCACTGGCAATACATGTACAAAAGATTCTCACAAGCTACGGTCAATGATGACGGTCTTTCTGGGAATCCTCGACTTTAGCAATGGAGAAGTTTGCTCACCCATTGATGGCGATACCCTACGTATACGAAGTGGCGAAAGGAAAGCAGGGGGTGTCATGGGCGCTTATTCAACTTGCAATTCGTCTAACGTGCACGTGACACCCATCTTACTCACAACCTTTTTGTGGTCCACTGGCGGTCTTCTCCACCGTGATCTCTCTCTGGAACACACATGTACATTATATTTCTACGACAACTGTCTCCCGAAAATTGTCATCGTCCTGAGCCCCATTCGACCCTGAGATTTGACCCCCCGCACAGTACGACCCGCAATGCATTGGCAACGCATCTACTAGAAGCCGGGAAAATTGGCTAGCCTGAGGTGCTATAGCCTCGACGTTGTCATTATATCGATGTTACATGGCCTAAAAAAACTAGTGGGATCATCCGGGTAGATGTCAATTTTGTCTCTGAACCTGGTCTAATAGTTTTCATGTACTAGTTGGGATGCGGCACAGCTGTCCTAGGGTAGGCTCGTCCAGCGAGAGCTCTTTACAAGTGCGAATTCAACCTCCGAAGATGAAGTTCACTTCGGAGAGGCTTCGATTCCTCCGTCGTGGATTTAGCCACCTACCTGTCAGTCTCCGCGATATTCTTGCGATATTCATTCGTTTTCTGACAGTTTCTGCCAGTGACTAGTACCCCTCTACCGAAGACGCCACTTGCATTCTTTCTTCAACAATCCAAAACGAGGACCCCTCAACCTGAGCTCTCTATAACATCCGAACTCAAAACTGTCTTCCTAGGTTTCTCTCTTCCCGAGCACAACATTGCGTCCGCTTCTTCTTGAGCAAGGAATCATTGTTTTCTTCTGTTGAGTGACCTGCTAGTCTTATTTCAACCTCAAAAACAGGCAGGAAATACGACACCAGATTCCAGACGTTTATTGCGCGGTCAAATTTGGGTCAAGCTCAAGTCAAAGTTAACTTTCGACGTCTAGACAATAAAAGCCCCACTGCCCAAGCTGTAACAATTGTCTTTCGGAAGAGTTTCCATCTCCCTTCTGTTCTTAGGGAGTTTTTCTGCTACGCTTCCTTATTCCAACTTGAATTGAAGATTCGAATGCTGTAGGAAGGGTTAAGTAATAAGCTTTCTTGCCACAGTATACAGTGCGCATTATCCTTGAACTCAGTCGTTGTAATAAATCCCGACTTGTGTCCTTAACCCAAAAGACGACCTTTCCGCTTTACTTACCTTTGTCTGTCGCGTTTCTTGGGCGATTGAAAACCGTCGTGCGCACTTCCGCAGTTCCTGATATCAGGGGTTTCCAAAAGGGGTTGACACACCAGACACGTCGGCGCCATTCTTCTCCTCTCCAACCTCCATCCTCATGCTCTAATTTTCTCCTATAACACCACATAATCCAAAGAACTCAGTTGACTGGTTTACTCCTAGTTCTCTACTAAAATGTCTGCCAATGTCAGGGCACGACGGCCAGCATCGCCGCCCCCAGGCATCCCAACGACAACTTCACAACGATTTCCACATCCCAGGGAAGGCCACTTGGACGCGGACGCCCGTAGAGCTGCTGCGTCCAAAGGCTTTGGTCCGGGCCGAACGACGAGTTATCCACCGGGAGGATTGAATGTGACGTCTGGGGAGTGGAAGTTGCTGTTCTTCATCGTCTTGGTTGCAGCAGGCGTGCGCTTGTTCCGACTGTCCAAGCCCAATAGCGTTGTGTGAGTCCTTGTTCGTGGCCCAGATATATCTAACCCTTACCGGTGCAGCTTTGACGAAGTCCATTTCGGAAAATTTGCCTCGAAATACATCAAAACGCAGTACTTTGTCGATGTGCATCCACCACTCGCCAAGTTGCTGATAACACTGGCTGCTTTTATCTTTGGCTATGATGGCCAGTTTGATTTCAAGGACATTGCAAAGTGAGTGCCATCTCCGCCCCACAGCGCTTAACCAACTCATCTTTGTAGGCCATACGAAAACGTGCCCTACGTCGCCATGCGAATGCTACCAGCCATTCTGGGTGTAGCTACCATCCCCATCTCCTATCTCACCCTCCGCGCCCTCGACTGCCGCGCAACCACCGCTCTCTTAGCCTCTCTCTTCATCACATTCGAAAACGGAATGATCACTCAATCCCGTCATATCCTCCTAGACTCCCCCCTTATCTTCTTTACAGCTCTCACCACCTTCCTCTGGGTCGGGTTCTGCAATGAGGATAAACATGAACCGTTTACCGAGTCATGGTGGACGTGGCTCACCCTTTCTGGGTTATCTCTTGGTGCAGTGTTGAGCTGCAAGTGGGTCGGGTTGTTCACCATCGCCACAGTGGGGGTCAGCACGCTATATCAACTATGGAACCTCCTTGGGGATCTGAGAGTACCACCCAGGCTGTTCGCACGGCACTTCCTAGCCCGCGCACTCTGCCTCATCGTCGTGCCCATCTTCTTCTACATGGCCATGTTCGAAATCCATTTCCTGATCCTCGAAAACTCGGGTGACGGTGACGGGTTCATGAGCTCCGAATTCCAACACACCCTCGGCGGTCGGGGAATGGCAGACACATTTGCCGACGTCGCTGTAGGGTCACAGGTCACCATTCGTCACGTCAACACGCAAGGCGGGTACCTCCATTCGCATCCCCACAATTACCCTGGCGGCAGTCAACAGCAACAGATCACCCTGTATCCTCACCGAGACTCCAACAACGACTTTAGGATCTTCAACGCCACTTTGGATGGTGACACCCATTTTGATTGGGAGAATTCTCCACTAGAGTACATCACCCCCGGGATGCGCATCAAGCTCCGTCACATTGCCACGGAGAAACATGTCCACTCGCATGATCACCGTCCTCCGGTGTCCGATGTCGACTTCCAGAACGAAGTCTCTGCTTATGGTATGCCTGGATTCCAGGGTGACGCTAATGATGATTGGTTCGTGGAGATTGAGCATGGGGATCGCCGGGATAAGGAGTCGACGAAGCGTTTGAGGACTCTGCGGACGACGTTTAGGTTGAGGCATGTCCTGACTGGGTGTTACTTGTTCTCTCACAAGGTCAAATTACCTGAATGGGGATTCGAGCAGCAGGAGGTAACGTGCAATAAGAATGCTGTCAGGGCCAACTCGTTGTGGTTTATTGAGACATCGAGTCATCCGCAATGTGCGTGTTCGATATGTTTGATTCGTTGGGCTTGCTGACGGGTGTGATGTGTAGTACCCCCCGACGCACCCAAGGTCAACTATAAGCTACCTGGATTCCTTGCCAAGTTCTGGGAGCTCCAGAAAGTTATGTGGACGACGAACGCTGGTCTGACCGATCGACACGCCTTTGACTCCCGTCCGGATTCATGGCCACTTCTTCGTCGTGGTATTGTGCGTTTTCGCTCTTCTGCACACGGCCATCGCTGACTATGACTGAAAGAATTTTTGGGTGAAAGAACATCGTCAGATCTATCTAATCGGAAACCCTCTCGTGTGGTATCTGAGCACCCTATCCGTGGCTGCATACATCTTCGTCCGGGGCTTCCTGATTTTACGTGCTAAGAGAGGATTCAGAGACTTTGATTCCAGTACGCCTTGTCTATCGTCCTTTCACCCCTCCTTCTAACATCTCATCCAGCCAAAGTTGTGAAATACGACTCGCTTTGTGGTTTCCTCTTCATTGGCTGGGGCCTGCACTACTTCCCCTTCTTCCTCATGGGCCGCCAGCTCTTCCTGCATCACTACTTCCCCGCGCTATACTTTGCAATCCTGTTATCATGTAGTGTCTTTGACCTCCTCACTTCGACGCTCCGACCTCGCATGCGGTTACAGATCGCTGGTGTACTGATTATCCTCGCCATATGGAACTTCCAGTATTATAGCCCTCTCACGTATGGCAGTCCCTGGACGAGATCAAAGTGCGAAAAGGCAAAGATGATGAAGACGTGGGATTTCTCTTGGTGAGCTCAAAAATAGGTCTGCTGTGCATAGACCGCTTGCTGATCTTCGCTATGTATAGTCATGATTTCCACACTGATGTAAGTCACCCATCTATCTCAACACGATATACAAGGACCAACTGACGAATTCTGATAGTATGCGCAATACGGCAACGTCGGCGTCGCAACGCCCCAAAAGTCCGCACCTGCGGTTTCAACGATTGGCGGTGAGGGTGGGGGCCGTGCGCCCATTGTTGTCGAGGATCAAAACGCACAGGGCAAGCCACATGAAGACGAACGTACCGAAACAGCAGCCGTACCAGGGAGGGCAGAACCAGGTCGTGATATCTTTGCGGGAGAGCCTATCAAGGACATCAAGAGTATGTCGAAACAGCCTGAGAAGGAAGAGGATGTATTGGAGAGGGCACCGAAGAAGATCAGCTCGGTGGTCACTTTGTCGACGGAATCAGTGAAGGCTGAGAGCATAGAATCTTCGAAAGTTGAGACTCCAGATGCAACGTCGACAGCATCGGAAAAGGAGAAGCAGGAGCCTCTGGTGGTCGTCGCTGAGGGACCTGAAGGTGCGGCGGCTAAGAAAGCTACTGCAGGCCCATTGGTTGAGGCCGATGCTGAAGCTGAAAAAGTTGCACAAGAGTTGTATCCGGAAGCTGCCTCGTAGGACATTTATAGCTTGCTCGTTGTTACGATACTACTGAATATTTATCCCTTCGAATCAACCCATACTGGAGGTTGTATGAACATGAAATATACAATACAGAAGGTCCAAAGTTATATTCCCCATGATAACACAGCAAACAAACCTCCATTTGTTCAACCCTCAAGGTCAGTCAGGAACAACAAATTCATCATGGCGAGCGAGGGAATCTTCATCGATTTGTGCGACCCAGAATGCTGATTAATGGGGTCACTTTGTGGTTGGTACAGTAGCTTGTTTCCAATGAGGGCGTACCTTTGCCATATGTGGGCGAAGACCACCTGGCCGTCGTACCTCTGTCAATGCGCACGACGGACCCTTTCTTTGCGATTTTTTTCTCGCCTGGATGCGCCTGATCTTCCAAAACGAGTTCACCTACAATGAATGCCGTGTTGCATCAGCGATCTCACTACTCTTCAGTGCTGAGCAGGACAGAAAACGTACCCTCAAGCACGAGAGAGATCTCGTGAGAAATACTATAGTTATAAGCCCTACCCTCACTTTCCCTCACTTCCATGAATCCGCTACTCAATGGGTTTTGCTTGTCCCTGTCGGCGTGTGTAACTGAGCCTTTGAATCCATTACCATAGTCTGTAAAGGAGGCCTTGTGCACGTCCGAGACGATCTGCATAGGTAGTGAGACGGTTTAGAGGGAGACGGCAGCAGGAGTGAACGTACAGTGATCGGCATTTTTCTGGTTAGAGTTTGAGAAAGGAATGGGGGTGGTTATATATACGAGCGCGCTGATGTGACCACAATCGCTCTCAGTCTTTGTCCAGCATGGAAGAAGTTATATTTGTTATCGATGGCGTGATTGAAGAAGGCTGTGTGGCACCACACTGTGGGAAGCGCGCTACCCTCGATAAGGTTCCGAAGAAGTTCGAGGGGAGTGTGCGGCCAGTGGCAGGTACGACAACTTGAATGACTAGTCTCCTGGAATTTTCGAATCTTTCAATTTCTGAGCACCGGAATCGCTCCGTTTTCATCTCTTTTTTTTCTGTCGACTTTCCCCGAAATAAATTTCATATTTAAATGGAAGTCAAAGACTCACTTTTGGTCAAGTTTGAAGGTAGTATTAGACTTTAGTAGCTGTGAAGTGACACGTCAAACACAGCCAACTTTCAAACGCGTGTAAGCCTGTGCAATACAAACGCGTGAAAGCGGAATATGATATCACTGGTCAGTGGTCAGCTGTTAATTTCTAACGCTCAAAGAATGAGTACTAGGTTTGATAACAAACAGCACACATACGTACCCAAAGAGTAATGATTTGGGAATTGACGATAATTCCAAACCTGAACGGTGTTAGGCACGTTTTGGTGAGGAATACAAGAATGCGGGAAACACGCCATCGATGTGCCTTGACTGATATAAAGTGGTTGGGTCGTTCCCTCCACCCACAGTACTTACTCCTGCTTTCCAAATGTCGGAGAAAAGCTTTGTCGTTAATCCGGATGCTGGGATGAAGGTGTCATCCGAAGTCGTCGACTCTGATGTTGAACAACTGGTATGCCAAGTTCCTCTTCCCACTGCCATCGGAGCTTTTCTAGATGGTAGTAGGTCCTAGTAGGGTACCGTCCTTGTCCTCGACCGCCCTATTGTCTCTCCTTTCAGTTGGTTGATTCTCTTGACTGACGCGTGCTTCGTTGAACCAGGAACGCCTAGGATACAAACAGGTGTGTCAGTAATATTGTATATTTCTGCGAGATTGAAAACCGCCCTCGCGGGCTAGCAATTGCGGCGGTCACTTGGAGCCATTGATAGCTTTGCATCGAGCATCGCCTGCACGAACTTCATAGGCAGTACCCGGTAAGTTTCCTGCTCCCTTTTCCAAACTTCGCTACTACTTACGTCTGAAACACTTTTCAGGGTACTTCTCTACCTCGGCCTCCTCGCTGGAGGGCCCTTGGCAATGTGGACATCCTTCATCATCAACGTTGTCAGTGTCTGCATCACCTCCGCAATCCTTTCGGAAATATGTTCTGCGCTTCCAATCAGTGGCAGCCTCTACAACTGGGCGGCAGCGGCTGCAGGGCCTAAATATGGGCGTTTCGTTGGGTGAGCGGTGCTGCTATCCTCGCTAGTGCGCAGTCACCTGAGCTCACCGGTTCTTCGCCCTTTGCTGCTGCGCGTGATGTACGTGGTGTGGCAGGTTTGTAGTTGCATGGTGGGTTGCGGCAGCCTGGGTGTCGTTCGTTGCGCTTTTGTGCGAGGTCGGCCCATATTTGCGTTCATTTGCCTCGCTGCCTGCTGATCACGTGACATGCACATAGGGTATTGTAGTCTGGGTTCTCTCTCTTTGCAATGTATTCAATGTGGACTTTCCTGGGGGCATCACATCTGGCAATATAAAATGGCGTACACTCGTTTGGGCAGCCTCAGAGGGTTTCCTTGTGCTTGCAACGGCAGTGACATATCTTCCATGTACGCACCATTGTTTTTACCGCTTTGCCTTCCTTTTTGCTGAACACCACCACTATGGTTTTTTATAGCCCGTCTGCACGGCGTCATCTTCCGCATCGCAGCGGGCTTGATTACCCTTGACTTTTTCCTCTGCATCATCTGGCTTCCGATCGGGGCGAGCAGGACATACGGCCTGCGTTCAGGGAGGGAAGCATTACTTACAACATGTGCGTCTTCCTTTGCCCTTCTTCCTAAAGGGCTTGTCACTAGTAATCTGTGTCATCCTGAACGAAATTTGACTGGAACGGATAACAGACAACGGAACGGGTGCGCCGGCTGGGTGGAACTGGATGCTTTCGTTCCTGTTCACGTCGAGTGTCCTTACCGGGTTTGATGCCCCAGGACATCTTGCAGAGGAGACAAAGAAAGCGGGGTATGTCGACTGTCAGTTGTTTACCATGAAAGAGTAGCTCCCTGAAACCTGCTTTGCCTTCGCAGCACCGTCGCCCCGCGCAGCATATTCCGTGCTGCGGTGGTGACCGGTGTGGGTGGACTTCTCACAACGGTGGTGCTCCTCTTCTGCATGCCCGACATCACGGCGTTGTTTGCATTGAATGCGCCACAGCCATTCGTTCTTGTGTATGCCATGGCACTAGGCCGCGGCGGAGGCACGTTCATGACGCTGGTGGCCACGATTGCTGGGCTTTTTGTGAGTGCTTTGCCAGCAAATTGGTGGAAAAAGAAGGCTTACATAATTCTGGCACAGTCGACAAGCGTTATGATTCTTACCGCATCACGTATCATCTTTGCCATTGCACGAGATGGCGCTCTACCGCTCTCTGACTGGTTCGCGAAGGTGTCTCCTGATGGACTCCCTCGCAACGCGATAACTGCAATCTTCATCCTATCTGCTATCTTGTTGTGCACCATCCTGCCGAGCATGGTGGCCTTCACATCCATCTTAAGCGCAGGGACTGTGCAACTAATGGCGGCATATGGACTCATTGCACTGCTACGGTTGACTGTGACGCCAAATGCATTTCAGGACTCGAAATTTCACCTGGGGAGGGCTCGCAAGTTGATGTATGCAGTATCCGTGGTGATGAATGCGATTTTTTTTGCGGTGCGTGGTATTTTAGCTTGTTGTGTGCCTCTCGTGTCCAAGTACTCATAGTCAGCGGTGTCTAGGTCCTTGTCTCACCGTTCACATTCCCTGTCACTGCTGCTACGTTGAATTTTGTGAGTGTCCCCGTCTCCAGCACTGGGTCGCAATTTAACTGTATAAATTATTTGCAGGGCGGAGTGCTGTTCGCCGTGATTACGATCATCGGTATCTTGTGTTACTTGATTCTTCCAGACGAGAAGTGGCTGAGCAACCGAAACCTGCAAGTGATGTATCAGGGTGCCAATGAGCCCATTCCCGAGTACCAATGAGATACTGGAACCTGTATTATCTGCCAGCATATGATTCAATCGAAGTGTACATGTATTATGTGGAAACTGATTTTGGTCTTGAGGTCACCATTGCAATCATATCAACAAGATCACAAATAGCTTGGGACACTTGGCCAAGCTGCCAAGCTTGATCCGGTCGTTCGAAAAAAGAGGCCGGATATAATCTGGCACGAATTCGGCCTAGTAGCCCCCCCCCAAGCGACGCCGATTTGAGCATGCTCGACCGATTTCTAATGTATTTGGAGCTCCCCAACCTCAACCCTCCCCGGACACATCACGTGACTTATTGATATCTTATCTAACCATCAAAGTCACACTTACATGTCATTTTGACGAAGTTTCTACGCCTCAGTAATGATAAATCTTCTGTTTAGATGAACGGAGCGAGTTAGGGTAAGATATGTAGGGATATGCATAATCGATCGTAGTTTAGTTCCAGCGTTTGGTTTATTTGATCTTGTTTGACCTCGGCGCTGTGCACGTGCTCAACAAAATATCACGCAAGTCCCAAGCAAGTCCACGCTTGCTGGCTACTAGTAGCTTGGATATATAAAAATCTATGCTCACGGCCGAGACACTTCCTGCAATTTGAAGGTGGACCTGAAGATGTGAACTCTTCTCCTCCTTTCTGCTTCTGACTATTGCGGCATTTTTCACAGGTTTTGTTTGAGTTAACCCAGGGGGAAGGATTTAAATTGTGAACACTGTGTTTTATGTAGTTCAAACTTCAAATTGCACTTAGACTTAGACTTAGACTATATACTTGGTAGTGGTACATGTGACCGTTTCTTACACGTGTTACATCATGTGACGTGTCCGGGGAGGGGTTGAGGTTGGGGAGCTTGGTATCATGGCCCCCTGGTCTTCTTCTCCTGGCGACCGTTCTCTATGCCACCTTGAGCTCATCTCCAAATGATCTCTGGGAGATCGAGCCTGTCACAGGCATTTTCCTCTTCGCAGGTTTACCGAAGCTATCCATACGTGGTATGCAGCGCATCAACTGGGTCACCAGCGCATGCCACTTTGTACCTGGCATTCGTTCCGCGTATCATGTATGGAAGAGCCAACTTCTGGGTGCGCTCCAACTCTATCAGCGCCGGTCCCAGGGCTCAAGCGCTGGAGCGAGTTTTATCTCAACTGCGGTGCGTGACCTACCGACCTTTGGGGACACCCCTTGACGAGGAATTATGGGAGGTTAATTCCGCGGGGCTCATGATCCGAGTCAACCTCGTCCCTCAATCCCCCAATTTTGAAACCAAATGTCCTCCTCCTGTAGCCCGTGACTTTCTTCTATTTGCAGCCATAGACTACCATGCCTTTCGCGAATGGCAGGTACAAGTTTTTTCCAACAACAAAATTTGAACAAAATGGTGTTTTGCACCAAAAACATGCCTCCGAGTTCAATCATTGATGTAGCAAGTGAACGGTATGCGGAAATGGTTCGACGCCCACACTCTCAAAGCCCCTTGCGTGGAGTGGCGACAAGAGTTGGTGACAACGAATACGGTCCAGTGTACACGATTGACATTGATCTCGTCAACCACGACATCCCTATTTGCGCCATTGACTTTCATTCCTATGCGCCTCAGGGCCACAAAGTATCTGCCACGCTTTCCGAACTAGCGAGGCCCTACTTCCGCGTCGTACAGTACCTCAAACAGAACGCTCCTCAGGAAATCGGTCCTGGTCAAGTCGCGCGAGTTGAAGTCGGGCAAACGCTTTGGATCTCAATTTTAGGTGGTGCAATCCTTGACACTGGGAGATTAACAATCCAAATCTCCCAGGTAGATGGGGCATGAAAGGTATATCGGCGGACGATGCATACCTGACCCGCATCTACAGTGTCCTACAGCAGCTGGCGCCATATGCGGGCACTGCGACCGAGTTTGGCGACCGAGTTTTTAGTGGTGGCATCAATCGACGATCGGCTGTCCCATTCTTCAAAGCGGGCATTTTTGGTCAGATCGTGGTTTGCTACTTCCTATCCGTCGGCACATCTGCCGGGGTGTGGACATCAGTTGCCCTTGCCAACTCCTTATACGCTGGTCGCTCAACCGACTGACATAGCATGTACTACGGGAAAGCTCTTCCAAAGAGCGACGAGCAACCCGGCATGAAGATGTATGTTCCTGGATCCTCAAGCAAAGAACTCATGGTCATCGCGACTTTTGACCGATCCACTCCAAAGGAAGGCGGCCTTCGCCCTGGTTTTTTCATGGCCAGGGCCTGTGGGTTGGCGGCGGCTATCCTCTATATTTGTCAGACAAACTCGTTTTACGCTACGCTTTGGACCCAGCACTCTGACACCCTCTTGGATCCTGTACACAGCCGTAGTTCTCTGCCTCGGAACAACCCTTCTCGTTACGTCGATGTTAGTGGTACAACAATCATATGAGAAGACATGGTGGGACGATTCAGAACTGCCCACCCGCTGGATGGCGTACTCGACATTTTCATGCTCAGTTGCTGTTTGTGTGTTGGCTGTAGTGTTCAAGTTGAGGGGACTGGATAGGTTGTGGCCTGTGCTTGATGCTTTGACGTGGCTCTCGGGCGTGCCTTTAGGCATGCTGGAGAACGGACGGTCGTTTTCAGCAGATCAAAATATGCTGCATCTTGTTTCGTTAATTGGTGGATGATGGGTGCTGTAGCAAGTGCGTTAGGGAGTGGCATCCGTGGTTAATGTCCATTATGTACTTCAAGTCATGTATCCAATATTCTGCACTTCAAGTCGGTTTATGTCGACGCGGGTGTTAAGAAGCCTCCCTCACAGACTAAAGACTAATGTATATCGTGGATCTAAGTAGCCAAAATTGAAGAATGAGGGAATCAAACACCGAGATGAATATATGTAGCCCATCGGCTTGGGTGAACTCCTTTCTCTTGTAATCTCCGGACTGCTAAATCAAGTGCATATGGTATCAATTTCGGGTCCACTTCTTGATCGGGGTCTTTAAACAACTCCTCATATACCGTTCGCGCGATTTCAGGCCCGTCATTATCGTCCATCGTCCTATATTCAGATATTTATAACATGTCCAAGGAACGGGCGAGTATTCAAAAAACTGACCACATTGTGCCAATAACACTTCGAAAGCCTGGCTGGCCATCAAGGCAACACTACATTGAGATCAAAAAATTACTCACCGGCGTAAATCATAGCAGCTGCGAGGTTAAGAGTTTCGTCCGGAATTGACAGGTCGTTCGATGCGCTCTCGCAAGCACTAAGAAAGGCGAGAAATGCGTTGGGCGTCTGGCAGCCAATCAATTTAGCAAGCGTCAGCCGCCCATCTTCAAGCTCAAAGCCGCTATTCAGAGGATCACCTCGGTCTTGATGACCGTGACAAGCAAGATGAAGAATTGAAGTTTGAGCGAGGTGAGTGGTCGCATCTTCTACAGTGCGGTTTGAATTAGAAATAGTCAGTGGTGTACCAGCCTCACCCAACCGAAGAAGTTGGTTGGGAGGGGTAAATTGTTCAATAACCTTTACTTCGTTCACCGTCATTGGCAAACTTGTGTGACCTTTGGTCGTTGGTTGGGCTAACACTAGCATCTTGAGCTGTGAGCTAAGAAGCGTGGAAGGCTTTGAACGAGCTGAGAGGAGGGCTGAAATAGTTGGTGTGTAAGAAGAAACAGCGTATGTTGAAACACATTCGACGTTGGGTGTGCCGAAACCTAACCCCGCAGCGTGGAGAGGAAGAAATCCAAAGGGACCAGTGGGACACCACCAAAGACGCGTGCGCTTCATCGGATCTACATTCTACCGTGTCCCAGATAAGTTTGAGAATATGGGGGGCGGGGAAACCTTACCGAGGTGGCGCCCAAGCGTTCGAGAACTGGTTTTGCTATGTGCTGCCATAAGCCACCAAGCATCTTTGCATAAGCGGGCAGGGAGCGGGCTGAAAATTTGGGCTTGCCTCCCCTTTCTTGTTCTGAGACATACTCTTCCTGCTGTAAAATAGAACGAGACGCTCGATTAGCTTGTTGTATCCCAATCAACAGGTTTTCCAGGACATTCTCTGTGAGTGTAGATAAGTAAATTGCGTCAATACCAGACTGGCGAATGAGCAGGGCGGCATATGTTGACGAATTTCCAATCAGTACCACAACTGGCCCTTCTGATGCGACCTTCATTAGAATATCATACGTTTTCGGTAGCAGGAAATCCTTGAATCCGGGGATAGCGCGGACCTGATCCACAAGCCTTTCAAACGAGGTCTCTAGCTTCATCTGCTCTTTAGCCTCGGCTTTTGAGACACTGGAATTCACTTGTCCCTTGCAATGATCAAGCTCGATGGCGGTTTGTTGAAGTTGCTGCGCCAGACCTTCCGGCAAACCATCAAATGAGGTTCGTAGCCGTAACAGCCGCGTCCAAAATAGAGCACGAGATCTGTCAACAAGCTCTAAACATTTTTCTGGTCCTTTTGAAATGAGAGCCTGGATAGGCCCCGCCCGTGCAAGATAAGCGGACCCGTCCTTGAGGCGCCGCATACGGGTCTCGAGAACTAATTCGCTCGGGTCCATATAAAATCTCTTGGATGATTGATTAATCAAGGTTTCGGTTGCGTCAAAAACGTGATTCTCAGTATGACGAACTTTGGAACCAAGATGCCGAAGAAGTGCTTTAATAGTTCGTTGCTCCAGCGGAAGGAACAGAACGTTTTCGTTGCTTGAGAGAAACTTGTCAATTCCAGGAATTATACTGCTTGTTGGCAAGCCTGGAACTGAGGAATCGCTTGACGCCGGCAATGCAATGAGGTCCTCAGGCCACGGAAGGCGAAAGTTTTTTTCTAGTTGCAAGTCGTGGAGGTCCGAACGCGCATCATCGAAAGTTTCTTGATGTCCCTCGATAGGGTAGTAGCGAAAGATACATTTATGTTCAGAAGACTTGGTGTTACCCTCGCGAAGAACCCTATATTCGAACGTGTACGAACTCTTTGGTAGAGAGTCAACTGGGGGGATTGTGTGGTGCACAGACGCCGTGATGGCCTTGCGCAAGGCCTCGCGCTCATCTTCCCAGGCCCATTTAAGATCATTTTGCTCCAGGAACTGCGCATCATCAGACAACTTGCTACTCAGTGGCAGACGCAGGCTTCGTTGGTATATCGTGAACGATAGAAGGAGTGACTGGGGGTGATGCAAAACATCAAAAGCGCTATACTGAAGAACGTCCGCCATGTGAATTAAACACATAGCTTCAACTCCAAGCGTAAACCGGTAGAGACCATCCAAACTACTGTTGAATAACAGATTTAGAGTGTCCAATTCTTTTTTCGAATAAGAATTTGACGATTCCGGTTCGCCATCGTTGCTAGCGACATTGCTAGTGACATACAGCTCTAACCCTTTCGCAAGAAAGGTCATTGCGTCGTGCCAGTCCTTCCCCGACACCCGCTGTGATAGGGCAAGTGCCGTTGAAACCACTAGGAGTTCCAGGATAGAAACATATGGGGGCGGTTGAGGCGGAAGAAGATCGAGGATGCGCGTAAGGATCGGGATGGATTTTGTCAGCGCGTCATTGGAGGCGGAAAAATGTCTGACCCGGTAGTTCAACATTCGGCCAAGGATTACTGTTTTACGCGCTGTGATCCAAGATGCACCAGAAGGAAGTGCCTCCCTGAGGATCTCGAGCGATGCAGCTAGTGTAACTGCGGCCTCATGATGAAATGACGACAACATAAGGGTTGACGCCAGCCCAACAACACCTAGAAAATGTCCCGGAGAGCCTCGAACCTGAACCTTGACGTATTCCTGAAAAAGGGGGGCAGCGATGTCAACGGACGTCATCACAGTCTCTTCATCCCTATATTCATTTGCAACAAAGCAAAGAATGTTTGAGTACCCTGGCTCTCTTTCTAGGTGGACCGTGAGCATCAGACTTCCTAGTTCCTTTAAATCTTGATAATGACGATTCTGAACGTATCGGGTCCTAAGAAGACATGCACGAATACAGGGCGATTGAGTCCACTGGCGTGGGACAGCGGAGAAAACGGGTGGGTTGAACTCCCTGATGTCGTTGATATAAAAAGATAGTTCATCGCGAGACATGGGTTTGCAAAATTTCTCTACCACTCGTATGAAGGCCGTGTGATCCAGAGAAACTTCTGTCATTTCATTTAAAGCTTATAATGCGCATCGAAAGAATGAAGGCTTACGGGACATCGTATCCGGGCGCCCATTCATTGGAAATACCTCAAATTCAAAGGAACAGTCGTGTACCTCTACAGGATTTGGGGCACGGAACAGGATCCTGCCGGATGTGATCGGGCGGTGAACCAGAATTGCTTTGAACCTGAAAACGAGATGAGGAGAAATATGTCCATTTGATATTGCTTCACGTAGGCCACGACGATCATCCTCCCAGGAATCAACCCAGAGCGAAGCGTTGTTCGTCACATCATCATCGGAACAAAATTGATCGTAGTAGGGCAATTCGTCGCATTTCCCCCCGCTGTGAAAGAGATCTGCAATGTGAAGAACACATGCCGCGCGGGACGTGGGTGCAGAAAGACACGCATCTAGAGTTTCGAACAAGACGTCGGGAAGATCGGCTCCGTTAGATTCTCCCGAAATGTAAACACATACGATATCATGAAGGCCGCTGAGGCATTTGAGCCAGATCTCAGGAGATTCGATAGTCCGAGCTAGATTGAAAATCGTCGAGAGGACAAGAGTGTCAAGGGTTGTGAAGCAGAAACTATCTTGGGGGGTGAAGAGATTCAAGATATCAAGAAGAAGTTGAACCGACTCGGCGAGGTCATCGTCAGATCCACCCTTCGCATATCGGTGGCAAAGGGTTTCGCCGACGACGAATAGAGTCCTCTCCATGCCGAAGGATGAGATCCATCCGGCGTTCTCTGCCTTCTGTCGGGTTGCCTTGAACAACTTCACCCCCTCCTCCAGTGCTCCCTCCGCATCCTCACGAATGTAGTAATGCATGAACGAAAAGGAAGTGGCTGCTGCCACTGCAAGATGAGCCACACTCCCCTGTTCTTCCGCCTCCAACCATTGTTGCATCAGTTGGATTGACCGTTCCATATGCAGAATCTCAGTTGTCTCCTCGTAGAGATCACGAGAGTGATTCGCAAGGCAGAAGCAGGCGAAGGCGTACCCTGGTTCCTGAAACAAAGATACAAAGTCGAGGACTAGGATTGAACCTCGGGTGATATCGCTTGGAGCGCATTGTAAATCGTAATGACGAAGAAACAGCAAAGATTTGAAGCCGTTGTGGTTAATCCAACGCGCATCTGGGCAGAGTGGCGCAATATCCTTTTGAATGGCCAGGCCTATATCTTCGATATACGCTGAAAGAGTTTCGTAAGAATACTCCTTGACTATTTCCTGGATCTGAGCTATGAATTGACGGTGATCCATTGGGTGCTGGAGCTGAAGCGCTGAATCTTGATGGCGAAGTAAAGGCGACAACACGGCAATTTCCGAGCCCAGGTAACCCAGGGACCCTAGATAAGAAAGAATTAGAGCGTATTGCACTTGTTCCCGACTTCATTGATCAATCGATCATCTCCCACTGCTTCAGTTATGGGCCAAAGGCACCAGGCATTCCTCATCGCTCGCGTCAAGTCAAAGGCTCACGGGGAGACCCCCGCCGAAACCCGCTATCGCTGCATCGCCGCACTCCATCACCAGTGGTGCTATGGTCGCCTTCCTGTGAAAGCCGCTCGTCGGTTTCTCACCCTCGTCAAGCAAAAGGACAATGCTCAAATTATCCTAGAAGAACTCCGAAATTTCGATAATGCTACATCCTCCAAGATACCCTGCCCTTACAGCTTGTTCTTGCTGACGTCGGCCTGGACCGTCGATCTTACACCCGGCGAGGAATACAACTCAGGTGGTTCCATTTTATCCGCGGAAATGGGCAGTTCGGATGGTGGTTCGTCACTCCTTTTTGTTTTTGGCTAAAGCCTGATTTGTTCAAGACAACAACGATGGCATCACTATTATCGACGTGACTGATCCTGAAAACGCTTCCTACTGCTTCCACGAGTCGGAAGAGGATACCCCAATCAACGCGGAAGGATATGTTCGAGCTTATTATCCCAATCATCAGGACACATCCAAGGAGCCTCTAGATACTCAGAAAAAAGGTGACGCACATTGACCTCTTTTCTTCCGCTTGATACAACCATTCTTCTCAGAGGAACGTGAAATAGAGCAAGACGTCCTCGCAACCATTGCATCGCTGGATGACGCACCTTTGATTACAATCGACAAGCTGGCCGAGGCCTGGCCTTATGAATACCGGTCGACAAGAACTCCTCCAGAACAAGTCCAGCACGAAGTTCTGCAACTTGAAGCGCCTTCTTTAGCAGATCTTTCCGTCGAGCCCGCCGTCAATCATGCCCTGGAAGTCGGCCAAATTGAAACTCTCGAAGTATTGTTTAATATACCAGGCAAGGCCGCCTTGATCAAAGATGCCCTTCAGAAGCAGATCTCGCTGCCAGATCATGCTACTACTCTCGTCGCCAAGATTATCTCGCAGGAGGTTCAAAAGTCCAAGGAACTTGACCTCTCTCATTGGGCCTTGACTTCCGAGCAAGTAGTTAAACTTGTCTCTGAGCAGATGGGCGTGGAGAGTCTCTGCCTTTCTCATAACCACCACGTCACCAAGACAACTGTTCTTGAAGTTTTGTCCGCTCAACCTACCATTCGAAAACTTAATCTTCTCGACACCGCAGTCACAAATGCAGATATGGTCAAGTTGCTCTCCGAAAACCCAAAACTATTTTACTCTCTTGAAGCAATTATTCATCCATCCTTTTTCCAATGGCGGAGGAAAAATATCCATCCCATAGTCTTTTCCCATACCACTTCTATGAGCCAGCGCCCTGGTTCAAAAACGGTTTCCCTTCCATATTTTACTCCTGGTCAGGTTGTTCAAGCACTCACGGACTTGCTTCCGTCGGCTGATGATAGCATGTTCTCCAACATTTCGGAAGGATATGCGGTACAAGTTGCCTACGCCGCATCAGTGAGGAAGGAAGGATGCCGGTGGGCAGAGCGCACTGTCCCCATTTGCCTCAACAACTCGAAACCTGCTCTGAACGATGGTTGGAACTTTCTGTGGTTGTTACCGTCAGCCTTCAGCGATAGGAGCACTGCCAAGCGTTATGCCTTCGTTTTGGTTGGCAAGGGTAATCATAGTGAACCGGTCAATGATCCGACGGGCGCGGATGCAGCGAGCCCATCTTCAACCTATGACATTCACGATCTCGAATCTTTCATTGACATTCTAGTTTCTGAAGGCCGACCTGCTCCCTCCGCTACCGCGTTGGGCAAGTTGTCGGAAGCTTTCTTGGCCACCTCCACTTTGCTGACACAGCAGGAAGTGGAGAACCTCTTAAAAATGTGGAAAGCTACCCCACAATGGTTCTAGGTCAAAGCTCGGCTTCAGAAATTTGTACATGTATCAATAAGAACCCAGTGTACCAACGTGTTTCAATTTTCGCGAGAACTTAATTATGTACTTTGAGTAATTTCAAACTCTTACTCCAAGCGACTCAAGAAGAGTTGTACGACGCATGCGTAAAGGCCGCTAGGTATAGACATAATAGAAATAAATGACAAAAAATATTGACCAGGAATCGATAGGTTTGAATGAACATTCTCCATTGACGGCCATAAATGTTGTAGGCAAGTTGTAGGTACATGAGAAGCGTACCTTCTCCAGCAAACGCAAGTCGACAGCCTGAGAAAAGGGAGAGGAAATCAGTAATCGTGATTATAAGTGTATGTAGGTCACGATATATCGATAAAAACCCTATCTATGACAGTGATTAACCCCGTCCAAGTCCCATGATGGCCTCCCCGCAAACCCTGTTCATCTTGGGCGCAACGGGCCACTTAGGCTCACAGTTCCTCGTCAACTTGGCACATAGCCCTGCGATCCCGCAACTCCGCGTCGTCGCGCTAATCCGAAAGCTAACACCAGAAACCCAAGCCAAACTGAAAGAGATCTACAAAGACTTAGAGATCGTCGAGGGATCGCTTGATGAGGCCGCCGAGATAAAAAGCCAAGCAGAGAAGGCTGATTATGTAGTGAACTGTGCGAGTTCTGATCATTTAGGGAGCATACAAGGCGAGCACCGTTAGCTTTGGGTGTCCCAGTGTTCAAAGAGACCTGACTCGGACATACCCAGCTATCCTGGCAGGCCTCGGGAACCGCTCAGAATCTACGGGAGTGCCCCCCATATACATCCACGTCTCCGGGCTGGGCATCATAGGTGACAACTCTCGCGGCGAATTCGTTGCCCCCGAAAAAGTACCTCATTACTCGGACATTGGGTTTACGATTGACCAGTGCCTTCCTACGAACCCTCATGTGGATTGCGACACCGTCATAGTAGCAGCTGGGACGAGGAAGGAGAGGCCTATTCGAACGATGATTCTGTTCCCGGGGCTGTTTTACGGTATTGGAGATGGTGAGTGTTGTTTTTTGTTCTGGTCCAGTTGGCTGAATGAAATGTGGGGCGTGTGATGTAGGCATCCGCAAGACCTCACTATTGCTTCGCCTATACGCCGGACTTGCCGTGCAAGCTGGGTTTGCAGGTACATGGGGTCCGGGATACAGCCGAGTAGAAAGTCTGCACGTCAAAGACTGTGCAGAGGCGCTAGTGATCATGTTTAAAGCCGCTCTGGAGGGAAAAGCGGACGAAGGCCGTGATGGTTTATGTACGTGTTCAGGATATACCCTTGGTTGATTTGGTGACGAGAGCGACCTAAAGATTTCGCGGCCGCTGAGCAGAAAGTAGAGTTGAGGGAGATGGCGAGATTGATTGGTGATGTGAGGCCATACCTTGTTTTGTGGTTGTGGCGTTAAAAGTTTCTTCACAGGTTATGTTCGAGAAAGGACTCTTGGAAAAAGGCGGCTCGCATCCCTTGCCTCCGGAGGTTATTGCGCCTTTCAGTGAAGGTGTGTAGCCGTCTCGCTGGAAGCATTGTGACCCCAATTGATTGCTTCTCAGGTGGCTGGTCCCTTCTTGGAAGCAATACGAGTGTCACCCCCGCGCGGTTGAAGCTGTTAGGTTGGGAGCACCGAGAGACGCGAAAAAAGAGCTTTTACGAGTCCATCCCGGAAGAGATGGAACTAGTTCTGAAAGACATGCAGTAGGATTTGAGCTGAGTCCGAGTCGGAAGGGCGCCGCGTCCAGGGTTTTGTTGGGCAGTTGGTTTTCGAGAGTTCGGGCGCGTCAAATTCGTTGTTGCTGTTGAGTTTGAGCATCGATCTTAATGCACGGCGTACTAGTTCAACTTGCTAGGATGAAAATGGCTGTGGGGCATGCATAAGCTTCGGAGTAGGCCGCCAATACTGCGCCCAATCGCAAGCCTATCCGTGGAGTCTCGGGTACAGCAAGCTCGAAATTATACACGTCAAAGACCGCGCGAAGGTGCTAGTAGCCATGTTTGAAGGTATGGTTATGTGCATGTCCAAGACACCCGATAGGTCAAAAAACGCCAGGACGGTTCAGTCAAGCTTCAGTGATTCGCAGCAACTGAGCTAGAACTAAGGGAAACGAGCCGCTTGATAGGCGGTGCGACGTCCAACGCCTTGTCAGATGGATTTTCTTGCCAAGTTCGCTGATCACGTTTCCGAGAGAGAAAATTTAAACTTGGGGAAAACTCGAGCTTAGCAAGATTGTGTAGTTCGTACCCCTTGGCTCCTGAAGTTATAGCGCTCTTCAAATTTGGTTTCCTGATGGGATGTGGTGGTGGTGGGGGACAACACTGAGATTAGAAAGCCGGAGGTTATGACTCGGACCATCCTCCAACGTCCAACACCAAACAGCCTCCGTCCGCAATGGGTGTTTTCTTCACTGAAAGAAGCGGTTGGCATCAAGCACGTACCTGGTCCGGTACCATGCAGAAAATCTTCCCGGGCCCCGCTTCAAGTTGACTGAGTAACAAGGGTGTGGTGCTCAGAGAAATCATAAGTTCTGCAGTGGGCAGGTACGCGTCGCGTTTTTTGGTATAACGTCTCTCTGAGGCTGCCTTCCATCTCATCTCACGGCCGCTCCGCTCCTCTCTTTTTCAGGAACGCATTATCTTCATTCACTTGGTCCGTCCGAACCTATCTACTTTGCCCGCCGTCACTGACACACGATCTCATACATGCTTCGTAGATTGCATTGATTGCCAGGGCCCAGAGGGCCTCATACCTCTATCATGCAACAGGGAGCAAACCCCAATGAAATCAATTCCGACGACGATTGTTGAGGTTGTGGATTGCGTGGTTGAAAGCCTTAAGGAAGGCTACGTTGACACCTTGTGAGTGTTGATCCGGTCTGATCTAGTCATCATTATCCTGAGCTTCTCGAGGAACAGGATCAGCTCGAATATCTGATTATGATCAAGTCAGCCATCGGGGATTGTGTCGTCCGTGATTCTGTCATAAATAGGTAATGCGAATAGGGAGAAATGAGGGATCCAATCCCCACTGAGCTTCCGTGAACTCAAAACAATCTATTTTTCCAACATCTGGCGACTTTGTCAGAGTGGCTTGAGGCGAGGGAGGCGAATCACACATCGACATCACTGGGAGACGAGCACATGTCTTTGGTGTCGATCATGAACAAGGGCTACATCCGGACGAGGGTTTAAAAATACCGAAGGGATTAGGATAGGCCATGCTCGTCAGTCGCCATGTTGTCTAGAAGTTACGCCGCTACGCGTATCAGTCAAGCACTGCGATTTCTAGTCGAGAAAGCGGTAAAAGAGAGCATTGTTTTATGAGATAATCACCTGGTTCGTCCTTCTCTCTGCGACGTGGTTACTACAAAGTCTTATGTTTTCATCTTGCAGCATGTCTTGCAAGCGGTACCGCGGAGACGCAGGCGGGTGATATATGTTGACAATATAAGGAAGAATTTTGCTAACATAAATCATGCACTTGCAAGAAATATAGATCGGCGTTACTCTGTGCCATAACCCAACTCGCTCACCGCTCCCACTCCCTGAGCTTGTCCAGGCGCTCAGCATCTTGATTATTGTCCCCGCCCTTCTTGGAGATCCCAGAACTACCTTCTAGGGCTTCCACGTTTTGAGCTCCTCCTTTACCTGGCGCTGGAGGGACTTATCAAACCCTACACATTTCAGTACCCAAGCACGTAGAAACTGTAGTAATTTAGTATGAGAAGTAGAAATGAAATAGTAACCCACCTCGTCACCACAATCAAATGCTCTATGTATCTCATCAGCAGTCACCCCCCCCGGCTTGTCTGAGATGTTTTTAAGTTGTTCTTGTGTGGGATTGCGACATTTATACTTCTTTCGTGCAGAAATTCGTTTACGAACAGGAGATCCCCAGCCATCCGTTGATATCATGTTCGCCCACTTTCTTTTAACCTAGAGCACGAAATAAGCTTCCAAAACTAGAGCAACATATGGATGATCGCCAACCTTCCCCTCCTGTTCATTCCATTCTGCCTTGGACAGTGGCTGAGCCTCAATCGTCTCATAGTCTCCTAAATACATCCACTCCGCTCTAGGAGTCGTCCGCAACCTGGTGAAAAGCTTGTATGTTACACCCCCCCCTGTGAAACCCTCTATTTGATCTGGGTCAAAAAACAAGCCAGAAGCGCCTTCTATCTGAGGCGCCATTGGTTGAACACTAGGGTTGCAGTAGAGGAAATGTTTGAACCCGTGTTTTTCAAAGTTCGCTTGTGCTATTGATGGCATGGAGTTTTGTGCGCTGCCACCGAACCTTTGGGACATGAATTTGCGGGAAACCAAGATGTCTTTGAGGTCGTCCTCAAGGCGTAAATCAAGAAGTTCGTTGATCCCAGCAGCTAGAAGACGTCTGCTGGTAACTCCAGGGTCCATCTCGAAGTTTTCTTGCTTTTTCATTTTGGGCTAGCAATAAGTGTTAGCCAATGCTTGATGTGTTTGAGAGGCGGTACGAACGTTACGCCATGATTCAACATTCTTATTCATTTCCTCAATCTCATGTGAGGGGTTTGCTTGGGCTGGCTTCACCTCCTCAGACGCCCACCGTTGACGAACTTCAGCCGGGGATGGTAATAAAACTCCATCGAATTCCAGACGCTGTCGCTTCACAGGTCGAAGATCCAGGAGAGACAGGTCGTCCCGTAACTCTTTCTTAACGGCAGTGGTCTGATGCATCTCGCCCTTGAAGGGACGACCGACGTCTTCCAAGGTGCCAGTGGGTTGGTCCACTCGCATTCGCCGGTCGTCTTCCACAAGCTGTCCTTCATCCATGGCATGGACCATGTTCGTAGCGCCATCATCATTCCTCAATGGCTCCATAGGATAAATCTGAAAAAAATTGAGGTAATCTAAATGCAGCCTTGAAGCTTAATTACTTACTGGGAAGTCATTGACATCAAAGTCGTCGTCGTCTTCCAGTGAAGGAGCTAACGGCAGACCAGGAATCACGTTGGTTTCCTAGGTCACAGTATCAGTCAAGTAGGAATCCAAATGTATATCACATACTGCTGGTCTACTGGCAGACAAAGTTGACTTGTCGTCACTCTGCATCGATTTGTCAATCAATTGTTAGATAGTGAGAGAAGGAATAAGTACCTTGAAGCCATCCTTCTGGTCTCCTTGCTCCTCCTTCAAAGGCCACTGGGGCTTCACGTCTTGATAAAATTCAACCTTGGTGTTTGGATAGAGTCCTTTGATGTCTTTCTGTTCCTCTTCATCCTGAGATGAAGCCGAGTTAATCAGAGGCACAAACGGTATCAGGACTCGGACTTGAAAACCTTCAATTTGAGAAATTCGACGACTGCACCATGGTCGGATTGCTTCAGCTCTTCACCATTTTTTATTTTTAACTCAGCCTGTTAGTGTGTCCGTCAGCGCATGAATTCGCATAAGGAAGAGGATTGTACCTCGAGCACAACAGTACTCTTGCCTTCCATCTTCACCGCGAAGTCAAATGCTTTCATTGTTGGGTGTTCACGTCGTGATGATAAATTCTGGGAGAATAAAATGACACGAAAGAGGCTATTGGACTGGTGTAGATAGGGAGACGAAGAGATAGTTTTTCGGCTGGTAAGGTAATTGCCAACTTGGATCACAACCGTGAGATTTGTTGGCGTCGACGCGTTTATCATTCTCTAATTTTCGTTGTCATTGGACCTCACTGAACTCCTCTTCACGATTCTAAACGATCTCTACGAACCACGATGATCATGCAAATATTTGGAGAGCAGGTGCGAGCGGATTCATTTAGAAGCTTTACAATGCTGAAACCCAGATTTGCAGGCAACAGAGGCGAAAGCAGGAAATGCGCGTCTGTCGTCGTTCGTCGGTGCTCTGGCGCTCGGAGACCTCGTAAAATCAACACTGGGGCCAAAAGGCATGAACAAGATTCTCCAATACGCGAAATTAACGTCACAAACGATGCAACGATCCTGAAAGCGATTCAGCTTGATACTGCGGCAACGAAGACCCTCGTCAACATTTTGAAGGTTTAGGACGACGAGGCTGGGAATGGAACCACGACTGTCACCGCTCTGGCTGCAGAGTTGCTGAAAGAGGCCGAGAGAAGCTCATCGCGAAGAAAATCCACCCGCAGACGATTGTTGAGGGTTATCGGATCGGTAGTCTGGCTGCTTTGAAGGCTTTGGAGAAGGCAGCGGTTAACAACTTGTGAGTAATCGTTGACATCTTTTACTCAAGAAACCTCAGCTCAAAGCCCCCTCCTAAATTCCAATTGGACCTGTTCAACATTGCCGAACGACACTCTCTTGAAAAGTCCTCTCACAAAACAAGGACTACTTTGCGAACCTGGCAGTCGATGCTGTTCTAAGTCCGAAGGTACGCTCCTGTTCCACCCCCGCTTGAGCAGTGCCAGACTGAAGTTATGGCACATGGATCAATAGATCTGGAACACATCCAAATAATTAAAAGACTTGGCGGGAAGCTAACCGACTCCTATCTCGACGAGGGCTTCTGGACAACACTGCCGCAGTGGATGGAGAATGTCAAGGTTCTCATTGCAAACACCTGTACGTAACTTGACGGAGATTTGATGTAGGCTAACCACAACTCTAGAAATGGACACCGGCAAAATCAAGATCTTTGGCGCTCGCGTGAAGGTGAATAACACAGGGAAGTTGGCAGAGTTGGAACGGGCTGAGAGAGTGCGTTCACATCTTGAATTTCTCTCTTGTACCGTCTAGCTGACTCCTCGCAGGAAAAAATGGAAGCAAAGTCGACGCTATCGCAGCGTACAGAACCAACTGTTTCGTGTCCCTCCTTACCGAAAAAGGTATCATGGTCATTTGATATGCCGACTTTGCGGGCGTGGAGAGGTTGTCGCTCGTCACTGGGGGTGAAATTGCAAGCAACTTCGACCGCCCGGATCTGGTCAAGCTCGGCCGGTGCGGGTTGATTGAGGAGAGCTTGATTGGAGATGACAGGGTGCTTTTTACCCCCTTTCTGGCAATGCCTTCATCTCACATTTCTTACAGCTCATCGAATTCTCCGGAGTGGCCGCTGGTGAAGCCTGCACCGTCGTTCTCCGTGTATCTACAAACCAAATGGTATCCGAGCCTGAGAGATGCCTGTACGATGCTCTTTCCGTTCGTTTCAAGGAAACCCGGACTGTGCTCGGTGGTGGATGTGCTGAAATGCTCATGAGCTGTGCAGTCGAGGATGAAGCTCGGCTCTTGCTGTAGAAGCGTTTGGTCAAGCTCTGAAACAGATTCCGACCATCCTGGCCGATAACGCTGGGTACGACTCTTCAAATTTGGTTTTGAGGCTGAGAGGAGCGCATAACGAAGGGCATTCGGATGCAGGCTTGGGTAAACTTATCTTTCCCTCGTCTCCATACCCTATCTGACCCTGTTTCTTAGATATGGAGCAGGGGGCAGTTGGATCGATGAGGGACTTAGGGACCAGTGAGAGCTACAAACTCAAGCGCCGGGTAGTTCTCAGCGCGAGTAAAGCTGCATAAATGATCATCCGGTTCGTCCTTTCCTGTTTGTGATATCGCTCGGCGAAGCCTTACGTTTTCATCATACAGCGTGGATGATATCTTGCGAGCGGCATCGCGGAAACGTGAGGCAGTCTAGATTCGAGCAAAGATGTAAATGATATAATGAAAAATTTTGCTAACATAAAACATGTCCTTCAGATCAGCCCAGGGGCTTTAAGTCGGCGACATCATCAGACCCAACGTCAGATGTTCTGAACTTTTTGCATTCCTCAGATTTCGTATTCGCAGGTGATTGTGGTTATATCATCACGGAACGGTCGGTGGTCACAACTGGCCGCTGATCTAGCAATGGCGAAACCCCGGACCTCGATAAACTAATCGCGACGGATTTCAGGCACTCAAGCGCTTGCCAACCTGAGGATGCCTGAAAATTTGAAGCATTCACGTGGGTGTTTTTACACATTTGCTGACTCACCTATTTTTTCTCTTTGGTTGGAGTTGGAAGACAGATGAGGAGTATTCGCTCTACTGCGCCTTTTACTACTTTATTCATACAAGTTGTGCTAATGACCCCTTTGACTTACATCACTAGATTTTTGGACATAAACAAAGAAGCTATCGGACAGATGGTAAATTCCCTTCTTCGCCTTGGTAAGCTTTTCCCATCTGCTCCAATAGACTTAAATTTGACCCGAAAAAAAAAAAAAAAAGCTTTTCCCATTGATACATATAACGCGAGTACTCAAATCTCTCTTGCGCATCAGCTGCTGCCCCATATCTGACCGCGTAATGGAGCTGACCCTCGAGCTCATCATTTTGATTCTCGAACGAACCTACACTATCAAAGTCGCAATGGTGTTTGTGTGACTTTACCAGATGCTGGCAACTCTGGGCGTGACTCGTCCGATCTGGTCTCAAAATTAAGGGTTGCGGATTACAACGAGCATTCGGACGCGGGCTTGCTGGCCCTGGTTCTGGAATATGCAATCTGTAGCAATCGGATCAAGAAGAGACTTGGGGATCACTGGCGCAAGTGACGCTGCGAAGTGAGCATCTAGTTCGCCCCTTTGTTCTGTGCGATATAGTTTGACGAAGCCTTACTTCTTCATTACACAGCGTGGATAAGGTCTTGCGAGCGGCACCAGAGACGTGATGAACGAGCCTCAAGGATGTAAATGATATAACGAATAATTTCACTCACATAAAATCAGCTCTGGGGCCGTGGGTCGGCCATACCGTCCCATCGGACAGAACATTAAATGTCCTGGACTTCCTGGAATGCAACGGAAGCCGGCATACCTCAGTCTTCGCCTTCACAGGTGATTTGTGGCTTACTCATCACGCGGTCACAACACCTTGCAAGCTGTCCCGAGGGCCGAAGAGCCCTAAAGGGCTTTGTTGCCCTACGAGCTCCTGCGAGTCTATCAGGTAAACAACTTCTGGTAGGTTGCCGGCGTCGTAATGGGGAAACCCCGGACTCCGGCAAACTACATGGCTCAGTGGATTCCTGTGGATTCCGGTTACTCAACGTTTATAAGTTATCTACTGACGTGTGCTGAGAGGCCATTTCCCTTTTTTGTTTTTATGCAGTTGGAAGACAGAAAAAGTCTTTTTTGCAGGTGCGGTTCCCACTGCTTTTTCACGCAAGTCTCACTAATTACTTATCAGAGAAAAATACTTACACCGCTTGATTTTCGGGCGTTGTCGTTCTAGGAAGCCATCGGGGATAAGGTGAACTTGAATCGGAATAATTCCCTTATTCACCCTAGAAAGCTGTTCCTGGTTCGCAGGCTTATAATCTGAGTACGCAAGTCTCATTCGTATTGGCTGCTGCCCTCCTTAATTCCCCCAATGGAACTAACCCTCCAGATCATCATTTTGATTCTCGAACGCACTCGCACTATCAAAGTAAGTTGGTATCTCTACGACTAAGCTGACACTAACCGCTTGAAGTATTTAACAGGTTCGTTAATCGTCATGTTCCCTTTCCTATTAATACTCAATACTCCATACAGTGCTGGGTATGGTGCTTCTGGTGCGGAATGCCCAACTTGACGCTTCACACCTAAACTAACGAGCATCGGGACAGGGCTACGATTATCTTCTGACCCTCGACCGCGAACTCTCCCTAATATGGCTGTCGCAGTGGAATCTTGCCAAAGTCTTGTTCCTTTTGGTAAGGTACACGCCCTACATCGATGTAGGCCTGGTGGCATACTGTAAGCCTAACTCATCATGTCAGACGAGCGTTTACCCGTGACTGACGAGTTATTTTAAGATATGACGCGCGATGGAACGTCTTCCGCGGCTTGTAGCCTTGTGTATAAATTTAACTCTTGTAAGTCAACGCTTCAATTTATCATGTGCCTAGCCGCTTTTAAACCTCAATGACTGGGACGCGCAACAGGGGTGTATGTCGTTGGCGTCGGTCTGGCCGAGAGTGAGTAAGCTTTTTCTATTGTTGTGTCATTTTTAACGAAATTATGAAAGTACTTTTGACTTTGAGAACATGGGCATGCTGGGGGTCGAGGGCTCGATGGGTCACAATTGGTCTGCCCATCGCTTTTTTTGCTTTGACGGTCATCCTATGTGTCTCCGTCGGCCGTTACCTTGCTACATTACATTGTAAGTTCAATCAAAACTATCTTCTTTCGATTTACTTATGAAACCGATAGTCTTTACACCTCCGCATACGACACCTTCTCTGGGATGTTTCTATCAAGGGGAGAGTTTCGATTTGGTCATATGCTGGGCTGCCTTGATGGTCTACGATGCATGTGAGTCTGTCATATGTTCATTTTAAAAGTCCCCATGTTGAGCTTGCATATTCTAGGCTTATCGCTACTAATGGCCATCCGAGGCTATCCTGAACGTCAGTCGACTGATGATCTTTTTGAAAACTATTATTTAACGGATTTTTAGTCAAAAATTGGAGGCGCAATATGAGGAGCAATTCCTTGTCAACAGTAGTCTACCGAGATGGTTTGAGTACACCACTACTTCTTTTTCACCTCCGCTAACAATTTTCTAGGACTCATATACTATGTGTTTCTTTTTGGTCGGTGCTGCTTGTTCAGTCGGGTCCGATGTTGTTTAATCTTGGATTGTCACATAGGCTTGTCTCTCATTAATGTTGTCGTCATCCTTTGTCTATCGGTAAGCCCCCGCCTTTATTCCACAGTGAAGAAGTGATGGTTTATTCTTTTAATAGTATGACTATGTGAATTTGTTGTCAACGTAAATTCTCCCCCTTCTCCCGCCGCTCTTTCCCACCTACCCTTTCTTTTCGCAGGTTTGAGCGTGTCATGTATTCCATCTTGACATGTCGTGCCGTTTTGGGTATACGAGAACAAAACGAGTCCACTCTGAGAAGCCTAGGTAGCATACCGCCCTCCAGATAACAACAACGCAGTGCCGCTCCGGAGCTTCGGATTCTGGAAGCATGGTCATGTATGGCCTACTAAGCCCCACTTATACCCTTTTCCATCATACAACGGCCATTCCAAATAATTACTTACTGTAGTCTTACGATCTTCATCACACGCTGTTTTTATCGATATTTATCAAAGCACATGTGACACCAACCCGCGCTTTTTCCCATTTATAGGAGAACACTGCTAAACGTACCACCATTGGCGTCCAGATGGGGAATGATCGAGGTACAAATGCTGTTCAATTTGAGACCCCACATTCTTCTCCTTACTTCCATCATCTTTGGCTTCGCTCACCACCTGGGTCTTAACTTGCAGGTAAAATGCACATCCCTCCAGGACTCACGTACCTAGTATGCCTATTGCCTATCTTCCTCGTACCCTCCGCGATTGTCTACGGAACGTTTGCGGTACTGGAGAAGCGATTATCATGTGAAATTCCCTATTGGGTCGTCCTTACACTCTCGATACTTGCCCGGCCCATTCTCTTCGTTTTCTGGAGATATTACACGCGATTCCAGAACAAGAGACATGCAGCTGCTCTTGGAGCCGAGCTGATGCCTTACGTGGAAGAGTGCCCAAGATTTGGTGGTTTCACGACGATGAAGCTTTTGATTGACAATTTCAAGTACGGGTATGTCGGTGAGTACTTGTTGTCTGACATCTCCCCATACATCTCCTTTTCTAAAATCAAAGTGGCTAGACGATATATTCCTCGAGTGGAAAAAACAATATGGGAACACCTTTGAAATGCGGTTCCCAACGGACAGTCGGGTGATTATCTTGAAATCAAATTGCTGAGGCGACGCTGACCATCGCATTTAGATCGTCACTTTTGAACCGGATCATGTTAAAGTCCGTTGTGTGTCCCTTGCTTCTTATCGAGGCAGTGCTTATGATTATGTTGTCAGGCCATCCTTGCGACCCAATTCGACGCTTTTGATAAAGGTAGGTACTAAGTACTTGTCGAAATAATAATAAAAAGAGACGTATATATTCACCTATTTTCGTAGGGCCCATATTTATTGATCAAATGAACTCTCTTCTGGGGACCGGCGTCTTTAATGCTGACGGTGTGCTTCACGATTTTTTTGTCGCAAGTGATTTTTTTCTTATAATCAAGGCACAGGCGATATGTGGAAGTATGCATTTTTATGCTATTTACTGTTGAATATCAAAATAACGAGGCGACTAGATTCCACAGACAAATAACCCGCCCATTTTTTAGCAGAGAACGCATTTCAGATTTCGATACGTTTGATGTGCACGCCAACGACGCACTGACACAAGCAAAAATCAGATTATCCGAAGGGTATCCTATAGATTTCCAGGTAATACCCTCCTTCCTTCTCATTTTCGCCCCCATCTCTAATTAACGAAATAAAGGACCTTGTTTCCCGATTCACCCTCGACTCAGCAACCCAATTCCTATTCGGCAACGACGTCCGCTCACTCTCCGCCGGACTTCCCTACCCCGCCTATTCCCCACTCTCCGACTCCCCCGAATTCGTCAACCACCCCTCTAACGTATTCGCAGACGCTTTTCTAGCAGGCCAGATTCAGGCGGCTCTACGTACCCGACTGGGCCCGAATTGGCCATTGGGAGAGTTTTGGAAAGATAAGATTAAACCCCTCAGGGAGGTTGTTGATCGGTTCGTTGAGCCGCTTATGTGTGATGCGTTGGCGAAGAAGCAGAAGGAGGTGGGTGATGTTAAGGTTGAGGATGATTCGGTGACTTTGTTGGAACATCTCGTTAATCACACTCAAGGTGAGGGATTCGTTCATAACACTTGGGCGTTGCTACTGATTGGGAATAGACACAAAGATTTTAAAGGACGAGGTATGTGCCGATTTTAGTTCAAGCAAGCGATTTGATTTTCAAACTGGCGTTTTAGCTCATCAACCTCCTCGTTGCGGGACGCGACACCGTAAGTCCCCCGGCCTTCATTTTTCTCGCTTTTAAGAGACTCATGAAGTCTTAAATAGACAGCGTCTACCCTAACGTTCGCGTTCTACATGTTAGCTGAACATCCGAAAATCGCGGACCGTCTCCGCGCGGAAATATTCGCCAAGATGGGGCCGACTAATCGACCGACTTATGAGGATATGCGAGATATGAAGTATTTAAGGGCGTTTATTAACGGTGCGAGAAGGTTTTCTCCGCGTGCTTACCTTTTTTATTATTATAAATTTGATAAATAGAGGTGCTCAGGCTTTATCCTGCTGTGTGAGTTATCATTTTCGCCTCGTCCTAGTTATTCCCGGGCTCATTGGGGGATTATATAGTCCTTTCGATAGCAGGCGAGTCCTACACCTTTTCTCAGAATCCGCGTAGCCACTGATCATAAATATTAATGTCCGCATCAGAATGTCCAATAAAGCGGCAGTATGGACTTCAAAAACACCAGGATCAAAGGCGTTTTACGTCCCCGCCAATACTAGGGTCCTGTACGGCGTATTCTTAATGCACCGAAGGACGGATCTGTGGGGCCCCGATGGTATGTTCATTTCTTCTCTCAAGTTCTCCTTCCTGACCACCTCCAAAAAAATTGTTCAGCGCTTGAATTCGACCCGGACCGATTCCTAGACGAGAGATTACACAAATACTTGACGCCCAATCCATACATATTCACTCCGTTCAATGCGGGACCTAGGATATGTCTTGGTCAACAGGTTCGTCTTTTCTCTCTCTCACTAGTCTTTCCCTCTTAACCCGGAGTTATAAACAGTTCGCGTACCAAGAAGCATCTTTCTTCTTAATCCGACTCTTACAGCAATTCACCGGGTTCAGTCTAGCGCCTGTCGCTCAGCCCGAGGGAACTAGGCCCCCTGAGAGTTGGAAGGGGTGTGCTGGGTCGAAGGGGAGTACGAAGGTGTGGCCGGGGTTGCATTTGACGATGTATGTTCGGGTGAGTTGTCCTTCTCTTTCCTTTTTTCCTTGCATGTGTTTGACGCGTTTGATTCAATTGATAGGGTGGACTTTGGGTGAGGATGGACGAGTTGAAACCTGAAGGTAGCGTTGCCTCCGCGGAGGCTGCGATGTAACAATGTAACTCGGTCAACCGTCAGGTTTTGTATCTGTATTTATTTATTTGAGGAACCGCAGTAAGCGGATTCTTCCGAGCTGTATAAAATTCATGTGCAGTATCTAAATGCGTTGTCATCGATGAGAACGCTCCTTTGTGAACGCGGCAGAGAGGAATGGGACTCACCTCCTCTCACCAAAGTCGCCCAAGCCAGGAATGATGTACGCTTTATCATTCAAGCCTTGATCGATCCAACCCGTGATCTGCGAACATCGTGACGCTCGTCAGTATCCCAGCCGGGGAAGGTAGGCCTACATACCACTCTAAGAGACGGATATCGAGTACAAAATGTCGTCAGGCCTTCCGGAGAAGCGATCTAATACACCGCAACACTTCAGATCGTGTCAACGTGAGTAGTGAGCCAAAAGAAGACGAACCAGATTGATGAAGATGATGCGTTCCTCGGGAACGCCATGTTCGATGAGCACTTCGACGGCTTTCATGGCTGAGCCGCCTGTCGCTTTTCGTGTTCGTTTCGTTAGTGGTAAGTAAGGGAGGGGGGAAGGGGGAAGGGGGAAGGACAGACCTAGCATGGGATCGAGGAGGAGGACGTAGCGCGTTGCGATGTCTTGTGGGAACTGTTTTGGATTCGGATTCGGCGTGTCAGCCCAGCCAGGGGGATTGAGAGGGGAAAGGAAGGGAAGGACCTTGGAGTAGAATAATTTTGGGAGGGCTGTTTCTTCGTCCTGCGTTCCATTGGATTGTCAAGGAGAGAGGAAGGACAAAGAAGGTAAGGTGTGCACGTACCCGTTGAATCAAGATTTTACCGATCCGAACGCTCCTGCATACTTCGCGGAGTCCCGCTTCCATTGCCTGGTGGTTCGTTATCCCAGGTCAGCTTGAAGGTGGATGGATGGGAGGAAGGATGGAATGAACCTCTCCAGCACGTAAGATGGACACACCGCATATCTTTCCTTCGAAGCCAACCCCATCGTACGTAGTGCCCTATCCAAAATAAGTCAACAACCCCAATCGCAATCGCAATGGGGGCGAGAACAGAACAGAACTCACCGTAGGCGTCTCCACAGTCCTCTTCACAACCGGCAAATGGTTCAACCCCTCCTCAACCAACAGCCTGATAATCCTATCAGAATAAAACAAAAAGTCCCCGCGTTTAGTTTCTTTATCGCGGATGATGGTGTACAGTGCTTCGAGTTGCGCCGTTTGCGGGAGGGTGAAGACGGAGGGGGGGAGGGGATTGAGGTGGTGGCGGTTTATGTTGGATTGGTTGGCTGGTTGTGGTGGTGGGAGGGGGATGGACATGGTTCGAGGGAGAGTGAGGAGAGGGAGAGGGATGGCTTATAATGAGTTCGAATGGGTTTGTCCCTGCACTACTAAGGAACGCTTCCCTGACCAACCACATGCTTGTGTCTCACATACCAAGAGAGGCCGAAAAGTTCCTTGCTTGCCGTCTTCTTCTTGTATCTTTAGGAAAACCTCCATTTATTGCGAGATTGTCTCGGGACGGGGTGGAGAAGTTGGAAGACAAGAAAAGAGGTATTTAGCCGACCACGCTGTTGTTCATTCTGTTTGACCCAACTAGATGGTATACACGAGGTCGAACACCCTTGCAGATGCCAGCTGACGGGCCTGACCGTACTTGACGAACGATCTTGGGTGCATATATCTTTGATGGGCAAAACCCTTGCAATGGTCCCCATCCGTACGTAATTACAACCATGCGTGAAGCTGACGCTTTTACGTTCGACTAGACCGTTGGGCTGCTCCTGCACCAAGGGTTCCGAGTCTGGGCCCCTACCGCAAGGACATGCCCCTGCCAAACGATCTTCAAGGTGCCAGCAAGTTCACCACCACAGAGGCCAAACCGCGTCTGTCTAAACATCTTTTTCGAAAACGTAATCAATAACGCTCTTTTTCCGCATCTCGACGAGATCCCACTGCATCGATTGCTTTCAAAGCCGCACCGAGTCAACAACCATGGAGGGACCATACTTGAGACACTTGTATCCAGCCCCGCGGTTCTAAACCTCCAGCGAAACCTTTTCTACCAAAGTTTTTCAACCTAGAGCACACCCCGACAGAACTCAAAACATTACATACACGCCTCGCGAACGACTGGCACACCATTTCCATCAGACTAGCTGCGAGAATATGGAGTGAAACAAAGAGGCAGCTACGTGAGCAACGCCCACCCCCGCGCAGATCAGTTACTTTCCCTACATTCTTCCAACCAATCCTCCCCTGCTGAACATCTCCTTCCATTAAACCCCTTTTTTTCTTCACTCATATTTTTTATTCCTCACGAGCTGGCAAGGTAGTACACCTGAGTTATTATTTGTGACGTAGTCAGCCGAAATGATTACCAATTACCAATTTCTACCCAAGGCAGGAGCGTGAGCTTGACATCAACTTGACATAGTGCAAAAGCCGTCGGTGCCGTCAGCTCCCCCACTTGAAGAAAATTAGGATTCCGCGATGAGCAAGCACGAGGAACGAATGCAAGCTCATTATCGGATAAGATAACGGCTGAGCGTCAAGATATCGTGTTTGTACTCATAGGTACATACTGTCGTTTGCGTAATTCCGTGAACAACGTCCCTCCGAAGTTTTACAGTCAGTTCATTCGCCCCTCTGTACTTGCTCTGTACTGCAATCTACAAGTTATAAACTAATCTGCATCTCAATTTCTACCAGAATGGGACATCCGAATATCGAACAGCGCAAATTCAACTTTTGCCCAACTCTCGCTGGCCGCGACCTGGAGCACCTCATCACCCAATGTCCTATGTGCACTCGCTTCTTTGCCGCTTGCTGTTCCCATCAATCCTACGGTGGCGATTTGGCTTTACCTAACAAACGAGTTTGCCACCACTTCCAACTTGTCTTTATCGATGGCGCGTGTTCCAACAATGGTCGGGACGATGCTAAAGCTGGGCTGGGTATCACCATCGGCGACGATGAAGAATGTTGCTGGAGTATTGCTGTGAAAGATGCGGTAGACCCAGTTGGACCCAGAACTAGTCAACGCGCCGAGTTATTGGCGGCGATAGAAGGTTTGAAGCAATTGGAGACTTCGAATCGACTTCGAAAGGGGGATAGCCTCCACAAGCCACCCCGCCGCGACACAGACACTCTGGGTCCTACCTACATCGTCGTGGCCGATTCTGAGTACGTTGTGAAAGGGATCACAGAATGGTTTCCCACTTGGCGTGTATGTCTGCCATAACTTACTCCCTAGATCGCTCATGAATGGATTGTTTTTTACAGGTCAAAAACTGGCGTACGGCAGCTGGAAAATAACCTACGAACCTAGACTTATTTCAGAAGCTGGATGAAGTTACCGCGAGCTTGGAGAAGAACGGCATCGCAGTTGGCTTTTGGCACATTCGAAGGGCATACAACCTCAAGGCTGATCGCCTGGCGAAGCTTGCAACTGCTGTTTAATGGTTAACAGCTGCTCATCAATCGCTTATAGTAACCAGTGTCCACCTTTCGAAGCTGGATTAACAATTCGTTTCATTACAAGTGTAAACTTATCTCCATACTTTTATTCAGTTCTAAGTCGCCCACCGACGACCCCCAAGTCTCTCATCAATTTGATTGCCAGGTTGCCCCCTCTACATCCAAGGAACAGGGTCAGATATGGTATAGAGCCGACGGAAATGCCAGTTTACCCAAGCCCGCTTCCGAATGCCCATAATGCGCTGCTCTCAGCCTCGAGACCAAATCCGAGGAGTCGTAGCCTGTGTTATCGGCTGATCGGATCTGCGTTAGAGCTTGACTAAACGCTTCATTTTCGACAGTACAACTCATGAGCATTTCAGCATATCCACCACCAAGCACAGTCCGGGTCTCCTAAACCGTCTGGAACCAAACGGGAAGAGCATCGTGCAGGGATCTCTCAGCCTCGTCTGCCATTTGGTTTGTAGATCCACAGAGAACGACGGTGCAGGGTTCACCAGCGGCCACTCCGGAGAATTCAATGTGCTGTAAGAAGTGTGAAATGAAGGCATTGCCAGGAGGACGGGAGGGGGGGACGAAACGCACCTTGTCCTCTCCAATCTCCTCAACTAACTCGCACTGGACGAGCCTGACCAGATCCGGTCGGTCGAAGGTGCTTGCGATTTCAACCCCAGTGACGAGCGACAACCATTCCAAGCCCTCAAAGTCGGCATGTTCAATGATCATGATACCTGTTTCGGTGAGGAGGGACTCGGGGTAGTTGTAGATGAGCTGCCAGCTTGTTCACGACGCAGTTAATTCCGTGCAGTGCGATGGCGTCGACCTTGGCCTTCATTTTTTCCCTGCGAGGAGTCAGCTGGATGGTATAAGAGAGAAATTCTAGATGTGAACACGCTCTCTTAACCTGTCCTGCCCACCTTCACGCGAGCGCCAAAGATCTTGATTTTGTCGGTGTTCATCGATAGAGTCGAGGTCACCGAGATCGAATCTCCGTCAACGTCCGTACAGGTGTTTGCAATGAGAGTCTTGAGTCTTGACATTCTCCATCCGCTTCGGTGAATTTGCTGTGATAGTTTTCTTCAGGATGAACGTGAATTTCATTGATCCCTATGCCAGAACTTCAGTCTAACGCTGCTCAAGTTGGCAAGAACATACCTTCAGCCGTATAACAGCATCAACCGCCAGGTTTTAAAAGTAGTTCTTGTCTTGTTAGAGGACGTTTGTGGAGAGTGATGATATTCAGCACTTCTAAGTCGAAACCGAGACCTGTTCACAAAAGCGTCCAAGTCAAAACTCTCACGGTTGCCTAATCGAGTTCACGTCGACGCGTCGAGTCTGTTCGTCTGTCTCGACCACGACGCGTACACCCGAACTATGGAGGTCAAGAATGAAGACGAGAAAAAGTTCAATATCAATGGAGTTCGTTGTTGATACTCCATGCTTTATGCTTTTGAATAACCCACTGCAGCTTAAGGAGGAAGAGGACCGGAAACTTCAAGTTGGCCACTATTCAGATACTATTAAGGCCGAGTTCCAAGAGGACGTGAAGGCTAACTGTGCTTTGAAAGTAAAGCCAGAAGACTGGAAAGGCATTATCAAGGTGCTTGCTTCACCTTCTCAGCATCTACTAATTGTTAGAGTTGACAAACCAATGTAGGGTGAACTTTCTGGAGACAAGTCGGCTTTGTCCACCGTGACCGGTGGACCAGTGGTACGTATAGAACTGCCACATGCGTAGTTGATTCATATTAGAAGCAGGAAACTGATTTAATACCCGGTCCACAGTGGTCGGCTCTTTCACTCGATGACGACGATATTGACGTCAACGACTTTCCGGTAAGTTATTCAGCTCTGAGGTTATGTCTGGACAATCATGATTATTTTCAGATTGGTCCCGTTGAAGAGCCATATGGGGATGATGATGATATTGATGTTAACGACTTCCCGGTACGTTATTTAGCTCTGAGGTTACATCTAGACATTCACAATTCTGTTCAGAATGGTCCTGTCGAAGAGCCCTATAGGACTGATGACGATATTGACGTCAACAACTTCCCGGTAAGCAGCTCATCTTCAAGCTTTGACAAACAGTTACAATTATTTTCAGATTGGTTGTGTTGAGCCAATGGCATGTGGTGCTGTTGACAGCCCCATGGAAGATGTTGACAATGGTTCTCAAGGTGAACATCTCAAAACACATCTGGCTGTTGCTGTCAAGGAAGAATTGCGAGATGATATTTCCCTTCTCAATCCTCAACCTGTGACGCAACCACGTTTGGAATTTGATGGTGTCTTGTTGCCATCTCTGGCTGAAATTCGTCAACGGTGGGCCTTGGAGGCAAATCTGACCCAAGCAAACTCTTTAGATGAAGTTGAGGAGATGAATAAAAAGGTTGAGTCTTGGCGGAATGTTTGTCCTTTTTTTCTCTTGAATATTTGTGACCGTCAAGCTGATATTTGCCGCTAGCCCAAAATGAAGAAGCAAGAAAATCTCGTGATGGATCTGGGGGTTACCAGCAGACGTCTCCTCGCTGCTGGGATTCATTTTTTAGATCTCGAGCTTGAGGATGAGCTCAAGGATGTCATGGTTTCACGTAAATTCATGGCGATGAGGTTCGGTGGCAGCGCGCAAGAGACCACTCCGAATATATCGAAGGCGAACTTCAATAAACATGGTTTTGACAACTTCATGTACTGCAATACGGACGCTCACTCAATGGCGCCAGAGATTCCAGGGGCTGGTGGCCTTTTTTTCAACCCTGATCATATACCAGGTTTTACAGGAATCAAGTACCGCCTTTTTACCAGGATCCAGAGAACCCCCAAGGCCTTGTGGACATATGTAGGAGAATATGAAGCACTTGTATCTCAGTCACTATCGAAAGCGGAGTGGAATGAACAAACAAACAGGGTTGGTGATACTATATTATATTTCTGCACTTTAGGAATTTACTACCCTGATTTCTAGGTCAAATCTACTTGGGCTCACATGATCTTCAAGAAGGACTGGGGGTCCAATGTTCGTTTACGGATTTTCACTCGAAAAAAGCATAATGTTCGCACTCCAACAGAAGAGCAGCTGGAGAAGGTCTGGGATTCAGGAGAGTACAAGGGGAAAGTGACTGCTGGTGAGATACAGGCAGCATTTGATTGTGGCGAAGAAGTGAGTTTTTATCTTATTTCTATTCTCATGGTATTAATTATTTATAGGTTCTTCACGTCTGGGTGATGAAATGTGTTGGGTTTGACAAGTCCCTTCAACGTCAAATCAATGAAGAGCTCAAAACCTGGGATTCCTCAGAGGCCTCTCGCAAAACCAACAAGAAAAAGGTAGTTCGTGGAGTTAAAAGAAAGCGTGGTGAACATGACAGCGATGAGGGGGGAGATAGTAAAGACAAGGATGAAGAAGAGGAAGCTGACTTGGAGTCAGAGGACGAAGATGGCTGGGAAAATGACCACAAGGTGGATTTAGAGGTGACTGAATTGCAATACCGAAGCAGGGGAACACGATCTAGGCCTATCCATATCTCGTAGATTTCGTTTCATAGTTCATTGCATCAATTTCAACGAGTTGTCGACGGATCACGGCGTGTGTGTCAAAGTCAACCGAAACAAACATTGATTATGCCACGACGCCAGCACACCAACACGTCCGCCATTTTACTCTCGATCACCACATTCCCTCCTGAGGACCTCAGCGATCACCGAATACGCAGGTTTTGCGTAGTTTCTAGCCGATATGGCGACCTACGAATACGATGAAGCCGGCGTTATGGCTGCATACTTTCTTATCACATTCCTTGCGTTGGTGCTCGTGCCATTAACCATCTCTTTGTTGTCGAGAAAGTCGGGTGAGTGACGCTGTGTTTCGATCTTCATTCTCTAGCTAATGACCCACTGTCATACAGAGAAAGTCTCACCAGGGTGTCAGTGCAGTTCGTGTACTGAACACTTCAAACAGATTACTCGGGATGAGCGCGGGTTATTGCCATCGTTGAGTAGAAAGTGAGTTTCAGTCTCCGTCTAGGCTTGCATTAGTCACTTATTAATCCTCAGGACTTATTTGATTATTGCTGGGTGGTCCATTTTCGGGTTCCTTTGCTATTGGGTGGCTGGGTTGAAGACGGAGAGCAAAGTTTATAATCCTTTCGAAATTCTCGAAATCTCATCGGTAAGTACCTCCTTGTTTCCTCTAAGATTGCCCTTACGTTTGCGTACAGGAGTTGTCAATAAAAGAGATCAAATCCCACTTCAAAAAGCTCTCTCGGATGTAGTAAGTACCCATCCTCCCAGCGACGTGTCAAGCGCTTACCCGGCTCCAGTCACCCCGACAAAGTTAAAGCCTCCGCCAACCAAACACTAGAAGATATCCAAAATAAATTCGTCGAGCTCACGAAGGCATATAAATCGTTCGTTCCGTTTCCCTCGTCTCGCACCGTTTCTTATCGCGTGACAGGCTCACGGATGATACAATCCGCGACAACTGGCTGAAATACAACCACCCTGATGGACCACAACCGACCTCCTATGGCATTGCGCTTCCAAAGTGGGTTGTTGAGAGCAAAAACAACATTTGGGTTCTTGGCGTGTACGGGATCGTCTTTGGCGGCGCTCTCCCTGCTCTCGTCGGTCGCTGGTGGTTCGGCAATCGCCAGAAGACCAAAGATGGGATTAACGCCCAGTCGGCTGCGGCTTTCTTCAAGTCTATCAAGGAGGAGTCCACGATAGAGGAAGTCGTTGGTACCCTTGGCATGGCGTATAAATGGGAACTCCCTACGACAAAGGCGAAGGAGGGCGCTGAGTTGGACACGTTGGAGAAGGCCGTCGCAAAAAGTGCTGGTGCGCGTTGGGCTGAGGTTCGGAAACTCGCTCAAGACTTTGATGGGAAGCTGCACGAGGCGAGGAGAAAGGCGCTTGTACTATTGTATGTCCATCTCCTGCGATTGAAGATTACGGATTCTAGCTTGAAGAAAGGTTGGCATAATTCTTTTGGCCCGTTCTGTTCCGTCATTTAATGTGCTTTTGTTAGACCAAACCCAGCTATTGCTCCAATCGCCTCTCCTCCTCAATGCTCTCCTAAATGTCTCTGTATCACGCAATTGGCTTGCGCCCACTCTCTCCGTCATACGACTACAAGCTTGCCTCACACAAGCCGTCCCTCTTGATGCCTCTCCTCGTGTACTGTTGACGCAACTTCCTGGCATCGAGAAGGAAGATGTCGTGCAACTCCCAAGCAAAACAAAGGAAATGATTGACCTCCTGCGTGTTCTAGAAAAGAAGGACGATGATCGTGTTCCTGCAATCAAGAAGGCTATGGAGAAATGGGGTCGCGTGGAAATGGTAGATGCTTCATTCAAAGGAACGTCTCTCCCTTCCTCGTCCGTTCCGTTTCCATTAATCAAGTTCTGTTCAACAGTCATTGGAGAAAGGGTGGTAACGCCCTCATCCATCATCTTCCTGGTCGTGAAATTACGGATAACACCCCCTGGCTTGTCGACTGAAAGGAAAGAGCTCAGTGTGGACGAGACAAAACGTATCGTGAAGCTCAATGACGCAAAGGACGAGGAGTTCTTGACATCGCGTGCTGAGGCTGAAGAGATCTCACCGGCAGATGCTGATGCTAATGGTTGGGCCCATGCTCCCTTCTGGCCTGCGGTACGTACCACCTCCACTCTTATGCCATACCATCTGATATTGTTCTCAGGGACGTAAACCATCATGGTGGGTTGTATTGGGCGATGACAAGTCCAACCGGATCGTGGTGCCACCTTCCAAGATCACAGATATCCCCTTCTCGAATGCAGACTCGGACAGGGATTACCGTTCGTACAAGATCCAGTTCCAAGGCCCACCCAGCACCGGTTTGTTCACGTGGAGAGTCTACCTCGTCAGCGATACTTTCGTTGGCGAGGAGGTCGTCAAGGACATCACAGTACGTTCCTTCTCTTTCTTCCCTAATGTACGGCAGAATTCCTGACATAGGCTTCTTTGTTACAGCTGAAAATTGAAGACCCACCAGCGGTGAACGACCAAGAATCAGACGACGAAATCTCGGAGCCGGATGAGGATTCGCTGGCTGGTCAGATGGCTGCTATGCGTGGTGGGAAAGTGAAGAAACGTCATGATGACGACGAGGACAGCGATGAGGAGAGCGGCACGGACGATGATGATAAGGACAGCGACAGTAGCAGTGATAGTGATAGTGATTGATAGTGGGGGTATGTATATACTGGTTATTTGCACTCACTCTTGCTCTTGGTGTCTGGTTGTATCGTATTTTATTTTTGTTGTACCTCTTTTACTTGGGAGATAATCGCTCATTAAATAATCATCATTCCAGCTTCATATAGAGGCCCTTGTTCAGGATCGCATACATACTTCATTTCCCTCTCGAAGGGCCACAAAAAAACGGTCTCTCAATAGCTCTAGATACTTTGCCGTGCCCTTGTCAATATATACATTGGTAGTGAGTAATTCAGGTGTCATGGAAAGGAGCGTAAATTAGCGTGAATCTTTCCCGATTCAAGCGCCTGCGCAAGCCAGAGAGGAACTAGGGAACGTAGCAAGAACGCCGGCCGTTCAGACAGCTACCGCAATTCCGTCTGTCACCCCGTTCTTATGGTCATCCGAACCTTCGAGGATCGAACCCGAACGGGATCCCAAAGCTTCCGCCTTTTTGGGAACATCTTCACGGTCAGAAAAGACCTCTGTTCGTATGTGGATGCTGTTCAGGCTGAAGCTGTTGGTTGTTTGTGCTGGGTTGGACGATGTTGGGACCCAGATGCCTCGGGTGCTTGATTTCGACTGTGAGGAAAGTGAGTTGAAGTCACCTTGGGAATATGACAAGGATGGAAGAAAGGCACACCTTTACGTGGGCACTGACTTGCAAGTTTGATACCGCAACTGGTTTGGGGCGAGCGAGGAGGGTGTCTAGGATACTCTGTAACATAAGAAGCAAGTTAGCATTTCTTTCTGAAGACTGAGTAAATCATTTCACGTTTGAGTAGAGGCGACCGAGTGCAAGGATGAAGACGAGGTATGCGTTCGTCGTGGGCGAAGCGACGAAAACGACCAATCCCAAAAGCGAGACCAAGAACGCTGCAGAACCTGTCTGCAGCACTCCGCGGAGTATCCTCTCGAAAGGGGATGGGAGATGGCTCATGAATGCTGGGATATGAGAAAGAGTGTATGCGAGACTACCTGTTGTTGACTGCGTAAAAGAAAATGTGGTATCAAGATGGACGAATCTTACCCGCGACGAATAAGTCTGTGAAGGTTTGCACGGACAGCCAAGCAATCAACAACGTTCGATACAGATCAGACCCCGATAGACTTTTGAACAAAATCAGGATTGCAGTTTGAGAAGAAGAAGCGGGGAAAGCGTACATGGAGGTCGCAGATATCCTTTCGGCAAGTCCCAAACCGCCAGCTGACACTGCAAGCCCGAAGGTGATGAACGAAAGTGCCCCGACGATCCCATACGTGACATTGCGACCAGTTAAAACGAATATCCTGGATTGTACGAATGATGCTTGGTTTATGAGAAGTAAGGTAGGGCTACTTACCGATGGCTAAGGAAAATGTGGGTTATTACGCCTGAAATACCGGCGCAGATTGGGATGAGGGAGTAGGTCCATAGCGCAGCTGTGATTGAAAGATAATTGACCGGTGTTGAAATTAAAGGAAGGGCTTGACGAACCTTGCATTACAGCTGGATTATCATAGTTCGTTACGCTGGTGAGGGAAGGGTGAGCGGGCTACATTTGGGAGTATTGGATGAACCGGATCGTACCAGAGATTCCATGCCATGTAAACAGCACTAGAAGATATCACCTCCGTCAATGCTTGAACTCATTGACAAGGTTTTTCGTGACTTACCTCGCAGACTGGAAGGTGTCCAACAAGAACATAACCAAGACGGGCAATCTAACACATTCGGAATTGGCGTTTAGGTTTTCATTCAACGAGTCCTGCTCACCTAATCCAAAGAGGATCTTTGAAAGCTAAAGGAAGGTGTATAAAGCTCGACAAGCGGATGCATAAGGAACTTACGGATTTCCTGATAATTTGCATATTGGAAACCGACGACACCATATGTATACGTGTTCACTGAGACAAACCCCAATGAGCCTCAGGATGCTGGAGGGAAGCCGAAACGTACGGAAAACACCCAAGACCAAAGGACCTGGTCAAGAAGACGTGAGACACCAGCAACTTCAATTCATTGAGAGCAACTTACCAAGTACCCCGTCGTAAGTGCCCATGATGAAGAGGATCCGGAAGAGAAAACAGGTCGCATCTTAGGCCTTTATTAATTTTCTTCAAGGTTCCGCAAGCCGCCACTTGGCCGCCGCAGTGGCAATTTCAAAATCACGTTCGTGCCCAAATTCGTTCCACCTTTGCTAACCCTCTTGGAAACGGAGGGAGGCTAAGCTCCAAGAGGATGATGATGACAGCATCGATGCATTGTAAATTCAGGGACAACGGAGCAGCGGAACCAGAATTTCTCTGTGAGGAATTCAGAAGCTCCATCTCGGAGTCTCCATGTGGAATTGTGTTTGGAAGAGATAAGCTGGGAACTTGATATTTCAAGTTGAAAGAGAATTCGAAGGACAAACGGAGGATGCGAGAAATTGCAGGTGTGCGGTGGTACAAAGATAACCGGCACCCTCTCGGAGATCTAGCGATCCAAGAGAAAATAAACCGCGCAAATCGTAGCTGTCATTCAAATTAAACGTGTGTAAAAAACGTTACACTTGTGTCAGTTTTATGACCCGACGAGGGCGAGGAGTGGGGTCAGATACCAGGGTCTCGCTCTGACGCGCTGCAGCAAGGCATAAACGCGCCGAGTGTATGTAAGAGCAATTTCTGGAACGAAACGGTGACACAAATGTGACTGATCAAATTATAAGGGTTCTTCCATCCCTCCCTTCGGAATCATCGATGCTACCAAGAAATCCAAAGGTTACAAGAACGAGTGCGTATCTTGAAATCGCTGGGCAGACGGTTTCGCTGAATATCGCGTTTTGCTGAAGACAGAGTCTTCAATAGGAATAGGTTCCTGATCACCAAATCAGCCAGGCCTGGCCTTTCAAATGGTTCCAGCACTGAGTCCTTTGACAGACATTGGACAGACAGAGCCTCCTGTACCTACCTAGTCCTGAACTTGTTCAATTGGTTCCTTTGAAGTGACTTTCGGACCCGAAAGACTACATATCCAAGTCTCCTGAACGTTACCCCACAACATAACTCGGCTGATGGGATGTTTTCAAATTACCGCGAATCCAGGAGGGGGGCATTTTGCATAAGAAACGTGGCCAGGGAAAAAAGCCCTCCTCCGCCTATCCTACAAATCCCCCTTCCGCCCAGATCCGCTTTCCCGTCCAACCGTGTAATTAGAAGTTCGCCTGCACATGGTGAGCGCGAATTCTTTACCCGAACTACCCGATTCTGAAGATTTTCCCGCTGCAGGAAGCCACTGACGTCCGTCTATTTAACTCTCTTCTTATACCTCAACTTACCTTTCATTGTAGTCAATGCCACAAATGCAGTCAAGACGAGCACCATTATCGCTGAACGTACTAATTGTCGGTGCAGGTATTGGCGGGCTCTCCATAGGATTCCTTCTCGGACGCGCCGGACACAATGTCACCATTCTCGAGGCCGCCTCTGAACTCGGGGAGGTTGGTGCTGGTATCCAGGTGACTCCGAATATGACCAGACTCCTCATCCGATGGGGTGCTGGGGAACGATTGAAAGCGGTCGCTGTTGTTCCTCAAATGCTCAATCTGCGCAGATGTAAGCGCTGAAACATTGCGCAATTGATTGATGTTACTTACAGCCGCATCAAACAGATAGCGATGGAGAAATGGTCGGGTGGAAATTGTGGGGAGATAACTTGGAGAGGGATCATGGCGCGCCTTACTATCACATCCACGTATGTTTTCATTCTAATCAGTCGCTCCCGAACTACACGAAAACCCCATAGCGCGCCGACCTTCAACGGATCTTGCTGGATCTCGCTAAGCCATTCGTGAACATCCGTCTAAACAGCAAAGTTCAAAGGGTCGACCCATCCCTGCCCACTGTAACCCTCGAATCTGGAGAGACATTGAAAGCAGACCTAATCATCGGTGCTGACGGCTTGAACAGCCGGCTGCGCGACATCGTCGTCGGTCATCCCGATAAACCTACACCAACGGGCGACGCGACATATCGAGCTCTCATCCCTACCGGCCCTATGATAAAGGATTCGGACCTGAGGCAGCTCTTGGACGAAAGTAGCGTTAATGTGTGGATGGGACCTGGAAGACATATCGTCAGTTATTGTGTCGTGAGTCTCTCCTTGTTCAAGCTTTAAGTGAATTTCGACCTGACAATATGACAGCGAAACAAGAATGAATACAATCTCGTCATGATCCACCCTTGCAAAGGTACCAACGAGACAGCCAGGCCCGTGGATACCGCCATTATGAGATCGGATTTCACGGGTTTTGAGCCTCGGTAAATCATTGCCTAAGAGGGATCAACTCTTGCTAATGTCTCGCTTCGTAGAGTCCAGAAGATGCTTTCCCTAGTCCCATCAACTCTCGTCTGGTCCTTAATGGACCGAGAGCCGCTGGACACATGGATTCACAGTGACGGAAAAGTATGCTTGTTAGGAGATGCGTGCCACCCTATGCTCGTAAGCATTCCTTTCCCAAAGTTTGCCATCAAGTTTGACACCTCCTCGTTCAGCCTTACAGAGCCCAAGGATCCGCAATGGCAGTAGAAGACGCAGCCGTCCTCGGAAACCTCCTCTCCCGCATCTCCAGCCCAAATGAACTAACGCCCCTCCTACGCGCGTACCAATTTATCCGACACCCAAGAGCCAGCGCAACGCAGATGGATTCGAGGATGAACCAACATATTTTTCATCTACCTGATGGACCACAGCAAGAGGCGAGGGACGCGTCGATGCGTGCGGCTATGGAGGAAGCGAGGAAGGAGGCCCGACTTGGAGCGGATGAGGATGCTGATGGGTGTGTGGGGAGCGCGAACCTTTGGGGTGATAGGAATAGGAATATGCTGGCTTTTGATTATGATGCGGATAAGGCTGTTGAGGAGTGGTTGAAGACGAACGAGCTTGGGGAGTCGATACTTTGACTTCATATTCAATTCCAGCTTCTGCAAATACCACAAAGTTTATACCCAGCAAACAACAACTATGTACAAAAAATGACATGAGGATGCATAGTAGGCATGCTTAGCTTTTCATATGGAAAAAAGAACATAGTCCGTCCAACACTGCAAACCATCAAGGTCCCTGAACGTTCAACACCCTCGGGCTCTGCAACGTAGCATGATTATCGCCCAAAACCTGCCTCAACAAAAGCTCCACCCGTTCCCTATCCTCATTAATCCTCTGCATCTCCTCAACCCACCTACTCTCCCTCTGCTCAAATATCCCCCCAAGCACACCCAAACTCCCCAGCGCTGTCTCCAACAAGTGCCTAAGATCTTCCTCGCGCGACTCGGAACTTCCGTCTGAGCCGTCCCCGCCTGCGCCGGAGGTGGCGGCGCAGTTGATGAGTCGGTCGACGAGGGAGCTTTTCATTGAGCGTGTGGAACGGCGTTGGGACGCGATGCGTTTGAATCCTGTGCGTAGGTCTGACATGCTGCTTGAGTTTGCGAGGGCTGGTTGGCGTCGGACGGAACGGGAGCGGAGGGAGTGGAGTTTTGTGCTGTGGGATGGGGCGGCGAGGAGGACCATTGTTGCGTCGGTTTGACGATCCAGGTTTTGGAACTGTATCAAAAAGTGAGTATTTCGTTTATGTGGAGAAGATGAATGGGAGCAAGAACTCACAGCTTGAACGAGCGCCTCCCAGCCCATCTCCCATTTCCTACGACGTTTCTCAACGTTACTGATATAATTAGGATGATACTCCAATTCAAGAAGATCATCATCGTCGCCCTCTTCCTGCTCGTCAACCCAATCAGGGTCGTCGTCTGCCGTGGGCAGCACAATGGATCCAGTAGTCCCATTCGCAGGCCAAGTATGATTCCCATGCCCATTATTAATAATCTCAGGAAGAGGAACCGAGAACCCCCGATCCTCACCCGCAGTCTCCTCGCCAGACGAAGACGGCTCAGGGCTCGTCTCCCTAGGCTGGGTACTATCCACCCTCGGGGGCGGTTTCCGAGTAGACGCCTGCCTCCTCACCAACCTATCCTTCTTCCTCGGCGGCGGAGGTAACGGAATAGGCTCATGGCTAGGACTACTCTGCAAGCTCGTCGTATCGTGTACCCGTCCCATACGGTTCGTATGCCATATCGCCCAGGGGTTATAAGCTGCGGCTGGGAACGGGGTAGATGATGGGGATAAAGTGGAGTCGGTGATGTTTCCGTGGTTGTTCTGCGCGTAGATCTGCCATTGCTTTGCGAGCTGTTCTTGGATTACGGATGGGTGGTTTGGGTCGTAGTGGGGTCTGTTGGGAGCGTTGATTGGTTGGTTACGACGGACGTGGGAGAAGGGGTAGGGGTAGGGCGAGCCGACGGGGGCTACGGGGCTGAATGGTAGGTCCTTTCCTCCCATGTTGTACCCTTCAGAAATGAGTGGGGAAGGCGATGGAGCGGCGCTCTGACTACGGGGAGTTGGAGGGATCGGTGCATCTGGGCGAGGAGATTGTAGATAGGATTGGATGTAAGAAGACGCGGCGTCTTCACCATAACTTTGGAAATCGTCAGGATAAACTTGAGGTTGAGCATATCGTCCATTGTGGTTTGAGCGGGGGTCATGAGTATAACGTTGTTGATTATGTTGATGTTGTTGATGATGCTGCTGTTGATGTTGTTGATATTGCTGGTGTTGTTGCACCTGCTGCGGTTGTGGATGATACTGGTGCTGCAAATCCTGCATCGACCGGCGCGACTCCACAAACTGAGAAGGGCGATCAGAAAGCGGGGTAGGCAACGCCGTAGAACTCGGCGTCTGCTCAAACGCCGACGGATCCAAGCTCCTCATCCCCAGCCCATCGGTAGACCCGTTCCTCGTCTTAACCCGCACCGGCTGACGAAGTGCCATATTCTGCTGATGATAAAAAGTATCATGAGGCGGCGCATCAGGCAACCCCGCCGTCGGAGACCGAGGCGTATACCCTCCTTCCTCCTCTCCGCTATCCCTGCCTACATATCTCGCGGTCTGCGGTTGGCTCTCAAGAAGAGGTTTCCCATCCTCCCCTCGATAACCCGTTCGACTCTCCCGTCCACCATGCGTAAGATTCATATCATATCGTTGCGAGTTCCCTTCAGGATGCAAATCAGACGACGGCGTAGGCGAAGGTGGTGGCGGTCTTCGCGAGGTATGCTGCTCCGAAACACCCTGCTGTTCGTTGTTATTTTTCCATGATTCATGGGCACCAAGACCGTTCTTCGACGGAATCCTAAACTCATCTTCAGCTTCCTCTTGAACAGGCAACGATCGATCGGGAGTCCGCGCGATAGCTTGCAGTGGGGGCGTTTGACTCGCAAGCGATAAATTAGACCGTGGCTCGGGGTTGACAGCGTTAGAAGCCCTGCGAAGCACTGGCGGGGAGTCACGCGAATATTGGGCTATGTAGCCTGCAGGACTCTCTCCTGGGCCAGGGACAAGCGGCGACCCTCTACGCTCAGGGGTGTGCGCCTGCTGCACCTGTGCGGCGAATGAAGCGGCGATTGGAGACGTCGGTTGACGATCGCGGGCTTTTGGACTTTCTCGTGTTGCTTGAGGTTCTCGAGTTCGTCTTTGTTGACCGTTATCAGGCCCATTGGGGCTCGATCGCTCCATCGCACGGATTCTTTCTACATTGGGATCTTTTGGAGGAAACGGAGATTCGCTTCGTGGAGGATATCCACTTGTGTACGGATGAGGAGCGGGAGCTAGAGCTGGAGGGGGGATTTGGTTTTGTGATTGCTGTTGATCTGCTCGTTCGATGTCAGCCAGAAGCTCGTCCGTCATTTCGAACTTGGTAAGAAATTGAGGGGGCGCCGTGCGAGGCATGGGGCGAGGGTAATGGGTGTTGATGATGGGCTGCGAATGGGAATGTTGCGAAGGTGGTGGAGGGGTGATTCGCCGTTCTGGGGTCGGATCGATGATGTTGGGCGGGTTTGGCTGGGGTGGTGTGGGAAGTAGACGAGTTATTTGACCCGCTGGTGGTGAGGATCGTCGTGGGCCAGTGGACACCGTTGGGCTGGGCTGCTGTTGAGCCTGCATACCAGGCGGAGCAGCGCCATTGGCAGCGTAGATCTGATTGACGGATGGCACTAGGGGCATCGATTGTGCTTTTAAAGCTCTTGGTCGTTCATGAAGTGGTGGAGACCTTGAAGCCTCGCGAGGCGGCATGTCGCGCAAGGATCCTACGTAGAACGACATCAGCGCTGAGCTCTTGGGGGTGGGTGATGAGCGATAACGATAATGATGATGATAAAATTGTCAACACCCAACGTGTGGGCACGGCGACTCCTGAGCTCACGAAGCCGATAACTCGTGTGACAAATTTACGCGAAGAAGATAAAACATGCAGGGACACGAACCTTGGTTAAGCGGGTGAGGCTGGGACCTGCGTGCGCGTTGGGGGGAGTGGTTTGCCATTTTGCAAATTTGCAGGAAGTAGAAAGTGGAGAAGAGAAGAGATATGGGGTCGGCACAGCTCCTAACGGCGTTCTATAGGTCCAATAACGGCGCGTTTCCAACGTGCCCAACGTCAACACAACGCATTCAAGGGTGAACAACGAGGTCGGCAACCTAGTTTGGAAATCTGCCTCGAGGCGATTCCCCAGAACATAAGATCACAGACGCCGAACTGTGCAGTGCGGTTGATCCAATTGGATTTGTGCCGCAAAAGTGGACTAGCTTGGATAATTCGTGTTCTCGCGTTCATTTCCTGGTCGAGAGAGGGTAGCTACCGAAAACAAGGTGCGTGGAAGTTAAGCAGAAAACGGAAAGGGCAACAAAAGTTGTATAGTTGTTGGAAAGGGCGGTCCTCGATATGGAAAGTTGAACCTGATTGAGACACAGGGTCTGGCGATCTCATCAAAGATAACATGCTAGATGCCGCAGAAAATGCTATCTTGGCTTTTGGAGGATATACGAAAGGAGCTGCTGAGTCAGTGCTCTGAATGAGAAGGGATTCCTTGAGCTTTTACGAGCCAGGGGGAACGGAGGAGCGTGTCGATTATTTATCCGGATTACATAATCGCCACTCTTTCCCATCTCCTCCGTTCCATGCCACGCTCCAAAATCTCATAGAGATGTCCCCAGAGAGCCTCAGTGCAAAGTATACTTGTTCATTAATGATACTATTGTAATGCTGACCGACATTTACAGATTCATACAGATTTACAATACCCTTCCACCGGAGGCCCAACAGGCATTGATAGAGAAACACCTCGCAGGTCTCATCGATCTCGTGCCAAAAAACAAGTCGAAAAAGGGTATCGTAGTTCACATCTGGGGGGAAAGATCTAGTTCTAACCGTCAACAGTCCTCGCGGCTGCGACGCGACTACAGGCACGTCACAAGAATGTACCAACACTCGACCTCAGGACCAAGAGAAAACAAGTCAACGCCCTAATGGACGAGCTCAACAGGGACGCAAAGTCTGCATTCATCAAAGAACGCAGTAACCGCGACGAACTCCTCTTCGAACTCATAGACAGCCTCACGAGCTGGTTGAACGCCATTTGGAGTGTGGCATACGAGCACAACGTCAACTTTGTCCACGCTCACTCGTGTCTTCTCTTCGTGGCAGATGTGTTCACACAGCTTTTTGAAAGCGCAGGGCATGGGGGGTACATGTTGTCTTTACCTGGTTTTCAATTCCATTTGACGGCGACAACTGCAGATGCAAGTGCTCGGTCATGAACTTGCCCATCAGCGTCACTATCAAGAACAAGCATGGCAAAACGATCAAGAATATGCATGTTACTGGTCCGCAAAACGTTGACCGCATTCTTCTCTGGATATGGCGGGATCTCTTTGTGTCGATGTCTGCGAAAGGCACTCAGCAGGAAAAGAATAGAATGAGGAATATGTTGGAGGACATTGAAAACGTTTTGGGGTTCGAGACGCTAGAGAGGCTGTTGTACGGGGGAAAACGATGTGCGTTTAAATTTCACCTACACCCGTAGTTTTGGCTGACAACCACGAAGCCGTTGAGGACGAGGATGAAGACGACGACGACGACGATGAGGATGAGGACGAGGAAGAGTGGGAAGACGACGAAGACGCCAGCGTAGACGGAAGTGTTGTCCACGTTATCGACGAAGACGAAGACAACAACAGCGCCAGCTCAGACTCCCGCTGTCCCTGCAACTTCCACGCACCACACTGGTCAGGAACCCTCAACGCCGAACGAGTCGTCATCCGGGACCTCGTCCAAGAACGCCTACACACAATCTTCGAAACCACCCCCTCCCTCCGGCTCTACAACATCCTCATCTCCATAAGCGACGACACACAATCCACCAAAACCCGCCTCCTCTCCAACCTATCCCACTGCGCAGGAAGCACAGCAGACACACTCGTAGCAGCACTTGACATCCACATCGCAGCAGACTCCCCATCCCACCTCATCTCCCTCCTCGATTCCCACGCGTACCTCCTCCGCCCCAAAGACGCTCCAACCCTCCAAGCATGCGTCGCCGTCCTCTCCGACGCACCGACCTACCAACCCCGCGCACTCACCATCCTCGAAAAGGAACTGACAGACAGCTTGCGGGCGATATACATCGCCATTCGAGGGGCGTTCGCCAAAGTCGACGAGGACACTTACAAACGCGAGATTGGGGAAATAATGAAACTGCGTACGGGCTCACACGCCCGCCGAGACCGCATCACGCGTTGGACGGAGGACGTGATGACGTCCTCCAGTGGTCCAATGCACCCTATGGCTTTTGCGGCCATGATGTTTGGGATTCCTATTGGTCCTGACGCAGGTGACGGCGACGATGCTGAATTTATCAATTTCCTCGATTTGGATCATTCTGATCCGGATTTGGATGATTTGAGGGAAGAGTTTAGGCCGAAGTTGAAGGAGAGGTTTGAAGGGTGGTATTTGCTTGCGCAGACTGTGAGGGGGGGTGGTGCGGTGGGGTTCAAGATCTATACGCAGGCTGTTGAGATGATGTCGTTCCTAAAGGCGCCGGATGCTGTGGCTGAGATGTTGAATCGGTGCGTTTATATTCATTCAGCTTAGACATCCATTGACTGTTTTTTTAACGCTTAATTGAAGGCTGGGAGAACGCCCTTCAAAAGGATACGTCTGCGACGCCTTAGACGCACTAGCCTCCTTCTGCAAGATGCAAAAGAAGAAATACACCGTTCGCAACGAAAACCAGAAGAGGACGAGGAACGCTAATGCCCCTGCCTCTTCCCCCCGGGGAAACGCGAACACCTCTGCAGGGAATATCAGCACAGCAGCACAGGACACGACGTCCAATTCGACTCCGCCTCCTTTGATCCCGGCTGACTTGGTTGGACAACATGTACAGCAGGGCGGGTTTTCGTTCTCGTTTGGTTCGGTGCCTTTTATGGGTAACCCGCCACCCCCGCCGTTACCGTTCCCTTTGGTGCCGGGGGGTATGGAGGATGTCGATTGACTGACCACGCCCGCTTTGAATGATGTTTGCTCGAATGTTTTTGTTCGATTGCTTTACCTATTTTACTGCAGATAGTTCACGTTTTTCAATGTATAATACCAGCAAGCTTTCCCATTTGATCTTCTTTGCAGTAAACTTGTTCTGATGACACGTCTCGATTATGATCAGTAAGTATGACAGAAACCCTAGACACCTTCGCGAGATCTATTGACTCCGTATCATTTGTTTGAGGAATGACACAAGCCCTGTGCTCGTTGCTCCGCAAACCTCAACTTGGTTAGCAGATGGTTTATTTATCGTAGATTCTGGTTGCGTTCACGGTGTCTTTCTGTCATTCCACAGACATGGTGTCAGAGGGAGAAATTTTCTTCAGAAGGTATTTACCAATAAGCACTGTGGGAAGTAAAAGCACTTCGATTGAGTGACATGGTCACTCAAACCGGTGTAGGGAGTGATTGTGTCACTCAAATTCAAGGAATTTTAAATGAGTGATTTTGACCTCTGCTGCGCTGTTCAAACGAAGAGAGATCACGAGGTAATAGCAGCAACACAAAAATTTTGGGGAGCGAATGCTACACAGATACAAAAGTTCGTAGATAACAAGATATTAACGGAATGTCCAATGAAGTCCAAGAGAGAATAACGGATGTCCAATGAAGTCCAAGAGAGAATAACGGATGTCCAATGAAGTCCAAGAGAGAATAACGGATGTCCAATGAAGTCCAAGAGAGAATAACGGATGTCCAATGAAGTCCAAGAGAGATTAACGGATAGTGTTTGGAAGTTAGGTTAGTTAACCGGAAAATAACCGAGACTGGACCGAACCGTAACCGATCAGGACCGCAATAATTACCTAACCGATCCTAACCGTAACCACGGTCCGGTTAGTGGTTAGGCCCAGTGAAAACCGGCTCTGCAAACCTCCACGAGAATGTGCGAATATCGGCTGAAAAGGGCAAAATCGGCGATGATCCGCTGCGGGCCGCAACGTTTCTGCTGCTTCGTTTGGACGACATCAATCTGGACTCGCCTCAAACTCTTTCCCCAGATTCTACTACCTGCGCGCGACTATATATCTCAGAGCGCTATCGAATTGACTTTATTCCTTCCTTCTTTCCGCCCCCCCACCATCTCCCCCAATCCGTCTCCTCGCACTTCCCACCATTCCGCCCATTCCTCTCGTTAACATACGTGAACATATTCTTCATACAGAATCGTCAACCTATACGCTCTGCATGACATCTCGCCCATGAGTACCATTATTGGAGCTTGAGTGACTGTTCTTACTGGGTACAAGGAAGCGTGTCCGTTTCTGATACCTCGGTAAGTGACTTCCTGTCCTTGTACATGTCGTCTAAGTGACCATTTTCGGTGCATATATGCGCCTTCTGCAGTGTATTCTATGTCGAGGACGAGTTGTGAGTGCGTTTTGGTGTGGTGTCGCGTGTCTGATGGACGAAATATACAGCGCCTCAAAATTCCCTTTACTCCCCCCATCTACAATGCCGACCCCCGACATCGATATATCTGTCTCTCAGACGTGTGCACAAGCGGATGGGTGGGAATGGGTGTGAAACGGCGATTGGTTAAGGTTCCGTTCCAGGGATAAATGTCGTGTCGCAGGGGTCTTGAGTATATAGTAACCAGAAATTTGCAGATATTCGCAGGAAATGGTGTATTATATGAAGGAATTACAAAAAAATTCTACCTACAAGTGAGGACAGAGAAATGCAGATGGGAGCAGAATAGAAGGGGTAGCCGCCGAAATTTCCGCAATCAACGCCGTAGTTCGTCGAAAAGGGGCAGACAGTTGCGGAAAAAAATCCGCAAAAGGGACGAAATCCCATTCTACCTGCACCTTTCTGCTCTGCCGACGATCTCCGATATCTGCCGGGAATTCGCAGATACTTGCGGCTGGTAACAGAGCCGGTTTTCACTGGGGGTTAGGTGTCATCCCAAAATATTCAAGACCAAACAAAAACCGGTTAGGACCGGTTATAACCAGTCTTTGTGTCCTAACATTACACACAAATATTCCCCTGTTTAAATGCTTTCTAACGATCCAAAAATCATATTTTTTAGTGGATATTGACATATTTACGGTGAATTGAAATTTAAGTGACTATTTTCCTGTCGTCACATGTGTGATAATGTGACATTGATACAACAATGGCAATCATCCATGAGAAACGCTCGCAGGTCGGGTGTACTCGACCTGCGAGGTTGTTTATGAAATGCTTGTATTAGAAATATAATATATGTTTGTAATTATGTTAGTACAGAGAAATAACTGGTTAGGACCGGTCATGTAACCGACCGCTAACCGTTACTAACCGATTATATCGGTTAGTAGCAGTCCGGTTCGGTTATTTTGGGTTTCGTGGCACAAGGTAACCGGTCTCGGTCTCGGTTAGAGCCCTCAAGGGCTCAATAACCGGACCGGACCGGACTTTCAAACACTATTAACGGATGTCCAATCATGTATCTAAAATAAAATGAGAAAAAGAAAAAAGAAAAGAGGGAGAGGAGGGAGGGCCAAGAAAACTCTGGAGAGAATTATCTGGCAAACGAAGTCAAATGACCAGTGATTAAGTGTTGATAAGATAGATAGGCGGAGCCTAGAGCGAGATCACTGTGCATTTTGGGTGAGCATGCGGCACATGAAGATGGAGGGCGCGGGGCGCTTACCTGGGCTATTCCCAAAACCTTGTATCAGTCTAACGAGCGCGGTACTACGTTGCTTTCCGTTCGAACAATAGCAATGGCGACTCCAGATCATTGGGACTTGAATGGCAAAGTCCACCATCATCCATATTTGCCTACTACATCGCGATAGCTAACAATTTCCATAGAGGAACTACTAACCAAGAGGCGGAGGTGACTACGATTAGTGTTGTTTGGGAAGGGGGGGGATACGTTTCACAGCATATACGATTGTTTTACCTAAGTGTCTTGTACCCCTGAACATTGCAGCGAGAAAAAATTCGTCAGAACGAGCAACCCGCTGCCTCAGTTTCCAAAATGGTAGACCCTGCTGGATTTCTGCATACCTTGCCACGACCTCGTCCATCGTAGGCCGTTTTAAGGGATCGGGGTTTGTCATGTCTGCAGCTAGCCCCTCCATGAACTCGAGTCCCAATGTCTTCTTGACCCCAAGAGACTGATTGCCCTAAATCTAACATTACAAATGCTAGGTTCCGAATGTCAAAAATCGCACCTCTGTAAATTCGTGTATGATTAGATGACCCAGGTGAAAGACGTCAGTTGGGAATGGGTCATATTCAACGTTCATATCCTCCAGTTCGGGAGGATAATCGCGATCACCTCCCCGAACCACTCGCGCGCGGGGAGTAGAATCGTCTGGACCAAAACGAACCGAGAGCCCGAAGTCAATGAAGTAATACTTTGGTACGTGCTCTGTCCGAGTAAAATGCTTTGCTTTCCCCTTCCAATCGGGAGCCATGTTTTGTTTTGCAGGATGAAATCCACCAGGGTACATCGCATCGGCATTCACCAAAACGTTGGGCGCATGACAGTCGCTTTCGAACCAAGATAAAGATTTACGAGTACACGATAGCTTGAGGGCGCATACCGGTGAGCAATTCGATGTTGATGCATAAAAAGCATACCCTAACGCAACGTCTTCAACATCAGATTATCCCCAAGAGAGCCAAGTGTAACCCACCTCAAATACCTGTCTAAAAAATTCGACAACTTCTCCAATCGTCTCAAAAGGCGGATCTTTGCATGGTCGTAGCAAAGGCATGACGAGAATGACGACATGCTCTTCATCTGGGACACGAATGGTTTCTAAAATCGGAACACAATGGTTTTGGGGTATATCGGAAAGCTCTTTCGAAGAGAAGTAGCTTGAGATTTCCTCTTCATGTGGGTATCTTCTGGTGTCGACCTTCTTCAGAATGACCTGCTGATTGTTAACCTTTCGAACGGCATCCTGTACCCTGGGGTGCTGTTCAAAGTAAGGCTGATGTAGAAACTCGAAGAAGTAAACGATCTTACAATGTGGTTGTGGAAGTCTTCACAATGCGGTGGCCACACGTCTTTGCCAAGCCAAGATGGAATCCAACCAGGAGTGAGTCTTGGTCGAAGCTTGTACCCTCGCTCATCGAGCCATGCTTGATGATCTCTCCACCAAACTTCTCTTGTTAGAAGGTCGTCTCGTTTCGGGTCTGGTTTATTGATTGGCATCGGATGGGAGAGAGTGGCAAGACAATGAAACGAATAGTTTGAACGATGCGACAACCACAACACATATGACCAAATATACCCACATATGGACCCACAAGGAAACCCACAACACCGGTCGTCGTACTTAGCACAAGGATCATTGACAGCTGTCAGCGGAACTTGAGGACAATGCCTGTTGCGAACATGCTGCACCCAAATTCCACTTCCTTGTTGTTTTGAGTTCGTATCGCCGGTGCTCTTGGCAATTCACATAAGTAATTGCACACTCGATGAGTCGATCCAACACTGCCATCTCCCTACGTACCCTTCTCTTCCTAAAAGCACTATGTCGATGTTCAACGACAGCCAGGGTGTAATTGTTCAGGACGATGCGAAGGTTACAAATGCTGGGCGCGACGTCGTCAACATTCAGACCACTACTGTCAATAATTATCCATCTTCAACTTTGAAGGTCGTCCCACATCAACGTTCATTAATGATGCCCACTATTCACTCAAAATCTCCAAAGTGGACGCCCAAGAACCGGATTTGTCGGGCGCAACAACGTAACTGTTCGACGCTGGACTTTTTGAACCAATACGAGGACGTCATGGACGAAGGAGCTTTCCTTGAGTGCACTGAGTTCATCGTAAAGTAAACCGACCCTCCTGTTTATGATCGCGTACGGCAACTCACCAATAGAATTCTAGCTCAACCGCCAGCTCTGAAATCGAAGACAAAGGTTGGCTGGCATTTCTGTGTGACGCCCATTACAGAAGAAGTCTTGTGCATTACACCTCCGATGTTAAGAGGGTCAACAATATCGCTCAGGTGTGTCACTTCGGCGCCTTTTATTGATGTAGCACGGGAGCCTAATGGGGAGTTGAATTTATTATAGCGTGGCTCCCAACAAGGAGTCTGCTTGAAAGCGAAGTACGTTGTCATCAATAGCTCCAGGCACCGTTCACGGCTGACGTAGTGCTGTGTTGACAGTGCCCACGCAGACCAGATAAGACAGTTGAACGAGAGCAACCGTAATACTACTAGTAGTTGAACCGACTGGCATGTCGAGTCGTGCGCCCCCAAAAATTACGGAAGCTAGTGGTCCACGGCCTCTGTGCTAAACGACGGCGCCGCCATAAAGGGATGAAAATCAAAGTGGCGAGGGCTAGACCCGGAAGGATGGTGGAAAAATGGACTTCGCTCACTGACGTTGCAGAATGCTTTATTGTTTCAGAGAAATGTTTCTTATTTATTCATTGGCATGGGACTTGGGACAAGGAAAACCTCCGAGCTTAGGCGATACGACTCGACCACACTGCTCAGGCTATCTGAACACCCACAGATAAATTTGTGATGAAGAAAAACGCAGTCCAGCTTGAAAGTACATCTTCGGTCCTTTACAGCCGTTTTCATAACGATAGGCCTATTCTCGACCAAATACACGTACAGGCGGAGTCTAAAATTGGACCTGTGTAAGTTGTCGGATGATGATTCTATTTAGTATAACTGTAGATCTATCCTCGTCATCCCTGAAATATATGCTGATTTTCGTGTACATGATTAGAATTTGAGGTCCGACCAAGGGGGTTCAAGAATTAAAAAAAAGTAGCTGGGGTCGAAGTTTTTTGTAAGGCCCTGTGTGCTTGACCTACCTACCTACGTAATCAAGCACATGCCTAAATATGGCAATATGACATCATCATCATGATCACTCTGATCCTCTAAGGCTTCGCATACCCAATTTTGTGGGGCTATCTCCAATGCAACACATTGTAGATGGTACTAAAAAATAAGTGAGTGTAGTGATTAACCAAGCCATTGCATTCTGAAGTGCAATGCCACACTGCACAGGTATCTGTTTAGAGTGTCTGATGTGTTGTTGAAACCATTAAGATGATTCGAGTTTTGAAATCAGGTCACACAGCATACCCATTGGTGTCAAGAACTGGTGTCTAACTGTTTTGTCAGTAAATTATGATTGATTAAAATATTAGACAAAAATTTGATGAAGATTAGACTGTGAAAAACAATTTTGAAGCCAGAAATTGGGCTGGATATAATGAAATATAATATCCAGTCAAGATAATGTACTATACAATGATATTTTACATGCAGGAATACTGTAAATCACCTTGGAAAACCAATTTAGGACTATCTCATAGAGGGTTCCAAAAATCTTTTTTTCAGCCTATGGCTGACCTACCTACCCAACCCCCGGTCTGGCATTCAAATCCCTGAACCCCCTTGGGTCCGACTGTATCTGTAATTTTGAACTTTTGGCCTATCGTTATGAAAACGGCTGTAATATTTAGATCTCATGAGTCTACTACCTACGACTCGGTGAGTCCTCGACTCTTCTTTGATAAGGGGTTCTGCGAGTATCAACAAAAGTTAAAAGAAGAGAAGAAAAAAAAACAGCTGTCAGAATTTGTAGACACGAAAGAATTCTGGGGTGAAAAAAAGAAAGAAAAACGGAAAACGGAAAACACAAGGCTGGGGCAGCAAAAAGTCATTTTTGAGGTGGATGACAAGCCTTACATATGTTCAAGGGGGGAGTGGGATGAACGTGTTGAGGTAGTCCGGCCAGCAGGCCGTTAAATTTTTTTATTTTAAGTAGTGTTTAAAGGTTCAGTTCAGTCTGGTTTTTTGCCCCGAAAATGCGCAACCGTGGACCACAACTGGTCCAGGACTGACCCAGATATTGAGGGAACCAAACCAAACCACCTAGGACCGGTCTTTTGCAGTCCATGATACCGGTTCAGACCGATCCAGACCGGTTTTTTTGCATATAATTTATTATACCAATATAAACCATTTGTATCTCAACCATTATTACTCTGAAAAATAAATGGGTTATATAAAATAGTAAAGCATATAAATACCCGTCATTCTACCAATTTTCAAGAGATTTAATGAAGATTTGACATAGCTATGACTGAAACTGAATTACATCTCCTAGAGACTTGGGTAAAATATGGATTTGGTTATATCTTTCTCAATTCTTAACCGTTTTTGATGAAACAAAAACCCAATAAAAGGCAATAAACGTGGTTACAAGGCTATTGTAATCATGGCATGATTACTACAGTTCCCATACTGTATCATATATAGGATGCACTGGCTGAGAATATAACTTCTCAGTTATTCTGCCTTTTGGCTTAGGTGGTCCTTTGTGCATTCTAGGGACTGCTTACGTTAACTGAGAAGTTTCGGCTGCAGGTTCAATCCTGGCCCATGGCAAAACTGGCTGTGGGACCGTGGGAATGAATACTGTTAGTTGCAAGGGGGTAGACCCTTGGGGTGGCCTATATGAGCACTCCCACTTTGGAAACCCCATGAGGAACTCCAGAACTATGGGATTGGGACCAGGTCTGTATGAGGGGGCAAAGTTCCAGAGATAGGGAGGGTGTAATCATGGCATGATTACTACAGTTCCCATACTGTATCATATATAGGATGCACTGGCTGAGAATATAACTTCTCAGTTATTCTGCCTTTTGGCTTAGGTGGTCCTTTGTGCATTCTAGGGACTGCTTACAGCTATGTAATGCACGTGACCGTTTAACCGGTTGCAACCGATTAAAACCGGTCTTTGAACAGTTTTAAAAGATTTTCGAAATGAGGCAACCAGCAACCAGACCAACCCCAAATTGGGGCAACTGCAACCAAAAAAAGACTAGACCATGGTCTGGTTCAGTTCGGTCCACCAGTTTTTTGTGGTCCTATGGACTGAACCTTTAAACACTAATTTTAAGTACCAATTTCGGGTAATTTATGGGCCAGATGAGCTCAGTGTGCTCTCTGAGGCATTTTGCAAGTTGTCCTCACTTACCAAGTGCAGTACTTATGCTATTCACACTCATGATCTAAGAAGCCTGGTATGTGATATAGATTGAGGACAATATTTGAGATGATAAAACTGTTATCTGTCCACATTGTGATTGTGGTGAGAGTATAGATGCAGTTGTTTGAGGATGAAAGCAGAGTAATTATCTGTGGGCAAAAAGGCTGCAAGACATTGTGGGTAGGTCATTTTCTTTTCGTGTCATTTCAGCCTGACCACTGACTATGTAGTACCACTTTTCAAGGGTTGGACTGCCAGTAGATCTTGGTATCAATGACTGGGTTTGTGACCCATGTAAGAGCATGAAGAAAAGCAGAGGAAGGGGCAGCAAATGAAAGATAAGACAGTGGCTGACATCTCAAAACACGTTACTATTTATAGATTTTACCTATATATGGAAGGTTGTTCCCATGCCTGGTTGGTTAGTCCGGCCATATTGGCCTTAACTTACAGTGCCTTGCATAATGCTTTGCAGCGTGAATTTTTTGAAATTGTATTTGGCTGTGTTTAAACTGGTCCTGAGATGTCACATTCAGGCTTATTCCGGACAGAGATCATTTCGTTGGGCCTTGGTTGTGACATATCAGGTTCACTACAAATATAATCAAATACGATTTGAAAAAATTCATGCTGCAAAGCATTATGCAAGACACTGTATCAAAAAAATCAACATGATATATTAAATTAAAATTGTGCTCCCCCCTTGGGACTAGGGCTGAACCCAACGTAATCAGGCACACGTCCATTTTAGGAAATAATGCCCAGCAGGCCGTGAAACCCATTTTTTGAGCTCCCCGTCGAGCAATTCACTATTGAAATCGAACTACTGAGCTGCCCGCTACATTGAATTAAAGTAAGTCACTGTAGGGGCCTGCTGTTTTTGGGCAACAAGCTTCAAGTTTGTTGTAGAGAAAGGTATTTCACAACAATTCAATTCCAAGTCCTATCTTATCTTAGAGCTAGTTTTTTGCTTCTTTATATGCAGATAGACCCAATATACTATTCCGAGTAAGCTCATGCATTCTGGCAGTTATCTGAGCACTGTCTCGTCGTTTTGCACTGAAATTTTGGTATGTCAAAAAAAAAATTAGCAGCCTGCCGGCCGAACCAACCAACCGGCCCCTGGTCCGGGATTTAAATCCCGGTACCCCCTTGGCAAGTCTACAGGAGCGATGTTAGACTACACATTCAAAACGGAGAGAGAGCTCTTACCTAAATTCTCTGTACCAAGACGAACTGTCAACTGTGACCTGCACTCCTACGAAATCGAGAGTCTGGAAGGCTATCCAATCGAGGGCAAATTCAGCTCCAGGCGACTACGGCTATTCATACCAAGGAAAGGGACAGAGCTGTAGAGTATACAGAGGAACTAGACGATGAGGTAAAAGATGTGGGCGAAGTTCCTTTCTTGACACGGGTAAATGGGAAGACCTACACCCGTGCTCAGCCAAGGTACTTGAGCGAAATAAGTTAACTATATGATTGAGAAGCTCGGAGTAGGCGCAGTAAAAAAGTTGAATTCATCTGGAGACTGGATGTAGTACATTCTCCATACTAGTAGTCGTTGACCGCTCCCTCTTACGGAACTTGAATGCAATCGAGCTTCTCCATCTCCCGCGATTTTGTTACGGGCAAAGGTCGTTTGTTGACATAGAAGACATGAAAGGGAAAGAGGGTACGAAAGGCAAGTATCAGTCAAGAGTTACTAACAGAAAGGAGAGGTTTTATGGCGAAGATTTTAATGGAGGCACTGTCCTTTCAAGAATCAATTCCAATGTCCAGGCCCTCAGTACGTGTGGATCCAGCTTCTGCTCGTACTCAAAAGCAGTGGTATCATGGGCCGTGACGGTCATGGCGAGTCGTTTGAACTCAGCTTTGAGTTCCCGAAGACGACGTTCAGGCTGAATTTGGCTTTGGCTATCCTCGACTGTCGATTGAGACAATGGTCCGCCAAAGAGATCATACATTTCTTCTTCGCTCAATTTTCGGGTATCTGATGTGAGATCACCGGGCTCGGCCTTTGGGTGCAGGGTAGGTAGGGGAGATGGTGTAGGAGGTTGTGTCGAGGGTGATGAATTGCGCGGAAGACGCCCACTCCGCTGTCGTTCTCTGCTGAGAGCATCCTCCTCTCGTTCCTGTTTCACAAGCCTAGAAAACTCGGCACGAGACTTTGTAGAAGGTGAATACTCCGAAATTTGACCATCGTCAAGGAAAGGATTGGCATTCAAGCTGGATCGTTTCACTTCAGGCTTGTGGCGAGTATCGAAAAAAAGACCATCTAGGATGTGAGACTGGTTAGCCTCATCATCATCTTCTGCCTCATCGTCCTCCAAAGCTAGCTCTGCCAACATCTCATTCCCAACGTTGTTACCCGCTTCCATGATACGACGCAGCACAACTAAAGTCTTACTGAAGGACTTGGTTTGCTCGAAGATAAGTCGGACTGGCTTGTACGCGAACCCTAAATCCGCTGCCATCTTCTCCAAGACTCCTCTCACACCGAATTTATATACAACTTCAAGCTCTTCAGGGGATAATGATCCCGCAATAGGAACAGAGCAACGCGATTGACGTCGGGACGTGTTTAAAGGTGTGGAAGAGCGAGGGGAAAGGGGTTCAACGTCCAGAGAGCCATATTCATAGGGCAACTGGGGAGATGAATTCATCGGTAAGTCCGCAAACGTCACTTTAGAGGAAGTTGCGACAGCATTGACTTGAACGGGCTGGCGACGTCTAGGTGGCGGGTCGGGTGTCATTGAAGTCTGATCCTGTTCTGTATTGACCACAACGTTGACATTCGTCACCTTGCTTGGACGCTCCTCCGACTCAATTTCTGCTCGACCCTTGCCATTGCAGTCGTTCGACTGGCCATTTTCGGCGAGGTGGATGCGAGAAACACAAGGCTCGCGCTGTACACCCTTATCAACTAAAGCAGCACCGTCGGCTGGCTCATCGTCGACATCCATGGCATGATCCTCATCTACACCGCCCTTGACTAGGCCATCAACCACCGTCTCTGCACGCTTGAGCTGGTTGGTCAATGGGGCGGCGTCTATGTTCTGGTCCTTGTCCTTTCCTTTATCCACCTTCTGCACTGGACTTGCTTCGTTCTTGAGTTTGACCAACGTCCTCGAACGGGTAGTAACCCCTTTATTCTGTTGAGGCGCCCATGTCTTGTTTGTGTCAACAACCTCCACGACGCTGTCAGAGTTGGAACCGGCGCCTGTAGCTCTCGAATTGAAAACTGTTCTGAAATTGCCCTGAACCAAGACGGGTGCTCGTTTTGGTTTTGCAGCAGGTTGAGGGGAGGGTGGCGGTGTTTCAAAAGGGTCGTCATCAACGTTCTGTCGACGAAGTTTGCTTGCTTTGGATTGGCTTTTGTGGGTGGGATTCGTGATCAATGGATCCTTGAGCACAGCCAGCTTCTTAGCAGATACGCGGGCGCGTATGGTCAACGTGGAGTCGTCCGTGCCTGAAACTGGAGGAGTGGGCTCTTGAGAAGGGTGAATCGAAAAAGGTCGTCGTTTGCTCCGTCTCGGAAATTCCGCAGGAGAAGCTGGCCTCGAATGCGGGGGATCGTATCGTCCAAAAAGATCAAGTTCTTCGGTTGTCGGACTGGGAGATGGCAAAGTTTTCAAGTCGGAGTCGACGAGCTCATGATCTTCGTGCGGACTACCAGACGGCTCAAGTCTGTGAGGTGTATGAGTTGATGATTGGATCGGGCTGCAAACGGACTTACAGATCATAAATATCCTCATCCATGTCATCCGTCAACATCGCATCAACCTCAGATTCGTCGTCATCGGGCTCCTGGTCGGTAAAAGTCTCATCGCTATAATCGCCAGAATGAACCGGCCAAGCTTCGTCCTCTTCTTCAGTATCGGTATTTTCCGCGGGAGGGTGTCCAGAAGTGGGAGGCCGCTTGGCCTCCTGATCAATTGGTCCAGTCCTGGACGACGCTTTCTGACCAGAAGAAAGGGCAGATTGTCTACGCTTGGAAGGACCTACGACCGCGCCAGCTTGAGCATTGGCACGTTTCCGGGCGGGATGAGTCACAGAAGGCGTCTGATCGTGCTTTGGCCGCTTGGCTGACCCATTCCCTGTCTCTGAGACCCGCTTGCGCTTACGTTGATGAACTTCCTCATTGACATCTGCCTCCTCTTCGGAAGCGGTCGTTGGTCCCGTTTCCGGCTTGAATGATCGTGGGACCGTACGGTGTTCCTCTGGCAGGTTCTTCTCCTTCTGATACAGCCGAATAAGGTGGTTAAACCGATCCTGATTTTTCCTATATCGTTCACGCCATGACTGCCAACTATGCTCCTTGCTCCACGGCAACTTTTCGTCTACCTAGGTTAGTCCGTAAGATGGTGCTGGTATTTAATTAATCGCCCCACTCACATTTTCAACCAAATTCTTGTATAGCTTGTTACCACATCGCCCTGCAATTCCGGGGGTGTATGTTGCGAGGTACTTGACCAGATGTTGGTTTTCTTCATCGGTGAAAGGAGTTCGTCTGGTAGAAAGCTACTGAGTAAAATATGCAATTATAAAAAACGAGACAGAACTAGCATCTTCGGCTTGGATGATCGCGGGGCCGTATGGTGTTCCTGTGGCATGTTCTTCTTCTTTTGATACAGTCGAATATGGTGGTTAAACCAATCCTGGTTTTTATATATCGCTCACGCCATGACTGCCAGGTGTGCCGGGCGCTCCACGACCACTTTTTATCTACCTAGATCAGTCCTTGAGATGGTGCCGGTATTTACATATCTGTCTCACTCACATTATCAACAAGATCCTTGTATAGCTTGTTACCACATCGCCCTACAGTTCCGAAGGTGTATGTTGCGAGGTACTTGACCAGATGTTGATTTTCTTCATCGGTGAAAGGAGTTCGTCTGGTAGAAAGCTACTGGTAAAATATCAATTATACAGTAACGAGACGCAACTAACGTCTTCGGCTTGGATGATCGCGGGGCCGTATGGTGTTCCTGTGGCAAGTTCTTCTTCTTCTGATACAGTCGAATATGGTGGTTAAACCAATCCTAGTCTTTGATATATCGTTGACGCCATGAATTCCAGGTGTGCCGGTCACTCCACGGCCACTTTTTATCCACCTAGATCAGTCCTTAAGATGGTACCGGTATTTACATATCTGCCCCACTCACATTGTCAACAAGATCCTTGTATAGCTTGGTACCACATCGCCCTGCAGTTCCAGGGGTGTATGTTGCGAGGTACTTAACCAGATGTTGGTCTTCCTCATCGGTGTAAAGAGTTCCTAACATACGGCTGAAAATTTGAATGTGAATCCCTAGAGCCTGCAGGCGTGCTTCCGAACTTTCTTTCAGGTTGCTAGTTGCTCTGAACGTAGCATACATCGCAAAGGACCCTCCAGGTTAGAGAAATTTATGTCAGGAGTTGATTGAACGTACCAATGAGAATTGCATTCCGCCACCGTATCCGACGTTTCCAAGAGTCTAGAGGTCGTGTTCCACAACTTGTGATCAACACACTCAGTCACATCACGCGTCGCGTCATTATATAACGTCACGCAGCGGGCAATTGCCGCTTAGATCTTTACGACCAGGTTTTGTTGGAAATGTTGCCAACCTCAGGACATGCTACCGGCCTTCTGGCCACGAGGGGCACCTGTTTCATGTTCTACATATCCTAAACACTCACGACATCGTCTCTCCTTTGGGGACACATCCACCCCTCCGGGCCTCCTTTCTGGCATCAACGATATGCACCTCTTGCCCTCAATACTTTAACCTGGTGGAAGGGGAAACTTCGCACGAGGCTGCGTATCTCGCAAGACCGGGCCACGCGCTAGAGACAGCAGGACGTCATGACTGTCTCCGTAATCATGACATTTGGCATCCTGACAGGCCGGATGTCGGGCATGGGGGCGACCATTATAATTAAACCACTCCGACCCAGATTTTGATGTTTTAAAACGGGCATCACGATTTCTTCAGAGATGAGATGGAGTTGCTCCTCGGGGAGACCGACGTTATGGGATATGTTGAGTAGGTGTATTTTTCAAGATTCATTAGGCCTGGCAACTAACTGACTGTCTAGTTGATAGCCTGAGAAGTTGTATAACATTCTGTCGAAAGGCTACGATTCCAAAAAAGATCATCTCTTTTGATATGACAGCCAACTGGCGAAGAGCTGCAATGCCGCCCCTCCCCTCAGTGAAACACGTCGATTGATAAACAATAGCTAATCTGATGCGTCTAGTTCGCCTCCACCTTCTTCTCCTCAGGTGGGCGACTACGCGGGTTTTCCTTGTCACTCTTTTTAGACAGCCCGCTCGCCTCGGTTAACCCGCCACCACTGCCATTACTATCTCCTCTTGCATCAGACGGCGTGGAAGACGTTGGCTGAACGCTATTTCGCAGGATTACTTTCATACATTGCTCCTCCCATCATCTCTTTCGGGTCCTTTGCTCATCATGGCCATACCAGATAGACACATTTTTAACCCTTAATACATACCGAGAAGCCATGATCCATCCACGTACCATCCAATCACCTTGTAGCCCGCTTCGATCACGATCGTCTATAAGATTTGATCATGGACCCCTGATAAACTTGATTCATGATCGATGATCTCGTAGCAGCGGCCAGCTTTAATCCTTCTTGACGCATCTCCAACTTGTCTTGTAAACTGCGAGCACCAATATGCTGGCAGGACTGAGGACTCGGCGTCTCACCTCGACGTCGGTGTCTCATCTCGGTCACGGTTAACATCCTCGAACTTCTTACCGGAACGATCACCACGGAAAGTGATATGATAACTGAGAACCACAATACCCGAACCAGCGGCTGATTACAACCCATTGCGACTTGTTACCAGTTGATAAACTGTACATATACCCCAGAGGTGCCAGCCTGAGGTGAACGCGTACTGTCACTATTGCCGCTTCATTCACGTGTAACTTACTCGTCGCCATAGCTCTCCTTCAACAACTTTGAACGCAACGCTCTTAAAACCCTTCTTGTGATCCACTTCCTGAGTCACCAGTACCCCACACACGACTAGATTACACGTATCTGAAGGCCATTGATCTCGACTGTGTCAACTGCGACAATGACGACGTTCACCACTGGCCTCATGAAGCGCCTATTACTCTCCACCGCCCTTGTCGCCTCAGTAGTTATGGCTTCCTTCAAGCCCGCTAACTACCCGAAAAGCTCAGTGACCTGCAAAGCCACTCGGCGTGCTCCAGTTAAAGAAGAGGTCGATATCACTCTCAGTGAGTCAGTCACTTTTGCTAGCCCAGCTGCGAATCTAACTTGGCGGTCACCTAGAATATGTCGAAGTTAACCCCAGCGCTCCGACGACGATCGTAATGGTTCATGGTTGGCCAAGTTTGTGGAGTACCTGGTCAAACCAGATTCAAGAATTCCAGGTATGACTTGTATCCTCTTACGACTTTCTGTCTGAGCTGCGTTGACACTTCGGAATAGGGCGATTATCATTTAATAGTCCCTGATCTACGCGGCTTTGGAGAGTCCACACATCCAGGCGATACCAAGTCGTCAGGGACGATGGGAGACATGGTCGGGGATCTCGTATGCATTCTGGAACAGGCGAAAGTTCATTCTGCTATTTGCATGGGGTGAGCAGTATCTTCTGTCGTTTTTCCTTGCTTCTTACAAGCTTCGGGATAAAGGCATGACTGGGGATCAACAGTTTGCTACGAAGCTGCTCGTGCTAGACCTGATATTTTCACGGCGGTGATCGGGGCAGTTGTTCCAGTAAGGGCTTCATGCTTTTAATTCGCCCTTCAAACTCATTGTCTTTAGTATATTCCTTCGGCCGGATCGTTCGTTCCCATCAAGCATCTTACCAAAGCCCTGCCTAAACTGACATACCAAGTCTACTTCGACGCCCAAACCGAGTCAGCTGTCGCGGAGCTTGATGCGAATATCAGGCGTGCGACGCGCGCTACATTGAGAACCGCCGCAATCCCGCCACCGGATGCATTTTTACAGAGCTCTGAATCTTTCCTTGCAGCCTGGGATGATCACGAAGAGGTGCGCCCAGCCGTTATCGTAAAACATTTGCACGGCCGAATTAGCCTCGGTATAGCTTTCTCCCGTTGCTTTCTTTTCGCAAGAAGAAGAAGATTATTTCGTTGAGCAGTACGGTCATCAAGGCTTCAAATACAGTACGTCTTCCTTGATATCATTTTTGAACTGAAACTCGATTGACGCCCTTGAAATTGTCAGCGCTACAATTCTACACACAAGAGGTAATCTTCCTTACTTTTTTTTGCCCATTTATCAACGCTTACCAACAATCCAGAATCGATTCCAATCATGGGAGTTAGCTCACTCGCAGGGTAATCACACTATCCCACAACCAGTTCTTGCTATCTATCCCAAACAGGTATGACGTCCGTCCTCGCTTCCGACAATACTTCCTACGACTGAACAAAAAAAATCTGCGTAGGACCCTGTTGCCAACTGGACAGTTGTAGCTCAACTTCTTAAATCGACCCACTTTCTCCCAACTTTGACCACGCAGGTGTGTTGTTTTTCCGTCTCAATTGATCTGGGCCTAACCAAATGCAATTACAGCTAATGGATGGTGCCCATTGGCCCCATCTTGAGAATCCTCGCGAATTCAATGCGTTTGTTCGTAAGTGGCTAGCCAATCTTTCTATAGCTTCCAATGACAAGACGGAAATTCCGCACGGGGATGAACTATGAGTTGGAATACTATACAATTTCGAGTTGTTTTTATTTAATCGAGTCAGATGTATATCAAGAATTCATTATCGGCGGAAGAGTTGACGTCCTCTAAATGCTCACTTCAAGTTCAAAGAAGAACATGGAACACTGAACTCCAGTGGTGCCAGGGAGAAGATGTAGAATCGGGTTCCAAAATGTTCTCGCTTGACTTCCAGCTAACGAGGTATCGATAGACCATATTCCAAAACACTCCGCTTAGTGATTTTATTTACTTTTGGAGCTGACCAAACAACTACGGCCAGCCATTTGGCGGGCATTGCCTTCCCGCCCCTTCTCACTTGTTGCATATATAGTCATAGATTCCCAGTAAGGTTATTTGCACATACTACCCTGAGGCCGCCTCCACAAGTATGTAAACAAAATCACTAAGCGGAGCGTTTTGAAATTTGGTCTATCGATACCTCGTTAGCTGTCATGTATCATTGTATAATACTTACTACACACGGAAACTCTGGAAGATGTTCGAACATGCTGCAAGTTTGCGCAAGTGGGAATTTCCTGGGCACTTCAATTTCGAATTGGTGGAAATAACATCTGCAAAGTTGGGCCGGTATTCCCGAAAGGGGGCACGGCTGTGTCCTTAGCTAGCTAACTCCTCACCGTGCACCTTCCATCAGACCTTGATCAGACCTTACATACTAGTTCGTTTCTCTCGTCATCACGCTCAACGCCCTGAACGCCTGCAGACCCTCTTTCCATGAAATTATGCACGCGCTCGGTACTTCCTGGGTAAGTACTTCCATCTGGACGCTATTTGCCTCATGCCTGCCTCATGGCACGCATGTGCCGGTTTTGTCAAATACTTAGTACGCACAAAGGGAGTTGAAAGAGGGGTATTTTCAACCGGCTATGGGTAAGTGCTCAACTTCTTACAACGCATCAGTAATCCCGAAACTAAAACGATTTTCTGATCTGATCTTAGAAGAGAAGAAGTACTTAGTGCAGCCAGGTGCAGCCCCACAACTGAGCCCACATCTGCCCACATACAACCCACATCTACTTCCTGTGAGCTCGGATCTCTGATCTTGATCTTTTTGAATAAGGGCTGATATCTCGCTTATACTCGGAAATCAGAATCTCATAGATCTGTACCTGATCTGGGCTTTCTTTTATGAAGACAAGCGCTTAAAGATGGCTCGCAAAGACGGCGGACGAAGGACGACGGACGCTTTCTCCTTCGTCCCGACCCTGTCTCCTTTCACTTCGGTACTTACTTGAACTTGCAGGACGATAGAAATGGGCGGCACTTTTGGACGACCACGGCATCCTGCCATGACAAGCCCTACTAGCATCAAAGAGCTTTCTAAAATCATTTCTGACTCTGTGGCCTCACTCGAGAAGGTGTGCAAGAAAAACAAGACACTGTTCCCTAGTCTCGACGAACCATTCTCGCCACCGTCTGAAGCCTTCCGTTCCGACCCTGAGGCTGCAGAAGCTGCGAATAAGATCGCTGCGGCTGCCCTCCAGCTTGCTGCGACTGTTCTTCCACCCCCTGCTGCTCTTTTCACAGTCGTGTCAGGTGTACGTGCATTCGATCTTTTTGTATTTGTCATAGGCTAATATTTCATTAGCATTTCAAATCGGCTGCTCTGAGAGTCTGTCTGGAAGCCAATGTCACGGAGATACTACGCGAAGCTGGTCCCAAGGTTGGTCCGAATGACCAAGTTCCTGTCGTCTTGCTTAACATCACTTTCTTCTAGGGCCTTCATGTTGACAAAATTGCCGAGAAAAGCAAGATTTCTGGCATGAAACTTGGTAGGTCGGAGAATGGATGGTTTTGTTGAGTTTACTGACTATCTACCTTGCAGCACGACTCATGCGATACCTTGCCACCCACCATGTCTATAAGGAAATAGAGCCAGACGTCTTCACCAACACCCGCATCTCGTCGATGTTGGACACAGGAAAATCGGTAGAGGAGTTATTCGCATCGTTCGTTGTCGTTCTCACAAGTAGTTTGCTATTTCTGACGAGTCTCTAGACCTGCTAGCAAACATGACAACACCCATGGATTCCCCGCTCTGGCTGGACACCAGTAAGTTTCCGCGGTGGTGATTTTGTCCTATTTTCTGAACCGTCTTCAGCCTCGATGAAGTGACCAAATCGGCTGCATATCTCTGGGAGACCATGACGGACCCAGCCTCCGCTGATTCTGGCGAGGTGACAAAGACGGCTTTCAACCGAGCCTTCAATGAAGAGCTCCCCATCTGGGCATGGTTTGAAAACCCTGATCAAAACTTACGTCTTCGCCGGTTTGGGTCTGCAATGCAAGGTGTAGCGGCTTTACAGCCTGCTGACGCCATTTTGTCAGGTAGCTTACATTTCTCCAGCTTCTGATAATTCAACTGACTTTTCGCTTTCATAGCGTTCGACTGGAAGGCCTTGCCCAAGGACTCCATTGTCGTTGATGTTGGCGGTGGCGTCGGGACATCCTCACTGGTCCTTGCGGAAACATTCCCTGAACTCAAGATTGTGGTACAGGACAGGCCATCGGTTGTCGAGGAGGGAACCAAGGTCGGTAGCCATGCACACGATGTGTGACGAACAGTAGGATAACATCTTGCCCTCAGCTGTGGAATACCAAGCTACCGAAAGCTCTAGAATCCGGTCAGGTCAAACTACAAGGTAATTCAAGTCTTCCTTCACACGCTGAATCTCATCCTTGTTCTTATCAGGTCACGATTTCTTTACGGCACAACCTATCACGAACGCCTCCGTCTTCCTCCTCAAGCAAATCATGCACGATTGGTCCGACTCCTATGCAAGCAAAATTCTTGTGGAATTGCGGAAAGTAGCCAAACCAGACACCAAGCTCGTCCTTGTCGACAGTCTCATGCCTTTCGCGTGCCGCTATACAGAGTCCGATGCAAAGAATGCTGTTCCCGGTGCCGTTCCACAAGAGGCTCCAGAGCCTCTTCTTGCGAATTATGGTGCTGCGAACGAGATGGGGTACAACGGTGATTTGACTGTGCGTCATCCTGTACCTCTTACCCAAACCAAAAGTAACTTTGGAGTAACAGATGCTTCTCCTATTCAATTCGCTTGAGCGAACTGTCAAACACCTCTCAGCGCTCCTTGAGAGTACTGGATGGCGCCTGACAAGAGTCAGGCGGGACGGAGCGAATAACTTCCTCCAACCTGTGGAGGCCGTCCCCATTTAGGGGGTTTCCTTGACTGTAGATGACACTAACGAACCTATCCAACGAAAACATTCTACGTCTCCATGGCTCTGCAATTGCTTTCCCTTGATGTTGTAGATTAGATCGTTGTTGTATATAGTACTGTTCTATCTACAAATGTAAATTTGTCTTTGAGGTTTCGCTACGATGTCGAAGAAATGGCGGAGATGTCTCTAAGTAGGGTGAAAGTATCTGGTTGTGGGGGAGGTATTCCTACTTCGCAAGCTTTGAGCTCTTCGTCTTACTCGGAGCTGCAGCCGGTTTCTTCCTCTTCGGAGCCTTGATGAGGGAGTCCTTTGAAATGTCGTCGGAGTCGTCTTTATTCTTGCTTTCCTCATCAGAGGCTTCGTCCGCAATATCATCAGCCTGGTGCTACGTTAGTATCGTGGTATGGATCCATTGCTCAAGATATCGAACCTCATAAGCCTCTTCGATATCGGGGGCAGGACCACCTGCAAGTTTCTTGGGCACCTTTCCTAGGTCTTGAGCCTTGTGGAAGGGTATAGGGTGCTCCATGGCATTGTACCTAAATCTCGATCAGTACATGAGAAGGCTGCTTGACGGTATAGACGTACTTTTTCGTGAAATTGCTCTTAGTGGCAGTGGTAATCTTCTTCAACACATCGACGTCCTTATGAGTGTCCACACCCAGCTCTACGATGGTGTCCCAGCTTTCTTTGTTGAGATAGTATTCGTCCATGCGCTCAATGACTTCGTCCACCGCGCTCTATATCAACATCGCTTCATTAATGCAGATCAAGGGAAGGAAGCAGACAAGGCATACGGCTCCTACGTCCATCAGAGGCTTCACGATATGGGGGAACAATGCTGGGATGTATGATTGTCGGATTTCGTGTTTATCACCTGAAACCTTGAGTCGCATCTGGATCTGAACGTCGCCCAACTGCCGGTTAAGTTTTGTCTGTTTTGAATTCTGTCCCAGCCACCTGGATCGCGTCAATTTCGATGGCACATACTTCACACTTTAACACGTAACTCACTGGGGGAACGACATCGAATTAGGCCCTCCGTAGTGAGCTCCCGTGCCGTACAGGAACGATGAAGGCCTGACAGCTGAGCAGACTGCATGGAGGGGCATCAAGCCCCAATGTTGCTCTGGTCTGAGATGGCTGGGTTAAGAATATTAGAGTTGACTCATCACGGAATGGCTCACCCATGAATCAAAGCATCAACTAAGTCTCCATCTGATATCGAAGATGCCGCCTTATCCATCAACTCTAGCTCTTTCAATATCTTCTCTGGTCCTTCCAGATTTCTCAATTTGGCGGGTTGAGTTTTGAGGTAGTTTTCCTGTACAAAAGAAGCAGCTTGTTAACTGTGATATGAAGAAAAGATACAGATACGTGCCTGGATGAATAGTGGCACAAAGGAGTGATCTTGGAAGTAATATTCCATCTTCTCGCCCAACGTCTCCCTTGCCGTGTGAGAGAACAGGTAAGGGCCCAGCATTTTTGATGTGATGTCGAAGGGCGACATGGTTGAATATTTCTCGTTCATCTTGGCGCTGGCATGGGTGATCAATGCTGAATACGTTTTGAGCGATTATTCGGGAACGTACAGGTTCTTGCCCTCGTCAAAGCTCATTGCGTCATTTGAAAGCTTCCAGGTGGACAGCATGTTGAGGACCTGCCGGATGTCCGATTGAGTACCAGTAATGAGTTGATCGATAACGTTGGCTGGGATCTTCATCTTCTCCCTGGGCAGAGTTAACGATTAGTTGCGTTGAAACCATACTTCGAACCCTTACTTGAAGGCAATGGTCAAGATCCTCGAACGGATAGAGTTCACCTGAGGTCTACGCCCATCATCAGTACGGAAACTTAAAATGAAACCGAAACTGTGCTACTTCTGGAAGGTCAAATTGAAGGTCGTGGCTACCAGCGGCTTCAACTTTTGCGCTTGTCGGTCATTCGCTATGCAAATGATTGGGATCTACGTTGTGGAACGGTCAGCATTGGCAAGGATCTACACTATGGACTTCACCAACCTTGGTCTTCTTGATCAACGCGTTCAAAGCACCAACACCACCGCGATCACCTGCTGACATGCCGTCGACTTCGTCCATGATAAGACACGTCTTGTCTGTAATTTGAACTCCGAGAGAGTTTGTGTCCTAGAAAGCAGATATAGATCGTAAATTCATGGAGACGAGGTTGAAACCTTACGTGAGCGCCATTTATATAACCATCAAGCGACTTGTTGTTGATGTTCATGCCATTCTGAGGGGCAATCGGTTAGGACAGCTGGTGCTGAATGGAACAAGAATAGATTACCTCGACGAGCTTCTTACTCCGAGCATCGCTGGCGTTGAGCTCGATAGGCGTAAACCCTTCGAGTTTCGCACAGAGATGGGCACTGGTCGTCTTCCCAATTCCGGGAGATCCAGTGATGAGAACAGAACGGAACACGTTCATACCATTCTTTCCAGGCTTTTTGAAACCAGACTTCAAGCTGTTTGGCCTATTAAATGCAAATTAGCATCTCGTGTATACCATGCAAGCGAGACGAACCAGTCATGCAGCCATAATTGCAGCTTTTCGACCTGGGACTTATTTCCGCAGACCTCCTTCAAAGACTGCGGCGCATATCGCGTGGTCCACAACTGCGTCGAAGGATCGATAGTTTTGCCTGATTGAGCAGCGATGTGGTCCTTCTGCTCTCGTTTCTCCATCTCCTTGGCCGCCTTCTTAATCTCAGCCTGCTCCTTCTCCATCTTCTTCTTCGTCTTGTCATCGAGCTTCCCACTGCCCTTGCGAGTGGCAATCAGCCCAAGGAACTCGTCTTCACTGAGAGTGTTGATTTTGTGCTTCTTGATGGCAGCAATCTTGCTCGGTCCCGCATTGTCCCCCAGGACGACGTAATCCGTCTTACTCGACGGTTGTAGCACCACCCGTCTGTGAAGCGATGTAAGAAGATGGTTGGAAGAAGATTGAATCACGCACCCCCCAAATCGTTTGGCAAGGTCGATGGCTTCATCGCGAGAGAAGCTGCTCAACTCTCCCGTGAAAACAAAGGAGAGTCCAGCAAGACAGTCAGGTGCGCCATCTGGAACCTCTTTGGAGCCACGTGCTGCTGGCCCAGCAAGCTTCGCCGCTTTCGCCGCAGCCCAACTACGAAAATGAGATTGATTACTGCAAGAAAGCAAGGGACTCACTCGAATTTTTGCGGCTTAGCAGCAACTTCTTTCTGTTTGCCTTTTCCATTCTCCACCGCCTTTGGTTTCTCTGCGGTTTTCTTGGGTGCTGCAACCTTCTTCACCGGCTTGCGTGGTTTCTCCTCCTCTTCCTCTGGAACTTCAGACCCAGAATCTGGACTATCGCCAGGTGACTGCATATCGAAATCGTCGTCGTCCGTCTCCCGTTTCTTCGGTTTGAGCTTTGATTTGCTTGTCGACGCCTTCGGGGTGGGCTTGTTTTTCGCCGAGCCAACCTTGGATTTCATCGACACAGCTGACTTTTTCTTAGGGGGCGAGAATTCCTCCTCATCACTGGACACCAGTGCTGTTGGCTTCTTGCGCTTACGTGCGGCTGAAACGGGCACGTCGTCGTCGCTGTCGTCAACTTTCAAAGACTTGGTGGAAACTTTCCGAGATGGTTTTTGACTAAGAGAGGATCAGCTTGAGCCACGTCAAGAAAAGGTTACTGACGGTGACGGCTTTTTCTTAACCTTGACCCCATCATCTGTACCAGGTCATTCAAGGGGTAATAGTATGAACTGCGTTGCGCACCGCTTTCATCGCTCGATAAAAGAGCAGAGGCCTTCTTTGGCTTTGAGGATCGCTTCTTGACCACAGGTTCATCATCACTGTCAACCAAGCGCGCCTTGCTGGGCTGTTCCACGCTTCAGCGAGCATCAGAAACACATAGATTCTGCACGTCACAGATCGCTTACAGTGGATGCTTCTTTGTTTTACTGTGGTTGACCGTCAGACATATTTCGAATCATTTCTGGGAACTGACCTATCATCGTCACCTGTTTTCTACAGTTTTCACAACCTGAGCAGACAATTCTCATGTAGATTACTCACTTATTTCGATCGTATCCCCTTTTCGTGAACCTAACGTTGATATCTGCCGAATACGGTCAGTGAGAACCCTTGCGAGAAGAGAATCTAACATATACGAACAGGAGTCGAAGCTGGTGTCTTCTGCCCTGAGGGACCTTTGAAAAACATTCGGATGTCCTTTGCACCAGGCTTCACAACTTTTGCAAGGTTTGTAGGCGCCATGATGATGAGGCGGCGGAGTGCTCGTCCTCGTTCGATGTGAGGCGCGACTGTGACACAATCGTTGCATTTGTGACGAAATTGTGACGAACCGCGTTCTCTTGGCCAAATTAAAACCAAAAGGTTGGACAGCATTGACTCGGATTCAACTCGGATTGCAACAGCTCAGCCTACAATCTTTGCTTCAAGCTCAGTACTTTTGAAGAGGAGGCACATGAGAGTTCTCTATGTGAGCGACATTTTATTTTTTTTAAATTAGCCCCATTTTTAAAGACATAAAAGGGTTGCTTTTCAGTGCTTTTCTGATCAGTACTAAGAGCTGGACCGTACTTTGACCGTACTCTCGCTCATTTACACATCTTTCTGGAGTACCTATCGCTGTGACTTTGATTCTGGCTCAAACTTCTGATGCTTCCCCACGCCTATCTCTCGTTTCTCGAGCCAGCCAGTGCCAGCCTCTAAATAGTATTCATGGAATCGTTCCCGGCCCTCATTTTTCCCAGCACTTTTCTGCACAATTAACACCGTGCTCGACGATTTGATCCCTCTGGAATATCATACACGATGGTGTAGGACTCACGGAGAAATCACTTCATTACTTGCCGTTTATCAAGCTGCAGATTAACCGAGCTCAAGTCCCAAGAGCCGGGGTTCTCTCTGTGTCGCGTGAAGTTCATGATTCTCGCTTGATCCCATTAAGTCGTCTATGGACCACACTCTCCCAGGCATTGCCTTGAACTGATTTAGAGCTCAAGGTTTTGCTCCGTGTATCGGACAGCCCCCTCCCAAATGCTCTCACCACCTTTCGTCCCTTCGAGCCACTCCTTCTCGGTATCCAGGGATGTAGTGGCGTAGGCGTAGAGTCTATTGTTCATCTTCCTCCACTTCTTTATCCCGCTCTTCGCCTGTGCTTGTTGAGCCTCTGACAGGATGTCAGTGAATATCACAATCACCACCATCTTAATTTGTGAATTGGCACTTTCAAGCAGGTAGTGGCCATGATGAATACTATTATCATGGTATGGCAAAGCCAAATGGGTGAGGCAGGTTAGCAAAGGGAGGTGGAGTTGGTGATAGTATGCTATCAACGGCGTAAGCCGCAAATGTGTGATCCTCGAGAATATAGGGAACTTGGAGGAATCCGGATTCGATGCATTGAAACGACTTTCAAGCATCTTAATCTGAGACAGCCTTGCGCTTGAAATGTGTGTTGTGGTAAAGATGAGGAGGGAAAGGTCTTGTTCCTGCCAAAGGGCGGCATCGGAAAGAACACGCCAAGGATGGCTGCCGCATGCCGCCTCAATCAAGTGCTCAAAGGATCGCCAATCAGTGGCAAGATTCTTGAGGTTCTTGCAGCTGTCGAAAAGAAAAACCAAGGAATCCGCGACGTGAGGCATCCAAATGTTCTGGATGAGATCGCTGGGGGTAAGATGAGAGGGTTGGTGAAGGATGTTGCCTGCAACTATCTGGACAGCCCGAAAGTTACTTTCGGGGCATTTTATCATTAACGAAACAAGCAGGTGGCGCAGCGCTATGGTTCTACCCCTGGTGGATACGGACCAGAGGGTGTAGCAGAAACGCCTGCACTCGGCGGCTGCGAGGTGAAAGATGATTTCAAGCAGCTCCAGGGGTAGTTCAGTCGTCGATTCATTATGGAAGTGTAAGTTTTCGGCGAGCCAGTCGACGTCCATCTTTGATCACGCTAGATGCGCACTGCGCCGAGGACGACTTCTGGTGTGTGTTTATTTGCTACTATTTTTCTTCGGCAACTTCAACCATGATGCATGATGTTGGAGAAGTTATCGATTTTCTCGGGCAAGTATTCGAGGTGAGACCTGCTACCTCTCCCCTCGCATGGGTAGCTCACCTGGTGGTGTTGATAGGGTATACATTTCATGCATCAACACAGAGTAGCCCATCGGTATGTGCAGCACGAGTTCCTACGGTAAGTAGTAGCTCTTACTCACCTTTTCCCGATAGTGATTGTCACGCACCCAATATTATGATGAATGCTGATGCAATGTACCCTGGTGGGTTCCATCCTGTCGCTCAAAACAAAGGCCCGAACTGGAAGGGGCGAGCAAAGCATTTCTCTGCACGGAACGACCAGATATTACATCACTGACTTCGGTATCTCCATTCGCTTTCCTCTCGATGACTCCTCTCCCAAAGCTCGAGCTATCTGGGGGGGTGACGGCGATCGGCCGCCAGAAATTCAGCAACAAGGGGCCGATTATGACCCATTCCCCGCGGACGTCTTTTACTCGGGCAATATTATCAAACATCACTTCACAGAGGTGAGACTTTCAATTCCACTTTGCTGATAAATTGTAACGGATGTCTATTTTATATATATAGGGTCGCGCGGCTAAAAAAAAGAAACTAGGGTTCACGTTTTTAGAGAGCCTTCAAGCTGCTGATATGACAAACCCCAATCCCTCAAAACGGCCGACAATGGAAGAAGTAGTCGCTCAATATTCGGAGATTCGGAAGGGACTTTCATCTTGGAAACTTCGCCAGAGGGTGGTTCGGTGCGATGAGTTTTTCCTGGCTAGATGGTACAGAAATACGCGCCACTTGAGTAAAACTTTAGGCTATATTATCCGAAGTATTCCTCCCATCCCAGCGCGATCCCCGCAATGAGACACGTCCGCTTCTCATCTTACTCACGTCATATTTTCTTTGGTCGGGGAACAGGGAGGACTTTGAAGCCGTTCCGGCCCACAGTGTATGAGAAAAGGTGAGTATCTATGTAACAAGTAACGCTTGACAGAACGCTCTAACTTTCATAATTATTAGAGAAGTTAGTACTTAGCATTCTAATTGGTATGCAATTGGTGTGTCACAGTGTCCACGCGAAGTATAAACTTCTTTCTGGCGATGATTGCGTTTTCTGAACAAGACATACGGGTCAAAAAATATCATGTATCATTTAGAAGGGGGAAGCCAAAACGAAACGATATTCGCTCACTACTCTAAAACTGCTCTCGAGTCTAACGAACACTGTTAGTGAGTACCCAAAAATAGCCCCAGGCTCATTCCAATTGGTCAACCAGCAGCTCGGTATACTGTATGGCTCTTTCCCAGATATCGAGACCGCCCTGTGTTTCCTCGAGCCATTCCATCTGGACCTCCTGAGACGACATTGGGTATCCGTAAAGCCTCTCCTCTGGATCTGACATACACCTTTTCATCTTGATATAATTTTCCACATCCCGTCGTTCCCGTTCATGAAGCCTATCAACCATAAGGATCATAACCAGCATCTTTAGATGTTGGGTGGCATCTAAGAGTCGGGAGAGTTCAAATGCGTCAAACTGCAAGGCAATATACGGCAGAGCGAGATGGGTCAGGAGGGTGAACTTTGAAAGAGGGATTGCTGCGTAATTCTTTGTGAAGGTCCATCGCAATCGTGTTATCCTAGGAAAAATAAAGGAGCTCGGGTGTGTCATGGTCTGAAATAAATGCAGTGTGTGGGAAGTGACACCTTCTTCAATAATGAAGAGGAGATGGAGGTCCTGTTTCCGCGACATAGCCTCATTTGAGAGTGGTATTAAAGCGGTTCGACTGGAGGCACGAGTCAAGTGCATGAATTCAAGGCAACGAATTGCAAGATTTTTAAGGTTGGGACAGTTTTCGAAAATGAAAACAAAGGATTCCGCAACATGGTTCATCCAAATATTTCGAACAATTGCGCCTGGGATCAGTTGGGAAGGTTGGTGGAGAATGTTTCCAGCAGAAATCTGTAAGGCTCGGAAGTGACTCCTTGAATTTTTTATCGTTAACGTAACAAATAAGTGGCGTTGTGCCAGGGCTCTCGTCCAAGTGGATAATCTGCATATACTCCGGCAAAAGTCTTCTGAAACAGCTGCCGCGAAATGAAAGATGGTCTCGATAAGCTCGTGGGGGAGCTGGATGGGATCAAACAGCTGGAGGGGGTCAAAGCATTCTATTTTCGGTTGGACAAGGCTGAGGTTTCGAGGAGGGTTTGTGAGTGCAAGCATGCTGATACGCTTAGTTGGGACGTACAAGTGCTGATGGACCAGCCTGTCAGTATACTCAATGGCCTTTTCCCAAATGCTGAGGCTGCCCTTCATTTCCTCAAACCATTCCGTTTGGACGTTCATGGAGAGGGTAGAGTACCCATAAAGCAAGGATCCCTTCTGTGCATGTCTTTTATCCAGTATAAAATTTTCCACCTTCTGTTGTTCCCCTTCATCGAGACTATCAATCACAATGATTACAACCAACATCTCGAGATTTTTGGCACTCTTCAAGAGCCGGTCAATCCCATCGAATGTATGGCATCGCATGTCACAGCACGGTAGAGCGAGATGGGTAAGGAGATTGAAGCTTGAAAAGTGGAACGAACTGCAGTCCCATGTTTGAGAAAATCGTAGTCGCTTTATTTTGGGAAAAATTAAAGAATTCTCGGCTCTTGAAAATAGATCTGCAGTCCAACGGTAATTTTCATCAGTAATAAAGAAAAGATGTAGTTCCTGTATCCGCGATATTGCTTCCGCCGACAGGCGTTTTGCTACAGTATGATTCGAAGCACCGGCCCGACTCAGGCTCTCGAACATAGAACACCGAATTGCGAGGTTTCTGAGGTTGGGACAGCTCTCGACAATGTAAACAAATGATTCCGCAAAATGGTCCATCCAAATATTCTGAACGAGCGCACCAGGGGCTAGTTGGGAAGGTTGATGGAGAATTCTGCCTGCGGTGATCTGCAAGGCTCGAAAGTGACTCTTCGCATCAGTTATCGTCAGGGTAACAAATAGATAACATTGCGCTAGGAATCTGCTCCAGGTAGACACTTTGCAGATGCTGTGGCAGAAATCTTTCGAATTTGCCGCGGCGAAATGGAAGATCGTCTCGATAAGGTCGCGAGGGAGTTGAATGGGAGGAGGTTGAATAGAAAGAGATTGAATGGAAGAAGATTGAACGGAAGGAGATCCTTCTGTTCTGGGTCGATTTCTGACAGATATGGGGTTTTGAAGGGAGTCTGTGAGCGAAGGCATGTTTGTGAGATGAGTTGCGATGATCGATTGGCGCTTGTTCAACAACTTGTTGTCCCAGTGTTGTGTTTGCAGAAACGATCACGGGATGAATTCATTTTTTGTACACCAACCAATTCTGTCATCTTGAATATCCCAAGAATATCAATTATGCCCTTCTTGACTCCCCAAAAACCACCTGGTATTGGTCCCCAAAACCTCAAGAATGTCGACGAGCCAGCCAAAGACAGACAACCACCATCGATTGATGAGGTCACAGTCGAGAGCAGGGTACCCGTTGTACGACTCGACGTCGACGCTATATCGGACGCAGTAGCTGCAAGGCTTGCAACCAGTCTGCTAGGTCACGTTTTGTATCTAAAGAACCAGGTTCCATTGTGAGTTCGGCTAGTTTGCAGGACGACATAAGGAGCTGATGCTACTCACCTGAAGTCCTGTTGCGCAACTAGGACGGTTACCAGGAGGAAATGTACGTGATTATACCCATTCACTTGTTAACTCTTGCTTACAAAATGAACTTGCCAGGCAAACACGCGTGCTGCGAAACAACGCGCCGAACTACTTGCCTCGTTCGATACCCTTTCGTCGCACCTAGATACGACGTTCACAGCCCTTTCCACGGCGTTCGCTCGCTGTCAGAGCTCCTCTTTATCGTCAGACTCTGTTGCAAAAGGCTTGCCTAAGTCTGGAGTTGCTCGGGCTTACCTGGCGATCCTTGTTGGACCAAGTCTGAGTACTCCCAAGTCGAAGGTGATACTTACTGTTGATGGGCTTGATGCCCGTATCTGGGGCCAGAGGGAAGATAATGGCAAACCAGAGGAAGAAGACGGTGAAGTCGATGAGGAGGCCAACGACGATGGCGACGAAGATGAAGACGATGACGATGACCACGCTGACTCCGACGATCAAGAAGAACCAGAAGACAGCGATGACGATGACGAAGATGTTGGTGAACCCGACGGCGATACCAACAGCGACGAAGAGGAAGACACACCTCCTTCTCCTCCACCATATATTTCTCATGCAGAAGAACAAAGATTCCTGAACAGTGCCGACCGTCTGCTCTCTCGGACATTGGCAGGCGCCGACGCTGAAAGTTACGGCTTATCAGCAGAACTATGTACGGTCGTCCTCTCATCCTCCTCACAGTCTCCTCTAACGCACGCTCCTTAGCACCAACGCAGACTCACATCCTCATTCGCGCGCCACGGCGGTTCGCCCACCCTGCATGGATACCCCGCCAGAACGCCTCCAACTCGCTAGAGGCGGTCCTACATGAATTCCTCGACGAATCTCTCCAGCGAAAGGACACTGACGCTATCTCCAACCAGAAATCTAGATCAATGAAACAAAAGAAAGGCAAACCAGAAGGTGTTTGGTTGACATGCCGTGACGGGATAAACCCGGACTTGACCCTCCTTCAAGATGCTCTAGAGCAGGGCTCAAACATCGCTGAAGACGATGAAATGATCTGGTGGAGTTGGGACGGAAAACTTGTCGGGTTTTCCGATTGGTGATTTGGAGAATGTGGCCTCCTCTGGCCTTTGATTTCGATTTCGACAGCACCCACATTCCTTGAAAGTACACGGTCAACGGGATCACTTGACTTACTGGAATAACACTTCGGAATCATCGCTTTTACTGCTGTCATGTCTTTTCGTTATCAGAGTCTGTGGATCCTTTTCATATTGTCAAAACGTCGTTGGATCTCCAAGTCCTGGCCCTCTTGGGGTGAGACTCGCATTCGTCCAGAATTCCAGCTGAGCGGAGTCATGAACGGCGGCTCTGAACTCTTCCGCGATATTCGTGGGCCCGCCGATCTTGCATGCATGGACGCGGCCTTACACTTATTTTTGAGGGCAATTGAAGTGGGGCGCTTATGTACCTGATAACCTCCAGGACGACCTCAGGTAGAAGGATTGAGAACTAGAATTATTTCTTGATGCCTCGCGAGCTCGAGCTCGAACGGAGGAAAACAAAAAGGCTCACAAAGAAGTTTCAAATAACATAGGGAGAAAGACTTGAGTGGATGTCGATGTTTCGGGTGTTTGCCTATATTTCTCCCGGAGGTTCAATTGCTTCCGTCCCTTCCGCCCGCTACATGTGCTCGGACGTAAATATACCAGCAAGTCAACCTCCTTTTAGTCCCTATAAATAGGGCGGTAGTATGTGGTTTTTTTGCGACGACTGTCTTCGTCTCACCGACCATCATCAACTACCCAGAAGATGCCGCATCTCTCTTTCTACACGCTCATCGCCCTCTTCGCATTCGCAGGAGTACGCGCAGTCCCCAAACCTTCCGGAGTCCCTTCCTGCACTTTCACCTGCCCGCCACAAGATGGAGCCGCCTTTCCACTGGGCGAAAACGAAAATGATGGAACTACCTTGTTTTGCAGTTATCCCACCTTTGCGGGTCAGAACCCCCGTGATTTCTTCTGCGAATACTCCTCCGTCAGTCTTACTCTGGTATCTGCGCCGCTCACTTCCGCTGACCAAGTCCGAATTTACTTGAATAGACCACCGGCGCGCTCACAGAGGACGACGACGCAGGTTTTTGTCCCAATTCGGCGGTCGCCTCTTGCTAGCTCTTGCTCCACCCGTCATCTTAACGCGCTCCCGCAACCTCCGGCCCCTCCAAAGGAAGTACCTGTCAGGGATTCTTCACTGTATCGCCTCTCAAGCTACCCTTCAATCGTTGGACATTTTTTTTAATTTTTAATTAGCCGTATCTACCTCTTTGATTACTTGGCCCTCGCCGTCCTACTATATACATCAACTGCATTCTTACTCAAGAAAAATCTTCGGCAAGAAATTGTCGGCCGTATTTGCCAGTGGATACCTTTCATAAACAATAAAATTACACGGTGACACAGTACATGAAACGACTTTGAATAAAATACCACTCATTCTACCTGTTGACTACTCAGGAAGTTCCCCAACAACTTTGTCTGAATGCTGGTCATATTCGACTTTCACGCCTCCCTCGACAACCTCATACCGATCATCGTCATCCGTCAGGTCGGCGAAGAACTTGGGGAATAGAAAGGTCTTCTTCACCCCATCCTCGCAATCCACCTGCTCAAGCGTGACCGCTGCCGCATCCCGCCAGCCCCCAAGAATACAAACCCCGAAAGTGACCCTAATCCGTGCTTCACCCTTAGGCAAAGCCTTCAATCCTTCTAAAAAGGCGACCCCTCGCACCACATTATCCTTGGCGAGGGGATGGTTACCAAGGAGAAGATGCACAGTCACCGAGCGTTGGTTATCGTTCGATGTTGTGAGGACGATACTTTCATTGGTTGGAATCCTATATCGAGGGGGTACGAGAGTGACTGCACCCCCAGACGCTGAAGTGACGCTAACAGGAAGGGGGACAATGTATTGTCCTAACCTCCTCGGTTGTGGTGGTAGATTTAACCTTGTGTAAAGGCGGGTAGCGGTGGAAGCAGAGATAACATCGGGCGTGTTGATAGTAATTGGGGTACCGGGATAGTGTGTTTCGAGGAAGGTGCGTACAGTAAGAAGTTGTTGAGGCAGTGGATTGTTCAGCACAACCCGTTCGAATGGGTATTTGGGATCAACAATTTTCAGCGCAGCTTCATCTGAGATGCCCTGAGCGAAAGAGGAGGTAAGTGCGTAGATGGTTTTCGTCTGGCGTTCGCCCTTGTCGAAAGAACTTGACAAACATTCGGAGGAGAGGCGGTCGGGGTAGAAATCGAGAAATAAGATGGTGGGCGTTGTTGTGTGGTGGGGGAGTGTGGCGCAGTATGCCTCGCCATGAGTAATAAAAACTGAGGGGTCATCTTCCGCTAACGTGGTCTCGGGCTCAGGCGCGTCGGTGTCGTAGTAATAGTGCGATGTTCCTTCAGTAATTGCATTGAGGACGTCGTAATACTCGTCCGCCGGGAAAGCAGAGGGCACGGAGACTAGGTACGCCTTCACTTTGGATTCCTGCCATTGGCGGAGCAGGGATTTCACGGTATCGAGAAGGGATGATAACGAGGTGACAGATTCAATCGCCGTACCAATTGTTGATCCGTCAGAGGATGAGAAAAGGGAGACGGATACAACGTATCCGTCGAAGGATTTGAAGAGACTGATTCCAGCGGAGGCCATGATTAATTCGAGGGTGGAGGGTCGTTGTTGGGAGATGGAGTGCAGGAATTCGTAAGGCTTGTCTTTCTAAATTTTGATGTGCAAACCGGTGTTAATATAGATCCTAAGCGTCAATCATCAAGCAGTCTGTTCAAAAAAATCAGAGCGCAAGTCCCGTGGAGTCAGGACTCAGGAGGACCCGCTAGGATAAATTTGCCCAGTTTGGTAGGTCTCCAACAGCACAGCCGATTGTATTGTCAGACCTTGATGTTAATCAAGGAAAATATACGTGGTAGGCTAAGCCTGCGAACGCAAGGAAACTTGAAGCATGAAGATATATCGAGAAAGGGGATGTCGTCGACGTCGGGGAATGGTTTGAGCTGCCAACGCTCTTCAAGGCACGTGCATCTGTTCGACATTGACACTGACAATGACAGGCACCACCTAGCACCTGGGCAGTGGGCACCTTCTGAACACGGTAAATCTTGGCCGTAATCGGAAAAGTCGCGCATACTCTCTTGGCCTATGGAGCCCTTCTGGAGAAGTACAAATGTCTTTGGGTGCGACCACTTGATTTTCTTTCACCCAAGTCACAGATTTTCATATCAATATAGCTCCGCTCAGCATTCTACTTCAAACGTGAGAGTCGCGAACGCCGGCAACCTGGTCACCATATAACCGAATGATTCAAGGCTAGATCTCCTGTCGATCATATGCACGACTTGTGTAGCCACCCTTGAGCCACCCCTGGCAAGCTGTCCAACTTACGACACCAGGAGAAACCACGCGACCTCGCGCGACGTCCGTTCCGGATCCGTTTTCCATTCAAATGACGAAAATAGCTTCATTCTGGCATCATCCAACTTGCATCCAACTCCGCACAGACGTAAATCAATCCAGCATGCAACGCGCCTGAGTCCTCGTTTTGGTGGCGACGCACCGGATAGTACACGCTTGGGATTCGGAATTGAACCTGGCTCTGATTTCTTTCAAGAGATTTTGAGCAGGTGGTATGAGCCGTAAGTTTATGGTGTCAACATAGTGAAATTTTCAATGACCCATTCAAGCTGTGTCGGATTTCAGACTTCATCCTTCTCTCGGAACCAAAATCGTCCACGCGGTACAGCGTTTCAAAGTCTGTCCAACAACTGTCCAAAGTCCGTCACCATGCGACGAAATTTCCCCATTGAATTGAGGAAATGGTTTCGTCTGGACGTCGTTTACTGGATAAGAAAACTATATATAAAGGTCGGACCTCAGAACTCAATCCTCATCCCATCGCAGGTCGATTCGATCCACTGTCTTCAATTGGTGAGTTTCCTGCTGTAGTTCGAGTGCAGGTGGCCTGACGCATTTTCTTCCAGGTGCAGGTCACCAACCCTCAACGAATTTCCTCTGCCCTTTATTTCATTCTTCAGTATGCGTTCTCAATATACTCCGGTGGGACTCCTTCTTCTGGCATCTATTACTGGTGGGTTCGGTCACTCTAGCCTGTCATACTGTCACTTACTCAGCTCGATTTTTTAAAAGGCGTCCTTTCAGTGCCCCTCAGTTTAACTCACGATGCTCCTGCTAACGCCGCTGAAACAACCAACCAAGGCAATCTCGACGCGGCCACAGTCGAAGGTTCGTCTTCATTTTCTTTCACAAACTGTCTTATAACTTTGATTCTCAAGCTAATCGGCAAATCGGTATAATGGAGAAAGTCATCGCAGACCCTGATAACGAGAAGCATAAACCTCTCATCGATGCCGCGTTCGGAGCGAGCGCTGACCGGGACATCATTAAAGCAAATGTCGAGAAGCTCAAGACCGGCAACGTTCCTGTTAAGCTTGCCGCCGCGCCAAGAGTTGTCGCCTACACGCAATACTCTGAAACGGATCCCATGGTCGCTCAACATGTTGTGTTCGGTGAAAAGTACCATGAATGTGTGTGATAAACGCCTACCCACTTTGCCCCTTTGACGTTCTGACACGATTATGGTCCATAGCTTCGCCCGCCGCTCAAGCCGGTACCCTAATCCACGAAGCCACACATGTACTCTCGGACACTGGCGATTATATGAGGGGTAGGCCTGGCACTATGATCCCAGGTAGCGACTCACGTGTGTCGGCCAAAACGGGATGTAAGCCGCTTCTTAATATTCCAAGTTGAACCACGCTGACCATCAAATTTAGACACAAAGTCGTCTGAGCCGTACACGACCATTGAAGCTCTCAATAAGGACAAAAATTTCCCCGGCATACGAGATAAGACCGGGGGTATGCACAATAACGCGGAGTCCTACGCGTACGTTCTCTGGCTTTTTTTACATACGAGTCACCCATTCACGCAATTCATTTCATCAGGCAATTTGCAAGCTTATGCGCGAATGCTGGTCTCCGCCGCCGCGAGTTCCACATGTACAGACGAGCGTTGGCGGATGGTGATCACGACATGGTACGTGATTAAATACCACTTTCTCATTTCCTAGTCTGATTGGTACGGTTTGCAGGCAGCCCATTACCTCGTGAGGCGCCAGTCGTGCGCGCTTCCCAAGGACTACTTCAAGAATAAGGCGGCTACCAAAAAGGCTGCAGAAGCAAAAACTCCTGCCGCTGGTGACAAGAAAGCTGCTACCAAGCTAGCCACAACCTCTAAAGCCTTGGGCCGTTTAACTGCGGGTGCCAAGAAGTCCGCTTTGACGCCTGGATCCAAGAAATCGGCGTTGACACCTGGGTCCAAGAAATCCGCACTCGCGGCTGGCGCGAAAAACTCCAAACTCACCTCGGCAACTAAAGGACGTTTAACTGCTGGAAAGAAGTCCGCGCTGACACCTGATGCAAAGAAATCCGCTCTCACGGGGAAAAAACCATCATCTAAACTCTCCAGGACCTCTAAAGCCACCAAAGCGTCCAAACTCACCAAATCAGGGCTTGGTACCAAAGGCAAACTTGCAGGGAAAGGTGTTGCCGGTGCTCGTAAACCCACCTCCAAGTCACCTACCGGCAAGCGCATTGCCACTGCCAAGTTCGGAGCCGCTGGCGCGAAAAAACTCGGCGCTGGCAAGAAAACCGCCACAGCCAAGTCCCTAACGAAGGGAGCAGCTCGCGCTGGTGCCAAAAAGGTCGCTGGTGCGCGTACACCGGGTTCCAAGTCTCTCACCAAGGGAGCTAACCGCGCGGGTTCCAAAAAGGTGGCTGGCTCTCGTACCACAAAGGGGGCGGGTACCAAGAAGGCAGCTGGAGCGAAGTCTTTGACAAAGGGAGCAAATCGTGCAGGGTCCAAGAAGGTCACTGGTGCCCGTACCACCAAGGGAGCGGCCTCGAAGAAGGCAGCTGGCGCGAAGGCTCTTATCAAGGGAGCAAACCGTGCAGCATCTAAGAAGGTCGCTGGTGCCCGCACCCCCAAATCTGCTGGCAAGGGAGCGGGCTCCAAGAAAGCTGTGGGTGCGAAGTCAGCTACCAAGGGAGCGAACCGTGCAGGCGTCAAGAAGACTGCATCAAAGGTTGGGGGAACTCAGAAGGCAGCCGCTAAAAGGCCTTCCGCCAAGACCACTGGTGCTCGCAAACCGACATCCAAGGTTGCTGCCTCCAAGTCCCTCGTTAAAGGAGCGGCCGGAGCCAAGAAAGTCACGTCTGCGGGAAAGCCGACATCAAAGGTTTCTTCACCCACTCGAGGTGCCACTCGTGCTAAGAAGGTCGTCGGGGCAGCGGCTAAGTCTGCTCCAAAGAAGAGCACTGTTTCCGCTGGCAAGGCAGCTGTGAAGAGTATCCGAGTCGCGACGCCGCAGAATTTGAAGAAGGCTGCGACGCTCACGGCTACTGTGGCCTCAAAGGGCAAGAAGAAGTAATTTAGAGGAGTTCTTTGACATCGTCTTTTTACGAATAGAGCAGTTGTCGTAAAGGTTGTAATTGGAATACATTGAGGCTGGTTCATATTACATATCTTAACGCAAGTCATCTGCCACGCGAAGAGCTCAATGCCCTCTGTTGACCCTGAGCGAATATCCAAGCCTTGCTGACTTGTTTTCGTGGACATGCTTTATCAAAGATTAGAGAAACACGAACTTCGGAATTCTCTAAACTTTGAAGACAAACGACGACGGCCTTCAGGCTCAGCCACTGGCCTATTCTGCCAATACTCACTATTCATAACTTCTTCACCCTGTTCTCCGATTTCAAGCTGAGACATTCCTGTTCTGAAATATTGCCCCCTCCTCCGAGTCTTAACGCAAAGCGCCATTTGTTATCTATGAGCAGCTTCAGGAGGGCGAACTTGTACCATTCCAGATGATCCTCCAAGGAAAAAATTGTCAAAGAACGTCACCATCGGAAGGATGATGACTCCTAGTCCTGTGTGTAGATAGACTATCCAAGCTGCGGCAGAGTTCAGGGGTAACGGATGAATATTGATGTCAAGACTGACAGGCAACTGAAGAGCGTTGAGATCATGGTTGCCACTGAAAGTTACAAGAAAATGCACTATGGTCTGGCACGACGATATTAGTTATTTGAGCGGCGTCTGAAGCAGAAAGACATGGGGCGCATAAGGAATTTCTCGACATCTTGATAAGCGTTCGAGTTTCCTAAAGAGTGAGAGAAGAAACACACAGCATACGGAGATCGAGGCTCGAAGTATACAATTGTCTGTTGTCGGCGGCTTCGATGATAACAGTCATGTTCCATAAATTTGTATGCGGGGTACCCTCACGGAGGAGGGGACTCGTTCCAGAGACTCAGAGGATACAATCTTTCACGGAGTTAGCCCCAGAAAAAGAATTTTTTAACAGAGTTACTCACCGTAATTTGGTAATTACTCTGAAAGATCAGCACCACAAATGGCCGGAGCTCCGTCACAGACTTCCAGAGTCCTGCCGAGCTTTTGGGTGCCAGGGTCCTATTTGAAGAATTCTGCTCAGGACGCTGGGTGGCTTTCATTGGGCACTCACCTCCATGGGTCCACGTGTGTCTCTTCTCCTACTATTGCACCCAAACTTCAACAGGCTCACGCGGCGACGTGAAGTAGATGCGACAATATTAATGAGCCTGAGGGCGAGGGAGTCGAAGTTGGAGGATAATGGAATTCAAACAGCAGTCCTTAAACCCTATCCTAGGGCTTCTATTCTTCTCCCACTCCTGGAACCAGAAAGCGCAACTTACTTACTCTGATTTACTCTCTAGTGTCTTCATCCGAAACTATGCCGGAGTCAAAGTGAGCGACCTACCAAGACCAAGTTCGACTCCCAACTCATGCCATTTACATCTGCAGTCAGGCAATGCGACGCCTCCGGATGTGTTCTCAGCACGCCTACGTTGAAACCTCCTCCTGGTTTCCTCACTCTCGCCTCACCAGCGGCGGACGGATCCTGACAAGGCGTAGGTTACCATTCTCAGCATCATTGGCGTGTTCCCTTGTCCTCCTGGTCATTGGCAGGTAATCCGATTCCAGCCTCAAAATGGCTCTGGTGTCTGCTCTTTCGAAAACTTGAAGGGGCCCTTTAACATGTGAGTGGTTTTGGGTTCACATACCCTTGATCTGCGCGATCAAACTCACGAGGACGACGTCGAATGGGCCACAGCATCTGAGGGAACCGGGTTCGCCTTCGTTTGGACATACGTATCTCGAGGCAGCACTCACAGTGGCCGTGCTCACGTTAAATTGCCCAACTTGGAGTCCCTTGGTTCAACAGTTGAGGATGGCCCCAAGGATGCCCGACGGGTAATTTCAGTGTGTTCATACTCTATGCTGTTCTATAACGGCGGTGGCTAACGGCTGTTTACGCAGCTGGCTTTGTTCGGCTACTTCCCTTCTCTAAACCAACGGCCAACGGAAAACTATACCCGCCGCAACTCCCTGACAGCCCACCGCCCTCCGCGGTGGCAACCCGCCTCTTACCTTCCAATCCCAACTTCCCTTCTACTGCCTAGTATCTTCTAATACAAAAATTGACAGCTATATTCTTCGCGCTTTCTGCTGTCGTTCCGACTGATGTCGATTGTTGGGAAGGCCTATAGACGTCACGTAGGCATAACTTCCTCGCTTCAGTGCGTAACGGAGCCGGGATATTGAGAAGGATGAGATTCTCGCCTTGTTCGGTGTCCACATGTGGATATCGCGGACAAGGTTTGGACAAACCTTTTTCGACAAGATGTTGAGCCGTGGGGCTTGGATATATATGGAACCTTTCTCATTTTCTCGCGTCTTTCTCGCGTCTTCTCTTCTACAGGATCTGACTTGCTCTCAGTGGTGGTGATTTTCGGAGTCATCGCTTGCCACCACCGAAATACTGGGCACCCAAAATGGAATTCAAGCAATAGCCAAATTCCTCCTAAAGTCAGGAGCATTAACTCGCTCGGACCGGCATCACCACTCCCCTCGTTTTCAGAAAAGCCAGAACCTCCTCACGTCGAGACGGATGACGACGGCAATTAGCCACGGCGCCCACTGGAGTCCCAACCACAACCCCAAGCATAAGTACTAGTAGCTAGCTCATGACGCTGACAAACCAAGGTTGCTTCGATGGCTCTTTTATGGAGTGCATCCGTGCAACAGACGCAGCCGAGGCAACTCACTTATGATTTGAACGTCTTACACCGCATGGCGACACACTCCAAAGCTCCTCCCTCGTTATTGAGTCTCGGTTGATGATTATAGGTATATACAAGGGGTGCCCACTGGAGAAATCCGGGAAATCGAAAAGAAGGTAAGTAAGAGAGACTTGGGTGGACAGTGGTTGGTGGATGGTCGCGTCAGTGTCGGTGTTTGCCTATATTTCTCCCAGATGTTGAGTTAAAAATATAAATTGCTTCCGTCCCTTCTTTAGTCCCACCGGTTTCATGTCCTTGGATGTAAATATAAATCAGTCAGCCACAAGTCAGCCTCCTTTGGGTCATTATAAAAGGTTGGGTAGTAAGTATGTGGTTTTTTGCAACGACCGTCTTCGTCTCCCCAACCATCATCAACTGCCCAGAAGATGCATCTCTCCTTCTTCACGCTCATCGCCCTCACAGCTGTACGCGCAACGGTCCCTGCAAGCAAACCTTCCGGAGTCCCTTCCTGCACTTACACCTGCCCGCCAACAGATGAACTTGGCTTTCAACTAGGCGTAAACGGAAACGACGGCACTACCTTGTTTTGCAGTTATCCCGCCGTCCAGGGTGAAGACTCCAAGGATTTCTTCTGCGAATACTCCTCCGTCAGTCTTCCTCTGGTATCTGCGCCGCTTACATCCGCTGACAAAGTCCAATTTTTTTCTCCAATAGACTGACGGCGCGCAAACACAGGATCACGACGCAGGCCTTTGCCCCAGTTCAGCGGTCGAGTCTTGCTCTGGCACTCGTCGTCGTGACACGCTCCCGCAACCTCCGGCCCCTCCTGTCGCCCTACCACCCGTCTCCGCACCCAACGACAAGATGAAGGTTAGGACACAGTCGAAGAAGCGTCAGGCTCGCATCCCCTCTTCCTCGACGTCATGATAAACCGAAGCGGACGCACACTCGCAGGGATTCTTCACTGCCCCGCCTCTCAAGCTACCCTTTCAATCGTTGGACATTCTTTGGATTTTTTACTAGTCGTATCGTGATTACCCTCATTGATTACTTGGCCTTCGCCGTCCTACTATACACACCAACTGCATTCTGTCTTTACGAGTTTGTTATTTATCTATGCCCAGTGCCGAGCAACCTTGAGTCGATTTGTGATTGAAATGGTCGACTGCGTTTGTCGTATTATTAATGAACGCTGCGTAACGCGACCGCAATCATAGCCATTGATATTGAGCGGTGTTTTTTTGAAAAAGTAATGAAGAGCTCAGATAGAATATGATCCTTGGCACGCGCATTATAACGCACTGTGGAATTTGCAACTTATGGCGACGTATTAGAGACAATGACCCGCTGTCCCTTTAGACGAGTCCTTAACTATATACAAATAAATTACAAGCTATGATGAAATTCAGACAACAAGTTACATACTACAACCTCGCTCACGTATCCCCTCCAGTGCTAGAATTGTTCTCGGCGGATAAATTATCGAAAATGTGCAAGAGTTGATCATGCTCAAGATTTCTCAGCGTCCCGCACGCGTCCCAATGTTCATCAGCGCAGTGTTTTCTCAGTTCGGAGCGCGACGTGCCTGACCCGCGTTTAAATATCTTCGTAGGCTCGCTTGCGCTAAGCAACCAAGCGTAAAGATCGAACGTAGGCATCAAAATGGTGAACTCACAGGCACAACCTACAGAGAAACGCGTTCGGGACACACTTTTCGTCAAATACTACTTGAAGGTGGGTTGTGGTCAACCAGTTCGCGTCCGCGTCTGTTACAAGAATTGTAAAGGAGAATGCATATTTCGGTCCATAAAAAATGATATACCTTCTAGGAGTTCATTCTCCAAAAGCGCGCTCTCTTCTTTTACTTCGATATCTTGTACCATTGTGGGGGATCCGGGGCGAGGGGTATGATGTCGGGTTGATGTGTTAGAGGGAGGAGTTTTAACGTCAAGTCTATGACTTTGATCGTCGGTAGATAGAAGGTGGCTTTTTTCCGGATCGTCAAAGGCATGCGCAGATGACTTCGTAGAATCCTGTTCAACGGATGTCTGAGTAGTCGTGTCACCCTCCCCGACATCATGATTTTTGGATTTGACGGGAGGAGTCGGCCATTCGGCATCAATTTCATCGAAGATATCCCTTGTGTTTGGAGAAGGCGAATTCAAAGGCTGCAAAATATTCGGCAAATTGATGGTTGGTGAACCAAAGAGACTATGTGGTGTGCTCGGTTCCAAGGTTGCGCTAGGTACTTCTTGGACATCTAAGTCATCCGGTACAGAGTCAGCGTCGTCCTCGAAGGTCGGTTCCAAGTTTGCGCTAGGTAGTTCTTGAACATCTGGGTCATGAGGTACAGAGTCGTTGTCGTCGTCTTCGTTGTCCAAAGTCAAGTCGATGATTTCTTGTTCTGCGGGAAAAAAACTTGGAGGAGGGTGCGTTCTTCGCACGCTAGGGGGGGAAACCACCTCTTGCTTCACGACGAGCATATTCGGCTCAGGTGACGAGTAATTATGTCGGTCAGAGGGATTTGAAAAGTTGTTAGCGTCCTCCGTTGGATCGTCGAAATTTAAATCGGAAACATCGGCGCCTATCGGGGCGTCTATGGGTGGAGGTGATCCCGTATCAAAGGCATCCTCTGCGTCAATATTTCGAAGGTCGGATGGTGGTGAATTGGGTGGAAAATCAACTTCCCCCCGTTGGATAGTTTCGTTACCAGTGTCGTTACCGTCCCCTTCTATAGGTATCGACAGACGTGGTGACGCAGGATCATCCTCATCATCCGCTGCCTCATCATCGTTAGTTTCAGACCCAGACTCCTCCAACTCGTCCACCTGGTCATGGTCAGATTCCCGTGACTCATCAAAGCCCACCGTCGTTGGTGATGATAAGCGATCGTGTTCTTGACCTTTGAAGCTGTCCAGTTCCTCGGGTGGGATGTCCTCAGCTATTGAAGGAGATGGCTCGCCAAGGGTGTCCTCCCCAGATACCTGCTCCCCGTTGTCGTCGCGGGGATGAGGTGAAAGACGGCGCTCACCGTCGTTTTCACCCTGTTCAGGTATATTCGTCCTGTCAATGCATTGCATCAATTATATAGCTTCGCAACCAACTCAGGAGGAACAAACATACTTCTTCCCATTACCCCCCTTTTTCCTTGCAAGTAGCTTCGCTTTGAGGGCTGCTATCTCTGCCTGGAGTTCCTCGCACGTCTTCTATGCGCGAGGGAGCATCAGTTCGTCATTGTGGGCATGAATGAAGAGAAGTAAGGACATACCTCTTCCAGTGAGTCTTCAGCCTCCTCGTCACAAGAATCGTTGGTAGGAAAAATTGCGTCCTATCAGGATAGATACATGTAAAGGCTAGGTATTTTTAATCGTGAAAGAAGTTACTCACAGGAACATGATGATCTTGTGTCGTGGCCGACGGCGGGTAGGAAGCTAAAAGTTTGACTAGCAAGGCGTTGTCGCGCTTAATCTTTGCTAGTTCATTGTTCTCCTCTCTCAAATGCATTAACTCAGCCAACAAAGCCTCCACGTTGACCACGAAAGGCTCGCCGGTATGGGATAATGCTAGAACGGTGGGAGGCTGGACTGTAAAGCGGGGCAGCGCCGACCCTGATTCAAATTGTGCGGTGACGTGGTCAGGAGTAGTATTGGGTGCAAATTGTGAAGGCGATGTGAAATTTCTGTGTTGAACGTGGGGATCGATTTGGTTTGAGGACGCTATGTAGGCGAATTCCAGTAAAACCCGGCAACTGAAAAAAAAAATTGGTACGAACAGTCAGAATTGAATCTTTGGCGTATGACGATCGCATCATCAAGGGAAAGTATTGCAGGCGGTGGTTTCATTGCCGATATCTTCATCTTGTTGGTGCCAGAGGCCGGCCGTCTTTTAGAAACAGATCTAAGATCCAGTTTTACTGGCGTGTCTAGCGGCCTCCGCTGTAGGGAAGGAGGTAAGTTCATCCCGTCATCGGTTGGCCCCGGGTGGCACGAGTCGGTTGATTCATGCCTGGGGACAACATCTTGACGTGCTAAAATACAGAAAATCAAAGGCAAATGGTTGTGTTAGCAGGTTAATTATGCACTACGGTATGTAAAAGGCTACCAAGTATCGGAGAACGAACAGGCGGCGAGATAGGTTTTAGGGAAAGCTCAATCGTTGGTTGATAGGCGGGAATATGAATGGTAGAATTGAGGAAATATCTCGTGGGGAGTGGGCTTCGCTCTGCGACGCAGGTCGAGGAGGCCGATGTGCTTGCTACCGCGTTTGTGGATAAACTCGGTGATTCCGATAACGTACTAGTAGTTCTCATACGCTTCGCCGATTCCATAGCATCGTTGGTACTCCCTCGTTTCCTCTTCTTGACCTCTCGACCACTGGCAAGGATAGTAGCAATCACCTCCGAAGGGTTTGAAACAGGAGATTCTGGTGGGAGTACCCCGTCAGAGTGATAAGGGGTATCGCCGAGTGCTTTACCTTTGGAAAACCACCCAATATTGCCCGAATTAACCATGATACCTAAAATCCGGTTGGGGAAATCAGGATGAGGAATAGACGAAGTGTCGATCGTTCCTGCACGCATTTTACGCCATTCCTTCCATTTGTTAGGATATCGGGCATACAGGGCATGTTTTCCTTCTGTAGTGTCGATGTATATGTCCCCCGGGGAACCCAGTTCGGCAGCAGGGGGGCCAGGTCCTTGGAATTCGCTAAAGCCGTGACTTTTGCCGCTGAGTTGGAAAGATCTGAGTAGGCATGTGACGCCAGTGGCTGCTTGGTTACGATTGAAGACGGAGCCAAGCATAGCGTTTAGAGATCAAAATTTCCGTAGCATAAGTGTGTCGATGCTGCTAGCGTTGGAGGTTGAAAGGACAAGTGGGAAACTGGAGGCGATGTCAGGGAGATAATGAGCAGTGTATCAGTGTTCCATCATGGAGGTGACGTAACCCACATGATAGAAATTATTTCGAGCACCTAACTGTTGCCTAACTGTCAAAGGGCGGTTGGGTGAGTCAATGAATAGAGTAGAAATTCAAGCTCAGGTACTACCTCTACAAAGAGTAAAACCCGCGCGTTGCTTCAGGCCTCCATTTCCAAATTATGCGGGGGGTGTAGGTAACTCATTCAAAACTCATTTGAGGCGGCGGAGCCAATGTAAGCTTGATCGGCAAAAGGCGAGCTGGGAAACAAAGTTGAAACTCCGCCTAAAATGTAATTATGGAAGTCGCGAGGCTCTTGCTCACTTCAACTTGTCTTCAACATCTCCTTTGCTCGTCGCCGTCGTCGCGAGGACGTCGATATTCATCGCAGAAGAAGTTAAAAAGAATCTTTAGTTGGGTTTGCTGCAGTGGACGACCGTTTTTACGACCATGTCGCGTATCCCTCAGCCTCCTTCATCTCGTTCCTCCATTAAAGCCCCATCTACGCCATCTAAGTCTCGGGTAGCAGGTGCTAGCAGTCCTGCGCCAGTACGCGCGCGGACACAGTCAACACCGCGCTCAGCAACGCCCGTCAGGCAAAGGGTGGCAGAACAAGCACCACCCCCACCCGTACCAGCACCCTCCATGAGTCTCAAGGAAGCCATCGCTCTACGAAGAGCCGAGGCTAAAAAAGCTCAGGCAAAGCTCGGAGGCGGGGGAGGCGGCTTGGACAACTTTATGGGCCTCGAGGACGCCTTGCCGACTCCGGCAAACAAACACGAGGAAGAAGAGGACATCTTGGGCCGCTTGCCGGTGAGGGATACCATAGAGCAAGCAAGGAGCACAGGTGCGCTCCACTTTGTTTTTTGTTCGTTGTACTGAACTCATTGATAAAGGTCGTTACTGAAAAGGTCTCCTCAACCTAGCAACGCGCTCTCTTCCGTGTCTTCCTTCGGCGCTGTTTGAGATCCACTTGGGCATCACGCCGGATCGCTTGAAATCCGTTCCAGACGAACCTATTCTGCCCCCTAGCGATCCTGAGAATGAGGCTCGCAAGAGTAAACGCAACAAGCCGGCCTGGTTTGAGGCGCAAGACCTTACGGTCCTCAAGGCATGGAATAACGAGATCGTAGAGATCCAGCACGAATTATCTCTGTTTGGCTCGTTAAAGACGGTCGATGTAAGATCTTTCTTGCAATTTTTAAATCGCCTCGATTGACGCGCTTCCAGTTGCATAAAAATAAGCTCTCATCCCTCCCCAACACATTCCCTGATCTGGCCTCTCTAACAGTCCTTGATCTTTCTTACAACGCTCTCACCACCCTTCCGGACAATATTTTCGCGCTCCCCGAGTTAACCACGCTCAATCTCTCCCACAATTTGTTAACTTCTCTACCATTTGAGGCGCCCTTCGCCTCTGCCAGTAGCCGCACAGGTCCCAACCAATACACCAGCTCAAGCTTTTTCACGCCAGCTGTCGTCCGAGCTACCACGCCTCTTCCTCGTCTCATCAATCTAAACGCATCCCACAATAGAATTGTGGGCAGCGCCGTCGATGCCACCATCCCTGTATCGCTCACCAAAATTGATCTGTCCGGAAACCCCCTTGGCCCGTCTCAGCGACTCATTCAGGCGCTTGGGGCCCTCAAGAGACTCAAGGAAGCCAAGTTTGAAAAAGCTGAGATAGGCGACGATTCATTCCCGCCAGGCTTGTTCTCCTCTGTCCCTTTCGTGGACCTCTGTCTGTTAGACCTGGGAGAGACGCAAGCTACCCTAGAAGCCGTTCAAGCAGCTCTTAGAGGCATGAAACAGGAGCTCAATTTTGATTTCACCACGGACGCACTGCCTATGGGGGTCACCCGCATTCTCGTTGGGAAAAAGATCGTCAAGGAATATTGGGAGCTCGAGTTGGAACGACGGGCCAAGGCAAAGGTGGATAAGGTCTCTGACTGGGAGATGTCGAATTCGGTTACATCAGGTTCAGGTTCGAAAGGGGAGATTGTCAAAGAAGCTTGGGAGATTGAGGCTGAACAGGGACTGTTTACTGAGGGTGCGAAACGACGGGCTAGGGCTACAGCGGCTGCGACGACTGCTGCGAAAGCGCAAGCTGCTGCCCCTTTAGTCCGAGCCGAGCTGTCTGCTGTTGTCAAGGAAGCTTGGGAAATCGAGGCTGAGCAGGGGTTACTAACTGAAGGTGGGAAACGGCGGGCGAGGGCTGCAGCTGCAGCTGCACAGGCGCAAGCTCGTGCTGAACTTGGATTTGGACAGTCTCCCTCAGCAGCAGCAAGACCTTCGTCTACTTCACCTCAAGGTTCTATATCCGCGTCACTTAGTAACCCACAGTATTACACCGCAACTACGCAAACCCTCAAGCTCCCCGCTTCAGCTGCACCGACCAAAGGACCAGGGCATGCGCGTGCATTCTCGCTCGCTGCTCCTTCTGCAGCCGCCTTTTCGTCCTCTTCGTCCCCGAGCACGACGGACATTGCTGTCCCCGCTCCGTCCCTCCCGCTGTCTGTTATAGTGGTCCAGCCCTTCGCAGACACGCTCCGAGTGCTAATTCTGGCGAACCGTCGTATGGACCGCTCGTTCTCCGTTCCTAGGATTCCTCAAGGCCCGCCTGGGTACCTACCTAAACTCGAGGAGCTGGATCTGGAGGGGTGTAACCTCTCAGACTTTGTTTCCATGCATACGACTGAACACACTGGGGAAACTACGCCTCCGCGCTCAAGCGAACCTATCCTCCCAACCCTATCCAAACTCTTCCCAAGCCTGCAGACCCTCAATCTATCATACAACGGACTAACGAACACTTCTCTCAACACCGAGGCGCTGTCTACGTTAATCCTGACTTCTCCACATAGACGCGGCCTGCGTCACCTTCGCTTGAGGGGGAACAGGATTTCTGATTTAGATGGGTTTGTGAATGTTGCGGAGCAGTTTAAGGGGAACAGGGAAGTGGTTGGGTGGAAGATGGAGGAGCTGGATTTGAGGGACAATGAGATTGGGAAGCTGCCTCCCGAGTTGGGGTTGTTGCCTTTGGATGTGCTTTTGGTTGATGGAAATACGTGGGTGTTCTTTCTTTCTCTTTTTCGTCTGTTGCTTGTGTTGTATTTGATTTTGACGTGGTTTGATTTTTTAGGTTCCGTGTACCGCAGAGAAGGGTTTGGGAGAGGGAGGGGACGAAGGGGTTGTTGAGCTGGTTGAGGGGGAGGATTGAGTGATTGATCGGGTACGACGGGAATGGGTGACGCTGACAGAGGGGTGGCGGGTGCATGATCGACAGTTTCTCGAATTGTTTCCTCTCTGATGATGACACTTACCTTTCTGATATTCTCAACTTCAACGGATTGGATTTGCATACCCGGTAATACATGGTTCATTGTAGGTTCCATTGACTAGACCACAATGGTTTTTTGTGATGTTTGGTTTACATCGACAAAAGTTGACCAACGTGGGTGTGAAAACGGTTTTCGACGGCCAACAGAAGTTGAAACTTGGCTCTGAATCTCATGCCAGCGATCAACGAGCTTGACGCCACCCATTATGATGTATTCAGCGCCGATGGAATTCTTATCGAGTATAATGCATGCATAACCCCCTTTGGATCTTCTCGGGCAAGCACGGGCGACAAGCAAGGGAGTAGATTTACGACTTCGCCTCAACTGATCTGCCATGCACTTTTGAGTCCATACATTCATCTGCACAACCAGGGTCAACATGGTAATAATTTATCTGAAATCGATAAAGCAAGAGAAGGAGAATTGACGCTGAAGCCCTCACGAAAGTTTCGCCGACCGATCTACATAGATGATTCTTTCAGGAGACAGGGACCGCTGAAAGAGATTGCTAGAGCCATCCCTCCTGACCCGTGTCAAGCGCCTTCCAGTGCTTTCGAGAAGCGCAGAGATATGCTTGACAGTCCGTTCAAGTGAATTGAACGAAGTAAGCATCTGAACGTCCATGATTAATCAATATACACGGAAGATACCTAAAGGATGTCATACCGTCATGTTACCTGCATAACCAATGTCATTTGCATCACCATAATTGACCAGAAGAGGTTGTGGAGCTTCGGCTGGAACGGCGCCCGGAATCGCATTTTCTTTCAGCCTTCGAGTAACGGCACGCGAAAGGTATGACAGTCTCGACGAGAACGAGCTTTTTGTCTTGTTTAGCCGTTGTTCTCAGTTCAGTGGGAATTTTTGATACATGTGGATTAGACCATTGGGGCTTCGTTGTTCGCCTGCCACAGAATTTACTAGTAATATCACTGGCACTCGCGATTCCTCCATCAGACTTATGTCAACTACTCTTCGAGTCCACGTCTACCAGTGATCTGACAGTGCCGATTTGAATCAGAGATCCGATGAGCTCCTCGTGAGGAGGTTTTGAGGAGGTTTGGGAAGTTCATTTCGATGGAAAGCGAGGCACAACGTTTGCTCCGCACCGTGATGCGTATTTGTTAACTTTACTTGGCGAGGCAGGGACGGTAACGGGCGGGCCATCATGCATTAGAAGTCTCGGGTAGGACAGTGTTTGAGAAGAAGCTATGCTGCTGAACTTGAACGTCAGCGCTCAATGTCTACTATTATCCCGAACCTCTCGGATGATGTCAGCTACAGGAACAATGGAATAGTCTCCAAAATACATATGTACATCACCATAGACTATTGAACGACAGATTCTCCCGCGCTGTCATAAATAGGGCCCCGTTGGCAAGGTTGAAACTCAGTGGAAGGTTGGCTAACTTGGCTTGAGGTTGGCGGAAGGTCGGGATGAATGTTTGGGCCTGTTTGCCTTGCAATTGACCTACGCCACTTCCCAGTTCCTTTCCCATGTTCAATCCAAACGCTGTAAGCAGGTGCTCTGATAACCAGTGAACACTACCATTTATCTTTATTAGGCATTAAAATTCCAAGCACACTTGCTTGCTCGCTTTATTCCACCCAAGAACTCCGATGTCGTCGGATTTAAATTACACCGTCCTTGCAGCATACGCATGGAGAATTCTTGAACGAGCGCTGAGATATCGATCCGTTGATCCGTTTGGACCTAAGACTTGGATTAACGGAATGATATAAGTGACGTACCAAAGTGGCGCGACGATGCTTGTGGGTCCCAATGTCCTCTTCGTCGCCAGATGCCCAGGCGCTTGCAACCGCCGCCCTTCATCTGTAAGTACAATAAATCAACCACGAGTTTTGGGTCGCTTATACTTGCTAATCAAGAACGGCTGGAAAGTACTTCCAGATTGCTGCATTTGTAATGCTGGTGTATGATCAAAGTCAGTCAACGTATCGCATTTAGAGCCTCGAAGGGAAAGGATTTAACGCGCAGACAGTCCTTACTTTTCCAGATGAAGTTGCACCATTTATTTTTACTTCCAAAATCTGAATAAACTAACCCATCTGCTGCAGGTAGAAAGAATTTGGAAGCAGCATTGGTCCGGCGCGACGATTTTATTCCTCATAAATCGCTATGTCACTCCTTTACAGTTTATCGTTGGTATCGATGGTAAGTCCTAGGTCGTGGCCTTTCTTTTATTCTATTTTCACTCCCTGTTTCCAACAGCATTCCAGGATCCTGTATGGGCCAAATCGGTATGTAGGTCTATTATTCAGCATTGATTAACGTTCACCAAGTGATAGGCGTAAGGATTATAAACCAATGTCAGATTTAATTAATGTGTTGATGCTCGTTGCAGTTGCGATAGATTTGTCGCGTTTGAGGGATCCTCCACAGTTGCAATGGTAGCAGGTGAGTCATCATTACCCTCGAGAATGCGCCTAACTCTTTTATCTAGTCTGCGAATGTCAGTGAATCAGATGCTAAACACTGGAATGACCAGATCTGCTCACCAGCACACCAGTGATCATGATTTTACGGGTTTATGCCCTTTACGGCCGTAGCCGTCTCATATTGGCGTTTCTCTCATTTTTATGGGTTGTGCAAGTTACGTTATCGTCCATCGGAATGAGGACCGGTTTCGGTGAGTAATCCTGGTCAAAGTTTACTCTACTACATATCCTGAAGCGTCGCTAAAGCTGTTCCACTTCCTCCCGGCTTCGTTGGTACATCCGTTGCTGTCACCAGATTTCATTCATCCGTATAATGCCTTGCTTGACAGGTTGTATTTTCTCGAGTGCAAGTCCGCTATTCCGTAAGTGTACCCGACACTTACTATAAAAATTTATTCTAAACATTTTTCTCGAAGCTGCCCTTTGGGTCACTCCCTTGGTCACCGACTGTTGCATTTTCTTTCTCACTCTTTGGCGAACTCGAACATTTATTAAGAGGTCAAGAAGGACACCGTGCGTCCCACTTTTTTTTCCATCTTCCCCCAGAGCGACTTGATAAAGATCATCGTCCTAGAACAATTCACCTTTTCTTGCGAGATGGTCTCATGTACTTTCTTGTGATTTTCATGGCAAACCTATTGAACACTCTTATATTTTTTGTCAGTGTTATCTCTTTGAAACATCCGTCACTCATTGAATCCCGTTACAGCTTGGACCGTCGGATTTGAAAGCTGTTGGTGCATCTTTCAGTCAATTGATCACCGCAACCATGATATCCCGGCTTGTCCTCAACTTGCGATCTCTCTCTTACGTCTCCGATGGTCACGACGCTGCACTGCTACCTTCACGAAATATTGATACCCACAAAAACGCATTTGTGGCAAGAACGATAGTAGGAAATCTCGGGGAAGACATGGAAACTTTCCTCGATTTCAACTAGGACAAGGGGAACGACATGCCCCTCAAGAAGACCGAGTACTGGTCGCAATCAAACGACATGGATAGCCGTCGCATGGTTTGGAAACCTCGTAGCACGGTACATACCAGTAATTGGAAATTAATTTATTCACAGCATGTTTCCGGCGGCGATTGAGTGGGCATTCCTCTTGGAGAAGTTCTACAAAGGACGCGCAGGAGGAGGATATACAAGAGAAGACACACACAGATGGGGAGCACGACTCAGAAGGAAACCTTTACGAACTTTGGCCTACCGATTTACATAAATAATTCCTTCATTAGATAGGGACCGCTTCAACCGGCTGAAGGAAATTGCTGGAACCATCCCTCCTGATCCGTGTCAAGCGCCATCCAGTGCTTTCGAGAAGCGCAGAGATATGCTTGACAGTCCGTTCAAGTGAATTGAACACCGTAAGCATCTGAACGTCCATGATTATTTAATATACACGGAAGATAGCTAAAGGATCATACCGTCATGTCACCTATATAACCAATCTCATTTGCACCACCATAATTGGCCAGAAGAGGTTCTGGAGCTTCGGCTGGAACGGCGCCCGGAATGGCATTTTCCGCTTCAGCCTTCGAGTAACGGCACGCGAAAGGTATGACGGTATCGATAAGGACGAGCTTTGTGTCTTGTTTAGCCGTTTTTCGCAGTTCAGTGAGGATTTTTGACGCGTATGGATCAGACCAGTCGTGCATGATCTGTTTGAGCAGGTAGACAGAAGCGTTTGTAATGGGTTGTGCCGTGAAGAAATCGTGAACTGGACAAAGCGCGGTTGAGATGACACCGTTCACAGAAAAATCTGCGAGCTCACCTTGGAATTTAACTTGGCCAGTTTCGAGAGCTTTTGGTAGTTTTACTTTCCACAGCTAGAAAAAAATAGTTAACCCTAGCTTTGGTGTGTATATTTTCACGGACCTTGAGCCCGTCCTCGACAACGGGTGGGCGATCCTGGATCACGATCTCAAGATTAGGATAGGCTTGCGCAAGAGGAAGCGAGGATGTCCCGACACCCCCTCCGACATCAACAACGACAGAACCATTGGGCAACGAACTCCAATCGAACGCTACACGAAGTTTAGTCGTCGCTCTTTAATTAAAACATTGGGCTTACCTGAAAGAATGGCGTCGGGAGGCTGCAAGGCCTCAACACCTCGCATTGCAGATCCGAAGCGGCGGAGGCGGCCACTCTGGTCGGGTTTTTCATACCAGGCCCACACGGGCAACTCTTCATTGAAGGCCTTGTTAAATGCGGTCTGCGTGACCTCGTCGGAATGGGCAGACACAGGATCCGACAGGGTCTCCCAAAGATAAGCGGTAGACTTCGGAATTTCATCGAGACTAACGTAGAGTTAAAAAGTGTCATGCCGGGGGGTCAAGGGAAACCTACTGATGACCGGCCAGCGCGGGAAAGCCGTGTGCATTATCATAACGGCTCTCCGGACTATAATTCCATCATCGGTGAGAACTCAGCGTTCATATTGAAAATTACATACGATGAGAATAAATCTTCTACCGATTTACCTGTATCCAACATGGACGAGATCCTATTGTTGGTGAAGACATCGGGCTGAAGCTCTTTATAGACGTGATGGGTCGCAAGATACCGCATAAGTCGGGCTATGGGGTACGTCTGATAAGTGAGCGTCACTTGGCCAGAAATCCCTGTACTTACCTAATTTTGTGGAAGAGATATTGCTCTTGGCAGCAATGTCGCGAACATGGAGACCCTAGACAAAAACGATATTAGAACAGATAATTAGAGACGTCAATTAGGTACGAATACGAACGCTAGGACCAGCCTCCCGTAATATCTCAGTCACGTTGGCTTCTAAACAAACCCTGAGTGCAGCTGATTTGAAGTGCTGAAGGGCGACGTCAGAATGAAAGTAAATTAATGGAGGATGATCGTACCCCAGATATGACACTGGTGATGGCAGCAGGGGGTGGAAGAACAGCTGCGGCGAGCTGGAGGGCAGCCGCTGCGATCTTATTTGCAGCTTCTGCCGCCTCGGGGTTGGCGCGGAAGGCTTCAGACGACGGGGTGAAGGGTTCGTCGAGGCGAGGAAAAGACAGATTATTCTGCTTGCACACACTCTCCAATGTTGCAACGGAGTCGGAAATGATCTTGGAAAGCTCAACAGTCAGACTCGCCATTATAGGATGGGGCTTTGTTGTTCGCCTGCCACAGGATTTAATACCATTCGCGATTCCTGCATCAGATTCATATCAACTATTCTTCGAGTCAACGTCCACCACTGATCTGACAGTGTCAATCAAAGATCCGATGAGCTCCCCGTGGGGAGGTTTCGGGAAGTTCGGAAAGCGCGGCACGACGTTTAATGTGATGCGTATTTGCTCTTTGTTGGGGACCCAGGGCCATAATGCAATGGAAGTCTTGAGTAGTCTCGAGTAGTAGGACAGCGTCTGAGAAGCTCTGAGAAGATGCCGCTGAGCGTCAGCGCTTGATGTCTAGTACTTATCTCGGACCTCTCGGATGTGTCAGCTACAGGGACAATGACATAGTCTCCAAAATACATACATCACCATATATTATTGAACGACAGATTCTCCTGCGATGTCATAAACAAGGCCCCGTTGGCAAGGTTGGAAGGTTGTTTCAAACTTTGAAGGTCGAAACAAAAAGGATAAATGTTTGGGCCTGTTTGCCTTGGAACCCAACACCAGAATGATCTCATCTGCTGACCGAGGCCACTTCTCAGTCGGCACTGTACCTTTCGCATGTTCAATCAAAACGCTGTAAGCAGGTGCTCTGATACCCAGTGAGCACTAGCGCTTATCTTTATCAGGCATTAAAATCCCATGCACGCTTGCTTGCTCGGTTCATTCCAGGCTTCAGCCAAGAACTTCGATGTCACCGGCGACCGCAATATCATCGCCGCATTTAAATTACAGCATCCTTGCAACATACGCATGGGGAACTCGTGAATGACTCAATGAAGAGGACCCCGGGCAATAGCAGGAAAGCCCTGGTCCCGATCCGGACAAAAAATGTGGATTTTAGGCCCTACAGCTGGGGGCCAACCCGGACAAAAAGTGACAAAATTCGAAACTGCCCAGAGCCAGAGTCCGGACAAAATCGACGAGATGTCGAAAAAAAAGCCTCCCAGCCGGTATTTGGGCATAATTGTGGGACATTTGTAGAGAAAAATTTACCCTGATCTGGCCGTCCGGACAAATTTTTGAGATTGGGGTGTGGTAGGCCAGGTCCAGTCCGGACAAATTTGGTGCAGAGGCGTCCGGACAAAAACCCAATTTTCGGGATCAGGCCTTTTCTGCTATTGCCCGGGGTCCTCTCAATGAGCGCTGAGATATCTCCGTTGATCCGTTAGGACATAAGACTTGGATTAACGGAATCATTTAAGTGATGTTCCAAAGTGGTGCGATGATGCTTGTGGGTCCCAATGTCCTCTCCGTCGCCAGATGCCCAGGTGCTTGCAACAGCCGCCCTTCATCTGTGAGTACAGTAAATCAATCACGAGTCTTGGTTCGCTCACACTTGCTAATTAAGAACGGCCGGAAAGTACTTCCAGATTGCTGCATTTGTAATGCTGGTGTATGATCAAAGTCAGTCAACGTATCGCATTTAGACGGAGGGAAAGGATCTAACGCGCAGACAGTCCTTACGTTTCCAGATGAAGTTGTACCATTTATCTTCATCTCCAAAATTTGAATAAACTAACCCATCTGCAGGTAGAAAGAATCTGGAAGCAGAATTGGTCCGGGGCGACGATTTTATTCCTCATAAATCGTTACGTCACTCCTCTACAATTTATCGTTGGTATCGATGGTTAGTCCTGAGTCGTGGTCTTTCTTTCATTCTCTTTACGCTCCCCGTTTCCAACAGCATTCCAGGATCCTATATGGACCAAATCGGTATGCAACTCTATTATTCAGCATCGATTGATGCTCACCATAATGTCATAGGCGTAAGGATTAGAAACCAAGATCAAAATTCATTAATGTGTTAACGACCTTTGCAGTTGCGATAGATTTGTCGCGTTTGAGGGATCCTCCACAGTTGCAATGGTAGCAGGTAAGTCAATATTACCCTCGAGAACTTGAACACGCCTAACTCGTGTATTTAGTCTGCGAAAGTCAGTGAATCAGATCCTAGATACTCGATTGACCGGGTCTGCTCATCAGTACATCAGTGATTATGATTTTACGTGTATACGCCCTTTACGGCCGTAGCCGTCTCATATTGGCGTTTCTCTTATTTTTATGGGTTGCGCAAGTTACGTTATCGTCCATCGGAATGAGGACCGGTTTCGGTGAGTAATTTTGGTCGAAGGTTACTCTACTACATATTCTGAAGCGTCCTCCCCAAAGCTGTTCCACTTCCTCCTGGCTTCGTTGGTATATTCATTGCCGTCATCAGATTTCATTCAGTCGTATAATGCCTTGACAGGTTGTATTTTCTCGAGTGCGAGTCCGCTGTTTCGTAAGTGGACCCCACACGTGTATATTTATTCTAAAAGATGATTCTTCTCGAAGCTGCCCTTTGGGTCACTCCCTTGGTCACCGACTGTTGCATTTTTTTTCTCACTCTTTGGCGAACTCGAACATTTATCAGGCGGTCAAGAAGGACACCGTGCGTCCCATTTTTTTTTCTATCTTCCGCCCAGAGCGACTCAATCAAGATCATTGTACTAGAACAATTCACCTTTTCTTGCGAGATGGTCTCATGTACTTTCTTGTGATTTTCATGGCAAACCTATTAAACACTCTTATATTCTTTGTCAGTGTTATCTCTTTGAAACATCTGTCACTCATTGAATCCCGTTACAGCTCGGACCGTCCGATTTGAAAGCTGTTGGTGCATCTTTCAGTCAATTGATCACCGCAACCATGATATCCCGGCTTGTCCTCAACTTGCGATCTCTCTCTTATGTCTCCGATAGTCACGACGCTGCACTGCTACCTTCACGAAATATTGATACCCACGTAAACGTATCCGCATTCGTAGCACGAACGATAGGAAATCTCGGAGAAGACATGGAAACTTTCCTCGATTTCAGCGAGAAGGGGGACGACATTCCCCTCAAGAAGACCGATTACCGGTCGCAATTAAACGACATGGATACCCCCTGGTCGGAATCAAACGACATGGATACCCGCTGGTCGGTGCAGCCGTCGCGTGTTCTGGAAATCTCGTAGCACGGTGCATACCAGTAATTGTAAATTAATTTATTCACGAATGGCGTAAATATGAAGTTTCTGGCACGTTTCCGGCAAATGAAGGGGAATTCCTCTTGGAGAAGTTCTACAAAGGGCGCAGCTTGAGAAGAACTTTTGTCTTTCTGATGTTTGAGTCAGTCTCTCGACTGCCTATTTCAGGTCCTCGTTGCTGAAGGGACAACCGGATTAATACGAGTGAAACTCAAGATTACCATGATCTCAACGCTCTCCACTTGCCTGTCAGCAGTGTTACCTTAACATCAATATTCATCCGTTATCCCTGAACTCTGCCGCAGCTTGGATAGTCTATCTACACACAGGACTCGGAATCATCATCCTTCCGATGGTGACGTCCTTTGACTAGCGGAGGAGAATCTAGAATGGTCCAAGTTCGCCCTCCTGAAGCGGCTCATAGATAATAACTGACGGTTTGTGTTAAGATTCGGAGGAGCGGGCGATATTTCAAAACCGGAACGTCTCAGCTTGAAATTGGAGAACAGGATGAAGAAGTTATGAATAGTGTTAGTGAGGATTGACAGAGTTGGCCAGTGGCTGAGCCTGAAGGCCGTCTTCGTCGGTCTCTAAAGTTTTGAGAATTCCGGTTCATGTATCTCTAATCTTTGATAAGTAGCAGGTCCACGAAAACAAGTCAGCAAGGCTTGCGCTATTCACTCAGGGTGAATAGAGGGCACTGGGCTCTTCGCGTGGAGGATGATTCGCGTTGGCGTTGAAATATGCCGTAATACGAGCCAGCCTCAATGGATTCCAAGTGTCTTCAACGTACAACGTTTACGACAACTGCTCCATACAAACTCAATAAATTACTTCTTCTTGCCCTTTGTAGCCACAGTAGCCGTGAGCGTCGCAGCCTTCTTCAAATTCTGGGGGGTCGCAACACTCTTCACAGCTGCCTTGCCGGCCGAAACAGTGCTCTTCTTTGGGGCAGACTTAGCCGCGGCCCCGACGACCTTCTTAGCACCAGTGGCACCTCTAGTGGGAGAGGACACCTTTGATGTCGGCTTACCCGCGGACGTGACCTTCTTGGCGCCGGCGGCTCCTTTCACGAGGGACTTGGAGGCGGGCTTTCCTGCAACCTTGGATGTCGGTTTGCGAGCGCCAGTGGTCTTGGCGGAAGGCCTTTTAGCTCCTGCTGCGCCTGCCTTCTTAGTTCCCCCAACCTTTGATGCAGTCTTCTTGACACCTGCACGGTTCGCTCCCTTGGTAGAGGACTTCGCGCCAACAGCTTTCTTGGAGCCCGCTCCCTTGCCAGGAGCTTTGGGAGTGCGGGCACCAGCGACCTTCTTGGACGCTGCACGGTTTGCTCCCTTGGTAAGAGCCTTCGCCGCACCTGCCTTCTTCGAAGCCGCTCCCTTGGTGGTACGGGCACCAGTGACCTTCTTGGATGCTGCGCGATTCGCTCCCTTGGTCAGAACTTTCGCGCCAGCTGCCTTCTTAGCACCCGCTCCCTTTGTGGTACGAGAGCCAGCCACCTTTTTGGAACCCGCGCGGTTAGCTCCCTTAGTGAGAGCCTTGGAACCCGGTGTACGCGCACCAGCAACCTTCTTGGCACCAGCGCGAGCTGCTCCCTTCGTCAGGGACTTGGCTGTGGCGGTTTTCTTACCAGCGCCGAGTTTTTTCGCGCCAGCGGCTCCGAATTTTGCAGAGGCAACGCGCTTGCCGGTAGGTGACTTGGACGTTGGTTTGCGAGCACCGGCGACGCCTTTACCTGCAAGTTTGCCTTTGGTACCAAGGGCTGATTTGGTGAGTTTGGAAGCTTTGCTGGCTTTGGAGGTAGCGGGGAGTTTAGATGATGATTTTTTCGCCGTGAGAGCGGATTTCTTTGCTCCAGGTGTCAGAGTAGATTTCTTTCCAGCAGCTAAACGTCCTTTAGTTGCCGAGGTGAGTTTGGAAGTTTTCGCGCCAGCCGTAAGTGCGGATTTCTTGGACCCAGGGGTCAACGCGGATTTCTTGGATCCGGGCGTCAAAGCCGATTTCTTGGAGCCGGGTGTCAGAGCGGACTTTTTGGCACCCGCAGTTAAACCGCTCAAGGCTTTGGAGGTCGTGGCAAGCTTGGATGCAGCTTTCTTGTCACCAGCGGCAGGAGTTTTCGCCTCCGCAGCCTTTTTCGCAGCGGCCTTATTCTTGAAGTAGTCCTTGGGAAGCGCGCACGACTGGCGCCTCACGAGGTAATGGGCAGCCTGTAAACCGTATCAATCAGACTAGAAAATAAGAAAGTGGTATTTAATCACGTACCATGTCGTGATCACCATCCGCCAACGCTCGTCTGTACATGTGGAACTCGCGGCGGCGGAGACCAGCATTAGCGCATAAGCTTGCAAATTGCCTGATGAAACGAATTCCGTGAATGGGTGATTCATATGTGAAAAAATGCCGGAGAACGTACGCGTAGGACTCCGCGTTATTCTGCATACCTCCGGTCTTATCGCGTATCTTGACGAAATCTTTGTCGGCATTGATTTGGTCAACGGTCTTATACGGCTCCATCGACTTTGTGTCTAAATTTGATGGTCAGCGTGGTTCATAGAATATTAAGAAGTGACTTACATCCCGTTTTGGCCGACGTACGTGGGTCGCTACCTGGGATCATAGTGCCAGGCCTGCCCCTCATATAATCGCCAGTGTCTGAGAGTACATGTGTGGCTTCGTGGATTAGCGTACCGGCTTTAGCGGCAGGCGAAGCTATGGACCATAATCGTGTCAGAACGTCAAAGGGGCAAAGTGGGTAGGCATTTATCACATACATGCATGGTAATTTTCACCGAACACAACATGTTGAGCGACCGCGGGATCCGTATCAGAGTATTGCGTGTAGGCGAGAACTTTTGGCTCGGAGGCAAGCTTGACAGGAACGTTGCCGGTCTTGAGCTTCTCGACATTTGCTTTAATGACGTCCCGGTCGGCGTTCGCTCCGAACGCGGCATCGATGAGAGGTTTATGCTTCGCGTTGTCAGGGTCTGCGATGACTTTCTTCATTATGCCGATTTGCCGATTAGCTTGAGAATCAAAGTTATAAGACAGTTTGTGAAAGAAAATGAAGACAAACCTTCGACTGTGGCCGCGTCGAGATTGCCTTGGTTGGTTGTTTCAGCGGCGTTAGCAGGAGCATCGTGAGTTAAACTGAGGGGCACTGAAAGGACGCCTTTTGAAAAATCGAGCTGAGTAAGTGACAGTATGACAGGCTAGAGTGGCCGAACCCACCAGTAATAGATGCCAGAAGAAGGAGTCCCACTGGAGTATATTGAGAACGCATACTGAAGAATGAAATAAATGGCAGAGGAAAAGGCAATTCGTTGAGGGTTGGTGACCTGCACCTGGAAGAAAATGCGTCAGGCCACCTGCACCCGAACTAGAGGAGGAAACTCACCAAGTGAAGACTGTGGATCAAATCGACCTGCGATGGGATGAGGATTGACTTCTGAAGTCTGACCCTTATATATATATTTCTTATCCAGTAAACGACGTCCAAACGAAACCATTTCCATCAATTCAATGGGGAAATTTCGTCACATGGTGACGGACTTTGGACAGTTGTTGGACAGACTTTGAAACGCTGGGCCGCGTGGACGATTTTGGTTCCGATTTGAGATAAGGGTGAAGGGACGTCTGAAATCCGACACAGCTTGAAGGGATCATTGAAAATTTCATTGAATGTTGATACCATGAACTTACGGCTCATACCACCTGCTCAAAATCTTTTGAAAGAATCAGAGCCAGGTTCAATTCCGAATCCCAAGCGTGTACTATCCGATGCGTCGCTACCAAAAACAAGGTCTCATGCACGTTGCAATCCTGGATTGATTTACGTCCGTGCGGAGTTGGATGGTGCCAGAATGAAGCTATTTTCGTCGTTTGAATGGAAAACGGATCCGGAGCGGACGCTAGCGGACGTCGCGCGAGGTTGCGTGGTTTCTCATGGTGTCGTAAGTTGGACAGCTTGCCAGGGGGTGGCTACAAAAGTCGTACAGATGATCGACAGGAGATCTACCCTTAAAACAGTTATCTGATGACCGGTGACCACCGGGGTTCGCGACTCTCACGTTTGAAACAAGAATGCTGAGCGGAGCTGTATTGATATGAAAATCTGTGACTTGGGTGAAAAAAAATCAAGTGGTCGCACCCAAAGACAGTTGTACTTCTCCAGAAGGTCGCCATGAGCCAAGAGAGTATGCGCGACTTTTCCGATTTGAAGTTTTTCGGCCAGGATTTACCGTGTTCTCAAGTCACGTGCCTTGAAGAGCATTGGCAGCTCAAACCATTCCCCGACGTGTCACGTCGACGAGATCCCCATTCCCGAGATATCTTCATGCTTCAAGTTGCCTTGCGTTCGCAGGCTTTGCCTTATTTTCTTTGATTGACATCACGGTCTGACGATCTACAGTTAACAATCGGCTGTGCTGTTGGAGACCTACCAAACTGGGCAAATTTATCCTGACGAGTCCTCCTGACTCCGCGGGACTTGCTTGATGAGTGACACTTAGGATCTATATCAACACCAGGTTGCACGTCAGGAAAGACAAGCCTTACGAATCCCTGCGCTCCATCTCCCAAAAACGACTTCCCACCCTCAAATTGAATAGCCATGGCCGCCGCTGGAATCAGCCTCTTCAAATCCTCCGATGGATACGTTGTATCTATCTCCCTTTTCTCATCATCTGACGGATCAACGATTGGTACGGGGATTGAACAAGTCACCTCGTTATCATCCCTTCTCGATACCGTGAAATCCCTGCTCTGCCAATGGCAGGAATCCAAAGTGAAGGCGTATCTAGTCTCCGTGCCCTCTGCTTTCCCGGCGGATGAGTACTACGTCGCCCTCAACACAATTACTGAAGGAACATCCCACTATTACTACTACGACACCGACGCGCTTGAACCTGAGACCACTTTAGCGGAAGATGACCCCTCCGTTTTCATTACTCATGGCGAGGCATACTGCGCCACCCTCCCCAACAACACAGCAACGCCCACCATTCTATTCCTCGATTTCTACCCCGACCGCCTCTCCTCCGAATGTTTGTCAAGTTCTTTCGACAAGGGCGAACGCCAGACGAAAACCATCTACACACTTACCTCCTCTTTCGCTCAGGGCATCTCAGATGAAGCTGCGCTGAAAACGGTGATAATTGTCGATCCCAAGTACCCGTTCGAACGGGTTGTGCTAAACAATCCACTGCCTCAACAACTTCCTACTGTACGCACCTTTTTCGAAACACATTATCCAGGTACCCCAATTACCATCAACACCCCCGATGTTATCTCTGCTTCCGCGGCTGCCCGCCTTTACACAAGGTTGAATCTACCACCACAACCGAGGAGGCTAGCACAATACATTGTCCCCCTTCCTGTCAGCGTCACTTCAGCGTCTGGGGGTGCAATTACCCTCGTACCCCCGCGATATAGGATTCCAACTAATGAAAGTATCGTCCTCACAACGTCAAAGGATAACCAACGCTCGGTGACCGTGCACCTTCTCCTTGGCAACCATCCTCTCGCCAAGGATAATCTGGTGCGAGGGGCCGCCTTTTTAGAAGGATTGAAGGCTTTGCCTAAGGGTGAAGCGCGGATCAGGGTCTCTTTTGGGGTTTGTATTCTTGAGGGTTGGCGGGATGCGGCAGCGGTCACGCTTGAGCAGGTGGATTGCGAGAATGGGGTGAAGAAGACCTTTTTATTCCCCAATTTTTTCGCCGGCCTGACGGATGACGATGATCGGTATGAGGTTATCGAGCAAGGCGCTGAAGTTGAATTTGCTCAGCATTCAGACAGGGTCGTTGGTGAACTTCCTGAGTAGCCAACAGGTAGAAAGAATGGTCGTTTCATGTACTGTGTCACCATGTAATTTTATAGTTTATGAAAGGGATCCACTGGCAATTACGGCCGAGAATCTAAGACTTCTCGAAGAAGTTTTTTATAGATTTATGTGCAGGGAGTATACTTAGTGTACCAAGACGCACCACTGTTCTGCGAATCCAAGATATAAGTACCTGCGATCATCAACTGGGACTGGATAATTATAACGAGGGGGGAGCCTTGGAGTTTGTAGCCATGCGGTGTAGGAAGTTCAAATCATAAGTGAGTTGCCTCAGCTGCGTCTGTTGCACGGATGCACTGCATAAAAGGGGCCATCGGGGCAGCCTTGGTTTGTCAGCGTCATGAGTCTCTAGCTACTAGTACTTATGCTTGTAGGACTCTGGAGGCCGTGGCTAATTGCCGTCGTCATCCGTCTCGACGTGTGGTCTGGCTCTTCTGGGAACGAGGGGAGTGGTGCCGTTCCGAGCGAATGGATGCTCCTGACTCGGACTTGAGGAGAAATTTGGCTAGTCCTCGAATTCCATCTTGGGTGCCCAGGAGTTTGGTGGTAAGAATTCGAGCGATGCCTCCGAAATCACCACCTTTGGAAGTAAGTCAGATCTTGCAGAAGAGAAGACACGAGAAAGACGCGTGAAAGTGAGATTCGAGAAAGGTTTCAAGCCCCACGGCTCAACATCTCGTCGAAAAAGGTTTGTCCAAGTCTTGTCCGCAATATTCACATGTGACCACCAAACAAGGCGGGAATCCATCCTTCTTAAGATCCCGACTCCGTTGCTTTTACGACGCACTGAAGCGAGGAAGCCATGCCCATGCTTACGTGGCATCTGAAAGGCCTTCCCAACAATCGACATCAGTTGGAACGACAGCAGAAAGCGCGAAGAACATAACTGCCAATTTCTGTATTAAAAGATAGGCAGTAGAAGGGAAGTTGGGATTGAGGGTATAGCTTTCCGTTGATTGTTGGGGGAAGTAGCCGAACAAAGCCAGCTGCGTAAACAGCCCGGCGTTAGTACATAGCCACGGCCGTTATAGAATAGTAAAGTTTATGAACACACTGACATTTTTTTTTTTTTAAAGTCAAATTCAAGTCTATTGGGGCGGAGCCCCATGTCAGACCTTACAACTCTGTAGACTAGACTACCTAAGGCCCCGAGTGCCTTTTATACCTGACCCCCGAGGTCATCCCATGCACTGGTGAGAGCACGCCCGAGGCGATCATTCCCCCACCCAGCCCGGCACGGAAACGCCGTTTTGGGATGCACCTATATACGTGAGCGGGGTAGCCCCGTCATTTGCTGCCTATGCTTTCCATCTACGTGGGGTGTTGTCTGTTAAGTACCCGATCGCGGAGCGACAGGCACAGTCATGATGGGACGAGCGATATCAGGGAATTAAATAGTGAATTTTGTAGCCGTTTTGCAGACGTCTTGTGTTTTCGAATATACGCGTGATCCTGTCGACGTAAGTCTGTTGCGTGAAGTCCACGGACTGAAAAGGCGGGTAGGAAAAAGGGGGGGTAAAGAGGGTTTGTGGGCATGCCCGCTGGCCTTACCAGCCAGCTACACACTGACATTACCCGTCCTTCGGGCCATCCTCAACTGTTAAATCAAGGGACCCCAAGTTGGTAATTCAACGTGAACATGGCTACGTGAGTGGTGCCTCGAGATACGCATGTCCAAACGAAGGCGAACTCGGCGCCCTGAAATGCTGTGGCCCATCGACGTCGTCCTCGTGAATTTGATCGCGCAGATCAAAGATATGTTGCGGTTGAAGCTTCAATACTTGAGACCCAAAACCACTGAAGTGCCCCCTCAAGTTTTCGAAAGAGCAGACAACAGAGCCATTTTGAGCTGGAACCGGATTACCTGCCAATGACCAGGAGGAGGAGATATTTGAACTCTCGTAGTAGCCGTTGAGGAGTAGGGTTTAAGCGTCACCTTGGTCTTTGATCTACAAGGGAATACGCCAATGATGCTGAGATAGTAGCTTACGCCTTGTCCGGATCCGCTGGTGAGGCGAGCCGCGAGAGTGAGAAAACTAGGAGGAGGTTTCAACGTAGTAGGCGTGCAAAGAACAGATCAGGAGGCGTCGCATTGCCTGACTGCAGGTGTACATGGCGTGAGTTCGGAGTCGAACTTGATCTTGGTAGGTCGCTCACTTTGACTCCGGCATACTTTTGGATGAAGACACTAGAGAGTGAATCAGAGTCACATCCCAGATCTAAACTCGGCGTTGAAGGAGAAAAAGGTTGGGGTTTAGTAATGCAACGTTCAACGTTCAACGCTATGATGAGTACGAGTCAGTACGAGCCAGTGAAAGGGTGAGATAAAGGACGAATACAAGGTTTTGAGGTTGTACAATTGTGTGCTGCCAGTGCCACTCGGATTTTGCGGAGACGGATGGAAGCCCTAGGATAGGGTTAGGACTTCTGCTTCATCCCCGTCCCCCTCAGGCACATTGTCGCATTCACTTCACGTCGCCGCGTGAGCATGTTGAAGTTTGGGTGCAATAGTGGGAGAAGAGACTCATGTGGGGCCATGGAGGTGAGAGCCCAATGAAAGCCACCCAGCGTCCTGAGCAGAATTCTTCAGATATGCTCTCCGGAACGAGTTCCCTCCTCCGTGAGGGTACCCCGCACACAAATTTATGGAACATGACTGTTATCATCGAAGCTGCCGACGACAGATAATTTGTATACTTCGAGCCTTGGTCTCTTTGCGCTCTGTGTTTGTTGTCTCACTCTTTCAAGTTGGGAGACTCAAACGCTCATGAAGACGTCGAGAAATTCATTGTGCGCCCCATGTCTTTCTGCTTCAGACGCCGCCTAAATAACTAATATCATCGTGGCAGAACAATTCAGCGTTTCTTGCGAGATGCTGGCAGTGCAAGCTCCCGTAGTGCATTTTTTATAAGTTTCAAGGGCAACCATGATCTCAACGCACTCAAAGTTTGATTTGCGTCAATGTCACGTTGACATTCATCGCGTTGTCCCTCAACTCTGTCGCAGCTTGGATAGCCGATTGACAAGACTCGAAATCATCGTCCTTTCGATGATGACGTCCTTTGACAAAGTTTTCCTCGGTGGAAGAGAATTTGGGATGGGACTACCGTACAAGTGAACGTCTCAGCTTGGGATTGGAGAGCAGGGTGAAAATGTTATGAATAGTGAGTCTTGACAAAATAGGCCAGGAGCTGAGCCTGAAGGCCGTCTTCGTTTGTCTTGAAAGTTTGAGGATTCCGATTTATATTTCCTCCACGAAAACAAGTCAACGACGCCTGCGATATTTGCCCAGGGTGAACAGAGGGCTGAGCTCTTAAAGTTTGTGTGACAGATGATTCGCTTTGAGATATGTATTACGCCAACCCGCCTCAATGTATTATGATTATCTTCCACGTACAACGTTTAAGACAACTGCTATATTCATTAATCTGTAATAATCCAGGACAAGGGCAACACAACTTCTCTCAATTACTTCTTCTTGCCCTTTGAAGCCACAGTAGCCGTGAGCGTCGCAGCCTTCTTCAAATTCTGCGGGGTCACAATACTCTTCACAGCTCCCTTGCTGGCAGCCGAAACGGTGCTCTTCTTGGGAGCAGATTTAGCGGCTGCTCCGACAACCTTCTTAGCACCAGTGGCACCTCTAGTGGGTGAAGAAACCTTTGATGCCGGCTTACCCGCGGACGTGACTTTCTTGGCGCCAGCCGCTCCTTTCACGAGGGCCTTGGAGGTGGGCTTTCCAGCGACCTTGGATGTCGGTTTGCGAGCTCCAGTGTTCTTGGCGGAAGGCCTTTTAGCTCCTGCGGCGGCTCCCTTTTGAGTTCCCCCAACTTTTGACGTAGTCTTCTTGACAGCCGCACGGTTTGCTCCCTTGGAAGAGGACTTCGCACCAACAGGTTTCTTGGAGCCCGCCCCCTTGCTAGAAGAGTTGGGAGTGCGGGCACCAGCAACCTTCTTAGACCCTGCACGGTTTGCTCCCTTGGTAAGAGCCTTCGCGGCACCTGCCTTCTTCGAAGCCGCTCCCTTGGTGGTACGGGCACCAGTGACCTTGTTGGACCCTGCACGATTTGCTCCTTTGGTCAGCGACTTCGCGCCAACTGCCTTCTTGGTGCCCGCTCCCTTGGTCAGAGCTTTCGCGCCAGGCGCCTTCTTAGTACCCGCTCCCTTGGTAGTACGGGAGCCAGCCACCTTTTTGGAACCCGGTGTACGCGCACCAGCGACCTTTTTGGCACCAGCGCGAGCTGCTCCCTTCGTCAGGGACTTGGCTGTGGCGGGTTTCTTACCAGCGACAAGTTTTTTCGGGCCAGCGGCTCCGAATTTGGCAGAGGCAACACGTTTGCCAGTAGTTGACTTCGAGGTTGGTTTACGAACACCTTTCCCTGCAAGTTTGCCTTTGGTGCCAAGCGCTGATTTGGTGAGTTTGGAAGCTTTGGAGGTGGCGGAGAGTTTGGATGATGGCTTTTCGCCTGTGGGAGGGGATTTCCTCGCTCCAGGTGTCAGAGCAGGTTTCTTTCCAGCGGACAAACGTCCTTTAGCTGTGGTGGCGAGTTTGGATTTTTTCGCGCCAGTCGTGAGTGCGGATTTTTTAGGCCCAGGTGACAAAGCCGATTTCTTGGATCCAGGCGTCAAAGCCAATTTCTTGGACCCAGGTGTCAGAGCGGACTTCTTGGCACCAGCAGTCAAACGGCCCAAGGCTTTAGAGGTTGTGGCGAGCTTCGATGCAGCTTTCTTGTCACCAGCGGCAGGAGTTTTTGCCTCTGCGGCAGCTTTTGCCTCCGCAGCCTTTTTGGCAGCCAGTTTATTCTTGAAGTAGTCCTTGGGAACCTCGCAGTACTGGCGCCTCACGAGGTAATGGGCGGCCTGTAATTCGTACCAATCAGACTATGGAATGAGAAACTGGTATTTCATCACGTACCATGTCGTGATCACCATCCGCCAACGCTCGTCTGTACATGTGGAACTCGCGGCGGCGGAGACCAGCATTAGAGCATAAGCTTGCAAATTGCCTGATGAAACGAACTCCGTGAGTAGGTGATTCATATATAAAAACAGCCAGAGAACGTACGCGTAGGACTCCGCGTTATTGTGCATACCCTCAGTCTTATCTCGTATCTTGCTGAAAGTTTTGTCGGCATTGATGGCTTCAATGGTCGTATACGGCTCTAACGACTTTGTGTCTAAATTTGATGGTCAGCACGATTCAAGGGATATAGTCAGAAGCGGCTTACATCCCGTTTTGGCTGAGTCGCGTGGGTCGCTACCTGGGATCATAGTGCCAGGCTTACCCTTCATATAATCGCCAGTGTCCGAGAGTACATGTGTGGCTTCATGAATCAGGGTACCAGCTTGAGTGGCGGCCGAACCTATGAACCATCATCGTGTCACAACGTCGAAGGGCAAAGTGGGTGGGCATTTGTTACACACCTTTATGGAAATCTTCACCGAAAACAACATGTTGAGCGACCATGGGATTCGTGCTCTTATCGTACAACGTGTAGGCGAGAACTTTTGGCTCGGCAGCAAGCTGGACAGGAACCTTGCCGGTCTTGAGCTTCTCGACATTTGCTTGAATGACGCTCACGTCGGCGTTCGGTCCGAAGGCGGCCTTGATAAGAGCTGCATGCTTTTCGTTCTCAGGGTCTGCAATGACTTTTCCCATTATACCGATTTGTCGGTTGGCTTGAGAGTAAAAGTTAAAATGAGGCAACAGTTTGTGAAAGGAAATGAAGACAAACCTTCGACTGTGGCCGTGTCGAGATTGGCTTGGTTGGCCTTCTCAGCGTCGTCCGCAGCAGCAGCGTGAGTTAACTCAAGGGGTACTGCAAAGACGCCTTTTGGAAAATCGAGGTGAGTAAGTGACAGTATGACAGGCTAGAGTGATCGAACCCACCAGTCATGGATGCCAGAAGGAGTCCCAGCGGAGTATATTGATAACGCATACTGAAGAATGAAATGAATGGCAGAGGAAATTCGTTGAGGGTTGGTGACCTGCACCTGGAAGAAAATGCGTCAGGCCACCTGCACTCGAACTACAGGAGAGAACTCACCAAGTGAAGATAGTGGATCAAATCGGCCTGCGATGGGATGAGGATTGAGGTCTGAGGTCTGAACCTTATATATATCGACACTTTGGACGCCTCCGGCGCTTTGGGCGGTGTTCAAAGAAAGACACTTTGGGCACCTCGGACGCCTTGAGCGGTGATTTTGGATATCTCGGGCACCTTGGGCGCCACGCTTTGGGCACAACAACGCCACCATTTTATTCCTCGATTTCTACCCCGACCGCCCTTCTTTGAATGTCTGTCAGGTTCTTTCGACGTGAGAGAACGCCAGACGAAAACCATCTCCACACTGACCTCCCCTTTCGCTCAGGGCATCTCGGGCGAAGCTGCGCTGAAATCAGTGATAATTCTTGATCCCAATACCCATTCGAACGGGTTGTGCTAAACAATCCCCTCTGATGGTCCCGGCTCCTCTGAAAACGAGGGGAGTGGTGCCGTGTACACTCTTCCCGAGCGAATGTTCCTCATTTGACGAGGAGTTTGACCAGTGCTTCGATTCCATTTTGGGCGTGCAGGATTTCGGTAGTGAAAGTTCAAGCAATGCTTCCCTGAGCATATACCTGTGGTCTTCATCCCCTCACTCCACGAGCATCCCTTGAGAAGAACTGCTTTCGAAACAGGCCTGTGTACGCTTGGTGTACGTGTGCCCGTGCGGAAGTGGAAAAGACTTCGTTTGCCAGTTCTCGGAAGTGTTCGGTCTGTTCCAATGATGGATGGACCCCCTTGTATCGGCATCAACCCCTCAGAAATGATGCCGCTCCCCTGTCCATGCACTGAGTATCGACACCTTCGCTTGTCGTAAGGCATCGGCGCGTGTCGTTTCAATTGGTGGCTCCCATGGTTTTTCGGTCGCTCTCTTGGAAAGCCCGTCTGCTCGGTCATTCCCTTGTATCTGGCAGTGTCATGGGCATCGCGACCTCTACAGTGTGTCTTGGGTCCTGATTGACGAACTTCGTACTTTTCAGGTTGAAGGTGTGGGCATACAGTTGCCCTGGCTGTGGGTTGAGGTCGAAGATGGCTGGTACAGCAGCTACGGTGACTCTGAGGTGTCGCTTTGCGGACCTTGTTGGCCCAGATGATGAAACCAGCCATTTCTGCGTCGTGTACTTCTGCTTGACCTCCCATTGCCATTGACCTCGCAAACACTTCCTTGCCCTTGTGGTAACCCACCACCGCGGCACCTACCCTGCTGAACCCGGCTTTTTTGGTGGGTGACCCAGCGGTGTATAGTAGCGCGGTGCCCATCTTGTCCTCGTACGCGAGTCTTGTGGTTTGGTATCATCTCCCGTTAGTCCTCCTTTCCCTCCACTTTTGGCTTATGCGGTTGGATAGTAACTCGTTCTTTAAAGCATGCATCTGTGCGACGCCAAGGCGGTGTAAGGAATGGGTCGAGTCGTTGAGAGGGTTGTCGTTCTGGTCAGATTCGTTGCCGAGGAGTTCTTGAGTCTGGGTGGGAGGAGTGATGGTTCTTTCTATCTTCTGCATCTGTATGATTGGACTTGTTTCACGTAGATTGTTGAATGTCAAGATCATTTGAGCGAAGGTAACTCCATCCATCTCTTTCTGTGCTGTTGGTTTCGCGGCGCATTACGAAGGCCAAGCGACTCTTTCGCTTGGGAGATCTGGGTTCAATCTCGCCAAAAAGATCGAGTAGCTTGAAGAAGGTTTGAAGAACGACGTTGGCAGTCTGCGACTCGCCTTCAAAATTTTAGGCAGGAACGCCAACCGGGACCTAACATGGACGTTGCTCAACGAAAATTGCATAGATGACGGGGATTTGACGTACCAAAATACCGAAACCGCCAGTTCTGTCAATGCCCCTGAAACACACAGAACCGCGGAAATCATGGATACGTGGCGTCTGAAATGCCTTCCCAACGACGGTCATCAGTCAGAGTGACAGCAGAAGGCGTGAAGAACATACCAGATTTTCTGTATTCAAAGAGGGGCATTAGAACAGAAGTTGGGATTGGGAGGTAAGAGACGGATTGCCACTGCAGATGGCGGTGGGCTGTCGGGGAGTTGCGGAGGGGATAGCTTTCCGTTGACCGTTGGTTTGAAGTAACCGAACAGGGCAAGCTGCGTAAACAGTCATTGGCCACTGCTGTTATGGAGTGGAAAAGAGTACGAACGTACTGACATTACCCGTTGGGCATCCTTCGGGCCATCAACCGTTGAACTAAGGGACCCCATGCATTTCAACGTAACGACGGCCACTGTGAGACCGCCTCCAAATACATGTCGGTGACTTCAGATGATGTAGCCTGTTCGACGATCGTCCAGCCACTGGCTTCGAAGGATAGTGACGCCGAAGTGAGCAAGAGAGATTTGGATCGTGGATGGGGTTTTGGCCCCAGTGAGACTTACGCTGTTACCTGAACAATTGTAAACCGGGGCTCCTGCGTCCAGCGAGTACAATTCGCACGTATCTCCAAGAAACTCGTGTCCCCTGTTGTACGAACTCCTACAGAGAAGATGCGGAGTCCAACTGTAGAGCACCGCCCATCAGAATAGACGCCTTCATTCGTGAACTCGTCCTACTCACCGAAAAAAATGAACTGCCATCTTGGACACCAAGCAACAAGAAAAACGAAGACGAGTAAGTAGAAGAAGTCGGTCAGAAAAACTCAGGCACGTGCTTATGATTTATAGAAAGACGAAAGCACGTGTTCACGTGGGGTCGCCTGGCCTCCTGGCGCTCCTTTCCTTCCTTCCCCATCCTGAACCTCTCCACCTTCAGTATCTCAACATGAGCGGAGTGAGCGTTCTTGCGGGTGCTCACCACTTCGTTGCTAGCAACAACACGTTCAATACTGCCAACACTGTGAGTAAATTGGCTGTCATCCTATGTTCCAGTGTACCAAACTGCTTGCATGGATCTTGGGCAGATGCACATCCACAACATCCACAACAGCAGTAGAACGACATCCGATGGGGTCATTCCCCTTATGCCAAATCCAAGCAATCGGTTCACAGGCCGCACAGAGGTCATTGCCAAACTCAAGAGGCATTTTGCCAACACAAATGACTCAGTTCGGAAGAGAAAGTTTTTCTTGTTGCATGGAATGGGGGGTATAGGAAAGACTCAGATCTGCTTGAAGTTTGTTGAGGAAATGTCTGATTGGTGAGTGTTTCCAAATGATTGATCCAGCTCTCATTTCTGAGATCTCCATTGCCTTCAGTTTCTCCTCTGTTTTCTGGATTGATGCTTCCTCACTTGGCACCATCATACAAGGACTCAAGGGTATCTGTAATTTTTCTGCAGCCAGGTCTAGTGGTCTGGATGGCTCACCTGAATATGCTCTTCACTGGATTGGCTCACTGAAAGAGAACTACATCATGATCTATGATAATGCTGATGTTCTGTCACCTGCTGAGCTGGAGGCTTATTTTCCACCTGGGAGAGGTGGAAACATTCTGATAACCAGTCGCAACTCTACCATGAGGAATCTGACTTCACCTGAGAATTCTCTTGAAGTAACTGAGCTGGAAGAGAATGATGCTATTGAATTACTTCTAAAAGCCAGTTGCTTGGATCTGTCTTCAATGGGGTTTCAAGCTGAGGCTTCTAAGATTGTGAAGCAGCTCTTCTGCTTTCCTCTTGCTATTGATCAGGCTGGTGCTTACATTGCTTCTGGGGTTACCACTATTGGAGACTACCTTGCAAAATATTTAGAGCATCAAAAAATATTATTATCCCATTCTGAATTTACAGGAGCTTCTAGGTATAACAGAACTGTCTATGAAACTTGGGAGCTATCATTCAAAGAAATTCAGCTAAGGGCTGAGTCTGATAATTCTCACAAGGCCACTGCAGCCAATAGTGCAATGCTCCTGCTCAATTTACTTCCATTCTTCCATCATGAGGGAATCACTGAGGAAATATTTTCCTATGCTGCCCTTCCAGAAGATGAGGAAATTCTTAGCTCAAAATTATTATATGCTAGTTCTCTGCTTGATCGAAGGCTACTTCCTCTTAATAAATCAGGTATTTGGGATAACTTTGTCTTTAGAGAGGGACTTCGGATATTACTGTCATTCTCCTTGATTAAGAAAGGCCCATCTGATTATGTATATGCCATGCATCCACTGGTTCATACCTGGGGTAGGGACAGATTAACTTTGGATCAGAGGAAAGAATCTTGCTTAATGGCATATGTCACTTTGGCTTGTTCACTAAGATGGAATTCTGGCCAGCCAAATGGATTCCAAAGAGACTTGGTAACACATGTAAGAGCAAATATGGAGTATTTCAAATCAGAAGGTAGTCAATTTTACATGGATGATGCCTATGCAAAGTTTGGGAGGCTTTTGTCTGAACAAGGATATTCTAAGGAAGCAAAAAACTTGGAAATCCAAGTTCTGGATAGAAGAAACACAATTCTTGGAGTGTACCACCTACACACAATTCTTGCCATGGAAAATTTAGCAGAAACATATAGAACCCTGGGGAAACACATAGAGGCAGAGACACTAACTATTCAAGTTTTGGATGCAAGAAACACAATTCTTGGAGTGGAACACCCTGATACCATTACAGCCATGGCAAATCTAGCAGCAACATACCAATACAAGAAAAAGTACAAAGAGGCAGAGGAGCTAGAGATCCAAGTTTTGGATGTAAGAAACAGAATCTTTGGAGTGGAACACCCAGATACAATTATGGCCTTGGGAAATCTAGCAACAACATACCGATGCTGGGGAAAGTGTGAAGAGGCAGAGAAGCTGGAGATCCAAGTTCTGGATGCAACAAACACAATTCTTGGAGTGGAACACCCCCACACTATCACAGCCATGGCAAATCTAGCAAAAACATACCAATACCTGGGAAAGTACAAAGATGCAGAAAAGCTGGACATCCAAGTTTTGGATGTGAGGAACAGACTTTTTGGATTGGAACACCCAGATACAATTATAGCCATGGGAAATTTAGCAACAACATACCGATACCTGGGAAGATATGAGGAGGCAGAGAAGCTGCAGATCCAGATTCTGAATGCAACAAACAGAATTCTGGGAGTGGAACACTGCTACACCATCACATTCATGGGAAATCTGGCAGCAATGTACCGATGCCTGGGAAAGTATCACAAGGGGCAAACAGCATTCATTACCCAGTAAAGAGGTAATAAAAAGCAGGGTATAATTTCATAGCTGAATTGAGGTATCTGAACAACTTCTCGAGCTTGTAGTAAAATTTTATAGCAGAATTGAGGGTATTTGAACAACATCTCAGGTCTGATGGAAAGTTTGACTGCTTCATGACAACTTTTCAATAGTGCTGTTCCAGGTATCTTTAATAATCCATCCGGGCATGCGAACATGTGGACGTACTGTGAAATTGTCAGACTGATGTCTAGAAAGTGCCAAAATTGTGGTCTGATCACCGTGAAGCTGCTGGATTGATACATAGGGTAATCAATGGGTTCTGAAGAAGTGACAAGGAGGAGAGATTGAAAGATGTATTTGCAAAATAGGGGCAGAAGTGTGTGCAAGTCTGAGAGCATGCCTTGATGGCATCTAAATCATCCTGGAGGAGGTCGATCACCACTTCGATGACTTCTAGAGGGCAGTTGGCAAAGGACCAAGGGGGTGGCGGAACATGGAAAATGTACCAACTCCCTATATTTTTTTTGTGGATTTGGCTGACCTCCCCCCCTCCACCTCCTACTATATAAGGTATGTTTTCTGAGTTCCGATGTTTTATTGAATGTATTTTTTTGTCCTATGGTCCTGGCTTCTGCAAAATCCTGTACCTACAGCCTCAGCCTGCTTATCAACTCATGAACCTTGAAGAAGCTCTGCACAGAGGAACATACTCATGTGAGAAATTAATTTAAAATGACAAGCAAAATTGTGATGTAGAAAAACTCATTTGAATGAAGATCAGCCATGGTGTGTGACAAAGTGGCTTTGTCTCCACTCTTGTCAACAAGAGCATTGATCTTTCAGATTCTTTTCTGAGAAGTTCATTCAAATTTGGCCTGAACATGGCCTTTATGGTGAGTAAAATGTCTGGAAAAAAAAAGTTTCCTTGCTCCACCACCTCATCCTCTATATGTACCTCATGGGTGCTCTGATGGCCTACACTCCCTTCATTGTCGCAAATGTCATAAGTAACTGGCTGGCTCTTGCCTGGCATAAGGAGACCTCATACCCAGATTGCATGGAAGGATAGTTAGAAATTGGGGAAGAGCGTCTGGCGGCATGCAGGATGGATGAGATGCTGTGCTCCCAAATTTGCGCCAAAAATATATCAGGTAACTATTTTTTTTGGGGCCATCAGCCAGACCCCCCCCCTCCCAGCCAGTGTTCGCCAAGCCAAAGAAATGGGGGAGATGACTAGACAGGAAGAAGTTTTTACTTGCCATATAAATAAACCATCGGACAATCACAAAAGACTGGAAGAGGCTGGTGACAGTATGTTCAAGATTTAGAACCATTCACGGGAAGTGTCGCCTTCAAAGTTAAGGTATGTAATAGTCAATAATCTGGTGCCAATCGGGAAAGGTCACCATGGGAGGGCAGTTATGAAATTGGAACACCTATGTACTAATAAAATAACTGTATGACTCCATATGTGCCTTTGATGAAAAACAGAGCAGGACTGTCTTCATGCTCAACAACCACGGAAGATATCTAGTTGGGATCTCATCTAATTCCCTCTTGTATATGGATGCCCCTTCACTGTCGAGTGTCAATCTAATATCGATCGAAACTTGACGAAGCATTGGAAACCCATTTTCCTTAGAAAGAGCAGTGTCCAGCATTACCCACTGTTGACTGCCAATGTCATCCTCAGCGTCTAGTTCAATCCGAGCAGCACTGCTAATTTCTTCAATCACGTTTGAGTATCATGAGAGAAGATTGAGTTCCTCACATAATCTGGATAGGGAGTATTTAAAATCTCTAGACGCGAAGGAGAAGTGGAGTTGTTTCAATGTTGATATCGAGGAATTGTTGATCGACGCCGTGATACCTGCGAATGGTGCACCAGTAAACACAAAGTCGAACACTATGTGAATGAGATATAAGATGTAATCTTCTGAAAAGTGTTTCTGGTATGTACCCTTGCATTGTAGAGTTTCAAGCTTGTTTGTTACATTGAGAAACACATGCTGGACAGCCAAATCCAAATCTTCATCTACCTTGAGGCTCAACATCCGAACATTGCTAAAGTCTAGCACCGGGCC